TCTAAAGTCATCATCAGAGGATGAGCTTTGAGATACTTTATCAATAAGATCTTTGAATTGTCAAAACTTAATGTCATGTTCTCACATGATGTTCTCCTATGGTTGTTTTCCTCATTTGATGAGATAATAGATGTGGCAATTTATATGTAATTGCCATACCTTAATTGACCTTCATTTGGTCCAGAATTACTTCAGGTTGATTGATGTATGCATATCATTTGTGGTGTGTTGAAGATAGCTGCATTTTTCATCAACCTCATCCTTGTTGTAGGGTCACAAAGAGACAAGAAAGACAAGATAGATGGTCAATCTTTGTGACAAATTGAGCTAATAAGTCAACCATTGCCACAACATCAAATGAACCATCATAACATGGCACCAGCCCATGCTGTCACTTCACCCATTTGATGCTTTTGCATACTTATGGATTGATATGAAGCACCCATATTGAAATCCACATATCAACAATAGTGATATATGTTTTTCTTCATTTGGTGTGTCGTGCACAACTCATCTACATGCTCCTCACATGCTCATGTAAATTGGCAGGTTGCTAAGCACTATGAAATGCAAGCTACTTCTTGAGTTCCAACAAAATAAGTGATTTTTATCATATTATGAGCTTGAATGACAATTCTCTTATTTTTGAACCATAATGAAGGTTGAAAGAGAATGGGATAATGTATAACAAGTCAATCAAATTATTTTAGTAAATTTTCTTATAATGGTGAAGATAATTCTCTAACAAACTATTAATGCACTCCATTTCACCATTTGTCATACATGACAATTGATCAAAAACTTCAGTTGAGTGTCTAGCATAGTGAAGAGGTCATCTAGAAATGTCTAGTGAACTACACATTTTGATTAATAATGATGTTTCGTGTCAAACCCCACATATTCACCACATTTGCCATGAAGAGGCATGCCACTTCATCTATCATATAGTCTTTTGCGTAGACACAAATATTGCATATTTCAAGGATTGATCGACAACAACAAAGATCACACCATATACCTTTTTGTCATCGAAAGCCTAAAAATGAATTCTAAGAAAATGGATTCCCAAGGTTGGTTTGAAATGGCCAATGACTTGAGTGTCTTTATTATTTTTGTTGCATGCTAAATCTTGTCTCTATTAACAAACAAATGAGATCAAACATAAACTTTGGTGTCTTGTTCCATATCTAACATATAATAATTGTCAAGTATCAATATAAAGTTACATTATTGTCCTAGATGGTCAACATACAACTTGTTGTACAACTCCCTCAATATGCCGTTGTAGATTGCCCACACTTTTCACACAAGGTATGACCCATGTAGGTAAAGAATCTCATCCATTGCCAAGAAGCAATGTGTCAACTCATCAACTATATGCTTTAGCTAGCACATCACTTTTGTATCTACTATGGCCAGTGCAACTAAAATTTCCCTTAACATCATCTCATAGCCTGTTAAGATCACTACAAAAGTAGCTTTATGATCTATGCACCTAAGGGTGTCAACTATAATGTCAGCCCACCTTGACTTACAATTGAGGTTGAAGTTATATCAAAAATCCTACCAATGAGCTTATGTAGGGGTAAGTTTCCTCTACATCTCAAGATTGTTTGGCTCAACATTTTTTATCTAGATAACAAAATGATCTCCAAGAAGGTAATGCTACCACACTCATTAACAATAGACAACCTCCATCATCTCCTTCTCATACATAGAGTAAGAACTATTTCATCTCACTTAACTTTTCACTTTCGAAAGTTATACAATGCCCTTATCACATCAACACACCATCAATAATCAAATTTGAAATGTTAATGTATAATGGGTTGCTAAAATTTGACAATCATAAAACCAGCTCACTAGTGACTACCTAGTTGAGTGCATTGAAGATCACATGGCACCTCAAGGATCCCCCTCAATGCATGACTTTCCTCAAAAGATTCATCAATGATGTTGCCAACTAATAATAACCTCACAAGAACTTTTGAATAGTGATTCAATACAAAGAACAATTGCAATGACAATATGTGATTTGGTATTGACTACTCTTCAAGGTTGTGGGTCTGAATCAAATCTAAGTGCATGTATCACACCCCATGACAAACTTAAGGAAAGTCATTTCTTCCAACTTAAATTCACACTTTGCAGTGTTGAGGTAAAACTGATTTTCACTCTGCTTTAAAAATACGTCTCACATTTGTGATTCATGCTCTTTCAAGCTCCTACTAGAAGTCAATATATCATCCAACTAGATGACGAACATATTGATTTTTTGAAAAATCACACTCATAAGATGCAAAAGGAAAGGGTGTTGGTAAAACTGAATGACACTGTTGTGAACTTGTAGCCCTAGTATATCGTGCACATTGTCATTGGCTTGTTGTCTTTCTTGATCTAGGCATGATGATGATAATCACTCTTTAGATCCATACAAGAAAAATACATGACACTATTTAACAAGTACTATGCATTAAGCGCTAAGTATTTATTATTGACTATGACTTTGTTCAATATGTGGCAATCCATGCATAGACATAGGGAGTCATGTTTCTTCTTTTGTAAAAAGAGGGTAGCACTATATGGTGCCTTTGAGGGATACATATATTCAACCTCCAGCAGCTTAAGGAACTGTCAACTTAGCTTGTAAAGATAGTTTAATGACATCATGTGTGATGTAACTGTCACACGTCGAGCGTGAGCTCCATCTCATGATCCACCTCATGCGAAGGTGTCAATCAAACCAGTAAGGCATATGACATGGTCTCATTAAACTCCAAAAGATGAGCAACCCCAAGCAAGAGTTGTAATGTGTTGGTATCTATCGTCACACATGCTGTCATAGTGATGACCACATCCACTTATGCACCCCATTGGGCACATGACAACCTCACAACCACACCCATATCATTTTTAGACACCATGTGTGCCATGCCTTCTTACTGGCAAACGCTGCAGATGCACATGCCCTTGCCATAACAATGAGCATTGTGTATTCTCTTACTTTTGTTGGCTGGAGCCTCAATGAGAGTTAATCATCTTACACTTTAAGTTTCATGAGAAAAATTCTCTCCCTTCCTCATGCTGTCTAAGAGATGTAAGGTAGATAACATATGTAGACCTTGTTGGGCCTCCTCTACTCCCAAGACAAAATAAAGAATCAACCCTCTTACAAAAGACCATATCACTAAGGAAAAGACCCACACCTTTGAACACACAGGGAAATCCACATTAAAAATTACTTGGGACACCATGAAATTCATCTACAGTACCATAAAATTCATCACATCTTCTCATGTTATTACCTTTAATTGGACACCACACATTGCACTAATTATAGTATGTGCCACCAAGTTGACAATCTTGATTTGGATGTCCTCACATGACAATGGCATACCCAATTGACACATCTCACTTGTATAAAGAAAGTTGTGAATTGCTCCATTGTTGACCAGCACAAACATAAGTTAGTTGATGTTGACTTCAGTCTGAACTAACTTGAGCTCACTAATCCCATTGGTCTCCACAATACTATAACACACCTACCAATTATAAACTGTAGAATGTGAGTATCCTATCCCCCATTGATACTTCATATGCCATCATGACATCATTTATGCTCAATGCCCTCCGCATGTGAAACATCCACTCTTCGGTTATTGATTCCACTGCACCATTGTAATAGTGTTGAATCCTCCTTGTCTTGAGTCCTTCCCTACCCTTATCAAAGCCTTGTCCTTAGGTACTCCCTAACACATGCAACATACACGCAATCCACACCAGAAACAATGACACTATGGGAGATGTTAGACTTTGCAGCAGCTATGAGAAGCTTTTTATCCAACAAGGACATCAACTTTGTGACACGGGGGAAAATTTCGCACCCTCAAGGAAAGTGGTGACAAAAATCAACACAGGGATGTGCACTGTTAAACCAATCTCTTCAAGATAAAGATTTAAGCACCAATTATTGACAAAGATGTACTATGCCATGAAAATGCCATATCATGGGTGAAGAGCAGGGCACTTATGAGAGCTAAATCGAGAAAAAGCCATGACTCTTCCCAAAAAGAAAAAAGGGGTATTAGAACCATTGAAGAGAGGGAAGAAAGTTGGTTGGTCGTTGAGCAGACAACCAAGGCCGCACACAATCGAACATTGAAGAGCTACGCCTCCGCTAATCATGTGACAACAAGCCTAATGTTAGAAAACCTCACTTGGCCTCTGAGCGCATGTCGGTACATGTCAGAAACCTCTTGATGCCACATAGGTTGGCCTGTGTGACCCTACGCACTGGGCTTGGGCCCAGTCCACTAGGGAACCCCATTACCAGTCGTAATCACAAACAACACTGTCATCTGCTCCATTTTAGCCATGATTAAAGCAGGAACACTCTCCTACGTTTCATAATCCGGAAGAACAAGTCAAACTCGTGATCCTCCCTCCCACGGGGGGGCCCAGCCCAAAAGTGAGGGAAGAATGAAGAGGGCTCATGTGCATGCAGTCAAAAGGAGAGGAGGAGAGAAAACTATGGCATCAGTGAGTTTTCATTCAATATACACATGCTGGGAGGGGAGGAGGGGAGGAGGGGAGTGGGGATACTGACCAATTTACGAGTTGGACCAATCGCATGGGAGCACAAAATAAAATATACCACCCATGGAAGTCCCAAGGAAGCTACCTGCGTGCTCCCATGTCCTGATCCAAGAGGAAACTACATCTTCAATCTTGCTACGATCGAGCAAAAATAACTCTCGATTAATCTGTGTAAAAACCCGTGTCTGTGCATGTCCATATATGGATAGAATATGGTCAACACAATGGCGCCCAATAAAAATGGAAGCTCTGAAAGATTATGTACGAATGAATAAGCAACAGCATCAATCTAGAAAGTTGTTTATAATCGATCTCGATCATTTCACTGAACGGAGGAAGGAACACAAGAAGCCGGATCTTCAACCAACGTTTCCACGAGATGCAAACTGGTGTGAAAGGAATTGTTAAAGAGAAGTCGCACAAACCTCATCTGATGGCCCCGCAGATCTTGAAGAATCCCTTTTCAGCATGTCTTTCGGTTGCTTCAACAACGGTTGGCCATTGGACGACGGGTCGTCACCATTGTGTACTCCACTTTCAACATTATCAGCCATCAAAGCCTCTTCACCTTTTGGGCAACAGCCAGAGGACTCAATTTCTTCGGCATGCCTCAAGTAGGCGGGCACCTCCTCAAAGCACGGCTCACACATTTCGCTACCTTCTGAGGTTCGGTCGAAAGCAACTGAACCACTGTTGTCCACAACAGCAACGACAGAAATACAACCTTTGAGAAACAAATAGTTAATTTGTCGGTCAAATAAGATTTAAAAAAAGGTATATACCTTTTGGAAGTGACCTCTGCCACAGGAAACTCGTTGACAAAGTTGAGCTCATTACTTTCTTTCTGGCGTTTCAGGAATGGCTCTAGATGCACATCTCCATCAACACTAAGCGGCGAGCTGTTTAGTCTTTTCTTTCCCATCGTCGAAGAATGTAGACCATCTGTGGGATATTGAATAATCTCCTCAACGTCTGCATCAATCAGTGGACGTGACTTATCTGCATCCTGAAACCTCCCACTACTTTCAGAGTCCTCAGCCTCCCTTAAATTTGATTTTTTTTCTCCATGCTGAATTGAGCCGCCAGTCCCTACATCCTTCCCAGAGCTTGCATCAATAACCTTTTCAGGGGATCGCCCAAGTATAATTCGAGCGCATCTTCTCACCCACGAGAAAGTCATTGACATAGGAGGCGATATACTGCCCACTGCTTTATGGGGAACATTTCCTGGTGAAAGTTTCTGACTGGCCCAACTTTTTTTTTCTCTGTTACCTGCATTCTTTTTCTCTGCACTCTGCAGATTTGCATAGTTAACAAGAGCGTCATTTTTTGCACTATCACTGAGAGATTTATGCTCTGAAGTAATGCATTGATCCTCCAATTTCCTTAGATGCTGAATCTGGGAGAAAATCTCCTGTCTATCGGTCTGCAGTAGTTCTCGTTGTCTCTGCAGCTTCTCCCGCTGCAAGTTCAGTACATCAATGGAACATTTTATCTCAGACCATTCTTTCTCCCTGTGCTCACGATCCAATGCAATTGCCGTCTTTTCATCCTCAAATTTTTTAACTTCAGTTGCAAGATGTTCCAATTCCTTTGCGATCCTTTCCTTTTGAAAGTATATTTGCTGTAGTTCATTGGTCTTCTCTCGTTCAAATCCCTCTTCTTTCTCTCTTAAATAACCATCAACTTCATCACGCCTCTTCCTTATAGAATTTTCCAGCTCTTGCTTTTGTAACTTCATGTCTTCCATCAAATCTTCTCTCTCTTTTTGAATCTTGCTAAACCATTCGGAATGTTCACGCTCCATGTTGCTGATGAATTGTTCCCGTTCATGGGACAGGGAATCATAGTAACCTTTGAACTGATTGCGCAAATCTTCCTTTTCTGCCTTTAAACTCTCCTGTTCATTTTTCAGGTACTGGCAAACGGATTTTCTGTCTTCGGCGATTCTATCAGCTTCCCTCTGTAGTTCTACTCTTTTTTCATCAATCAGATCCCACTCACGCTCAAACTTTTCCTTTTCTTCTTTCAACTTATCTGCTTCCACCATAAGTTCTGCCTGTTGGGCTCTAAAACTATCGATTTCTTCCTTGAGCCTTTTTTCCATAAGAAACAGGTCATTTCTTTCAACGGCAGATAGATCAAGTTTCTCTTTCTCCCGAAGAACTTCATTCTTTTCAGCTTCCAATAATTCTTTCACTTTCTCAAGCTCCAACGTCAAACTCTTAATCTCCACTTTTTCTTTTTCCATGTCTAACATCTTTTTCTCAGCTGTTTTTTCAGTGGCAGCTAAACTTAGCTCCTTCTCCTCCAGAAGTTTCAGTTTTTCTTCAAAAATTTTATACTTTTCAGTCAGTTCTGCCGACTGGAGTTCTAGAGCATTCTCTCTTTCCTGAATAAGCTCTGTCCTCTGACTTAAATCAGTCTCCCTCTGTTTACAAGCCAGTCTCTTGTTCTCTATCTCCTCATCAACTTCCTTGCGCCGCTGTTCCAGTTTGGCTTCAAACTCAGACATTCTTAGCTCCAGTAGACGTTCATTGTCCGTTTTGAGCCTTTGAATTTCATCCTGGAATTGATTTTCTCAACATAGTTTTATCATAAGAATTAAGAGAGAGAAGAATATATCAAAAACTGAAACAAGCCAATGTTTTCAAAGAGCATGCAATGGCTCATGAACTCACCTGTTCTCTGATAGTATGCTTTTCCTGCAAAATAAGCAACTCCTTCTGCTTCTTGTCGAGCAGGCTCTCTCTCTCAATGACAGACTGCACGTGTTCAATAGTACAGCATGCAAGTTAGTGATCAGTAAAATAGCCCCATATGTCAATGAAGAAACATACTTCAGATGTTACCACACCTCTTCTCTTGTTGCAAGAGCTCGAACATCAAGAGCAAAATTTGATTTTTCTTCTTTCAAAAGTGTCTGTTCTACTTCAAGATTTCGTTTCGCTATCTCCAATTGTTTCTCAAACTGAGCAAGTTCCTCTAACCTTCCAAATACGTGTTCCTCCCTCTGATTTAGACATGCTTGTCTCTCCAATAGTTTTTCCTGTTCTTCCTGCATGATCTTCTGGGAGTCATATAAAGATTGTCTCTCGAGACTAATGTCTTTTTCCCTTGAGTCGCATCTGAAAAAAAGATAATCAGGATCAGATAACCGAAGTGTGCAAGCAATAACATAACTACAAAAGGATTACGCTTGGACTACAAAGTTAATTGTAGGCTAGTACACATACAAGCTACAAAAGATGAATGACAATCCAAAAAAATTTAACAATAAAAAAGAACACCATCGCATATGTCAGAGAAACACCTCATCTCAAAGGATACCCATTGTAATCTAAGTCATACAATTACTTTTCTTCTGCAAAATACAACAATCCCACTAAATGAAGTCAGTATGTTTTATTTTAAATTTCTTGGGGGATACGAAACTGTATGTACCCGAGTTCCGACAACTATTGAAATTCAAATGCACAAACATCTCACTAAAATGGACAAAATAAAATGGTATAAAAAAGTGTCATAAGTCATCGACTGCAGAAAGAGTTCACGTCATAGATGAAAACAGATACAAAGAGAGATAACATGCAAAAAGGAAAATCTGAACAGAATGGAGAATTACGTACTGAGAATTAAAAAGAACAAGACGCCTTCTAAGTTCATCTTCTCGTGCTTCAACTTCGTGTAACTTTATTGCAGCCATTCTCTCATACCGTCTAGCTTCTGAACATGAAGATTCTGCATCTCTCAATTTCTTCTGAGCCTCATCAAACTTTTTCTGAGCATTTTCCATGATTGTATGAGCCTCTGAGAGCTTACTCTCAGCAGCAACCTTTGCCTCGGCAGACTGTGCGCGAATCTCATGAATTGTTTTCTCGAGCTACAGAAGACAAAATAAAACATACAACTGAATAGTTATTGATGCATAATGACACCTATCTGAACTTTTAATTCTGGCAGTGATATTAACACACTCGTGGGACAAGAAGTTAAGCCTCAGCATGCCATATGGAAAGAAAATTTCAAATGGCATAATTTTTGAAAGATATAAAAAAAGCGGACGATAATACATGCAGAAGTGGTGAAATTTATGAACATGATGGATGTCATAGCGTCGTGTAGGACAAAATCAGGGATATACATCATCACTGATAATCTCCCGACTTCAGTGATTATCACTTTCTATGACCGGCTTTCATATTGGCTTTCTCAACTGATATTCTCCAGAAAACAGATTATTCTGAACCAATCTATGGTTATAAGAAAATTTAGACAAACCCACATTTTAAACATAAACAGCATAGGGTATCTCTATGCATATAAAAAATGATTTTTTATGTATTTACTGAAGATGAAAGAATATAATCAAGTGAACTTAAAGATAACAAGCAAGGAACTACGATAATTTGAGAAAAATTCTATATACTCACATAGAAACGACAAACACAAACGACGGAAAAAAACTATACCCACATCCTAAGTGATAATTTCCTTCATTTTTTAGGAGGTCAAAAAAGAGAACGGATGCGAACAAGTCTACTATATCAGTGCAAAAACAACATTTAATTTTCAATTGGGGTACTTACACTTGCAATACTCTCCTTCTCAATGCCTATAGCCTTTTTAAGGTTCTCCTCCTGCTTTTTGGATTCAGACAAAGCAGATAAATGTGCAGCAAGTTCTCGTTTATTGACCATTTCAGCTGAATCAGCGGAGGCTTTAACTTGCTCATATTTGGATATCCACTGCTTTTTCTCCAGTATAAGAAGACCCATGTGATGTTGATAGTCGTAAATCTGCATTAAACGACAAACACAGATGAAATCTCTATGATTCTCAAGCATAAAACGCTGCATTATACTTCTGGATGATATTGCCGAAGAAAAATGTTGAACAAGATCCTTGAAGAAGCTAAAGACATAATGAAAATGCCAAAGACGTGATCTACGGACACCTTTGCAACAGTCGTATCCAAACAATCGTCAAGACAAACAACCAATTCGAAATCATCACAGAAAAATCCATGAATTACGTCGCCTGCAAGATACACTACACGGCGTGCATGAGTTTAGGGTAATAGAAGGTAGGGACGAAGATTTAAAAAATGGAAAAAGACGAAAGATAGGGGAAGTTGTACGCCAGAATTCGGCGCAGAATATCTGGAACAGCTGCTGACGAATACAAGATGCAAGTTCACACCGAAAAACCGAATATCGAGACGTGCAGAAAACGTCATTCTCACAGTGCCTGATCTCCATGAAAACTCAAAAACAAAACGATGTCATACCTTGCTTTGCAATAGACTTAAAATTTTCCCCCACATAATCATTACAAGAAGCAGGCGCAAGAAACCTAAAATGAGATATTTCCTTGCAGGACACGAATAGAAAAATAGATATAAATCCATAGAGAGATAGAGATAGAGAGAGAGAGACTAAAGTAAACACCTCAGACTCCAGTTTCCCTATGTAGGCGATGAGGGCCGCCTTGTCCCTCTTCTGGATCACCCTCTCGTCGAAGCCAGCGTCCCGGAGCCGCTTCCAGATGGCCTCGTCCTTGAGTGCGCTCCCCACCCTAGGTTCCATAACCACGGGCGTCCGATACCCTACGCCCGGCGACGCCGCCTTGTCTCCCTTCTCCCGCTGCAGAGGCGTGGTCGCCATCCTCCACAGGGATCCCCCTGAGCCTCCCGGTTCCCCGTCCCCTCCCCCACACAAGTACCAGTCTTTAGCAGCACTTCGCCGCTGCCGTGGACGTGGGGAGAGTTACCCTTCGCCCTGCCGTGGACGTGGGGAGAGATACCCTTCGCCGCCTTGCCTCCCTTCTCCGGCGAACCTCCTTTTCGCTGTCCCCACTGACTTACAGTCGGGTCAAAATTCTAGAATCGGTGAACCTCGCCGTGGGGTAACTCGACGTGATCTTACCGCTGTCGTTTCGGCGAGCCTGTAAAATCACAAGGAGAAGGTTAGCTTCCCAGCGAACCCTTCGAGGACGGTGACAGAGGCTGGGGACGGGCCTTCTGATGACCCCTCGGTCACTGGATTCTAAAGGTTAAAAAGCACTTTGCCGCCACGTCCGCTCCGAAACGTTATAAAAGCGAGGGCCTTAAAGAAGCGTAACATTTCACTTTTGCACCCTTCATTATTTATGTAACACAAAAAAGCACATAATAAATAATATATCTTCACTGGTGAAGCGTGCTGGCATTTATTTTTTTAATAAATATATTTTTCATATAATATGGTTAGGTACCACTGCACTTCGTGGGTGGGCTACGATAGATGGCCGTATAAGATAATTTAATTAAATAATTATTTTATAATATACAGGTATATCCAAAACTAAAGAGGTTATGTACACAATATTTAAAATCAACGGGTTATATTACTCGCCATCACCGGATACTTTCCTCCTCGAGTGGGGGCGAGGATACTCATCGCTCCCTCGTCCAGGGTGTTGGTGGGGGCCCGTCACCGAGGAGGAGAATATAAAACTAGTCACCCCATGATGAACCACCGGGCTGGCGTAACCCTTGTGCGGCGATTCCGACTGGGAAAAAGCGTTGACAATAACAGATTGCCGGCGGGATTCTCGAGCTTTCGATTAATGACGAACGATGGTCCTATTAACTTGTAATAAAATTAGTTATATTCACATCTTCATTTTCGTCATTATTTTGCTCATTTTACTGAGGAAGGCTTGCTGGGCTTGAACTTCCTACCCGAGGCCCATTAATGCAACAGCCTATCGGCCCATAATCAAGGTCAGCTGCCCATGGTCAACCCCTAGTCAAAGTCAAGCTTAAACCTAGATATGGCTGGACTTGAAAATTCGTAGTTAATTTGACATACCACGTAGATGTTCATTGCATTGAAGTTTAAGTCATGATGTCAGGCTTGGGACCTCTAAGTCTTCTAAATTCATATGTAAAAATATTAATCTATGAGTTATTTGCTCAAAATTTCAAAGAAAGTTTATGTTTTTTCTAACTTGAATGACATAATTAATCCCCACTTAGATTAATTAAAAAAACCCATGATAGATAATGACATGATCATCATGGGCGCAGCAGCATATGGGTTTGCTGCGCCTCTCCTACCTACTCCACGTCTAGAGTGCAGTCTCCAACATCTTATGAAAAGTCTTGAACCGAATCCTATGAAGAGCCCTCAAAGGGGAAAGTAGTGAATTCCTCTTGGAAGTCTTGCGATTTATCTTGGATAAGTTGCATCATCGATTAATATTGGTTGCTAGTACCATAAATACAAGTAGTTGGTCTCATAGAGCTACTATATGAAATAACAAAATCTATATAATAACACTAGTAAGATATTTAACAAGTTGGAAAATTGGTGACGTGATCTTTTCTTGAGAAGATTAGTGAAACTCAGAAAGCAAAGTGTTCTTGGGATTGAACAGAGTCATACCCGAACGAACCCCTTTAAAAAAATAGCGTTTAATGGGCACTATGTGACAACGGTGTAACCCACGGAATGTGTGGACTATTATAAACTTATTGTATCTCCCCCACAGGTCATCACGGGAGGAGGGGTGAGAGAGAGAGAGAGAGAGAGAGGAGCTCTGAGGTGATGGGTGGTGGTACATTTGCCGTAGCTCTACCTAATAGCGTGGTCGATGTCTTGGGGGGATGGGTGACATCGCCGACGACGAGATCTGCCGTCCGCTACTCGCCACGCCATGGTAGGCGTCTTCCCACTGAGGTGGCGCCGCCCTCAGTGGGCTCATATAGAAGAGGAGGGAGATGGGCTCCCCCCTGGGACACCAAGGATGAGGTTAGCAAGAATAATTAAACCCTTTTCCTCGTCGAGGCCAAGTAAACCACGTTTCCGTGGCTATCAATACCCAGCCAATGAGCACACGCCTTCTCTCTCTCTCTCTCTCTCTCTCTCTCTCTCTCTCTCTCTCTCACGGCAGCGGGGCGGAGATCATCCATTGGGGTGCTGCATACATTGCATCGGTGCTTCAAGTCCATCACGGAAGGGTCTCGGAAGATTGCATGGAAATCTCTCTCTCTCTCTCTCCCTCATGTCGAGGTTGACGTGGAATAGTCAAGGGGTCGTGTGGTTGTGAACCTTCCGAAGCCCTGGAAGATATCCGAAGAAGACTGCTGCCTTCCTTTCCACCTTCAAGTTGGAAGGATAAAGACAGACGTGGAGAAGAAAGACGACCCCTTCTCCACTCATACAGGAAGAACTGCTGGTCTTCGGCTGACCGGAGAATTCCTCCGTGTTCCGAATGAGACTGGTTCGAAGAACGTGGCTGTTAGTCAAAACTACGGGAAAATGAGTAAGATAGGGAGATCAATCGTCAAAGTGCAGATTCTTTTTCGGCTGCCTCCGTCCTCTCCGATCCCGTGCGAAGAAAAGCTAACCCGAAAAGAAAGTTAGGCCCAGACTGGAACTTGTCCCTTAATGACTCTCTCTCTCTCTCTCCCTCTCTCGTCCGATCAAGAGCCCGTTTTTCTAAGGGTGGACGACTTCTAGGGTTCAAGACGTTTCAGTTCAAAAAGCCAAAATTATTTCCATATCGATGACTCGGGGACGTTTCTACGTGATGTCCATGTCGCATTTCATACAAGTCCGTTAAGCCTTCGCTTCGAAGTATCTACGTGGAAATAAGATAGATAGAAAGGCAGGGATGGAAAGAGAGATTAATAAATAAATAAATAGATAGATAGGGAGAGCGAGAGAAAAAGAGAGATGCAACTTTCTTCCTCCATCCACTCCGAAGCTTCCCATCGCTGCCCTTCCTCTACGACACGGCGGCGAGGGGCCCGGCCGTCGCCATCCGAGGGTACACGGCGACTTAGTGGAGGAGACGACATCCCCGCCACGGCCGCCGTCCGATGAGGATCTCGCGGGCGGCGTTGGAGGTAGTCGTCTTCTGCTGGGTTCTTATTGGGCCCATTTGGATGTCATACCTCTTTACCAAAGCAGAAATCCGGGATTTGTCTGATTTTATCCCCCCAAGTGGGGCCCCTTCTCCCTTCGGCTGACGTCAATAGACCCACCCAATCCCAGACCAGATTGCCATCCGGCGGCGGTCAAGGAGTCCATGAAGATGGGCCTACGTCGGAGATCGTCCGGACCCAATCATATCCCCTCTTGTCCTGTCCGATAATGGATCGATGGCATCATGTGGGTCCCGGGGGGGGGGCAAATAAAAAGCCCTGTTTCCCTGCTCTCTCCTCCGGAAGGGGACAGCGCGTTGACATCATCATTGCAGTTGACTAATTCAAGGAACACATAACGGACGGCGCACGAACCGTGGACCCGCCACACAATTAGAAGCGATTTCCTGATGCCGGTGGCCATGGGAATTCGGTTGTCAGGTCGAGCCAAATGAATGTGGAGTTCATGATTTCATATAACGACGATGGAAGACCCTCATAACGTTTTGTGGACAGAAATGATGCATGGGAGACCCCCAAGATCTGACTCCACCATCACTCTCTCTCTCTCTCTCTCTCTCTCTAAGTAATGTATTTGGAGTCGACCGTTTAAATCACCCAGTCTCATCATAGACTAATCCACGGAGGTGGTTACTCCTAATCACGTCAGATGGTTATCTTTGCACCCAAAGTCAACGCGTTTCTTGGTGAACCCGTCCTCTTCGGCATATCGCTGGAGCGATTTGGTCGCAACGAGGACTTTGGAGGCAATCGCGCCGTCCATCGTCTGGCTATCCCCATCACGAGGAGAACGTCGCAATAATGGCCGCTTGATGCCCTGTATAATACGAAAATAGTTGGAAGTCAAACTTCAACGAGATAATTTCATGCAGCGGCGGTCAAATCCCGATAAGAACAAACGAGGCTTTTCCGAGTAAGATGGATCGCCTCGTCATGAGCTCAGTCTCGCGATCAAACTCCCAATTCCGTTCACACTCGCATTATTTTATATACACCACGGCGAACCTCATTCACCTGTTGAATCCGACCCAATAGTGGAACGATCCGATCTCACGTCATGCACCTCATACCCTCTACGTGGGTTTTTTCTTTAGTTATACTGATGTATGTACATATAACATATATGTATATATATATATATGTACCCGTGTGTTCTGTCTCAAGGGCCATTATAGACCCCGTCTTGTTCCTTTCTTCGCTTCAGCTGTAGCCAGAAGGAGTAGCGGTGTGATCAGAGCCATGGGAGAGGAGAACCCCTGCGACGCCGGTCTCGACCTCGGGCTGGGTCTCCACGGATGGACACCGACGCCGTCCGCCGCCCGGTGGCGGAGAAAGGACCTGTCCCGATGCACCGAAGCGGAACCGCCGGCGACCTATGCGACATCGGCGGCGGCGGAGCCGTCGCTCACGTTGACGCTGTCGGAGGATGCTTGCCGCCAGTCAACCGCTGGCGGGGAGGAGAAGGAGGCGCTCCGGCAGTCTTCGCCCACCTCCTGGAGCAGCAAGAGGGAGAAGGAGGGGGGGAGCGAGGAGGAAGAGGAGGGGAACGGCAAGAAGAAGCTGAGACTCAACAAGGAACAATCGGCCCTCTTAGAGGCGATGTTCAAGGAGCATAACACCCTCAACCCGGTAGGAAGTCCCCTCCTTTTGGAATCGAAGATTCTCTTTGATGGGAAAAAAGTTCTCAAACCTTAGATTTTTTGTCTCCATTTTCGTTCTCCAGACCCAGAAGCAGACGCTGGCGAGCAAACTGAATCTGCGGCCGAGGCAGGTCGAAGTATGGTTTCAGAACAGGAGAGCGAGGTCTGGTCTTTGTCTTGACCACTGATTTCTTAACGAAGGCTCCGAAATCGGGAACTAAATCGATTTGTGACGTTGATCTGCGTCCTGATCAAGTTTGCTCATCTCTGCAGGACCAAGCTGAAGCAGACGGAGGTGGACTGCGAACACCTGAGGAAGTACTGCGAGAGGCTGGCCGACGAAAACAGGAGACTGCAGAAGGAGCTGCATCAGCTCAGGGCGCTCAAGAGCTACGTGAAGCTACCGGCGGCGACCACCCTCACAATGTGTCCGTCGTGCGAAAGGAAGGGCAGCGGCGAGATGGCGAAGGGAGGCGGCGGCGCCGCCTTCGTGGTGCGGCCGAAGCCCCACTTCTGCAGTCCCTTCGCCACCGCCCATCCCCCATCTGCAGCGTGCTGATGAGAGAAAAAGAGGGTGAAGCCGTGTGAGGACCACCTGACAATCCCTCTCCACCCCAACCTCCTTACCATGGGATTCCCTCTGACCGATGCCACACCGCCTGTATAATCCACACCACATAATGAAGAAGAAAGGAACTGGAAGACCCACAAGCCCCACCGATGATCACATAGAAAAATCCTGTCAATGAGCCCTTTCAACCCTTAGTCTATTGTGTGTATTTCTTCCGTAGACTTGAATTCCCTCATTCTCGGTGCGGGATTCATGTGCATGACCGTGGTCTTCCATCTTCTGTTGATCATTAGACCCATCTTAAAGTGAATCTCTCTCTCTCTCTCTCTCTCTTCCCTCTAACGGGGGGGGGGGATCTCTCAGAAGAGCACTACGGCGTTATTGCTCTGATAATTCTAGATTCACGGGCAAGACATGGGAAGGGTTCAGGGGGACGGACGAGGAAGATCGCGGTATTGATTATTTCATGTTATTTGGTCTACCGGGCGGAGGTCACGTGAAGAGCGGCGGCGTCTCCCTGCGGGGTAGCGATGGAGGGTGAGGACGGAGAGGTCTCAGCAGCGGAGAAAGCGAAAACCGCGTGGGGGAGGCCGAGGAAGGAATGACCTTCTCCTCCCCCATTAAAATATATGCATCACCTCTACTGGTGCAGATTCCGGTCTTTTCACTCCGAAAGTTTATATTATTATTATTATTTTTTTTAGTCTCCCTCTCTCTCTCTCTCTCTCTCTCTCTCTCTCTCTCTAGCTAGGATGGATACAAGGTGGACCAGAGCTTCACGAGGGTTCAAACCCAGAGCCCTCCTATAGCGCTTCCCCTCACCCTTTTTCATGCCTGAATCTCCCTCTGTGTGATCTACGGTAGGCGATCGATCGAGGCCAACAAGCCAAATGCCAAGTCCAGCTTACACGAAGACGCTCCACTCCCAGTTTAGTAGATATCATTGCAACCCAGGTGTCTATAAATAGTTATGGCCCAACTTATTTAAATATTTTGGCAATAAAAAAGCACGTCCATTGATTTATCCGCAATTAGGCGACCTTATTTTACTCCTAATCCGTTATTTTTAATTAAATGACCTCGTAATTTAACACCGGTGATGACTTCCGCCATGTTTCTCGACGGGGCACATTCCAGGAATTATGTAGCTCGAGAAGTCAATCCGACCTCGCTGGCTCCCACTAAATCCAGCGTTGACTTGAATGATTACCTCCGTGAACATCTTCATATCGGTTTAAGATCATAAGATTGCCATAAAAAAGTCGTGATAAAAAAGTCCGACGATTCGACTCTAATGAATTCATTGAAAATAGAGGAGATAAAGAGTACGGTTTCTCTTGGCTTACCCTTTGGCGAGGGATCCTCGACTGTCCTACTGGAGGAAGCAGGCGACGACGGCGACGGCGACGGCGACGGCGACCCCTACCTCGCCGGAAATGGGGGAGTAGGACGAACGGCGGTTCACCAACCCAGCCCATCCGAGCCTCTCGACTCGTCCGAGTCCAGCCAGTGGAATCCATCTTCTTCGCTGACCGTAACTCTTGAGAACATCCCCTCGTCTCCTCTCTCTTGATTGGTGATAAGTACATGAAAAGTCACACGTGTCAGGCGAGATGGGATCGATATTAATTATACGAAACATCACCGTGTTTATCTCCTTAGAAGTGTTGTCAATCTCTGTCGACGTGTCAGGTACACGCGGCACGCAAGATATGTTTCTTTCCATGAAATTTACAGGACATCCTGACCCGGCAGTGCGCGTGCAATTTCAGTGTCAAGAAGGTGCGATTGTAAATGGCGTATTTGAAAAGAGTCTTTATACAAATTGTTGACATTTGGCTGCGTGTGGCCGAAAACGTTAATCGAGCCCCGTGACTCTTCGGGTCAGCCCTTGTTTGGAATTATTACCTGGCTCATTGCCACATGGACATCTGTATAGCGTCCACGTCTCAAGAGAGTCAACACTTGACCTCTTTGAATTATGGGCCAGGCCAAAATACGGAACGAGTGGACTGGACTGGGCCGATCTTAATAACGACCCCTTGGACTATTGGAAAGATTTGACCCACTAAAAAAATTCAGCTTCTCGGGACTCGGGCAAGTCAAAATAAAACACGTAGCATCTGGAGAATGTTGGGCCCACCTAAAACTCATCCGGGTCCATTTTGGGCCCGACCAGAAGAGGCCCAAAGTCAAAGCATTTGGGGCCCACGAAAAAGGCGACTAGATTCTCCTCCAAGTAAACGTGGGGATCAAGCAATTACCGTATTGCCCCCAACTACTAGTCTAAGGCTTCGGGATGCAATTGACCCAGCAGCTGCTCGCCACTAGATTTTCTCACTCCTGACGATAGACAGGGGATCTGGGAAGTTTGCCACAGGATGGTAGCCTTTGAGACGTTAAAGCATGAGCGAGAGTGAATGTCAAAGAGATTTTGAGTAGCCGTAATGCTTTCTCTCACAATGAATATTGCATTAAGAAAGTCGCGATTAATCCCGCGGGATGAAGTTTCATCTAGCCATTGAAACGACGACAAAAACTCCTGAAGAAAATCGGTCAAGGTCAACCTTTTTAACAACTAACACGATGGACCTTTTTTCAAAGGTAAACATCAAAAAAAAAAGAGCAATTTTGACGATCTAATGTTTGTTGGGCAGTTCAAAATTTCCACAAATTGTGAAAGAAATTGGATATAAGTCCAGGCCATAAGATACTCTGCTTAGGTCAATGAGCTAGGAACTCGTTTATTCCATAAAGTCAACCTTATACTAATCATACGCATTTGAGGAACACGTAAATACGGTATATGTGGACCGCTCCCCACCGGACCTTGGGTTATCAGATGCCAATATGAATAATTGGACAGACTTGGAGCTCCCCCAAAGGGCCCGACAAAGGTTAGAGCTAGAGAGCTGTCGGCATTCCACGATTTCTGATACCCATCGCCATCGGAAAGATTATGATATCTATCAAAACTGTTGTGAGAGGAATAAATATGATTTTATTAATTACCTAGGAAGGACATTGTCTCTGACCATCCATTATTCTCCCACATCATCCCCTCATGCCCCTACCTCTCTCTCTCTCGCACACACAAGGTAGTGTTCATGACAGAAAGCAACGGGGAGGAAGAAGGGAACGACGAAGAGAACCTAACCAAAGACAAGGGTTCACCTGTTTCTCCACTCTCTCTCACTCTCTCTCTGTGTCTGTATCTCTCTCTGCCTGTTTCGGGCCATAGGTCTTGGGTCTACTCTGGGTCTTCCCCCATCCATGATCCTTGCCTTACCTCCTCTTGTCTGTACTTTCTCCCTCTCGAATTCCACTCTCCCCCTCCCCCTGGCGCATGCCTCAGGAATTTCTCTCCCGTGTTCAATGGAAGTAGACTTGTACCATGTGGTCACCGGCAATTCTGGCACCCCCCCAGGTGGCGATCTCCTTTCTGCATCGTCTTCCTCGTCGCCGGCAGCTGCTAACCCCCCCGCTGCAGGGGGAACTCCCTCATGGGAGAGAACCTACGAAACGAAATCTGCAGCCGCCGCCGCCGCCACCAACAGTGCCTATGAGAGAGAAATCTACGAGAACCCCCTTCTGCCATATTCCAGGTTAGAAGGTGGATCATCCTACGGTACGTTTGGGGAAACAGGAGGAAGGGAGGGAAGCCCTTCTCCCTCTGATTTGGAACATATGAAGGCCAAGATCACCGCCCATCCCCGGTACTCAACCCTTGTCGAGGCGTATATAGAGTGCCAGAAGGTAAGTAACCTCATTAAGTTTCACTTAATTGATAGTCTCATCAATTATACTTGTTTCTCACGATAGTTTACTCAATGCCCAGGTCGGAGCGACGCCACGGGTGGCGGCGCGGCTGGCGGCGGTTGCCGGTGAGTTGGGTACCCAACAGCGGGCGGCCAGATGCTTCCATGACGCGCCTTCCGTTGATCCTGAGCTTAGCCAATTCATGGTGACGATCACCAGCGAAGCCCTCATTTAGTTGATTCCACTCACGAAACTTTTGATCATTATATGCTGCAATAAAGGAGGCATACTGTAACGTACTGGTGATGTACCGGGAGGAGCTGAAGAGGCCCCTGCAGGAGGCCATGGATTTCCTTCGGAGGGCGGAAGCGCAGCTCAATGAACTCTCCGCCGGTTCTCCATGGCTCTTCTCTGGTAATCATCTCCGCCATACTTATCTGCGTAGAGTACACATGGGTACCAAAATATGCGTGAAAACCTAGTAAATATTATAAAATGATGAATAAAGTCATGACATTACCTGTATGAGCTACATCTAGTATTTGCTGATTGACCTAGAATTAAATGATCGAATCTTCTATTTTCTGTTACTTTCAAGGGACGGGGGAAGAAGCCACCTTGGTGTTTGGGCTTAGGGTTGGAACGGCCACTCTTAATCTTTGAGATGCTTGACAGCAGAGCCTCACAAATCGCTGGGCAGCAGAGCCTGACAGTATTATCCATATGAGATGCTTAAACCTCTCTATCTACATATCCACGTGGCGTGCAGTGTTGTCAAACAATGAAAGTTATTTACTCCTACCATACCTCATATCACTACTGTGTGTGTGTGTGTCCGGCCCAGTTCTTCCCAGTTTTATTCTCCTCTCTCCATATGTAAGCACCCTCCCAAAGCAGTGAGACAAGACGTTCATTCATTCATTATTCCTTATAGACGATAGGGAGAGCAGACGTCCCTCTGGCAAACAGATGAGCTTGTGGAGCCTAAGGAGAAGGAAACCCCCCCCCCCCCTCCCCCCCTCCGGCGCACTCACCCACTCCTTTAGGGTTCTAGGGGGAGATGATGGCACCACGGGAAAAGCCAGTGAATAATCAATAATTGTTCCCAACCCTTCCATAGTTGACATGATATGGAAGTCCTGGCCACCTGATTCTTCTCCAGTCAACCCCACCTGGGTACCTCATATGGCTAGCACTGTTTCGTCCATGGCTAGGGGAAAGGGTGTGGTGCAACTCCTCACTGTTACAACCACTGATGAAAGCACAGGCTAGGGTCCGATCTCTTTCTCTATCTTTCTAGCCATTCCGTTTACGTGAAAGAATAATCTACGTGGTGTCGTGCCGTTCCTCTCAGTCTTCACCAAAGGAAAGTTCTTGAGGGAGGGAGGGAGAGAGAGAGAGAGAGAGAGAGTAACTTTATATGGGTGGTCATCCATCTCCGGTTCGAATTTGAGAAGGGTTTTATGCACGTGAACATCGGCCTTTAGATCGACGGAATCAATTTTCTGGCTCCCAGGAGCTAAAAAATTATGGCCATAGAGATATCAGGAAAATGGGTTCTATTATCTGATTTTTGGAACACTAGCTAGAGAGAGACGGAGAGAGAGAGAGAGAGAGCATGAAGTGATGAACGTCTGTTGCACCCCCGCAGAGGAAAACTTCGAAGACAGCTGGTCGTCTGAAGAGGACGGGGATGCCTGTGGGAGAGGAAGAGAGCTCGCCGAGGACCGTCAACAGGCCATGGGCAGAGATCTCAAGAACAACCTCCTGAAGAGGTACGGCGAGCACCTCTGCAGCCTCAAGCAGGAGCTCTCGAAGAAGAAGAACAAGAAAGGCAAGCTGCCCAAGGAAGCCAGACAGAAGCTGCTCATCTGGTGGGAGCTGCACTACAGCTGGCCATATCCGTCGGTATATATCCTTATTTTTAATTTCACAATTAATTACTATACTTTCTCCTCATTTCTGTTATGTTAGAATAATCCCTCATTTATTTCTTACACATGGGCGACTCCTTTCATAAATCGCTAGTTCTGCGTAAGATGATCTGATACGATAACGATTGAAATTCTTAGCATAACAATGATCGATCTTACAGGAATCAGTAGACCTCTCGCCTTCGCTCTTGCATTCTTACCAACACCTACTAATTTTAGGTTTCCGTCCATCTTGTGAGAGTAGGAATCGGAGAAGGCGGCCTTAGAGGAGTCGACAGGCCTCACCCAGAATCAGATCAGCAACTGGTTCATCAACCAGAGGAAGCGCCACTGGAAGCCATCGGAGGATGCCCGGCCAGGAGTGGGAGAGGGGCGGGCGGCAGCTGTGTACATGGCCGGGCAGTCCTTCCCCGGCGACGGGCGATACCGGGCTGGGCCCTGATCTTCCATCTATTGCCCAATACGTGAATAAAGTTCCCACTCCTTCCCATCAGAAGGATTGCTAAATTTGACCGTCATGGAGTCATCCCCGGGAGGACGAAGAACAAGACCGCTTAGAAATGCCCTAATTGTGAACAAAAATGTGGTCACCTTGCCGTGAACTGCTTCCAAGGTGGGGTCTGGATTGGGAGCTGCTGAGTGTCATCCTGCGACTGACCAGATAGAAGTAGATCGTCCCCCTCTGATTCGATGCTCTTAATCGTTATGGGGTCATTGTCGTTAATTCATCATTGAGGAACAAAACAGGTGTATTTTTCTAGAGAGGTTATGCGCATAATCATAAGCATCATGCTTTGACAATTTCTATAGTTGACTTCTTTTTCTAGTGCGAGACTTCTTGACGAGCAACGACTTCTACGTGTTTCGTAACCACCGCCGGAGCCTGGTCAACCTCCTCTGTGAGTCCACGCACGGATAGAAACTGTTTGATCAGACAATGGACGGCGTTTGGCTTCGAAGGAAGTCAAGTAACGTCAAGATATCTATATTGACAGTCATGGGCAAATGACACGTACCCACTCCGTCGTTGGGCCGCATCCTCCTAGTGTTCCCCTCAGAAGAACCTGAAGCCCAACTGCATGCCGCCGCAACCCTCGTATTGGAATGGCCCGGTGGCGGGCAAATTCACCGGAGCGGCGGGGCGCGAGTGGACCGCCGCCGCCACCTCGGGGGGCCGCAGAGGACGCAGAGGTCGCAGGCCGTCTTGAAAAGCCCCTTCAGGCGCTTGGAGAAGCAGACCTGGCGGTCCTCCTCGGACATGATTGTTCTTCTTCGTCTTCTTCCGTCGAGCGGGGGGCCCAATGTCTCGATCCGTTAATCGGTAGTGACTAGTTCGGCCCGATTCACGTGCGACATATATGGCACGTGCCTCGTTAGGGCAGACGTCTGTGTTCCTCCCGGCCCCCTAACCCCCTGGTTAAACCCTTGTCTCTTGGTTGTCTCCCAGCTGGAAGCCTTCGCGTAGCCGAGTGTATCTGCAAGAGGAGGCCGAAGGGGAACAAAGAGAAGACAATTTCCTTCGCACTCTGAGTAGCAGAAAATGGTGGTATATCCGTGCGCTTCCTTCTTCTTCTTCTTATTTTTCTTGTTGTTGTCATTGCGGCTGCTCCTGATGTGGTTTTAGTATTGGTTCATGTTGTTCTCTTTCCTTTGACAGAGCAACGAGGCTGTGAATCCGAAAGCATACCCCCTGGCAGATGCGCAGCTCACGATCACCATACTCGACCTGGTCCAGCAGGCGGCAAACTATAAACAGCTCAAGAAGGGAGCCAACGAAGGTTCCCTGATTTGCTAATTTTTGTCTCTCTCGGATGTGTTGTTGTTGGATTCTTCTAGACGATGTGCTTTTCCCTTTTGCTACGGTCCTGATCACTGTGTATCCATCTTCAGCGACCAAAACCCTAAACAGGGGAATCTCGGAGTTCGTGGTGATGGCGGCGGATACCGAGCCCCTTGAGATTCTTCTCCACCTCCCCTTACTCGCTGAAGACAAGGTAGTCTTCCCGTTTCTATTTTTTTTTCAGGTGATTGCATTTTTCATCACGAAAATATCCTTTTCTGCTGCGCGCATCTGTGATTTCAACGTTGATGGAATGGCCAAAATCGCGTTTATTTCTAGAAATCTGTTATTGGTTCATTGTGCTTTTCATAAAGCACAGATTACAAGGAGGTTTCCTGGCGATGTTTTACCTTGTTTAAGGTCATGTAGGATCTACCTTTGGGTGTATCTTGACTTCATAGGTGTCCCTGCTATGGATTATGCCCTCTGTTTCCGTCGACGGTAGTACCCATTCTTATTCAAGTGTCACCGGAAGCGTTGACTTATTTTGGTGAACATTAAAGAAAGTCAAATAACAGGAAATTGCTTATCTCCATCTTTTCATAGTCTAAGATTTTTTCTTACATCATCTATATGTAACCCTCTAAATGGTGTGCATCTCTGCTGTAGATATCATAGATTTTCCTCCTTGGCATATACATATATATAGTTATATATATTTTATTTTCTGAGTGCAAGTAGGCGCCTCTATGATCCTGAAATGGTCAGCCCATCTTTTTTGTTCTTACTGCCTCGTCGGAGAAACCATTAAGGTACTTATGTATCATTGTTCGAAGATATATACTTGAGAGACATTCGGATTAGACCTTTCAATCCATTCAATGTAGCTGCAGCAAGTGCTGATGGTATGGGTTTTTATCTCCATTGGTTTCTTGACTAGTCTTTCCCACCACCAAAACTTCTGCCTTATCCCGACCTTTTGTATTGATGGAGCCTGTGTTCTTTGTCCGGGGCCAAATTTTCCATGGACCATAAGATTTTTTATATTATGCATGAAGACATGAATGAACCAAAGCCGTGTAGACCATAAGTTTTAGCCTGAAGCCTGTGCTTAAAACATCTGTGCTCTGTGGCTCTTGATTTGGGGTTGACCATGAGGATTTTGGTAGGCAGGAGTCTTCAGAAATGCTAAGAACATGTAATTTATCCACAAAGTTTGCCTGAAGAAGAAAAGAAATTATCCATCCACAGACAGATGACCTTAGATTTTTCATTCAAGAACCAGAATATGTAGTCACTATGGTATCCTGAGCTTCATATTACGAATAAGTATGTAATCGGCTATCTTTGATTGGTAATGCGTTCGCATGAATGCTGTATGAAATGTCAAAAATCATTATATGCATTGATACAATGTTCCTTGATGCTTTAAATCATGTAGATTAATAATCATCATATGCCTGGGTGTGGGGCATCAGCAGCAGCACCATCACAGACTGGCATGAGGAAGCTTGGGTCTGCTTTACTGCTGGCCTCTTTCTCTTTCTTATGAAAACGCTTCCATTTATTCATTTTAGAACTAAAATCGTGTTATATGCTATTTCAAGTCATTTTGGCTTGGCCTCGGTTAATCCCGGATTATCCTTCACATGAACCTTCATTTTTTTTAATTTTTAGTTTTTTTTCTGATGGCCCTTCGATTTTATTATTTAGATAAGTATCTGATCTGCAACCTAAGCTAAGAGCTGTGATTGGTTCTTTCCTGGCCAGAACGTCCCATACGTCTTCGTTCCTTCCAAACAAGCCCTCGGACGAGCCTGTGGAGTCACCAGACCCGTCATCGCCTGTTCCGTCACCAGCAACGAGGGAAGCCAGTTGAAATCTCAAATCCAGCAACTCAAGGTACAAATCCCTCTCTCTCTCATCAGTTCATGGGGGGGGTGGATTGAGGGTCCGAAGTCAACGGGTCGTTGACATTTTTTTTTAATACTCTGGGGAAACTAATTGGATCACGGGTTTTGCCAGGATGCGATCGAGAAGCTTCTCATCTGAATTTGTTCGAGCCTCTTCGTGACTGGCCCCAGAGTTTCAGTGGTCTCCCCTCCGAGGCTTTGACTGTTATGATGATCGGGTATCTTCTTCTTTCTATTTGAGGGATTTGCCAAGACTGGATTTTTTTTCTTGGTCAGGAAAGTTTCATTAGATTCTTGATGCTTCTCTCTCATCGGCGGTTTTCTCTCTCATTGACGGTCTCCTTCAATCAGGCCGTCAATGAGCGAATGAGCCCGCCCGCTTCTCTTTTCCATAGCCTAGATTGGGAATTTGCGGCAGGGACAGGGATAAATGAGTAATTTCCGTCGGGTGAGTAGGCTTGGGCTCCGTTTGGGCTTTGGCCCAATATGAGCATTCGGGGGCAAGCTGTGTGGGTGAATCGTTGCCGTGCGTGGTTCAGCCCACTTGCAATTTGTCATCGAAGACCACGGAGTGTAATAGGCGAAACACCGGCATCGTGCGCATGTCCACTGCGAGATGTACGCGTGTGCGATTATGAAATAGGAGCCAATAGGATTGTGAGTCGCTGGCTGACACGAGGGTTGTATGGGAGCCCAGTAAAAGTTACACGTGCCGAGGTTTTTGGAGAAGAACCTGATTGTTTCTCGAGATGTATGGTTCCGTGCGGCTGCTACGTACCAGTTTCTCGAGTCTGTGCTCCCTTTGGCCTCCGCGGTGCTACTTAAGACGCGCAGGGGATGAAGCATAGGGGTCTGGAGCGGCAATTAGGGTTTTCTTTTCCGTTGTAGCGGCGTCTTCGCGCTCGAGGCCGGTTCGTCCTTCAGGAGTAGGTAGCACCCATGGGGCACACGGCCGTATGGCACTCTCACCCGAAGAACTACGGTCCCGGATCTAGGGTTTGGTAAAAATCCTTCCCGTCTCGTGTTCCTGAACCTGTGATCTGCTTCGTGTTTGCCTCTCATTTTCCTCTGTTCTGTGTGTTGGTTGCCGTCTGTAACCGAATCATCTGCTGATTTATGGATTGGAATCTGAAACACTACAGTGCTTTTTTGTGCCGTGATTTCTTGGCAGAAACAATTATTTGATGCATGTAATGTGCCGTAAATGATTTCGAAAGCGATGAACTCTGAAAACATAAGAATTTACTGTAGATTCTCTTAGGTTCTGGGATTTGTTGTGATGGTACATACGCTAGGGTGCTCTGGGATCCGTCCTGGACATCATATAAGTAGTGAGTCGATTTTGGTCGACTGCCGTTTGGTAATAGGAGAAGGGAGATTCGTAATCCTAAGGAATCACTTAAATGAGATTCGGCAAGGAACGGAAGTCTGTACGAGCGAGCGCGTTACTTACCCCGGTTGAATAGGTTAATCACTCCTCGCGTCCAGCTCAAGGTGGCATTGGCAGCATGCTTGGGATCTTGAATAGGCTTCACGGAAAATTGTTACAGTTCTTCTTTCCAGAAATAGTTGTCCTATGACATTGGAGGCATGTTTGGGGTCTTGAATAGGCTTCACGGAAAATTGGTACAGTCCATCTTTCCATAAATAGTTCGGTCGTATGGCATTGGAAGCATGTTTGGGATCTTGAACAGGCGTCATGGAAAATTGGTACAGTTTCTTCTTTCCATATATAGTTCTGTCTCATAGAATTGGTAGATAGGAACAGCTTCTTCAATCGTCGCTGTGCTTCTAATTCACCGGCGTTGTTCTATACCTGGACGTCCGATGGCTCTGCAATATTTTCTGGTTGCGAGAAAAAAATTATGCCAATGCGATCATGTTTTGGTATATACCTCACATCCACCTACTGTTGAGGATTAACAATCTTTCATCCCAATAGTTTTATCAATGCGAGGCTCCCTGTAATGCCTTACCTTCAAGAATATGCAGATCATCCAGCCATGAGCATGTTGTTCTGTTTGTTGGATCTTGGGTTCTTCTTATCTGAGACAGCTCCTGATTTCCTCTCGCAGCCGGGTCTGCGGTAATTCTCACGGATTGATCCGCAAGTACGGGCTTATGTGCTGCAGGCAGTGCTTCCGCAGCAATGCAAAGGAGATTGGATTCATCAAGGTAAATTCTCACCTACTTGTTCAGGAGAGCGATGCATCCACGCTGCCCTCCATGAAATGAACTCATACTTGGAAACCTGTGATGAAAAATCTCAGAACAGCTTCTGCGTTGTTCTTTTCCCCATTTAACCTGCTAGAATTGGGCTGCAACCTGACCTAGCTAGCCGAATCATGTACATTCATTTACATATTTTTCATGAGCATATATAGATATATATATATATATATTTATGTGTGTGGTTATTTTTGTGCTGATTTTGTGGATTTTTCTATCTTCCAGTACCGCTAAGAAAGGAATGCGATGAAGGTGACGGCCGGTTGCGGGTAGCAGATATCTTCGGCAGCTAAAAATGATGTTTTTTTCCTTGGCTTCAGCTCTCGTTCAACAACCTGTGGAACTCCAACTCGTAGATCTTGTGAGACTTGGGAACGATCTTCATCATTAATGACTTCACGATTTTGGTGCAATATTCCCCCATGGTTGAAGATATGTGGAATCTATGATGTTCCTGATATTTGATATTTATGGCCCCCGTTAGACTAATATTTACCTGCATTGATTATCTAATATTTACGTAAAGGTAAGTATAAGTTATTATATATATAGATCTATTTATAATTTGATTTAAAGATGTTTTTAGTAAGTTGTGAGCATGGCCCACGTTATTTATTATTTGCCCTTGTACTGAATATTTTGGACCAATTAGGCCCAAGTTAGCATGGCCCAATAAGTCCGAAAAGCCTTTTATGTCTCACCCACGAGGTGAAGAGGTCCTGCCACATTAGCTAAAGCATTCGACCACGTCACCGCAGATAATCCGCCCCTCTTTCGCTCTGTGGATCGCCCTCTTCGTAGGAGCTCTTCGGTGCCCGCCTCTGCGCGAAATCCGGATCATCCCTCGCGCCGATCTTCCGGGCAGCCGAACGGCAATAATAACGCCATTTCCTCTACAGTTTCTCCACCGATCTTATCCTCTTCTCTCCGTTCCTCCTCGAGCCATCACGGATTTCGCGTTAAATAGCTGGAGGGGCCGGTTTCCTCAACCGTAGCTCTCCGCAGCTTCGCTCCTTCCTATCGTTCGATCTCCTTCCTTCCGCGCAGTCTTGAGTTCGGCGATGGGCCGCCCCTTCCCAGAGGATGCGCTCTTCCTCGGATTCGACAGTTCGACGCAGTGAGTTTTCCTTTTCGATGTGATTTCCCGCCCGAAATCCCCTCTAGCATCTTGTCTGATGGCGCCCGGGGTTAGTTTTGGGCCCCTCTGATCCATTTCAGCGATTGCGAACCAGCGAAGCAGGGACTTGGATGATTCCCAGTGAGACCTGGAATCGTCGATCGTTGCTCCCCTCTGGCGGCACTCTTGCCTTCTCTTCCCCGTTTTTTTTTTTCCTTTCCGTGAAGAGGGCTCAGAATCTCCGACAGGAACGAGATCATACCCTTGTCACTAGGATGCTGATCCGTATCCATTGTATTTTTCTTCCGGCATTCACCCACCCTTCCAATCCACTGCCAAGTAGGAGGATGGCGCCGCAGCCGATAATTCTCATCTGTTCATCTCAAGATCCTCTCCCCACCCAACCGAGATAACAAATGTAGGTCTCCTCAGACGCCGCAATTGCCTCTCTGCAGGTCCCTGAAGGCGACTGCGCTGGATTCCAGGCTCGCGATCGTCGCCTCGGAGATTGTCCACTTCGCCTCAGATCTGCCCCACTACAAGACCAGCGATGGGGTCTACAGGGACCCCTCGGGCGGCGGCAGGATCGTCTCCCCGACGTTGATGTGGGTCGAAGCTCTGGAGCTCCTCCTAGAGAAGCTGAGGAGAGAGAACTTCGAATTCTCGAGAGTGGTGGCCGTCTCCGGCAGCGGGCAGCAGCACGGCAGCGTCTACTGGAAGAAGGCCAGCTCCGCCAGCTTGGCCTCCCTCGATCCCCAAAGCGGGCTACTACTGCAGCTCTCTGAAGCATTCTCCACGAAGGAGTCCCCCATATGGATGGACAGCAGCACCACCTCCCAGTGCAGGGAGATAGAGAAGGCCGTTGGCGGCGCCCTGGAGGTGTCGACACTCACAGGCTCTCGTGCCTACGAGAGATTCACCGGCCCGCAGATCAGGAAGATCTTCGAGACCCAGCAGGATGTGTACGATGACACTGAGAGGATCTCCCTGGTGAGCTCCTTCATGGCCTCGCTTCTCATCGGCGGCTACGCTCCAATCGACGAGACCGACGGAGCCGGGATGAACTTGATGGATCTCAAAGAACGCGCCTGGTCAAAGATCGCCCTCGAGGTAAATCCAACCCCTCCCCCATCCTCTCCCTGAAGGAGTTCTGGCTACTTCGAATTCCTTCTTTGGCCGCCGCGATTGTGTTGATTCCTCCTGGTCAGGCCACCGCCCCGGGATTGGAGGAGAAGCTTGGGAAGCTGGCCCCTGCCCACGCCGTCGCCGGAGTTATTTCTCCGTATTTTGCTGAGAGGTGGGCGTTTGATCCTCCCCGTCGCTGCTCCCTCGGAGCTCTGCTTGGATTCATTTCATTTATTTGTTCGCATTCAGCTCTATATCTTTCATTTCCTCTGTATCTGCGTTGAAATGTTCTCTAGCCTGCTCCGGCCTGGCAATGGAATTACTGCTTGAAGACCTAAAAATCGCCTTTTTTTTCTCTTCTCGTTTTGCTTCGACGACTTTTTATGGTTGACTTTATTTCTTTTATTTTAAAATTTTGTATGCCTTTTGTTATCTTAGCAGATTCAGAATCAGATTTTTCTGCATCTTTTGGTCTCGTCTATGCGCTCGAATCAATGCCCGATTTCTTTTACAGATTTTTTTTAAATATTCATCTTCTTTTTATTTTTTATCACTTGTTATCTGTAAATATGAAAAACCCATAATTTCCAGTATTTATTTGGTTTCCTCAATTAGAACAAATATATTCCCTTTTATAGTTGACCGGGTCTATTTTTTGTCTTTTATTTAATAACTTATTGCCCACAAAGGATAGAAAATCATGGGTCTTTCTCTTCTTTACGTTCTCGTTCATGTGTTTGATTTCTATATTTAATATTTAATATTTATTTAATGAGTTCCGCTTCGATGCAACCAGATTCCACTTCAAGAAAAGCTGCCTGGTTATTCAGTGGTCTGGGGACAATCCGAATAGCCTGGCTGGTAGCTTCATCCTTTTCTATTGGAATTTGGTCATTTTATGATAATTTATTAATACCTCGAAAAATAAAAATATTATTTTTTAGCATATTAATGACTTTATGTCTTGCTGACGTTTGCAGGATTAACCTTGAATTCACCCGGTGACCTTGCGATCAGCCTCGGCACGAGCGACACAGTAATCCATCGGGGATTCAACTTTTTTAATTTTATTTTCAGAAAACATTTTTCTATTTACTTAAATCTATTCGCCCACGTAGATATTTGGGATCACCGACCATCCCCAGCCCCGCCTCGAGGGCCACGTCTTCCCGAACCCCGTTGACTCTTCTGGCTACATGGTGATGCTTTGCTACAAGAACGGGTCTCTGACCAGAGAAGGTACGACCCCCACACCATTGACCGCATCCTGCTCCGATTTTAGTAAAATGGTGTCGATCTGGCGGCAGATATTCGCAACCAGTTCGCAGGGGGCTCTTGGGACGTGTTCAGCGAGTACCTGGAGGAGACGCCCGCCCTAAACGGTTGACTTCCGTTGACTTCTGCTTGGACTGATCTGCTTTCCGGTTGAGGGGTTGTCCGTTTGACTTTGGATCGTATCTCTGGGTAGGCGGAAAGCTGGGATTCTACTACAAAGAGCACGAGATCCTGCCTCCGCTTCCAGGTAGGCGTTGACCCATTCCGAATCAGTTCTTCACCTCTCTCTCTCTTTCTCTCTCCCGCGTAATTTCAACCGCCCTTTCTTTTGTCTGGTGTTATGCAGTCGGGTACCACCGATACACAGTGGACGTCGACTCGGCGACCGAGCGGGAGGTGGACCGATTCGACGCGCCGTCGGAGGTAAGCCGCCGGCTCCCTTCCCCTCCGCCGACGGAGATTTGTGGGCGTTTTCTGAGGTGCTGGTGGTGGTGGTGTTGGAGGTGCGGGCCATCGTCGAGGGCCAGCTCCTCTCCATTCGGGCGCACTCGGAGAGGTTCGGCTTGCCGGTGCCGCCCCGGCGCATCGTGGCCACCGGTGGGGCGTCGGCAAACCGGAGCATACTCCGGGTTATGGCGGCGGTTTTCGGCTGCGCCGTCTACACGGTGCAGAGGCCTGGTAAGCGGCAGCGCTGTAGCTGTAGCTGTGGCCGACTGTTCCTCTCTGGCTAGGGCGGGGCGGTTCGTGATGACGATTTCGGTGGGACGCTCGCAGATTCGGCGTCGCTCGGCGCTGCCTTGCGTGCGGCGCACGGCTGGCTGTGCGAGGAGGAAGGCAGGTTCGTGCCCATCTCGCGCGTGTACGAAGGAGGTGGGCCGGAGGGGACGGCGCTCTCCCCGAAGCTGGCCGTGCCGGCCGGCGAGGATGGCGCCTTCGGGGCCTACGGGGAGCTGATGAGGAGGAGAATGGAGATAGAGAGGCGGCTAGTCGAGAAGCTCGGCCGGCAGTGAAAAAAATGAAGCTCGGTCGGTCACCTCTTCCTCCTCGAAGGGGAAAAGAGTTGTTGCGCTCCTCTTGTTTTATTTTCTCTGGGGAAACATGGAAGAGTGATGATTATTGAGAGATGAGGAGAATCGGAAGGGTCGAAATACTCGGATTCGGGAGATAAATAAACCCAACGGGTTGGGTCACGAAGCAGAAGAAGAAATCCAAAGCATGTTCGCACACGCAGGGCAGCAAGCAAGAGAAAAGCGAAGAACAGACAGACAAGAGGTTGCGCCTACCCGGGGAGAGGGGAGGAGGAGGAACCACCGGCCAGAGGGTGGTTTAGTACTCTTCTCCGCCGTCGCCGTCTTCGTCCTCGGCGGACTCCGCGCCGACCTCCTCGTAGTCCTTCTCGAGGGCGGCGAGATCCTCGCGAGCCTCGGAGAACTCGCCCTCCTCCATGCCCTCGCCGACGTACCAGTGGACGAAGGCGCGCTTGGCGTACATGAGGTCGAATTTGTGGTCGATGCGGGAGAAGACCTCGGCGACGCTGGTGGAGTTGGAGATCATGCAGACCGCCCTTTGAACCTTGGCGAGGTCGCCGCCGGGGACCACGGTGGGAGGCTGGTAGTTGATCCCGCACTTGAAGCCGGTGGGGCACCAGTCCACGAACTGGATGGTGCGCTTGGTCTTGATGGTGGCCACGGCGGCGTTCACGTCCTTGGGGACGACGTCGCCGCGGTACATGAGGCAGCAGGCCATGTACTTGCCGTGGCGAGGGTCGCACTTCGCCATCATGGAAGACGGCTCGAATGCGCTGCTGGTGATTTCAGCCACGGAGAGTTGCTCGTGGTATGCCTTCTCCGAAGAGATGACCGGGGCGTATGAGGAGAGCATGAAGTGGATCCTCGGGTAGGGCACCAGATTGGTCTGGAACTCGGTGACATCGACATTCAGGGCTCCATCAAACCTCAGAGATGCGGTCAGAGATGAAATCACCTGTGTAGCGGAAAAGATTTATCGAGAATGAAAAACAGAGCTGAACAGATATGGTAGCATGAGAGCTGTGGGAAACCGGCCTGGGAAACTAGGCGATTGAGGTTTGTGTACGTGGGGCGATCGATGGCAAGAGAGCGCCTGCAAATATCATAGATGGCTTCGTTGTCGAGCAGGACAGCGACATCTGTGTGCTCCAGGAGGGAGTGGGTAGAGAGCACACTGTTGTAGGGCTCGACGACCGATGTGGAGACCTGGGGCGACGGGTAAACAGTGAAGCCTAGCTTTGATTTCTTTCCATAATCAACGGAGAGACGCTCCAAGAGGAGTGAGCCCAGGCCTGAGCCCGTGCCTCCACCGACAGCATTGAAAACCAGAAAGCCCTGGAGGCCAGTGCAGTTATCGGCCAGCTTCCTAATGCGGTCCAAGCATAGGTCAACAATTTCCTTCCCGACTGTTATCGATAAAAGAACAATGAGTGCCTAGAGAAAGAGACGAGTGGAGTATATAATCGTGATGAACTTAAGGGTCAGAGAAATTACTGGTGTAGTGTCCACGAGCGAAGTTATTGGCGGCATCCTCCTTTCCACTGATGAGCTGTTCCGGGTGGAAAAGTTGACGGTAAGTTCCGTTCCTCACTTCATCAATGACGGACGGTTCTAGGTCGACGAACACAGCGCGAGGGACGTGCTTCCCAGCACCAGTTTCACTGAAAAAGGTGTTGAAAGCGTCATCTCCACCACCGATTGTCTTATCGCTGGGCATCTGGCCATCAGGCTGCAGGAAAAGCAAAATTAAGTAAGTGACGCCCAGAAGGGCAAAAATGCATAACTAGACAGCTTAGAACAGTGCTCTTAGAGATGCTGGCAATATACGACGAAGGATCTTAACCAGACGATATTAAGCGATACTATAAACGCTGTTGAAAGATATTAAGCGAACAAGAGATCGTACCAAACATCTGATGAGCTTCAAAAGGTATCTATAATGAATACTAATTCACGTAAGAGATAGATCTGCAAACATCTTCTGAGAGCGAACGATTGCAGTGAGAAAGACCAATCAGAGCAAGAAGACTAGACACGTAAAACGCAAAGCCGTAGGTTACAGCAACTGATCTAATGTTTCATGCGCTTCAAGCCAAGATCTATGCTAATCTAAGAGATAAATGGGCGGGGAACGCCCCATCGTTAGGATCAGCGTTAGGGATACGTCGTTACACTCGGATCTACAAGGAAGGGAAACAATGTCTAGATCACTGCGCAAAATAAAATAAAAACTAAACCTGAACAGACCTCCCCGCGACTTTTTCCCCCCAAGGAATGGAAACATAAAATAAAAAACCGAGAAGTGGGGAGACCGCCACGCATCGAACGCTACATTCACCGAATCAAAGAGGACTGAGATCCGAAAGGTATATCAACAGTCAAGGATGGGACTGCCTGCGAAAACTAATTCAGTACTCCCAGATCCACATTGTGAAGGGAAAACATCTCTTCATTTTTTACGTAACAAACATAGAACTAAACAGAACTCATCGCAGAAAACATAGCTCAACATAGAAAAAAGCAAAAAAAAAACGGAATAATCTTAGAAAACATAAAAAAGGCAACATCAATGGACACCGTATTGCAGATCTTCGATAGCACAGGCAGGAACGGCTACCTGAATACCATGCTCGAGGCAGTAAAGTTCCCAGCAGGCATTGCCAACCTGAATCCCGGCCTGGCCGATGTGGATCGAGATGCACTCCCTCATTTTCACCGAAAAGGGATCGCAAACACAGAGATAGAGCTACGGGCGAGGGGATCCAGAAGGAAGCAGAGGCAGGGCAAGGCGTGTGTGAAGACGCCTTCCTTCGCCTAATTCTGTCTCCCCCCATCTTTTGTGAGGTCTTCTATAGCGAGGGGTGGCAGAAGTTGAGGGTTTCCATTATTTACAAAAATACCCAGTCACTTAGTCATGATTGGTTGGTGCCAGCGCGGAGAACCCCCCCCTTCCTCTGCGCCTCCCGTCACCCTGAAGGTCTCGAGACTTGATTTCTTTAACGCCACCGTCCGGTGCGTGTAAACAATAGGTAGATTACCGGAGTTGTGGCGGTGATTTAAATTGGCGGTTTTCTTTAAATATCCCTACGAACTGCCACATTTGAGGGTAATGTCCTAACAGCATTTTGTCTCGACGTGTTATCGTGACCGCGGTCCAGAGAACCGCCACCTCCGGTTAAGTCTCGCTCGCTCCTCGTGATTTCTTCCAACAATACCGCCGGATTCCAATCCCTCCGGTGCAACAGATTTTTCTCCGCCGGTGCAACTTAACAACAAGATCTCCCCTCAAGCAAATCAGGAGGCGTTCTGTTCAGAGTCAACGGCGGTGGACCAGTCCTCCCACTATGTTTATTAATAGTCAATTGTCCATGAAAGTCATGTTCTTTAAAAAAAGAGCCAAAAAAAAGAGAAAAAGTTTCCTCATCTGCTTGTGTGGAGTATCTTTATATCTTATCCACCTATTATCTCTACTAGAGTCTTATATTTTATAATTTTTTAAATTTATAAAGAGTCTTATGTGTTAGATTTTTCATACCATAAAGTAAACATTACTTATATGAGTAAAACTATTACTAATAAGTAAAAATACATATTATTGATTGCTGATAAAGTTTTCATTCAACCATACTTATGAACATATATTACTTCAAGAGTTGACTTTACTTTTCAATTTTTTTCTTCCATAAATATTAAGTAATGTTGATTTCCATAAACACACTTTTCATATAATTATTAGTAATTGAATAGAATGTAACCAATAAACTATATTAATTTGATTTAGTAACTTTAGTGTATTAAAATATAGGCGATCATATTATAAATGTCAAAATAAAAATTTAACAGAACCATTTGTAATCATGATAGATTCAACCAATCTTGAAGAGTTAAAAAGAAACATCATTTTTTAAATTTAGTAATAGAGAAACTTTTTTTCTTATTTTTAATAACTCATGTTATATTCAAAATGAATTATATAACCCCATTACATCAATTGACTCAAGTTTAATAGATTATGAGCTAATTTAAGAATAACATATACATCATACATCAATTTCTTCATACTTGATTTTGTTTGAATGACAATGGCTCTAGTACCTTTGATCTAAACAATTTTTTCCATCTCTTACTTAAATTTAACATTACTTGTGTCAAGTTTTTGAATAAATCTCTTTCATATGCCACATGGAAGTTATTTAAGAATCATACATCATGCTTATCTATGAAGTCATATAGGTAAAAATAAGTGAAGTGACTTCTTTACTTATGTGATATTTATCTACTCTTTTGTCTCTTTCCAATAATATACTTAAATATGTCTATATTTCTCAAAAAAATAATATTTATAACTTATATTTTATTATTAGAAAAATAATTTTCAAACAATATGATATTACGCTAAAAGGGCATTTGCATACTTCTTGTGCAATTTCTTCAAATCCATTCTTTTAGAACTATCTTAAGTATCATATGAAATAAAGAATGATCTCATCTTGATATTTCAAAGCTCATATTTCTACTCAATAAAAAATAGCACAAAAGATGGAGAAAGATTGAGTGTTATCATTCAACATGTCTACAGTTAACAAAATCATCCTTTTACTGAAAAATATTCACACAATCTTTTTCTCATAGATCTTATACTTTGCTAATGAATGTACATAATTACAAATAACTCAAATGGAGTCAAAACCTTATTTGAAAAGACCATTTGTTTTGAGCTCAATCTGACTCTAATATCACTTTTTTTATAAATAAAAAAAACATAAATTTAAGAATGTGATGACTTAGAATAATAGAAGAGGAGAACATATGAAGAATAAAAGCCCTACAAGTGAAAAATAATGTATCAATCTAATATCTTTAATATAAGAGAAAATATTCATATGTAAGGGGAGAGGCAAAAGTGGCCCAACTCATTTTAACATAATATAAGAGGCTTGACTTGTTGAGATCTTTCATAGTTGTATTATTCTCCTAAGTCATATGGGCTGACTTCTTATGTTGTCATCTCTTACCTTCACATTATTATGAATAAAATCGTGGAGAGCCTTAAGTGAGAGATGAAGGGATTAAAGGATTCATTGAGGATAATGTGATAAGACTTGACATCATAGTGGAGAATGAGGTAGTTGGATCTATAGTAGAAGTACTTGAACCAACAATTACTGTCAACTATCACATCATAGTGGGTCTCCCAAGTAAATTCCTTACTCTTCTCCCCCTCTCATGAGTAAAACTTATTCCACAAGTTCCCTTTGGATATATATTTATAGACCAAAAAGTCAAAGACTTCATTAGGATAATTTAGGGGGATATCCACCATGTTGACAAGATTCACATGGCTGAGCATGTTAATATTCACCTCCAATTATCTCATGATGATGTTTTGGATGTGATTTCTCGCCCTATCTCACTGTTTTGCAAGTTAATCTTATAAATGAGACCTTTTTTCTCGAACCAAGAGATCATCAATCAAGATCCAGATGCCTATAGATACAAATGGTCCAATGGGAATAATAATTTTCAAGAACATTTAGACCAACATGTCATTGTTGATGAGACTCTCTAACTAAGCAACAACAATGACTTCTTGGTGGTTAAAATAAATGTCTTAAGAAGACTTCATATTTTGTGAGTAGATTAGAGTATTTTTTTCATTTAAAGGAGCAAATGATAGTATGATAACTCAAAGAGTGACTCAGCCTATTATTAGAGTAGAGGAGAGGGCTGACTCAGCCTACATTAGAGGAGAATCCAAAGCTTCTTCAACCTATGATTTTTGATAGGAGAAAGTCATAAGGGAAGTGGGTCTTATTTTTGGGGATCTCATTCAGCCTCTACTCTTGTAGATCTTGCTCACTTTCTTTCCTCTCTCCATCTCCCTCAAACTCTATAAATAGGGCCCTATTCTTTCTTATTTTTATCATCTTTATTCTCCTCCTCCATCTTGTTAGCTTATGTTGATTGATTTCTCTTCTCTCTTCCTCTATTTTATGTTCTTCTGAATAATTATTTCATCTAATTTCATTTGTATCTTTCTTATTTTATTACAATCTTGGTGTTTACAACATCTGCCTCTAGGCCTACCACCTCTTTCTCCATTCTTACTCTTTCGTCGCACCACTCTATTTCTACATAGAGGAGTTGAATTTAAAGTAAGAAAAGATAAACATACGATATAGACATCTTAGTTGCAAAGATATTTATTACTAATAAAGCTTTCTTAATTGGCCTTGATCATCAAACTTAGGGAACATTTTGTCAAAGAAATGAGTGTTAGATAGACTAAAGATATTGAGGTTTAGAGAATAAGTATTCTCAAAACCTTGTTGACAAAGTGATGTGATGAAATATTTATGAAGTTGAAGTTCAATAGTCAATCACCGAGGCTAACATTGATCTTCTTGAAGACAAAATGTTACATAAGCTAGTAGACATAATTCATAAGTGCTCAATCATGTTTGGCCTTAGACATCTCTTCAATGATAAACAACCTCGAACTCTATGAAGACGTCACAAAAGTACAAGCAAAGAAAGAAAACTCTATTTGTCTATTAGTAAATACATGAAAAGAAGAGAATAAGAGTTCATGACACATTGATTTGGATGTTGTGGACCTCCTTTATTTATAAGGGGAGAGTAAGACAATTGAAGTGAAATGATACACTTTTCTTCCATAAAGTGGTTCTATGTAATTGCACCCAATAACACGATACATTTTACACAACTCCTACTAATTGTATCCTTACATTAACTAACATTTTGCTTATTTGTGTTGGATACTTATTATGTGTTAATATTGCCATGCAAATCATGCATGGTATCTCTTGCTAACTGCACATGCATCATGCACACCCATGGACAATTGCCCAATCTTACATTAAAATAGAAGTTTGGTGTATGGAACCATGATCCTCTACTTTGATGGCATGTTAGAGTTCTCAAAAAGATTCAATAAGGTGAAAGATTGACATGTAGTTAAAAAGTCATGTATTATGTCGTAGAATCTATTTTCTTAGAGAAACAAGCTAGCAAGGCTTAACAAATCCTCTTGTGGCTAAAATTTCACTAGAGATATTGTTGTAGTTTGAATCAATAGTTACAACAAAAGTGAAAATATCTATGTTGTGCACGATGTAGACTTTGGGTTCCAACCATGCCATAATCTATGTTGCAAGAGAGCTGGTTTGAAGGATAGATTCATGATTTTAATTTTTGAAATACTCCATATCTCAACCTAAACATTGTCAAAGGATTTTCTATTCACCCAAAACCTAATCAAAGTGCAATTCTCATATATATATATATATATATCACGGATCTCCCCTAGTGAATTGAGGGGGACCATGACATACACCCAACTCCAAGTTGGCATTGATTATTGAAGTCTTATTTTAACCTTAATTGGGCTAGCGGGCCATCACACAAGCCCAACATTTCATGATAAAAAAGAAAGTCCAAATGGGCCACACTGCCACCACGGCCCATTTTCCTAATTACAAAGCCCAAGGGACCTCACGGCCATACCCTCTCTTAATGGAGATCTCTTATTCTGCAAGGGATCGATCTACTGAAACCAGGTATCATCATGGCCATGGATTCAATGGACCTCAGAGGGGCATCCAACCTCAGAGAGCTTGCCTGACATCAATAACGCCCACGCGGATTAGACGCCATATACACGAAAGTTCCAGTTTTCATAATGTAAATAAATGCAACTCGCGACCCATTATGAGAGCTATTGACCTATCCGTACGGCAAAAGGTTTCCTAGACGGGCCGTAAATGCTTCCCACCACCCCGTGGCCCATTAAGGCAAAGCACCCGCCTCCGTCCCTGCCACGTTGCAACCGACACGTGCGATGGGGGAACTCGTGAATCAGCGGCCCACTCGACTTACCATAGCCCGACACGTGTGGGAACGAAGCGTCCCCATTAAAGGAATGGTTAAATGAACTCTACCCGGAAGATAATGGGCTCGGAATCCTTCCAAATGGAACCGTGGGGACTGACGTGGACAACTCCCCTATTTATACGGCTCGGATCAAACCCATTAATGGGATCTGGGAGTACCCGATAACGTACGCCGTCTGATGCGTGACGGACAGGATTGCATCTCTGTCGGACACGACCCCTGCAGGGGACCACTTAGTCTTCGACGGCTGGCACCTACCACGTGGGACCGCTGTCGGTCGAACCACGTGGGCGTCCCGAGCCGCCAGCTGGTGCCACACCCCAACGCCTTTTATCTCGCCACGTCATTTTACCAAAATAGCATTATTATTTTTACCCTTTGAAATTCGGAGGTGGATGGAAATTCGGAAGGGGGGGAGTGAGCCAGCGGGTGGGTGCACCATCAATCCGCTGCCGGCGACCTGCTTCCGAGGCCACGCCGCCGCCTCCACCGCCGGCGGCGGCCCCCCCCTGTGGCCCCCCCCCCCTCCCTCGGCAGGCGCCCGCCATCATCGCCGCACCGCATCTCCGGTGACCCCGGCCCGACGACAGACTCACCATCTCGGACCTTGAATTAAATTACCCTCCAGCCATCGCATCAAAGAGGCTACCCGGGCCCGGGCCTGGATGACGACCCCGAATGGCGGGCCAGGCCCGAGCCGCCGACGGCGATTTGTACCCTAATTCGCGGGCCGGCGGCAAGTTATTATGCGGTCGGGCCCGTTGACCGCCGTAACTAATGGTCTACGGGGCTCAAGGTTTAGCGGTAATGGCGCCCATTTAATGAATGGCGAGGCTCGGTCTGACGATCCCCCCCATCCGACCCTCGGTCAACGCGCCATGATATCGGAGTAGATAAAGCTCCACACTTTATTGGACGATAGGTGTTAGCCTGAAATGGGTGAGGGGATCGTGACCCGCCCTAGAGAGAGAGAGAGAGAGAGAGAGAGAGAGAGAGAGGTGACGGCTGGGTCTACCACTTTTGATGGGTTCCTCAAGAGGGGGAGGGGAAAAGTCAATGCGCCTTCCGAGGCAGAGGGGACTTCCCTGAGAGTGTGGTGACAGTGATACTCCGCTGATTCGGCTAAAACGAGATTAAAACAACCACACTGCACAGAGGAGGAGATGGAATGAAGAGGAGGAGGGTGGCGCGGGCCCCCCTCGGTCAACTGAGCTCTCCGGGTTACGGAAGAGAGATAGAGAGATCTCGAATGCAGCCGACGGTTATCATCTGCCCTAATCTGTGATCCCCCCGGGAGGATCAGATGCTGATGAGATCGGCTGGAAGGGAAGGAGGAGGGACCCCCGGAAGAGGAGGCGGCGGCTGCTGCTGTTGGCAGTGCTCTTCTTCTTGCGGGGGCGCCGCCGCCGGAGCAGACTCGCCGGAGCTGTCGCCGGCGCCCTCCTGGTCCGGCCCCGCCACCGGCCTGGGTAGCTCGGCGAGCATCTGTACGACCTCGCGCATGGTGGGGCGCTCGATGCTCTGCTCCTCGACGCAGAGCATGGCGACGTAGAAGACGTGCATGAGCTCATGGAGCGGGGGGTTGGGGAGGCGCAGGTCGAGGATCTTGAGCACCTCCTCCTTGACCGAGTCGGTCATCTTCCTCGCCCACAGGACGATGTCCACGCCGTCGCCGAACTCCCCTACCGGCTTTCTCCCGGTGATGAGCTCCAGGAGGACCACACCGAAGCTGTAGACGTCGCTCTTCTCGTCCACTTTCAGGGTGTACGCGTATTCTGCGGAAAGCCAGCCAGAACAAGGGTCAGGAGAGAGCCCAAAACGAGATTCCACAGGACTCTAATGGCGATTCCAATAATTCGAAGAGAGAATCGGAAACAGGGAATAATAGCGTAGCGATAAAAACAACCCAGTAGACAACAAAACCTACAGAGACCGACAATGGCGGACGGCGGAAACATTCTGTGGGGCATGCACGCGAAGAAATGGATTGCGGAGAACAGATTGACGGCGGATGCGTCCCATCAAGATGCAGACAGCCGTCGTAATGGAGGGGTTGAGGGGAGGGAGAAGGAAGAAGGTTCGTACCTGGGGCGATGTAACCGTAAGAGCCGGCGATGGCGGACATGCACTCGGACGTCCCGGAGCCCTGCAGGAACTTGGCGAGGCCAAAGTCTGCAACGTGGGCTTCGAAATTGGAATCGAGGAGGATGTTGTTGGACTTCACGTCGCGGTGGAGGATCAGCGGAGAGCAGTCGTGGTGGAGGTAGCAGAGGCCCTTGGCGGCCTCCAGGGCGATCTTGTACCTCGTGTCCCACTCGAGGTGGCCGCCCTTCTTGCCGTGCAGCACCTCTCCCAAGCTACCGTTGGGCAGGTACTCGTAAACCAAGAGGTTGGTCTCGTGGTTGGAGCAGAAACCGAGTAATCTCACGATGTGGCGGTGGCGGATCCTCCCCAGCGTTTGGATCTCCGCAGAGAATCCATGGTCGTGGGAGGATCCCCGGCTCATCACCGGAAGCCTCTTCACGGCCACCTGGTCACCGTTGGGCATCACCCCCTTGTAGACGACGCCAGCGCCTCCTTTGCCGATCACATTCTCCTCCTTCAAGCAAGCTAGCACATCGTCGGAGGTGAAGTCCAGTCGCTGGAAGGCCGTGAGCTTCCAGGCGCGAGCCCCACTGGCCTTCTTCAGTGATCGGGCCTTGAAGATGGCCGCCACGGCAAAAGCAATTGAGCAGATGAGGAGGCCGATGACCAGTAAAAGCTTGAATGATCCCCTGAAGCGACCCTTCCCATGAGCCGCCTGGGAGTCGGGGACGACGTCGGCGCGGCAGGGGCCGAGGTAGGGCCCGCACAGGTCGGGGTTCCCGACGAAGGACGAGGAGTTGAAGTAGCTGAACTGGCCGTTGCCGGGGACGAGACCAGAGAGGTTGTTGTATGAGAAGTCAACTGATGTCAAGCTCTGCATCGTGGAAATTGAAGACGGAATGCCACCGGAGAGATGATTTCTAGACAGATTGAGATAGTTCAGGATCCGCATTGCGCTGATCTCCTCCGGAATCCCTCCGGATAGGTCGTTTCCGCTTAGATCCATGAATGTCAGCAGCTTACACTGGCTTATTTCGGGAGTAAGGGGACCAGCGAATCTGTTCCCGCTGAGGTCCATTTTCGATAGTTGCTGCAGGCGGCCGATCTCCGGGGGGATGCCACCGGAGAGCAGATTTTGGTTGAGAAGAAGCTTCTGCACGCCAGAAAAGTTTCCGATGGATTCTGGGAGGGGGCCGGTGAGCTTATTGTTAGAAAGACTGATCTGTCCGAGATTAGGTGAGATGGCTGAACCGCGGGTCTCTGGGAATCCGCCGCTGAGGAGGTTGTTCTGGAGCTCCACCTGCAACAGGTTCGGCAAGCTGAAGAGGCCATCTGGGATGGAGCCGTTGAGGTAATTATCTCCCAGCCGAATCCGGCCGAGGGACTCGCACCGACCGAGCGAATCTGGGATGGGGCCGAAGAGGAAGTTGCCGAGGGCAATCAGGGTTTGGAGCCGGTTCCCAGAGCAAAGATCCCGTGGGATGTTGCCGGTGAGCTTGTTGGAAGAGAGGTCCAATACTTGGAGCATCTTGTTGCTTCCCAGCTGTTGGGGGACGCTGCCGGTGAAATTGTTCTCCCAGAGCTGCAGGACCTCCAGCTTGGGGAGGTCACCGATGAAGTCCGGGATCGATCCATGGAGCCTGTTACGGAACAGGTTCAGCAGCGTCAGGTTCTTGAACTCCGAGAAAGACGAGGGGATACCGCCGGTCAGGGCATTGTTGGAGAGATCCATAGACTTGAGGCTTCTCAGCTTCCCTAGCTCCGGGGAGAGCTCCCCTGTCAGCCCATTCACCTGCAGGAAAAGTGTGTCGAGGTTCTCAAGCTTCCCAATCTCCGGCGGAATCTCGCCGGTGATCCCGCAGTTGGCCACATCCAGACGAACGAGGGCCGACAAATTCCCAATCTCCGGAGGGATACCGCCCGTAAACATATTGAAGTAGCCAATGTAGAGTTCCTGAAGCCTGGTAAGATTCCCTATCTCGGGGGGGATAGGACCTGTGAGCTCGTTGCCGGAGAGGGCCAGGTACTGGAGGAACTCCCAACGGCCGTACTCCGGAGGGATGCTGCCAGTGAAATAGTTCCCTCCGAGATGCAGATGGTGGAGGTTGTGCGTATTGAAGAGCTCCGCGGGGAGATCACCGGTCAGGTTGTTATTGTACAGATCGAGAACCTGGAGGTTTCGCAACCGGGAGAGCGCGGTCGGAAAGCTCCCATTGAAGATATTGTTGGAGAGGTTGAGGTAGCGGAGATTGGGGATGCGCGACAGATCAGGCGGAATGGGGCCGGAGATCGCGTTGGCGGCGAGGGACAGATTGAGCAGCGACCGCAGCCGGCCGACCTCCGGCGATAGGACGCCGGAGAGGTTGCGGCCGGCGAGATCGAGGGAGACGACCGCACCGTCGCCGACGGGGTCGCAGGCGACTCCCTCCCAGCCACAATGATCGGTGGCCGCCTTCCAGGAATCGAGCGCCCCTGATGGATCCGTGAGGGAGGCCCTCACGGAGAGCAGCGCCAGATCCTCCGGCAACCGCGGAGCCCTCCCGGCGGCGGCCTGCTGGCCCAGCAGCAGCAGCAGCGGGACGACGAAGCAGAAGTCGACGAGCCCCATCCTGTGGCCTGCGCGTCGCTGCCGCCGAGTGGCCGCCAAAGGAAGAGGGCAAACGAAAAGGAGGAGAGAGAGAGAGTGAGAGTGTGTTCCGCCCCGACTGTGAGGAGCGAGAGCTTCTTATCGGGGGTGGGGGGAAGGACGTGGCTTTAAACGGGCAACTAAAAAAATAAATATACGATTATAATTACGGTGTTGGAAGCCGGAGATGGGGCCCACATAGGAGGCCCATTCGCTGGTGGGGCGCACTGGCGAGGGCAGCAAGGCACATGAAAGGTTCTCCGGGCCCCAGAAATTCCCGTCGCTGACGAGGACGATCGAGTCCGTCCATCAGATGGACACGACGGAATCCTCCGACGACGTATCAACGACGGTCAATAGCAGGCCCCGAAAGAGACAAAACAGGCTCAATAGCAATGGATCACTTTCACAGCCCACTACGGGTTGCACCAGAGGAGACCACAAACCCAATAATGTGGTATTGGTCCCGTTTTATCAGTTGGCCTGTTGGGCTCCCCTCCCGAATCCTCAATCCCTTAAAATAAAATCAGAGAGATCAGACGGAGATGGGCCCCGCGGATCCAGAACCCAGCCCACTGTCTCCCATGCTGACTTCAAAGCTAAGCCCCTCTCCTCTCTCTCTCTCTCCTCTCTCTCCCCTCTCTCTCCTCTCTCTCCCCTCTCTCTCTCTCTCCCCCTCTCTCTTTCTCTCTCCCCTCTCTCTACCCTCTCTCCTCTCTCTCCTCTCTCTCCTCTCTCTCTCTCTCTCTCCCCTCTCTCTCCTCTCTCTCCCCTCTCTCTCTCTCTCCCCCTCTCTCTTTCTCTCTCCCCTCTCTCTACCCTCTCTCCTCTCTCTCCTCTCTCTCCTCTCTCTCTCTCTCTCCCCCCCCTCTCTATCTCTAATCCCGTTTTCTGGACTTTTCTCTGAGAACTTTGGGGCTTGCGGGCGGTCAGTGTTGACCGACATGGAATTGTAGGGTTGAAAATTGACCGTGAGGATAAGGAGAGTTGACCAACTTTGTGCTGATTCCGGCTGGCTGACTCCAATATCTTCCTCACTTTCGTCGAATGGAGAGTCCAGGTCAGCTGCTGTGGGAGGTGGAGCAGCGAGCGGTGCAAACCCGTCACATCGCGTTTTTCTGCCCCCGCCGCCGCCCTTTCATTCAGCTGCGTGTCGTTCTTAGCCCTGCCGTCCTATCGGAGTCCCGCCGCCTTGGCCACACGTGTCTGAGGCACAAACCCGCTCCCCCGAGTGTATGCCCCAATAGAGAGAGATAGGAGAGAGAGAGAGAGAGTGAAAGAGAGAGAATTACGTGTTGGGAAAAGGGGTGCAGAACGGGTAGCGGAGTCGTGTTCCCCTGCCGTCACACTGCCACCCCTACACGGAACAAAGTTACTGCGACCACCGCTGGCTCCATTCACTGCCCGCAACAGTGGTGCAGAAGGGGCAGGGGGGCCACTCTCTCTCTCCTCTCTCTTCTCTATCGATCTCTATGTCAATCTCAGTGATCGCGTAGTACCAATGAAGGTGGTGGCGCTGTGGGGGGGGGAGGGGACAAGTTGGCGAGGGAACTAAGGCGGGGATGGCCACGACGAGATCGGGGCCCCGCCCCTGCCCCCGGCAACTGCCCGCCTCCTGCCGGCCGGCCAAAGACGCCGCTTTGGGCCGGAATGGACGGAAGGCTCCTGTTTCTGCGCACGTGCAGTGAAGATTTCGTTTACCGAATCCGATCCGGCGTTCAGTGCTCGTCGCCGGCCGTCGCCGGAGCCCCGCCGGTCCGGTGCGTGGGGATGGCAGCGGTGGGGTCGCCTCCCCCCCTCTGCTGTCGTATATATAGCCGCACGTACCTCGGCGGAGACAGAGAGAGACAGAGAGAATGGTTTGCAGAGGATGAGTAGCTGCTCGAGGTCTTCATCCCCTAGCTTCGTAACCTCGGCGGAGCCCTAGAAAACCCAGTGAAGCGCATGGAGGCCATCCACAACGAGGACCAGCAGCTCCACAGATGGCCGACTCCCTCCGAGGTACCGCCAACGAAAGTGGGACGATCTTCCGCCAGTAGGGGTTTGTCTGATCCGAGAACCAGTTCTCTCTCTCAGTCTTTTTCTTCCTCTAGCAGGTGGCGGCTGAGGTGAGGGCGACGGCGAGGATCTCCGTGCCGACGGCGCTGACGGGGCTGCTCCTGTACTCTCGGGCCATGGTCTCCATGCTCTTCCTCGGGTACCTCGGCGAGCTCGAGCTGGCGGGCGGCTCCCTCGCCATCGGCTTCGCCAACATCACCGGCTACTCGGTCCTCTCGGGCCTCGCCATGGGGATGGAGCCCATCTGCGGTCAGGCCTTCGGCGCCAAGCAGCGCAAGCTCCTTGGCCTCACCCTGCAGCGGACGGTCCTCCTCCTCCTCGCCGCCTCCCTGCCCATCGCCTTCCTCTGGATCAACATCCGCTGGATCCTCACCTGGTGCGGCCAAGATGCGGAGATCGTTTCCACCGCCGGCGACTTCATCGCCCTCGCCGTCCCCGACCTTCTCTTCCTCTCCCTCCTTCACCCCCTCCGTATCTATCTGCGCACGCAGAGCATCACCCTCCCGATCACCTGCTCCTCCGCCATCTCCGTGGCCCTCCACGTCCCCCTCAACTACGCCCTCGTGGTGCGCCTCCGCATGGGCATCGCCGGCGTCGCCGCCGCCATGGTCCTCACAGACCTCAACCTCTGCCTCTGCCTCCTCGGCTACGTTCTCGCCTCCGGCGTTTACCGCGACTCCTGGGTCAGCCCCAGCGTTGACTGCCTGCGGGGGTGGTCAACCCTGGTCCGCCTCGCCGTCCCCACCTGCACCTCGGTCTGCCTCGAGTGGTGGTGGTACGAGCTGATGATCATCCTCTGCGGGCTGCTGGTCAATCCGCGGGCCACCGTCGCCGCCATGGGGATCCTCATCCAGACCACCTCCCTGGTCTACGTCTTCCCTTCCTCCCTCAGCCTTGGGGTCTCCACCCGCGTGGGAAACGAGCTCGGGGCAGGCCGCCCGGCGCGGGCCCGTGCCGCCGCCGTGGTATCTCTGGGCTGCTCGGCCGTGATGGGCCTTCTGGCCATGGGCTTCACCATGGCGGTGCGGCACCGGTGGGGGCGGCTCTTCACCGCCGACGAAGAGATCCTGGAGCTCACGGCGGCGGCGCTGCCCATCGCGGGGCTGTGCGAGCTCGGCAACTGCCCCCAGACCACCGGCTGCGGGGTCCTGCGGGGCAGCGCGCGGCCCAGCGTAGGGGCCAACATTAACTTGAGCTCCTTCTATCTGGTGGGCATGCCGGTGGCGGTGCTGCTGGCGTTCCCCGCCGGCATGGGATTCTGGGGACTGTGGTTGGGCCTGCTGGCGGCGCAGGCGTCGTGCGCGGCGCTCATGGCTTGCGCCATCGTCCGCACGGACTGGGCGGCAGAGGTGGTCAGGGCCAGGAGGCTGACGACGGCTGACGACCAGGAGGTCGCCACAGTCGGAGAGAAGAAGGCCGCCGACTTGGAGGAGATCTTCTTCTGTGGCGGCCCCCCTGAGGAGAAGCCCCAGCTGGAAAGGGATCCTCTAATCTCCTCTCCGTCACCCAACTGAGAGGATCCTCTCCCCCCACTGTCTGTCCGTCTGTCTGTCTGTCTCTTTCTCTCTCTTTCGTGTAGTGAGGCGACTTTGGGTGTTGCGTCATGTCTTTCTCCCGAGGTGATGGTGTGCTTCAGGTGCGAGAAAATCCTGCTCTCTGTCTCTGTCTCTCTCTCTAGGGATCAGCGAGGAGCTTCTTGCGGGATTTCCACAGTGGCATGCACCATTCGGAGGGCCCGGGAGGGGACAGAGGATTCCCCCCCTCCTCCCTACCGGAAAGCCGACGCCGACTCCTGCCTTTCGGCGCCCGACCACATCCTCTCTGCGCTCCGCCTCACTGGCTGCAAGTAGAGAAAGACGGAGAGAGAGAGAGAGAGAGAGATGAAGATGGGCGGTGGGTATAGTGCGCGCTACTGTCGTAGTAATGTTAGAGAGAAAGAGAGAGAGAGGGGAGGACCCCTTGAAACTAACTTGAGGAAAATACCCTCCCACCTACTATTGCCGCTGTCAACGTCCCAAAGGTCAAAGCTCTCAGCTGCGCCTCTGAAACTGCGCCCGTTAAGGGGTTAAAAGAGACAGAATGCGACAGAGATAGAGAAAGAGAGAGTGGGAGAATCGAGAGCCAGGTGCCTATAAAGCAGCCTTGATGGGGGGTGCTAAATGCTAGCAAGCCCATATTTACATATACATAACCCCACTAAGCTATCGAAGCGAGTTTATAACCCCTCCCCTCTCTCTCTGTCTCTCACTCTTTCTGGGGGGCACCGGACTTCTCTGGAAGGAGGACAAGGCCGCGAGGAACCCACGAGGGGGAGTGCGGCCGGTGGAAAGCGGGCGAGGCCCACCGGTCGAGTCGGGGCGGCGCGGTGATGCGGTCTGCTCCCCGGCAAGCGAATCCATGCCGGAACCGCCGGATTCGGCCGGAAAGCAAACAGTGGCTCCGAATGACCAGCCGGACCTTGTCCTACCCTACGGCTCGACGGGACGCTTGTTTCTCCATCAGAGAGCTTCTCCGGAGGCGAGGAAGGGGACGATGTGGTGGAAGAAGAGCTCTGGCCGCCAGTGTTGCGCTGTGAGGAGGCATTTCGTCGAACAACGGCGGAGTCTTGGATTCCAAGGGGAGAAGAGTTCTCTCGCGTGGGCCCCCCCGGTCATCTTTATGAACCATTTGACCCACGTATTTGTTTGACTTCCCGTACTGCGCTAATCTGTCGGCGGAGTTGACCGGTTGGCATCTTTCGGATAAGTCAACCAAAGAAACTGTGAGAAAGATGGACTGTAATTGGGCCCAGACCAATAGAGGAGACATGGTAGAAAGCCCACGGAATCGTGACTGGACTTGAAAATGTGGCCCATGTCACATTTTCAGAAATATGCGCCATACTTGAGCCTGGCCCATATCTCTTCAGTGCGCGCGTTTGGGTGAGAGAGAGAGCATTTAAGCATCCTTGACCGTTAGATTCACATCCAACGACAGCGTTCCGTTCCCAGCGCCGGAATATCTCTGGTTCGTGGATAAGATTTCCGACAACAAAACGGGGCCCACTAGCTCACTGGCCCGACATTACAAAAGAAGGCCCATTAGACGGTGAGCCCCACACGCCCAGTTGCCCGAACAAGTGGTGGAAATCGAAGACACGTGTCAGCCCATGCGCTCCCTCGGCCATCTTCCTCCGGGCCGCGGCATCCAATTCCATCGTCCTCCTCATCGGGAGCCGGCGGCGAACGGCGGCAGCGGGAATGGCGTCGGCGGAGGCGGCCGAAGCGCGGCTTCTGGAGCGGAGGGAGCTCGGAAGCACGGGGATCAAGGTCAGCTGCGTCGGCTTCGGCGCCTCCCCGCTCGGGAACGTCTTCGGCCCCGTCTCCGACGACGAAGCCCTAGCCGCCGTCCGCCGCGCCTTTGAGCTCGGCATCAACTTCTTCGACACCTCTCCGTAGTCGCTCCCCCCTCCTCCTTCCCGGCGATCCCTGCTTCTGCATCTCGTCCTCTCTGCCTATCTGTTCATCGGCGGTTCTCGCGGCGGTCGCAGGTACTACGGCGGCACGGTCTCGGAGTCGGTGCTCGGGAGGTGCTTGCGGGCGCTGGGGGTGCCTCGGAGCGAGTTCTTCGTCTCCACCAAGTGCGGACGCTACATCGACGGCTTCGACTTCAGCGCCGAGCGAGTCACCAGGAGCGTCGACGAGAGCCTCTCCCGCCTCGGCCTCGACTACGTGGACTTCCTCCAGTGCCACGACATTGAGTTCGGATCCCTCGATCAGGCGAGTCACCCTACAAAACGAATCCCTAATTTCTTCTTCTTCTTCTTCTTGCCGTTCGGAAGGATTCGTTTCTGGAATCATCATCCTCTGGTTTCGTGCTGCTTACTTGTTCTCGGCGGCAGATTGTGAGCGAGACGATTCCGGCGATCCAGAAGCTGAAGGAGGCCGGGAAGGTGCGATTCGTCGGGATAACAGGATTGCCGCTAGAGATCTTCAACTACGTACTGGATCGGGTGCCGCAGGAATCCGTAGACGTTATCCTGTCCTACTGCCACTACAGCATTAACGATTCCAGCCTTCTGAGCCTCCTGCCCTACCTGGAGAAGAAGGGCGTCGGGGTGATCAGCGCCTCGCCGCTGGCGATGGGCCTCCTCACCGACAACGGCCCCCCCGAATGGCATCCGGCCTCGCCGGAGCTCAAGGTTGTTGTTGATCCGCCGACGGGGAAGAGATCGTCGTTCTCCGTGTCTGCTTGTACATCCTTCTTTCTTGTCTAAATTTCAGCGCTGCTTTGCCCCTGTAGGCTTCCTGCAGAGCGGCGGCGGATCATTGCAGGGGAAAGGGGAAGAACATCTCCCATCTGGCTCTTCAGTACAGTCTCGGGAACAAAGGCGTCGCATCCGTTCTCGTCGGGATGAACTCCGTCAAACAGGTTACAGAGAATTCTCTCACCTTTGTTTCTGAGATTCATTCGCCGGGGCCGGCCACAGCAGGCCGCATTCTTCCTCCCCTCCGCCTGAAGAGATCTCCGGCCGGCTGCAGGTCGAAGAGAACGTCGCCGCCGCCATGGAACAGGCGGCGAACGGGATCGACGAGGAGCTCCTCGAGGAGGTGGAAGCCATTCTGGGGCCAGTCAAGAACCAGACCTGGTCGAGCGGCATCCAGCAAGGCTGAAAAAAGTTCGCGGTACGACGATCCCCGCGACCATACTCGCCATCTTCTACCCCCCATACTTTGTTTCTATTCTTGGGTGTGCTCAATGGAAATTTCATTATTTTGGATGAATAATCATTGGAAAAAAGGAATCGTCATTTTTTTTTTATAGCAATCTGTATAAACACAGAAGAAGCTGAAGAAGCCCGAAGGAGTCAACTCAGACTCGAATTTAATTGTAATAGCTTAAATCTTTATATTGGGTAAGATCCCCCAGCAGATGAACAGATTATACATAAGCGGGAAGTCAACGGGCACCTGGGACGGCTGAGGTTGATCCGCTAACCTGCGGATAGAAGAGGATGAACAAGACCCGCCGGCTGTCATGAGCTTGCGGCCTGATGAAGCGAGGGCCAGGCGATTTCGTCGCTGCCGTGGCCGTTGATTAGGAAGTCAACGCAGTTCTTCCGGCAGCCGCGGTTGTAAGGATTCCGGGCCCGGCCGTCGGGCCCCCGCATATACGCGTACCTGGTGGCGTTGGCGAGCTCGTTGGTCGTGATGTTCTGAGCGATCTGCGAGTCAACGGGGATGCAGGCGTTGACATCCCGGCGTTCAACAAGATCAAGCTCGACGAAATATATGGTTCAAAGCGAAAAGAATAAGGGTTTTGTTACCTGAGAAGACTGGGCGATGGTCAGCGCCGCAACTCCAGAGAGGATGATAAGGTCCACGGCCAGGAATATAACGGCGCCGGGATGCTCAGACACCATGTGACTGATCCACCTCCGAGAAAGAGGGGTTTCTAGCGATCCGGTCCACATCCCTGTGTCCATTAATCCGATGACGAAATGGTTCTTGGGAGAAGTGAGGGAAGGTGGGGGAGAGGGTGGGGCTCCGTACTCTGAACGGCAACGGCGGCGCCCATGAATGAGGTCAGCGTTCCCATGCAGATGAACACAAAGAAGTCCCACTTGTTTTCCTGCAAAAGGGCACCCTGTTGGGATCAGAAAAAAGTCAACGATAGGAGAAGCTTTCTACGGATGATCCAGCAGCTGGAGGGAGCTCATCATCCTGCAGCTGCTCCGAATATCTCACCTTTCCTATGCAATTCGATATCCATGGGCAGTGATGATCGAACTGCTCGATGCAGCGGTTGCATGTCGGGCAATGCTTCGAGCGCACAGGTCTGATAATCTGACGGCGCAGAACGAAAGCACGTCAGGGAAGTCAACTCGAGGGGGGTTGGGGGGGGGGCGGCGCATACCTTGCAGGTAGGACAGAGCTGGGACCAGCTGAAGCTCAAAGAAGATGGGTCACTGAGATCGATATTCAACAGAGGATCCTGAGAGAGGAAATCAATTAAAGAGATTAAAGTGTGGAAAACATAAGAAAAATACGGTAATAGCAAATGGTTCAGGAAAAGGAAAATTGGATTATGGGCACCCAACACAATTCCCATCATCCGAAGAAGGGGAAAGGGGGGCTGGGGGTTGACTGGTTTTTGGAAGGTACTGTATGCCGTTCAAACCCTAAGCTGCTATCTCTGCATGGCTCATGAGAACGATTATTCATCTACATTTTGGGTCACCAGACTACTTCGCTGATAAGAAGAACAGTCCAAGAATACAAAGCTCAAACTTCATGTCATTGCTCCTGTTTTCCCCATGCCCGCTGATATTTACAGCTTCCAAGGAACAAGTAAAAGCCGAAATCTAGATTATAAATTCTTCCTACTATACTGCTGATTTGAGTCATGCTGGTGTTTTTATTGATTTGAGCATCTGAAAAAGTTATACATATTCTTGCCGAACTGAAAGAGTTATGAATATCTTTGGAGCACTAATTAATAAGAAGATCACGAGAGTAGAATGTCATAAGAAGATGGTAATCCATGAAACGAAAATCTACTGCAATAAAACATCCAAAATGGAGTAACTCTGTGCGAAAAGCAGTCTGACACTAACATTGGTTCTTCCTATTGTTACCACGATAAAGATGCAATATCAATCCTCAAGGAAGTGTGTATCTACGCTTGAGATCTTTCATTGATAACAATGCTATTTAGACTTCAACTTTGTTGATTGCAACATTCACAAATTTTGTCACTTCATCGGACTATCAGTAATGAAGTTGATTTTTAGTCAATACTTCAGATATTCACTTCAGAAGCTGATTTTTATCATTTACTGATATCAAGATCAAGATTAGCTGTTCGAATATCAAGGGGAAGTCTTACACGTCATTGCAAGAGGAGGAATAAATAAATAAATAAATAAATCAATAAATTATGATCCAATTGGCCAATCCTACCAGGTACAAAGTCTTTGAGTAAAGGGAGCAATAAGAAAACATGATGAAGAGCTGTCACTACCTACTCCAACTCCAACTACTTTTCTGCCTTTTCTTCGTCTCCAAGCATCTATAAAAATTATTCCTTTTTTATTCTTCTAATATTTCAGATAGAACTGCTCTTCTCTCCTTCAGAAACTTGGTTGATATGATCTTCATCGGGACACAGCCAATATGACCAAGGCCAGAGAGTCTATTTAGTGAACATGAAGTGAGATTTAGATGGCAGGGACTCTGGAGGTTACAACCTAATATCTCATCCGGATTCTGAATATAAGGATACACATGTTCCTTCGCGTGGGAAATTAAAATGTTTGCGAGCTTTCTAAGTTCAGTGGCACAAACCAACCTCTGGAGGCCATGTTTCTAGTCTCGCCCAAAAACTAGATGCAATCAGTATTCTATTTGCTCTGTAATTTCAACGCAGGTAACTTCATACAGCTTAACGTCTAAGCAACTTCAGAATATGTAACGATTTTACCAACATAAGCATTTATAAGGGAAAGGGATTCCAGAGTGGGCAACCCAGATAGTTGTTGCATACATCTGTGTCTGAATCTCCTGAATTTGGTTTGATGTAACCTGGGTCCTTGCTGCCAGAAAAAAATGGAAGCACGATTTACTTCTAAAGACCATGAAACAATGACAATTATGATGTAAGAATTCTATGAAGTACCTGCTACATCTATAGAACATTAGAAGAGAGCCAAATAGAAGAGACACAGCAGCCCATCCCCACAGACCGACAACAGCAGTAACCTTCGGAAAATTTGGGGCTGTAGATAGAAATAATCACCTTTGTAAAATGAACAGGACATCTAATATTATAGTACAACAATTTAGGGAATGCAACTGACCATTTAGAATGGAGGTGATAAAAAGAACCGTGAGAATGACCATAACAACGAATAGAATAGGTGCATAGCCAATTTTCCCAATGTTTCCGCCAAAAAATCTGCCTCCACAAGGGTTCTTGTGCATCTTTGTCGCATTGTTCTAAATTAAGTTACAAAAAAGAATAAATTAAAAGATATTTTTTTGAAAAACAAGATCTACAATTATGAAACCTTAAATCAACTATGCTGTCATTTCAACTTAAGAAACTTTAAAATATTCAGAGTTTTGAACTTAAGAATCTTTTGTTCGCAAGACCTGAACATCTACTGAAAATCAACATCCAACTTGTCCGTCAATCTTGGAGACAGTTTTTCTAACTTTATTTCAGTACATGCATACATATACAACCCCTCTCGTGTCCTAGCATTTTATTTTCAAATCTTTGACACATCTAACGTACATAATGCTTGCTTTCATATACTATAAATTTTCTTGTCGGCAATAATTTATAGAAGACTAAATTGAAGATTTTTTTTTTCTTCATTTCTTGTACGAACGTTTCGCTGAAATTAAAGAAGACCTTCAGTGTTGTTTGAAAGAAACACTTCTCATAGCTCATAATAAAATGCCAAATCTTCTTAAAATGACGCCAATCTAGTTTTGGTGAGCAAAAAGTATATAAGAGTAAAGTGATCATTTTATACCGCATCTTATCATTGTTGGATGACATAAAAATGATGCTAAAATTCTGTATTGAACCTTGGAAGAAGTTTCACAAAATTTAAAATTTGCTACCTTTGTACAAGTTCTTTTGGCATGAAAAATATTCCATTGAAGTACGCATTGAAAAAACTTTACCATGTCAACTCTCTAACTTTCACTTTCAAGACAATACCTGAACTACATTCAAATGATCTTCGTTTATCAAAGATGAATGATTTAATATTTTTTTACATTAAGGGTCCTAGTATTAGTTGGCTACGATGATAAACAAGTTTTTGGTGTAATTGAAACAAATATAGGGCCATCAATCCATATTGGCGAGTTAGCACTATGTATCTAGTAGAGAGGTGAGCTGTCGTCTATGTGTTCAACATTTGTACTTGTGAGAGTCAATATAATTTAAAAGAGCCTTTCAGAAAATAGAGCAGACAAGGCATCCAAATCGCTGTAAATTTCAAAGTTCAGCATATTGCCCTCCATGCAAAAGAGTGCTCCAATTCGTCACACAACTGTTAGCTAGCTTGCAAAACTCCTGGAAAAACACCAGGCATCTGTCTGCAAGAGAGCGCTTAATATCTCCATCCACCATAATGTCAGTGCCCTCAATTCTTCAAAATAAACATTGGATGGTGGAATACTCAATATCCTACCACACCTAAAATACTTCTCTAATATGACTGCTACACTCATCTCACATTTTCTCCATGTCTGGGAAGACTTTTGGATAGTAGAGTCAAATTTAATGCCCATCCACCACAAAGACCCGTCTAGTTGATGCACTGTATCTAGGACCCCTCATCATCCATGCCAGAGAAACAAGCACTGAAATCTTTAGAACAGAATTCAGGGCAACATGGTAGGAATACTCATTCAAGAAAATCTCCCTTTTTAAAATTAATATGACTCTCTCATGAAATAATGAATCCCTTACATTCCACAAGCTCAAACCAATAGTCTGATGGTGCTAACAATGATAATGATAATAATGACACCAACTAAAGTTCCCCCTTCTCTCTTGGGTGATGACAAAAAGGGAATTCTACTCAGTTCACAGATCAAGCACACAACACCGGCCAAAATGCACCATAGAGTATGCCCATATAGGTTTCCAAGTGACTACAACTGTAGAAAATATTCACAATTTTCCTTGGTCTGTGGTGAGATATGGAAGCATGAAAATAAGTCACAGATTCATATCACACTACAAACATCGCCCATGTTCTTTGATCTGACTACCGACAATTTCATAATTGACACCATCACCGTTGTCTGTCATAGAGCATAGCTCAAGTGTTGCAAGAGACACCTTTAAGACCTACTCAGTTGCATTTTATTATTCGATGTGTACCAGAGTCAATTCTTTTATCTACAGTGGCAACACTCCATAAAGCGAAAAACATAAAGACTAACACTAGCGTGAACTTTGTACGAGACCAAGACGGACATAGTATATTATTTGGCATGGTATTTAAGGACAACAAATATGTACCGAGGTGAAAACAAATATGTACAATTATAAAACCTATCCTTTAGAAATAAACCATGAACTTTATCTGTCCTCGTACTGCACATCCATTTGCTTAGAACCCAATCGACAAGTAAGAAACAGATACATGAGAAGCAATACATTCATTCTATCAGCAAGATAAAGCATCCGTTACTAAAGAGGAAGAAAACCAATGAAGGAATAGAATAGGAACGAATGTAAATCCTAACATTACAGTTCTGCTCTAACCAGCATAAACAGCAAAATGGAATTGCATTTTTTTGCATCAATTGTTTGTCATCAGAAATAACTTTTATGCATAAGGTAGTCCTTGTGTTGTCACTACCACCCATATGCGTTTTCCAGTTGAATCAACAGGGATTAAGCTTTATCCCGGCTCCCCAGTTATATGATCGAATTATCACGAGTTCCGAGAAAATGCATACGAGAATATAGGCGACATGATTGTGGCCTCTATTGGCAGCAAGTTTGGCAGGAGTAAATCCAGATTTGTCTTGCACCATCAGTTCTTGCTTTGTGCCTGCATGGACTAATATTGTACATGCTTCCACATTTCCAGACAGTGCCGCCCAGTGCAATGGAGTGCATCCTAACAGAGTCAAGAGGCAAGTAAAAAGCAATGTTAAAATAGTTACCTAAAATGATTAGGTAACCTCAAAGAAGAAACCAGAAATTAGGTTATTATCGAATTTCTTATACATTTAAGGGAATTACATAAATTTCAATCACGTCAACATATAAATGTCCAATCGTCCAATTGGTACCATAGCTTTGGCATTTCCTTGTAGAGTCTGATGAAATACATAAAATGCTCTGAGTGATTTGGAAAAAATCTCAAGCCTGTCGTTCTCCAGGGACATTACTCTGGATGATGGTTGTAGTCGTGTGAAGGCAAAGAGAAAATGGGTATAGTCTCCTCCTCTGGTTCCTTTGGTTAGATTTTCTTGAATAGATTAGACAATAAACAAGTATCATGAAAGATTTGATGAGTAAACAACATGGTTGAGATAACTCTTGCAGCAGATGAATTTGGGCACGACAAATTGATTTGTCATGAAGGGAACGAGAATGTTCCTAAAAAAGAGGTGTTGATTCTCTTATGACATTTGTGTTGATTTGTAATCCATCTCTCGTGTTTGCTGTTCTTAGTCACGGATGGGTTGACGTTAATGGATATGTTGCATGTCAAATTATTTTTTTGAAAAATCTAAAAGGACTGTATGTTTAAAATAACACGTGTTTACTTGAGAAGAACTGGAAAACTGGGGGTGTTATCAAGGCAGAGAGGTATAAGTGAAAAGAAATTTCAACACTCCGATCAAGTGTCAGAGGTGGATGAGAGTTTTGGGGGGTTGTGACTGGAATATCTACATGTCTCCAACGCGCACCTCATCATCACTATCGTTTTATGGTGTTCATGTAACACCACTTTCTCACCTTTTTCCTCTATTCTCAAAAATACACACCAGCTTGGTAAAAATCTTCCGTTTTCTGTCTTTTGATCTCGAAGACATCAACACTTACCACAGAGAAAAAAAATACCTGCTCAATATAACTACTAAATAAAAAAAGTCCATAAAAGTTTTGTTGACTATAAGCTTTATGTATTTATATGGTCCAAGAATAATTTACCAAAACATGAACCACACTGATGTACCCTAGAAATTGCTGTCAAATGAGGAATGGAAGGTTTTTGACCCAGGTGGAGGAACTAATAAGATCTGCGTCAAGAAGGCTAAAAAGGAATAGAATCAAGTGCAATGATGTTTTAGACCAAGTCAAGTGAATCAGAGATTCAAGAGATGTGAAGACTATCTTTTGCTCAAATTCAGCTTCAATTGGCCCACTAAGAGATTTGGTCACATGTTTAGTAAGCCTAAATCTTACAATTCGCACATTTTATCCATGTAAAATAATCCCCCTATTCTATTTAAGACGTTCTTATTTCTTGGGGGCCTTCTAACAGAATCTTCCTTTTTCATAGAAAGTTTAATCTGTTCTCTTCTCTCTATTTTCCAGGATCATAACAGATTTCCCTCTTTATAGGTTAGTTATAACTAATTTTCGGCCTGTAAATAAGCCCCCCCTTGTAGCCCCAAGAAGGCACATTTTTATGAATCAATTTTCGAGTTCCCTTCCATTTTGGAGGTTCTCCCCTTCTATTGGTGGATTCCAGTATCTCTATGGACTCAGGGGGCCATTTTCGATCTTGTAGACTCAGGATCAACCCCTTGTGGACTCTAGGAGCGAAATCTCTTCGTTCACCCCTTGTGGACTCTAGGAGCGAAATCTCTTCGTTCTGTGGATTCAAGGCAAGGAGTTTTCAACTAAGACATGTTCTTTTTAGATTCAAGGTCGTGATTTTGCTTCTAGAATACACAGCCAAAGCTAAAACGTGATCAAGTTATCAATTCTTCAAATTTCTGCTGCGTCACATACACTAACCATCATCATCATCATCAAGCTATTCCACATCAAACAATGAAATAGACCAGGGATATAGCCAAGATACTGGTTAAGATGTAAAAGAGAAAAGAAGAAAACAAATGATAGAGAATAATGGATATGGACAGCTACCTTCTTTGTCTTGTCTGCCTTGGAATGCATTTCTGAATAAAAGCAACCGAATTGTGTCCGCAAATCCTTTATAAGCAGCCCTACACAGAATTGAATTTTAGATCACAAAGAAAAAGCACCCACTATCTTCACCATAGTCCATAATTTATCCTATGTTATTACATCAAGAGCACATAAAATTTCCAACACAGTGCATGCGTACACCAACAACACAGAGAATGATATTTTACGTTTTAGCAAAGTAAACTCATTCAAACTATCTCTTGACAAGGAGAATGAGCAAATAGAAACTTGTAACTTAAAGTCCATATATGTTCTCAGCCCCCCAAACCTGACTAATCATTGCGTTCATCAAAAGTATACTAATAAAATGCTATTCAAACTAATACTTTAAGGAGGCTGTAAGTAATCATAGATAAAATCTTTTGGAGAGGTTGTGAACAGGAAAAATATTGTTAGATTGAAGGGATTCGATTTCACTCTTCCAGTAACATGATTTCTAAAGGCACCCCTATTTATGGCACATGATAGGTGAATAACAACATAAATAGTAGTCATAAATCCAAAGGTATCTTTCTAGACTAGGAGGGTCTATGTAAAGTACCATTCTTGCAATGCTACGGATATTAATTTCAAGTAAGGAGATTATAAGTGCAAAGAAATGTTGTACATATCATGGTTCTCTTGCTCTATTGAGGCATATTAACAATGCGTGAAATTTTATACCACCATGCAGAGCCTTAAATTTTGTTAAACTAAATCCCATCTAAGTCGTAAAAAACCTGAGAGAAGATGCAATTTAACTGCTTAGAGGAAGGCCACACAGACAGTACAGAGAGGGAGGAAGGGGAAGAAGAGTGGCCCCTTAATCGCAGACATGGAAAAACTAGTCATAATATGATACATTCATTTATAAAACGTTATTCATGAAAAAAGTATTTTAACTTATTCTCCAGTTTCTTTGGGCCCCTCTTAGAAAATATAATCCAAATTATTGACAGTATACTAGATCAAGAACTAGTATGGAGATGAAACTAAGAAATTGACGTCGCAATTAAAAAGAATTGAGGAAAGCACATGCAAGATTACTGGAGGACGTGCATTGGCCTTTGTACAAGCTCTTTTCTTTTATGGGCCACTCTGTAATAATAGTAATCAAATTGCAAACTCTTCATAGTAAGATGGAAGCATGGTATTTCAACGCACCAATGCAGGGGACTCCTTCCGTCGTTATCTAATGAGTCAAAATCTGCACCGTACTTGGCAACAATATGGTTCAGAAACCCCGTTTGTCCGTATTGTGCTGCAACGTGAACTGCCTGATGGGGACGCAAACTCAGGGACCAAGCTTAATGAATGCAACAATATAAATTCTAATTCCATGTACCCTGTATCCATTGAGATCTGCCGCTTCGACACGAGCTCTATTTTCCAAAAGCACGTCTGCCGCAGCAATGGAACCCCGAACTGCTGCCCAGTGAAGAGCTGTCTGCTGCACGTTGTCAGCGGCATTGGCATTGCCCCCGTGCTGAAGAAAAAAAATAATCCGGCAAAATATAGTAAATATTTGCAAACTTAGACACGGGAAACTGTTAACCAGGGAAATCCACCTCGATGATGTACTGAGCAATGTCGGAGTAGTTGTTAAGGGACGCCCATTGTAGAGCGTAGTAACCGTTGCCATCGGGATTCAAGAGGGAAGCCTTTTCTTCCTCCACGAACCTACGGAGCTTCAGCAGGTCTCCATATGCTGACGCCGAGAATATATCGACGACGTAATCGTCCACAACAGCAGCTGCGGGGACGAAACCACTAGGGTTGCGCTTCTGCTCCGCGTTAGAGTCGGACGCGATCTCGATCTCCAAGCTGGGGGAGGAGGCCATCGGAACTCCCGTAGGACTAGGGTTTCCCTTCTCTCCCTCTTCGAGCACCGGACGTGGGACTCATAAGGCAGAAGCTGTTGACGGCGACCGGCAAGTTCCCCACCGGGTCTGGAAGATCGCCGGCGACGCGGGGTAGACGGCGACGGAGTCAGTTATGTACGGTTGGCCGAAGCCGCCAGTGGAAATCTCTGGATCGAATTGGGGATCGCGTTAGGTTATGTTGTTCCTCCCCAAACCCCCCCCGCTCGAGACCGCGACTCGGAGACCGTTGACAGGCTGACGCGGGAGCCGGTGAAAAGCGTGGCGGCGGTAAGCTAAACCACTAACACCTTGTGCCACGTATCCCTCCGTGGTCAACGACTTTAGTCCGTGGATTTCTTGCCTCCCCCCACGTGGCTTCGACAGAGAATGATAGAGACTTAATGGGCCTCTCCACAGAGTAGGCCCGGGCCCAATAATAGGAGTGTAAACCAGGTTTAGGCCGACTGTGGTTGGAAAACCATGGTTAGGTTTTCTGGTCGTTGAGGCTATAAAGGCAGACTCACGGCGGCTAGGGTTTCTCGTGCTCTTTTGAGGTGGGTTGGTTCGGCCTCCCCCTCTGTTCGTCCGGTTCGGGTTCTCGTTCCTTTTCCCTTCCTCACCCATGGCCTCTTCCGATGTGGAGTTCCGTTGCTTCGTTGGTGGCCTAGCCTGGGTCACTGACGACCAGTCCCTCGAGAGGGCCTTCAGCCAGTTCGGCGAGGTCGTGGAGTCAAAGGTATGGTGGTCGGATTACCTTGGGGCTTTTCTATCATTTCGTCAGATCTGGCTGTATCTGATGGCGATCTGTCCCTCGCTGCTCCCCCGCAGGTTATCAATGACAGAGAGACCGGGAGATCGAGGGGCTTCGGCTTCGTCACCTTCAGCGACGAGAAATCTATGCGGGACGCCATCGAGGGGATGAACGGCCAGAACCTCGACGGGAGGAGTATCACCGTCAACGAGGCCCAGTCCCGTGGAAGCGGCGGTGGTGGCGGTTTCCGCAGCGGTGGCGGTGGCTACGGCGGCGGCGGCGGCGGCTACGGCGGCGGCGGTGGCGGTGGCGGCTACGGCGGCCAGCGTCGTGAAGGAGGCGGCGGCAGCGGCGGTGGCTACGGGCGCGGTGGAGGCCGCGACCGTTATGGCGGCGGCGGCGGCGGGGCCGGATCTGACCGCTATTCCAAAGGTGGCGGCGGCGGCTCGGACGGGTACTGGAGGCAGTAATAGGCCGGGCCTTGCACGGCCTGGTGGTTATCTTCGTTATGCTTGGCTCTCCTGAGTAGTTGTGGTGGTGCGCCTGGTGCTGCTGTGTGCTTGTTTCCCCCTTTTTGATCGCCTCTCTCCAAGGATCTATGTTCTACCGTCTGCGTGCTCGAATCAGTGACTGGAAATGGAAATCCATATCATCTTTAACCCCTCCCAGGGCTTCTCTTCCATTCCCCTCCGATCTCGACGAAGTGCAACGCCGGCGGCGAAGATATTTTCCTCCCCCGCGAATTTTTTATTCCTGCTCCGATCTTATCCGCATTTTAGGATCCGCAGATTTTTCCATCCAAGTATACAATCCATTTCCCTCAGCCTGACGTCATCACCTGTATATCTCTCTCCCCCTACTTTACCGTACATCTTGAGGCCCTTTTCCGGGTCAATCAGCGAAGGATGTGGGGCCAACGATTGAGGCGCCACGTGGCCCGCAGAAGAGTCAGCAGTCCGGGCCCCTGGGGCCTCCTGAACCCGGTCAGATAGATGGGAACTCTTCGAGACCAGCGACCACATCAAGGCTCAGAGGTTTAAAGGGGAGGGGGGCATTACGGTAAATCCCCTTCATTTATATACATTATCTTATACTACATGAATAACCGCTCAAATTTTTCTCAAATTTTTCTCAAATTTTTTTGTCTTGAAATCCTCGCGGATATAAAGATCCTAGTACTAAGTTCCGGGCCTGGATTTTATTAATCGAAAAAATAAGCAGATATATTAATTATCAACTACATAAAAATGTATTGACCATTATAAGGCATGACGAAAATTCATGTAATTTTGGAAAAATGGTGGGGATACACGGGGGCCATTAATGGCAAAACATATAGACGACAAAGACATAACCTGAGAAAAATAAAGAGAATGAGACAAATTTGGCTCCTTTAAAATTATTAAACTCTGTCCTCACATATTTTCATTCTTAATTATTAAAAAAAAAATCAGCCCTAAATGATGACAAATGAACAGCATTTGGAAAGTAATATCATGGGCATTCATTAATAAAATCATTTTTTGTACTTTTTGAAGCCCAATTTGTCACAAATAGTTGTGCCTGGGAGAGCTAGTGGAACCTAAAGGAGTGGGTGAGGAATGGTGTTTAACTGCAATGAATTTTCATTATCTTTCTCAGCTCATAAAAAATGAGTTGAGCCACTTAGATTATGGTGACATAGGAAAATGTCAACTTGGGTCACTCTTGGTATGCTATATTATTAAGCCTACTCCACACTAAGCCCACTGACCATGAAGAATATTAAGGGATATATTATCAACCAAATATATGTTTTTAGTTTTTATTTAAAAGACTAGAGCTCATTAATTGGCAAAATGAACCTACTTGTTCAACAAAAAATAGATCAAAATAACAAGTTTTCATTCTATATACATCATATCAAAATATTTATGTCAAAATTATTGCTTGTTAATAATAATAGTAGAAAATATGTGTACCCATTTCAAAAAAATTGGGATCATGTACTCCATTTAATCTTCATGCATATTACAGCTAACAAAAATCTAAGAAAAAATGTTTTAGATGAAAAAAGGGTAGGAGTTCATTTTACTTGACCTTTTAAAATGTGAATCTTAAAAATAAAAAAAAGGTTCTTGAAACATAATAAATACACGACATTTACATTTATATTTCATAAAAATATTAATAAAATAATTCCTTTGAAATGTAACCACTATATAATGTTACTACAAGACATGGTAGATTATGTGCTGAGGGTATGATTCATTTTTTTTACTTAGTTTTAACATTTTTGTGTGTTTTTAAATTGTCTCTATGAATTCTAACTAAATGTATTAACACAATCTTTTATGAGTCTATATAGAAGAGATTAAGTTGACATAGATTGATGTAGATCTACTGAAAATCTTGGGTCAATACACTAAGCTTCTATGGGTAGAATGTTAAGGTCTAGATTGTTTTGACCTTTCCTTGACCTACATCCAATTCCTAAGGATTTTTACCCTTAGTTACTACTATTCTACTTCAAAATTTTATAATCTAACTTTGTGGGATTAATAAATCTCTTACATGGTATGATTCACATCTCTTACAAAAACTTGCTTTTATAATCTCGTTGTATAAGTAATCTCCTAAGTGAATTCACATAAAAGACTATTTTTTGAAAAACTTAACACTTCAAAACCTCATTGTTCTTGGTGGGGTATTAGGGAGTTTGAAGAAGTTTTAGTGAATAATAATTATTATTACATTTTCGAGAGAGAAATTTGAAACTTATTGAGAGAGATGATTGATTGCCATGGTGGATTTTGAAAGTGTCTTTACAAGTTATTTATGGAGCCTAAAATCTCAAATGTTAATGTTTAAGATTTTATTAGTCAAAGATTTGTAGGATTGACAAATGGGTTAGAGCATTAAATAACATGTATGGTCAAGTTGATAATTTGACTAACATTTTGACCTGGTTTTTGTGTAGACATGTTATCATAATAGTTTCTAACATACCTTTCACTGTCTAACTTGTCAAGATACGTCAACCTTGTTAGTATTCTATTGTGCTAGATTACCCAAATTGTGAGACATGCCATATTTTATAGGGAAAGCCACTTTTTTTTTTCTATTGTAATTTGATCTAACTTTTTTAGGTGAACACGTGGGTCTACACACTTTCTCTCTCCTTATACTTATGTGGGTCCATCATGTTTTGATGATGAACACAATATATAAAATAATAGATATATAGATATATATATATATATATCATAATTATAGACGACCTTAAATATTATTATTGAGGAAAATATTAAAATTAATAAAGTCAAGGCCAAGGTAAAATAATCATTTTACATCTTAAGCTAAATTGAATATTTTGTGACCTTGAAAAGGCCCAAGTCCATTGTATATGCTTTGAAATAATTTACAAAATTTATTGAACATTTTAGTGCATTTTTATCCACATTTTTCTATGCCCTCGTTTAGGTGTCAAGACATTTGTTGACACATGAAAATATAGACGTAAAAAGAATTAAAGGAAAATTGATGTATATTGAGACCATTAAGTGGCTATTAGAAAACCTAAAAAATTAAAGGAAAATTGATGAATATAAAAAGAACGCTCTACTCAACAAGAAAAGAAAGAGAATCAACAAACACATTCAGATCAAGGTTATAGAATGTGAAACAATTAAGGGTGAATGACACATTCTCAACAAGAAGTTTCCACACGGAGAAAGCCTGAAACACATTCTACATTGCCCCTCCTAGAGTTGTGAATTTCAATGAAGATTTTTGGGTATAATCTTGAGTTAGCTGAAACTATTAAATCAAACAAAGGTGAGTGAAGTCTGTAACTTGATATCTATTTTACAAGTCACTTAATGAAGCCTTAGGATGTATCACTTGGAGGGTGGAGTATGTCAAGTAGACCGAACTATTATAAAATAGTGAGTGTGAAATATAAATTATATTATTTAAATCATAATAACTAATTAATTAAGCCAAAATCAATTCACCTCCCCCCTCTTAGTATCATGTGATGTCATATGAAATTCAACAAAAATATTGTCAACGGAAATTTTCAATGGTGAAAAATGAGTTATTTTATCTCTTCTTTTTTCTTTTCTAATTGACCTTTTACTTTGATTTGATTTTTTTTGTTCTATGTGTTTGTTGACTTCAATTATCTTGATGTTATGCCTAAAAAACATATTTCTAAACCAAGGAGAACTAGATGTAATAATTTAGTACTTAATTCTCTAATTAGTGCAGTGAGGCATATTTCAAATAATTTATTTATTTTATCTCAATGTGATCAGTTGTCAACATCAGAATTCTTAAACCCATCATACAACACCTTTGCATTTGTATTAATACAGCAATAAAAATGATGTAAAAAAATGATAATTTATCATTTATTTACTTTTTTGTTGCAAATTCAACAATGTGATTAGATGTTTATCCGAAGATAGAGAAAGGGGGGAAAAATGAAGATAAAGAGGACGCAAAAAGGGGAGATGTAAGAACAATAGAAGAAGAGGCGTTACAAAGGTGGGTAAAGGAGGAGAGAAAGTGGCCATCAATGCTCCCTAATACCCACATAAATGGGTGCCAAGGCAGTCACACAGGGGGAAGGAGGGAGGGTGGGATAGAGAGATGAAGAGATTGTTGCATCAATAGGCAGATCGAATCGCATTATTTGACATCATTCAAGCTAAAAAAAATAAAGATGAGATTAAAAAATCAAGCCTAGGATTTAAGCATGCTGACAGCGACGCTACTTTAGGGGTTGTCCCAAAGGGACCACTATCCCTGTGCTAGAAATTGTCTTCTAAGGTTGAACCCGTCTTTCCCTGGAGATCGAGTTTGCCTGGTACAAGTCCAACCAGTGGTCAAGAACAGCACCACAAAATGCAGAAATGGTGATGATCGCAAGAGAGGTTGACTGAGAAGAAGAGCACCAAGACAGAGAGAACTGCGCGCGTCTAGGCTGGAGAAGAACGAGAGAATGGAGGTGGCTTTCAACAACATCCCTTCATGTGTCTCCCCTTCTCTCTAGGGCGGACTAAGCTCAATGAGATTTCTATCTATTCTCTTTCCCTTTCTCAACCGTGCTCTCGACTACTGTTTCCTTTCGTACCAGCGCAAACCCAATCATGGTGGCTGAAGGAAAGAAGGCTTCGACGTCTATCTCTAGTATGCACCTGGAGGGGATTTCACGAGCTGGGATTGTCTGAGGGCGGGGCGGCGTCCTAGTCGACGTGCTCCTATCTCAGGGTTGCTTTCCAAACTTCTCTTTGATTTCGGATTGAAAATTATCATAATAATCAGTCTGCGGTCCGATTAATCCGATTTCTGCATCATTTCATACACAAACATTTGATGTGCATTTTGGCGAAAATCTCTGTATAGGCCGTCAAGTTTATTCAACAAACACAGGAAATGATCGAGCTCGGTGCGAACACGAGACGGTCGTACCTACTTGGAGACGCTCGTCTGGAGGGGGAGAGAGCTCTCGACCTCCCCGGCATTGGCGGCCGCCGAACTCCTCTCGGCGACAACCTTGGACATCCCGAACATCTGAAACCGCGCTTCAAGACAGCGTCTATCATGATCTCGTTCTAATCGTGGCGAGCGACTGAGTGAGTTAGCAGAAAACCCCAAAGCCTACCTTCCGTATGGTCTTCTGGAAGCAGGTCTTGTGCTCGTCCATGGAGGCGTGGATGAACTCGTCGACGTGGTCCCTCAGATCCTCCAGGAAGCTTGCGTCATCGGATTTCTTCTTCCGGCACGAGGTCGTTCCCGCGCCGCCTCCGGCAGCCGGCGCCCTAGCTTCCTCTTTCTCAGGTTCCATCTCCGGCCTGGTCTCCTGGCTTGGACGAGGAACGAGAGAGAATAGACGAGAGAGGAGGGAAAAACCAGCGGCGGAAAAGCAGAGACTTGGGGAAGAAGCACCATGACCTTCTGGAAGCCCATAAGTGGCCTATGTAAATGGGCCACATTTGGGTTTTAAAATGTGTGGACTATAAATGGGTTGCCTTTCACGTAAACATGGCCCGGCCCGAAAATAAGACAATTAATGGGCCTTCCCCGGTATGGGGCTTCCTGGAAGACCTGTGATGGCCACGTGGTTTTATTGGCCCGATAACATCCATACCATTTTTCAATAGGCCCATTAAAAGAACGAATAATGACGTTTATGGGCCGGAAATATTTGGGCTCGAGAAGAAAATGGTGGAAGTCTTGGGCCCATCCGAAATCTGGCCCAATAAGAAGTAGACGTTCGGCCCGTTAGTAAGCAGAGAAGAAGGGTGAGGGAGGTGGCAGAGAAGGCTAATCAGGAGAGATCTTCCCCAGTACTCTCTGAAAGGGAGTTCCCGCCCAGGCCTCTCGGGCTCCATGGCTGTGCCGGGGAACGCTCCATTCAAGGTCTACCCTTCTCATTCTTTCAGAATCGATCTCGTTTGAATTGCCTGCTCTGAGACGGCCGAGCCAGTGGGTGGAGCCGTTCGTGATTCTGGAGATTTCGCCGTTGATCTTGCTTTTCCTTGGCTTATTAATGCGGATTGTTGGTGATGAGCTAGGTTATATTGGGCTCGGCTTCGGCGACCCGCAGGCAGATTTTGGCTGAGATGGGATACGAGTTTACGATCATGGTTAGTGCCGACTCCCCGAGCCCTTTCATCATTTCGAAGATTTCCCCAGAGTTTTGTTTTCCGTGGTTTTGATTCCTTCTGAATTGGGTGAAGACGGCGGACATCGACGAGAAGAGCATTCGTAAGGAGAAGCCCGAAGAACTGGTCATGGCGCTGGCGGAGGCGAAGGTCGGGTAGCCTTTTTGGTGACTGTTTTTTTTGGCATGGAAAATGTCGCGATTAGTTCATATTTTTTAACCGTTTACGGATCTGGTTTCTCAAAAAGGGTAGTGCTAATGTTGCCGCGTCTGCATTGCTCAGGCTGATGCCATTATATCAAGGCTTCCAGCTAGTAACTACAAGGATCACGAAGAACCAACACTCTTGATTACTGCTGACCAGGTGTGTCTCTTTGGTTCGTCCAGTAATCCATGATATATATACATAGACAAACATATTTGGGTTTGGTTAGCCCACAAGGTGTAATAACCAAACATAGATACGACGTGCCTTTGAATCTTGATTATTGTGTCATTATTTTTAGCATCTGAGGAGTGTGATGCCCAAAATAGATAAGCATCTGAGGAGTGTGTCATAAAGATTCTGTATCTTCGGGAATTTTTTAGTTTGAAGATAAGAAAATGGACCAGTTTGTTCCTTGTTTTCAATGGAAGATCCTACCATAATTTCTACGCATTAAATAAGAACCATTGATTGTTGTTGTGGTCATTCTTACTTTGGATTCTGTTCGAAAGAACGAAAACCTAGATTAATCGGTTTTGTTGTATTTGATGATTAAATCTGTCTTAGGATGTGGGATTTCCAGATTATGGTAGGATCATGGAAAGAAGGCCTCGGAGCCGATTTTTCTATTATGTCGGTTGGGGATCATCTTTGACCCAATTTTATCTCCTCGAATCTAGATTAATCTGTTTTCTTGTATTTGATAATTAAATCTGTCTTAGGATGTGGGGTCTCCAGATTAAATCGCGTGATCATGGAAATAAGGCCTTGGAACCAACTTTTCTATTGTTTCAGTTGGGGATCATCTCTGACCCCAAGTTTACCCCCTCATGGTGTAAACTTGGATTATTTAAAGCTAATTTTACCCTGGAATTGATCTCCATGTCTATTCTTTACACTTGTGAATTATTTTATCGCAATCGATCAATTTTATCAAGAAAAAAAGTTATTACTTTTTCTTGTTTCCTTTTTCAATTATCTTAAAGATAGCTCGTATGAATGAAATCACCGAATTTCCAATTTACTTTCTCGTGTGTTGTCTCCTAAAGATCGAGAGGCTTTGAATGCCATCTGCTTGAAAGTTATGTTGGGATTAACTCAGGCAACCTTCCAGGTGGTCGTCCATGGAGGATCTATCAGGGAGAAACCTTCCAGCAAGGATGAGGCGCGCCAGTTCATCAAAGGTTTGCTGAATGTGGTTCTTTCTCTCCTCTTTTTTTGTTTGTTGACTTCTGCTGCACGCATTTGTCAACGTCACTTTGACTTTTTGCAGGGTATTCTGGTGGGCTTGCCTCCACAGTGGGTTCTGTGCTTGTCACCAACCTCAAGACAGGCATCAGAAGTGCGGGGTGGGACAAGGCAGAAGTATGCCTTTTATCTTGGCTTATAGTCTTTAACATTTTATGGCCCAAACTTATAAAGGGCATGTGAGAGGAAATACACGAATGTAATGTAAAAGTGCAGATTTTTTGAGAATGGTAACTTCTCGAAACTAATAATAACCTGTATTTGGCAAAGTGAAGAACGCCTTAACCTGAGTTAATTGATCCTTCGGGCACCTCCAGATTTCTTTGTAATCCGAGTGGATTTTAACCGTGATGAACATCATTGCTCCCTTATATTTCTTGCCATTTTACTCCCACTCACTTTGGTCCTCTATTTTTGCCATTTTTCTAGGTCTATTTCCATGCGATTCCCGAGGAAGTCATTGAGAGTCTGGTACTGCAAAACCCACCATTTATTTCCTTTTTTTTCAGATAATTTCCACCTTTTCAATCAGATATTTGATCGAGAGTGCAGTTTTTTTGGTAAGTTTTTTGCTCCATTTAGATAAATATTCTGAAGCAATTCCATGTTTTTTTTTTGGCTTTGAGTTCCTAGATTGAGGAGGGTACTGTGCTCTATGTGGCAGGAGGCCTCATGGTGGAGCACCCCTTGACATCACCATTTGTTGATTCTGTGGTGGGTCCTGTTGTCTATCCACCTCTTTGGCCGCTTTTCTGCTCCCTGCTGGCCTCCTCAATATGTTGACAAAACCATGCCATTTGATGTGATGTAGGTGGGATCTATTGACAGTGTGATGGGGCTTCCAAAGGCTCTGACTGAGAAGCTCCTAAGAGAAGTTCTATAGCCTTCGTTGACTTTTGCACCCCTCAGGTTGGAATTCGAAGACAGAGATCCCCTTCGTTCTGGTGGTGATCATAGCTTGGAAACTAGAATTGTTATGAAATTCTTACTCTTCATCGATTTCTCATATCTTACATCAGAATGAATAGACAGCATTAAAAAAAAAAAAAAAACTCAAAAACCATCATCCACCTGGTTGTCATCATATAAATTTCCTTATAAGATGTGGAAAAAGGTAAGATAATATCTGACAAAATTTGCCCTCCAGAAGGAAGACGGCTGCCCATAAATGATGATAATACACAATTATGGTAGAAAAGGCCTGGAAAATAGGCTAAAAGCTGGGGCGTTGACCAAAACCCGTCAGAGTGCTCGGCCTTTTACACTCTGTTTTGGGTCTCTCCTGCGTTCCTAGATCTGATACCGTATGGTTTCATGGGTTATGGCCGCATGAATGCTAAGGTTGGTGATGCCTCGGAGCCTTGAGCAAGTACACGCTCCTCACAAAGCCTTTACCCACTTCTCCTACTTCCTTCAGAAGTGAACTCGGATCTCCACTGTTCTTGTCGCTCACTTCATCTCTCTCTCTCTTCTGCAGAAACCCACACCATTCATTCATTTATTCATTCATTAAATAGTAAATATTTACTAGAGATAGTAAACATGGGTTGTAGGTACAGTTTACCTTTGAAGCCTGTTTTTCCCATGTGAGGCCCACAGCATCGCCCCCAAGAGAATCATACCACACCTTGAATGTGTCTGGGAACTCCTTCTGCAAGAGAAGTCAAATCTTCTATTCAGCATCAGCTGTTCTCTTCCCAAAAGGGAAAATGAAACAAATTCTTTGAATAAAGTTGTTTTTATTGGAATTCTCAGATGCAGAAGAACCTTCAGATCTTCCACAAAACACCTGGTTGGATCGAATCCGACCATCAGGCTACTCCTTGCAGCTTCCAAGCTGTTTGTTTCCTTAAGGAGCAAGTAGGGATGAAAGGCAGCACTCGATCTCCCCTCAATGACATGCTTTCCTGGAGACGGTTGTAGACATAAGCTTTCCACCTACTCATGGGAAGGTCACACACGAGGTAAATAAAATAAATAGATAAAGATGATCGACCTTGTTTCATATCAGTGGGAAAGAGGAGGCGCTGTGGATATGACAGCCTCTCCTGGTGCAGCAGGACGACTGCATCATAGTTATTCAAAGGCGTCCTGAACAGGCACTGCAACATGGACGAGTTTCAGGCAAAAAGAAAAAAAATAAAAATAAAATTCTTGGGTTTTCTTGGGCCCAATAAAGATGAAAACTTTGGGTTTTTTCTTTCACACCTCCCATGTGTAAGGGCTGGGCTGGTCTCTTAAGATGAGATTGGTCATGAGGTCCGCGCTGCTTCGAGCATAGCTCGCTAGTCGTCTAAGCACCTTTAGGAAACGAAATCAGTTTATGTAGTTGCATGAAACAAGGTTATGCCATTTATTGTCTGATGAATGAGGTATGAGACATGGACCAAATCCAGGGGGGAAATATAAAAAGTCACATACTGGTGTTCTTGGGGAAGAACTGGTCCAAGCCTGAGACGCCTTGTCATAAGATGTAGCCAAGAACATTGCTGGTTCTATGTCATGGGCATTTTCCTCATATGATTTCCTACTTAAGATGAACGCCTCCTGATTTGGTAAGGGAAAGAAAATCAGTGATAATTTCATCCAACAAGAACAACGAAAGAAGGTATCATATAACCCATACGTTAATCTGTTTTTTATCCTCCAATGTTAGATCGTTGTTGATGTCAACGATCAGAGGAGAAAATGTCCAATCGTAGTTTGCAAGTAGTCGCAGAAACCTGTCCAGACATTTAAATCAACGTATCATATAAACCAAAAATTAATTAATTAATTAATTAATTAATTAATAGGTTTTAATTAGTTTCCTGGACGAACTGTTACCTCAAAAACCCAGTAGTTCTTGAACATGGAGCACAGAACGGGAGCGGCATCAAGAAAAGATGAGCAACCAACAACTCGACTGCCTCCTCTGCCAGGAAGGAAGAGAAAAAATGGGACGCAATCCACCTTTTGGCAAGCCTGCAGAAGCAATCAAGATGTGATTTTTGTCAAAAAATCCTGGTAATTTGAAATTTTCGAGGCAATATCAGCAACAATAATCTCAACCTCATTTTTATTAAAAAAAATAAAATTTAATAAAAGTCTAACCGGACAACAGGCCCATATACAGAGTAACGACCCAGCAAACCATTAATCATGCTAGAATGCTGGCTGCGGAGGAACAGCTCCCTGTCTGAGGATGACACACCCTTGACTACTCCATTTCCCACTGCATTATAACTAATTAGATTAATGAAATTTATCACTAAGCTGCTTGAAAAATAAGAGTACTTAACCTGAAGATACTAACCTTGACTGATCATCAACTTTAGCCCCCTCTCATGCAAAATTCTAAGACGGAATGCATACCCGGAAATCAGGACATCCACCTCGTCCTCTGTGGCAACACAGAACACGTCCAGACCATCCTGAAGCCTGGTTCGACAGAGAGATCATCTCATACGACAATACTCGAAGAAATCTGCTCTGAACATGAAGAAATTCTTGCGCTCGGGTACCTTCTTGCGATTTCAAGAAGCCACGCGGTTTTTGTCTTCTCGATGGCTACTTCGTCCAGAGGCCACAACCCCGAGCCCTCTAACTAGAGATAATTCAAACTTTCATTAATATCACAAATATGTGATAACAGGGAAAAAAAAAAAAGAAGAGAGTGCACAGCTTACCTGTATCATAATATCGAGTGGCTGAATAGAAGCTAGAGCAAACTTCAGTGATTTCTTGCTGACGACCTTTTTGTCAGCTAAGGGATTAGGTTCCGGAGGGAAGACAGCTGTAAATCTAAAGGCTATCCAATAAGAAAGTAGAAGTTAGCGAAAAAAGAAAACATTAGATTTAATAATGTCAAAGTTTCGCTCAGGCAGAGAAAATATTGATACAGTACCTAAGCAGCCAATCAAAAGCTTCACAAGAGAAATCAAACGTATTATTCATGTATGTTTTCTGAAGCTATTTAAAGAACATAAAGAGTATTAATGTGTTACAAATCCTCATTGCATTCAAGCATTTCCCTTCTTTCATATCTGATAAAAATAACTATACATCGATGATGTTGTGAACTGTTTTTCTCTTTCAACATATCAACCAGCTCAGATGTGAAAAAAGTAATAAAATCCAGGAATTGAAAGAATTGTAAAGGATAAATGGGTGCACCTGGGTCCAAAGGCTGCACACTAGATATCTTAAGGGGAAGGCCATCCAACTGGCGCAGGCGCTTTGAGAGAATTTCAAAAGCCCCCGTTAAAGTACCAGAAAATGAGATTGGATCTGCTTTATGCAAAATAAAAAAGAAGACGAGTTGTTAAATGGATAAGAACCATGATAAGTGGGGGAAAAAAAAGGATTACCATGAGCTCCATGAAGAAGGGAGAAGTCAAGCTGATCAACAATCTGCACCACATCATCATTTGACAAGGAAAGATGCTTAGAAAGAACATGTTGTGTAATTCTTTTGACAATCTGATGCCTCTTCCAGAGTTGACATTCCCAGACTGCGCCAAGTGTAAAGCATTTTGAATGCTAGTGCATTGTTATAAATGTAGCCAAACTATGCAACAAAAAAAGAGAGCAAACTTGCCCGTGCTCTCTGCAATAGTCCCATCCTTAAACCTCCGCAGCTCTGCTTTCTCTCCCCAAAATTCTCTGAATTTTGCAGCCTGTTGCAAGATGTCAATTTCTTGTCGAGTCCAAAACTAAAGCAAAGCAACAATAAATACCTCTGCTTTATCGTCAGCATTTGGTCCAATATCAACAACTCTGGAGATCTTCTCAAAGGAGCTGAATAGCACTCCAACAAGCATTGGCTCTCGACCAAATTGCGAAAATCCCTGGAGGCCAGATGAAATATATTGCTTTTTCTTTGAAAACTATGGTATAAACAATGATAAATCATAAACGTTAGGCATACATACGTCAACAACATCCCATCCAAAGGGTGTACTTCTCCAGGCCAGACGAACCAATTTGGCTCTGTCATTTAGAGCTCTTATGAGGAGAGAGTGCAACTCTTCTTCATAAGTCTGGGAGAGTTCACCATCCAAACAAAATCTTGATCCATCAAACTTTCGAAGTCCTTTCATGTTTATTCTAGAAAACAGGAAGTTAAAACACAAAAAAGGTGAAGGCAATTTTACCAAGCTGTGGTCAAGTTTCTTATTACTGCTTTAAGGTTTCCAACTTGCAAAAGATAATCATGAAATCACTTTCACGACTCCTGAATAACTTGACTGCTATTATCATTGACACAACCAATTAAATATATGACTTCCTTCTGATAAATGGAACCTTACACTTGCAAACAAGTATTAGAATCACGTGAAGGACAGTAAGATAATTATCCATCTCAACATTTTACCTCATGACCAAATCAAATTTTGCAGGGAAATCGACCTTTGTCATGAAAATTTCTTCAAATCCACCATCTCTACATTGGTTCATGCAGTCAAGTGTCAAAGCAGCTTCATCTCGCAGCTGAGTAGCAGTTCATGAAAGCAGTAAGCTCAAAGAAAGAAACCCAAATACCAAAGGAAAACTTATCTTTCACTGTACCTAAACCATATCTTAACACACTAAAACAAAATTTACTATCAAAGTTTACCTCCAAAATGGCTGTCCTTCTCATCCGAAACGCCAAATTTGCACAGCCAGACACATCAGATATGACAACGTCAAATAACTGTCGATGTAACTCCATTTCCTGAAAGCGTATGACATTGAAAAAAGGATAAACGTTGGTTCAAAAATTACAATAAAGCAGGAAGTTCAAGCACTCAGTTGAATTCGGGGAACTAGAGTAAAAAAGTGAATATGGCAATATAAATAGGCCAGAGAACGAATTATCTCTATCTAAAGGTTTTAAAATGAAATCACTCTATTTATATGATCCGTGAGTTTTTACAATGGGGAAAAACCAGGTTGTTCTGAATTAAAGAGATTTTATCAATTAATTTTAACAGCAGAATACCCACGAATCTACCAACACATCTTATTAAGAAGAGAGATGCTCCCCATGCGCTCCAACAAGGGAGAAATCAGTAAGCCCAGGAGTCGCTTCTCAGAGGTGAAAAGACACCGATGGACTTCACCTTTCTCTTTTAAAGATTGGCCATGAGAAGAATGGTATATGAGACAAGTTAAGGAAGCAGGAGATATGGACAAAAAAGAGGTAACAGTCGAGGTAACCATACATAAGAGAGACAGGCATCATAGCAATGGTGAAACTAAGGAATCCTTGAAGCCTTCATGCAGGTATTTACACATGTTTAGATGGATCACGTAATGAATATGTCTAGATGAGGACAACATATGCAAGATCAACAGAAAAAAAACTAAAGCTCAACCTCTGTAAAAAATATTGTAACATTGAAAGAATCTAAGTGGAAAAAGGAAAAAAAAATGCAACTATTAACGTTCTTTTATATGGAATTAAGAATTATACCTCTTCTGATAGATGACCAGGAGCTTTGAGAGATAAGCCTTTGATCCAAGATGTCGAAGTGGCTGCAAGAAACATATTTTTCATATTGTATCAATGCAAACAATAAAATCAAGGTATTGTGCTGCATAAGTTGGGAAAAAGGTGATCTTTGAGATCGAATTCAAGAGACTGGTGCAAGTTCCGTTAGAGCCTTTCAACATTGTCCTCCCGACCCGTTAATATCTCTAAATTCAAGGGACTTCAAAACGGTGAAATTTGCATGGGTTCGTTCGATCTTGTTTTGTGATGCTATTTTCTGTATATCCACAATCTTGCACGTTTTTCTCAAAAAAATCATCTTCTCATCAACAACTATTGAAAAACTCGGACAGATCCAATGTTCAAAAAGGCATGAACCTAATTATCTGCAATATCTGAAGCACCTCAAGATTCCTTGAGATATAAAGAGTCGCTCTGCTATTTCACATTAGATATGAGTAGAGCTTTGCAAGTAAATAGAAATGTTGAAATGGATCCTTCATCCGGCCTGACGTCAATACTCTTTATAGTCTCTGTAATACAAATAGCCGAATTGTAGTTTCTTTTGAAATAAAATCATTATACCTTTTTTTTTTTGCTTTATACATGGAGCAATAACTTACATACCTCAAGTAACAGACGGTGGCAACTTTTAATTCTGTCAATTGATCTACATAAACTATTGTATCCTGTACTCACAAATTCCAATCCTCATAAATATGCCTATCTTATGATTTGTGAAACATCATCAAATAAAAGCATCTGCTCAATAAAATATGAATTTTTGCGGTCTATAACGCCTGTATCTCTGTCCTTTCAAAGGGGCTCCTCTTCTTCCTCCCTCCCCCCACGGGATGATGTCCAGTGTAACTTACTTCCTTAGGTCAAGGGAACCGAGTCATGTGATGGATGCATGGGTAGCCACAGAGGGCATTTGATTTTAACACATGGCCCCCAAGAGCAAACTAAGGCATGGCATGAACTAATGAACCCTTCTTCTGGTCTTATTTATCTTGAGGGTAATCATTAATGACCAATAAAAAATGAAGGTTGATAAAAACATAAGGCTTCAATAATAACGCAATAAAATATGAGACAATACTAGCAACAATGCAAGCACACGTACCAATGAATTGCAAGGAGACGCGAAAAATCTGCAGTGCATCCATTGACTTGTTGATGAGTTTCCCTCCATTGCCCACAGCAAGGAGCGATAATATGATGGACATCAAGAATCCATTAAGACAATCATGTGCATAGATGGAACTTCTATTCCTCGCCCAAACCTTCACCAATTAGTTTTAACCATAGCAGTAAGAAGATTGCAATTGAAACAATTTCTGAGCAAGAACTGTCTTTTTCTAAGGATTGTGATCAGGGGCATATCTCAGAATTATGATACGTGACAGAAGCTGTGATGAATGGTTAGGAACATACTTTAAGAAGAATCAATGCCTCTTCTAAGCTCCTCCAACCGTGGAAAGTTTTTCTGATAAATTCTGCATTGTCCTCCAGAAACATATCCTCCAGGATGCTACTATTATACCTTGGTGTAGCTCGTGTAATGCCTCCTGCAGAGAACCAAAAGGGCACATGATCAGCACAAAATTGCGTGGACCAAAGGAAGATCAATAGGATATTTGTATCACCTTCATTAACAGCACGGACATTGTTTCGGGTCAAACTCAGCCTAGAAACGTTGAAAACAGATGTTGCGCAAGGAATTATCCTTATGAAAAAGCCAGGCAGCTCGATAAGCTCTAGAGCTACAAAATCGATGAGCTTCTCGTCAATATTTTAAGCCTAATGGACCAAGAAATGCGTGGAATTCGATTCGGACGGAAGAGTCAACGACCAAACCTGGAAATACGAGAAGAACTGGTTTCCGCGCCTCGTTCTGAAGTGTTGACCACGATGCCCTACGCACTGCGGGAGAGGATTTCAGATGTTCCTTCACGACGTGAAGATAAAGACACCTCCTGGCGTGGTACCGATGGTTCATGTAGTCTTTTTCGAGGAAACATTTCTTAGGAGAAGAAATTAGATGAAAATAAAAGAATATCGTTGTAAGTGGAGAGGATTCAGAGGATGGAAATCAGAATGAAAGAACATAGATTAGTTTCTGCGTCATTTTCTTACTCTAGGCATCCGAACAAGCAGGTCGACGTTGACATCAGGTTTGGCAATTGATCTGATCGAATGGCTTCCGGCGACCACGATGGACTCGGGGGCCTTGAATGTGAACGCAATCTTTTCAGGCAGGACGTCGAGGTCCCTGACGAATCCTGGTGCAGCATCCGCCCCTACTGCGGAATCCGGGATGCAACGGATGACTTCCACGACGGAGGAGACCGCCTGGTCAAGGAGCTTCATGGTGGATGGGTCCAATTTCACATCCTTCAAGAGCTCCCTCACCTTGAAAGCCATGGAGTCGGTTTCCGGACCCATCTTCTTGTCCAGAGCTTCTGCCTTCCCTCCCCGTGCAGGGTCAGCAGAGAAGGGTTTTAGGCTTCAAAACCGACGGGAGGATCAATGCGGACAACGCTATAAAGCTGTGCCTGGCCAGTTAACTCCAGGTGCCCAGATGTCGACTTGCTGCTACCCCAGGTTGCAGGGAGACGGCGTCGACAGGGGAAAGGGGCGAGAGGTGAAGTGCGAGAGCTCGAAGACGGGTTGGCAGTGAGAGAAAGAAGGAGAGCGTAGAGAGAGAGAGAGTGGAGAGGGAGGGGAAGAGAGATAGAGAGAGAAACAGGGAGGGGAGAAGAGAGGTTTTGCCTGCGGCGCCTCCGTAACTAGGTTTCAGAGGTTCGTTAACGGGCCGGATCAGAACCGGCCCGGACAAATCCGGGTGGAAATATTTCGGGCCGGGACCTACGAAAACCAGGCCCATTTATTATTCGGCCCACGTATGATTACTCCCACTTAGGGATTCGGCCCAATACGTGCAAACGGAATAGACTAATACTGAAAATACGGAAGGCGGGTGGAGAGGGACAGAGGAAGGGGGAGTAGGAGGGATGGGAGAGCAGGAGAAGCTGGGGGAGAGATGGAGGGCCGCCATCATGAATTTGTCGGAGATGGGCGGGAATCTGGACTCCCTACAGAGGCTTGTGATGAAGAAAGCGGAGTTCGTGGACGAGGAGACCTATGCCAAGGCATCCCTCATCTCCGAACAAGCCAGAATCATCAAGGTTCCTCTGATCATTTTTTCTTCGTCATATTTGCGCATTCATTGACGTTTTTAAGGTTAATATTTTTAATCTTGATCGGTATGCTTCTCGTTTGTTGTCATTTGCCCAATGTTTGTGTTTTTCTCATCCGTCTTCTGAACAGAGATTTTCATTTGTACGCGAATTTGGGGGTTTTTCTTCCTAAATTTGATGGTCTTATTGAGAATGGGATATGATCTTGCATCGTATTCTAAGTTTTTATGCCAGAATTTCTGGGATGAAGAACGAGCTAAATTGTGCACGGTTGTGAACGGCCTAGAGAGTGATCGCCGAATTCGATTATAATAGATGCTGCAACGAGATTTTAAACTCAGAAAAATCGCGTAAAATTTATCTTAGGATTATTTTCATAGGTGAAATGCAGTCATCCTAGGCAAGGCATTCGTAAATCACGGATTAGCTACCTTAGATAAGTTTGGTGCCTGCATTTGTATTTCACTCACTTCATTCAAATGCTATTTTCTTCTGTCAAAAGGCTTGAAAACATTGTACCAGTTCATGCACCTTGCCAATATCCGAATATAATCAAGTAATTCCTACCCGATTTGGTGGCTTTGACAATTGAACCCGTACTCTGTTGTAATCATTGTGTGGGTCATTGACGTGCCTCTGTGTATTAGTGAGTGACATTACAGTTTCCTTGAAGCGTGGAGATAGATCATTTTAAATTTAAGAGTTTCAAGTTCCCAGTTCTGGACTAAGTAAGTTTTTGGCATTGATTGCCATGAAGGTTGTACGGGTTTTCCATCGTATGTCATAATTCCCTCCTACATTGGCTTACATGGGAAGTTATCTCTGAATTTTGTGCTGAGCAATAGCATCTCCAGTTTCTAGCTGCATGAGCCATTTTTTCTGCTTGTTCAGGGGGTCATGTCCTTCTACTCACTGCACATGACTAATGATTAGCCGTTTTTTTTTGGGTGTATAGTTGGCCGAGGACCAGGTCACCTAGGTAAATGGTGAGAATAGAAATATCATTTACTTTATACCAACCTCCCAGAAGAATGTTTTTTGCGGCCACCCATCTTAATGGATGAAGAAGTCAGATGATTTCAGCAATGCATTCAAGTATCCAAAAGACGAAAATGGCCAGAAGGAGAAGTGGAAGAACTTTATTATGGGATAAAAGGGAATGTAAGTGACTAAAATTGAAATATTTTTTCCAAACGATCATTCAATGTGCTTTAAGGAAATACACTTGTTGACGCTCACTCCAATATCACTTTAATTTAGAAACTAAATAAGCTGCTACTATGCTATGCACTATTATTTTGTTTCCTGTTCGGAGATCTCTTCCAGATCGCTTAACCACCAAGCTAAGAAAAATCGTGCTGATATTATCTGAAACATGGCTCATATTTAATTGATGAAATAAATGGGTGTTGGATTCGTACTTATCCTGCATCTTGTAAGTATACTGTCGGCCTATTCGCCCATCTAATTTGTTCCATCTATTTATAGTCCAAGATATATTTTTTTAAAGCGATCTTAGATTATTTCATGTCACTTTTAATGAAATAGGCATGACCCCTGTATCAGATAATAGTATCTGAAATGATTTCCAAACCGGAAACAAACCAGTAATGTTTGGTTATGGTCCCCTATTTGATTTCTTCATCAATGTAATATCAGAGTGACTGTGTGTTTTCTTGGGACACATTTAACACCTCTTTGATAACTATTATTTAAATCTCCATTTTTACAAAAAAAATTATCCTTGATAGAGTTTACTTCTCCTTTTGGCCGATTTCGTCTGATGAATACCTGAATTCATTGCACTGTATCTTTTTGTGGTTTTATATCTCCATTCATTGGCCTTAATGACTGCAAAAAGCCTTATGTTATGGATGGTAGGGACCTTGAGACCTGGAAGGCGCATCTGTGTACACTCTTTGTAGAATTTAAATGGACTGGAGACATTGAATTATAGTCCGTTCATCGTGACATCAGTAACCAATGAGGATTCTCCGCTATTAGCTCATATCCTTGCACCTGGCTGTTCCACTTGCTGGAATAGTTCCCTTCCATCATTCAGCAATGGGTGTCTGTGTTCAGGCTCTTCAGCAGAGGGTGGAGACTTTGGAACGAGAGCTTGATAATGCTATTGCAGCAGCAGCTCGTGCCCGTTCTGAGAAACGACAGGTGGAGGCAGCACAGCGGGCTGCTGAGCTGCGTACCCAAGATGTTATAAAAGAGCTCGAGAACACCACAAGTATGGATCACTGAGATTATTCATATTTCTAATCTTCAAATGAATGGAATCATTTTCTCATCTCTTGTGCTATAAATCATTGATTATATGCAATTGCCAAATGAAACAGTTTACGACATGCTCACTTCTCCTTTTGGGTAAACAAAATATATTATTTTTTCATTTGGTTAATTTCAGAGGAAAAACGGTAGAAATGGTATCATATTTTAGTTGGAGGCCACTAAAAAGATGGAAAACCCCAGGATTTAAAATTTAATGTGTACAAACATGGTAGTTTATCATTGATGCTTCTGGAATTATTCGAATCATGTGGTTTCTGATGATCGACATTATCTTACTATAGTGCCCTGATTTTTTTCTTATAGAGGTTTTTGAGTTACATATGGAAGAGCTGCGGGCAAAGCAGGAGGTGATCTCCAGGAAAGACAGCGAGATCAAAGTCTTGGAAGCTATAATCCAGACGCTTGGTGGAAAGGAGTCAAACAGCGGAAATGACTAGCCCACTATGTGAGCCCCCTAATCTCCAAAGCTGGAAGTCCATCCCCTCACACACACACACACACACACACACACCACTAGATCTTCTCCTTCAGGAGTGTGCCTCCTTTTGGATTCTTCCTTCATGTTTGAGGAGCTGTTTTCATCTGCGATTTATGAGGTCATGAGATTTAGAGAGAGAGAGAGCAGGGGTAATTTTTCTTAATCACTGGGATTTTACTCAACTTCTGCACCATTTCTCCTCTGCAGTGAGCACATATGAACAACAAGGCGCTGATGGCCCGGCAGATTTTTGTGGCACATAAACTGGGTCTATACCCACCGACACTCAGCAGGGCGGGGGGTTTCAGCAACGCCAGTATGAATCGGATGTACCGTGATGACACCATCTCAGGTGATGAGGGAGAGTTTATGTTCTCATCCAAAAATTCATACGGGACGACGCTCGAACCCTATGTAGCTTTGTCAGTGTGCAGTGGCCCCTCCCTCTCAGCAATGCCCACTTGCTAAAAGACCTTCCATTAACACTTCTCTCTCTCTCTCTCTTGCTCTCTCTCTCTCTCTAGCCCAATTTCTAAGGTTTTTCTAGGGTTGGGTCCTTGTTAAAGGACGCCCCATTTTGTAAGGGATTTGATGGGTGAAGAAGAAGGCATGATGATGGTGTCTGCTGCCCGGACCTAGAAAAAGTCAACCCCATGGGAGTGACGTCAGCCAAGGGCAAGGGTCTTCATAAACGCTAGGTATTCATCAATCTGGGACTGGGTCAACGAGGGCCTCAGGCAGGCCCTGGCGGCCCAGAAGTGGCGGCCGGAGACAGAGCCCGCCGAGGGGTCCTCTCTGAGGGCCAGCATGCCCGCCTCCCTGCAGAGGCCTTCAAGGTCAGCGCCGGTGAACAGCTCCGCTCCCTCGGCGATCTGCTCGAGATCCACGTCCTTCGCCAGCTCCATCCGCCGTGTGTGGACCCGCAAGATCTCCCGGCGGCCCTCTAAATCCGGCGGCGGGACGTATAACACCTGAAAAATAAAGCATATGAAGCCCGGGCCCGGCCCACCATTGCCGTGTGTGTGTGTGAGTGTGTGTGTGTGTGTGTGTGAGAGAGAGAGAGAGAGAGAGAGAGAGGGAGGGTAGGGGCTAATCTTTTTGTCAGCGAGGTATTCTGCTCACTAAAGAAATGTCGGTGCTTCAGGTTGTGGGCTCCGGGCTGGAACCCTTTGAAGCCTGGGCTCGGCCCGCCATTGCCTACTGAGAGAAAGAGAGAGCGAAGTCTAGGCTTGATGGGCTTTCGGGACGGATCCCATAGACCCCAGATTGGGAACGGGTTGGAACTCAGCTGGTCTTGCTACGAAGGCCAGGATTAGACACCCCTAACTGGGCAAACGGACAGACTCCATAAAAAAAGAAATTTATTATAAATAATTGATATTTTAAAACTAAAAATAGAAACCCATATCCACGACCTGGAAAGACCTTCGATTAAAAAAATGGTAAATTAAATTAAATTAAACTGTATCTTTTTATCTGAAATAAATAATATGGTGATGGTGAAAATGAAGAGTACCAAATCGAAGCGGCCTGGACGCCGGAGAGCGGGATCGACTGCATGGGGGCGATTTGTGGCAGCCAAAACCAAAATTCCCTGCATGAAAAAATAAATAAATAAATATATATATATATATATATTATGGAAAAAACAGGATTAAACTGATATAATCAGCCATATTAGTCTAAAAATAGAAAAATGGACTCACATTAGCTAGTTCCAAGCCATCCATTTCCGTGAGCAGCGTGGAGAGAAGTCTCTCACCGACTGAAGAGTTCCCACCTGAACTGCCACCATGGCTGCCACTGAGGAGATTACAAGCTTAATAAACGTAAATAGTTCGAAAAAATAACAGATATATCCATTAAATCATGTTTACCGAGAAAATACGTCCCATAAAGGCACCCATGACTGAAGAGGAAGAGACGATTTCATATTTCCCACAGAATATATGAACTAATTGAGAATAATGTGCAAGCGAATATGGAAATACCTAAAAAAAATTAAATATCTAACAAAAAAAAAGGGTTCCAGATACTCACCGACTTGGTGCAATACCATCAATCTCATCGAAGAAAATTATGCTCGGCGCCGAGTGGCGAGCTTTTAGGAAAATCCGGCGCAACAAGGCCTCACCCTCTCCAACATACTTGGAATATAATTCAGCAACGCTGCATATGAATGGTAAGAACTGAAGATTTCCCAGTGAAGTCAAACCTTCGAAAATGATGCATAAAAAAGGAGAGTTTAGGAAAGGTCAGGGGATTATAGTCATCTTCACTCTGGTCAGACCCTGGCAATGGTTGATCATGGCTCCTTTCCATTAGTGGAAACTATTTTTCTGTATAATCTACCACTAATACGTTCCACCTCCCTTCCGAGATTCAAAAAATGTTTGTATTCAATTGGTCAACTGGTTCATAAGATAACGATTGAACCGGGTTTAAGTTTTCATATTAAAGTTTTTCCAATATGTGAAAATAAAATTATTTCTGGCCAGAAAATAATCAAATATAAAATATTAATATTTGGAATCGGCTGGTTTCATGTATTTATCGAACAATCTAAACATCAATTTTCTTTCAATTCCAGTAAATGAATGGCTGAAATCATGCCCGGTCATTTCAAGTCTCTGTCAATTCTTCTCTGAGTAGAAGGAAAAGAAAAACTTGCTTCGGATAAAGAAGTAACATATGCAAATAAGTAAATGAAAGCAGCACCTAGAAACAGTCGGGAATTCAATGATGGCATGGACACGAACATCCTCTCTCTCTCTCTCTCTCTCTCTCTCTCTCTCTCTCTCTCTCTCTCTCTCTCAGTTCTATATGTACAGGTTGTCTTGCCCGATTCAATCTCTATCAGTAATACAGCTATCATTTCTTTCTCAACAAATAATTGAGACGGATATAAGCAAGAACCAATAGGACGAATCTCCTGGTCATTAAGAAAATCCATTAACAAAGGGAGATACAATCAGAAGCTACCAACAAGTCGAGGTGGAAGTAAATAAGATCAAATAAGAAGCATCATCTGTTTCTCATCAAGAGATAATTCACGATTTGACTAAAGATGGTGGGACATTTTCTGCTAATAGATCATCTGAAACCCAGAGAACGAACAGCCCAACTAACCTCAGTGTAAAGAAGGCAGCTTGGGCAGCATGAGCTGTGGCCTTTGCAAGGGTAGTCTTCGAGCACCCTGGAGGACCGTGCAAGAGAATCCCACGCACTGGTGAAATCCGCAATCTTGCGAATGCATCAGCATGCTTGATGGGCCACTCGACAGCTTGCTGGAGCTTCTTCTATTTAAAGAAAATTATACTATATTTAGAGAAGGTATATTTCTAAAATAACTTGAACACTTTGGACTTTTAAAAAAAATCTCCATGCTTCATTATAGCGTGTATGTGATAAGATGCAAGAACTAAATAAAGGATCCCTCGTATTTTGTTTTATTGCAGTTTAAAATATAACAAAAAATGCTCCAGGAGAAGGAGAAATCCCCGGCATTGGAAATGCATCACTCTACAGATTTTTGGGGCTTCTATTAAAGGAAAAAAAACCCTATTTTTGAAAAATACACTTCCAAAACATTTGTACATCCACGTAAATAAAGGACCCTTCTTATTTTTATGCAGAAACAAAATTGGATATAAAAAAAATGCATAATACAATCAGCCAAGGGGGCAAAATAACCAATTATTCTGAAACTGATAAATAGTCATTATTCATTTACATATCATTCATTATATGTAGTTACGGTATAGTTTACTTTACAGAAAAAAAATGGCAATTAAATTGCATATTGATGGATGAAATGAAAGAAAAAATGTGGAAAACAAGAATGCGAATCTCTAGCAATGTTGACCCACCTTCAAATCTTTTAGACCACCAATGTCCTCCCATGACACCTTGGACGCCTCCTTTGCGATTCCTCTCGTTATGCTTGGCCCAACTTCTGATCTTGCATACTCCCAGTCTTCCATTTGTATCATATGAAAGTCAACGCCTTCAGAAGCAACTGGGGACCTCCGCCAGGCAGACATGGCCGCCTCCCGGCACAATGCCTCCAGGTCAGCGCCCACGTACCCGTTGCAAGATGCAACGATCGCTTGTAAGTCAACGCCGCCATCCAAATGCAGCTTCCTCGTGTGGAGCTGTCCAAAATTAAAAGCAACCAGAAAAAAGAATTAATTTCTATGAACGTGGTTAAGACAACGAAGCTATGGTGAACGTCAATCTTATGATTCAATTAGCTTCCAGAATTAGGAAATATATGCATGAACTCCTTACTTCCAGAATTTGCAGACGTTCCTCCATACTGGGTATCGAAACTTCAACTTCAGAGTCAAACCGTCCTGGTCTCCGTAGAGCAGGATCAACTCCATCTACCCTTCATGGATGTAATCAAATGTTAGCTTCTGATTGGTCTGCTGCAAAAAAAAAATCTGACGAAAGACCAGTCAACTCCGACTGATTGCAGTTTTCTAGCTTTTTCTATTTATTTAACTCGTTCCAAGCTGATCCGCGACAGAAATTGCAGATAAACCTGGAATTCCTTCCTAATATGAAAAAGGAGGAGAGAAGTCCTGTCTTCTTGAAAGGTTTTTAACAGAAAGAGAGGGTAGAGAAAAGAAAGGATAGACGAAGGACCTGAATAAAAGTAGTACACAGTAAAACGCCAGAACAGGGATTTGGTGGATGATGATTCTGATGAGAATGGTCAGGTCCTTGAAAGCATTCATATATGCTTGGTATTCAATAGATTTTTGTTAAAAAAATAAAAAATACATAACACCTGATCAAAAAATATATATTAAAGCAGCAACAAGAGGTTTCTTCCGGATCAACAGAATCACCTGTTGGTTGATGCCACAACAGCCACACGCTGTACAGATTCTGAGGAATAATTACTTCCATCCATTAGGGTAAGGAGTTGCCCAACTACGCGAGCCTCATTTTCCCTCCTGTAGGTGGCGGAAAAATGTCAAATCTTTAGTTATGAGAACCCATTCAGGAAGACGCTGTAAGTGGAATCTCTGCACCATCAAAAGAAAAAAAAAACAATACCTAGAACTACGGCGAGGGCAGATTGCATCGATTTCATCAATGAAAATAACCGATGGTTTTCCAGATGAGGCATGTGCATGTGCCTGCGAAAATGCTTCTCGCAGGAATCTCTCGCTCTCCCCAGCATGCGCTTTATGGACGGACTGAGGTCTTTCAGAGATAAACTAATAAGTCAGAACAATTACTAACCGAAAAAAGAAGAGAAGCACAGACCCACAATAACTCAATGAATCTTTCAACGTGGAACCTCATTACAGAGGATGAAATAAATCATCAGTTCATGGGAAAGCATTAACACATCTGGGCATCTAAAGGACATCATTTTTTAAGTGAGGGAAGAGAAAAAAGGCCTCCTTTTTAATAACAGAAATCGACACTCTCTTCACTGATTACAAGTACTTGAGATTTTGGAAGATAGAACACCAATGTGACAGAAGAATGTGGAAGCGTGCATGACAAATAAATTCCTATTCACGAAGGAAGAAGAGGGAACAAGAAACATTGAGCATCCCAACAGGTTACCTGATCAATGTCAAGTGGGCACCACTCTCCTTCACAACAGCACGGACCAAGCTGGTCTGAAGCACACACCATGACAGTTAAGGAATGAAAAGAAAGAAAAGGGGAAAATATAACGACAATCGGAGCAGAAATTAACGCATGTATTTAACCTAATCAAGGTTGCAAATGCCGTTATTATTAATGCATAATGCAAGTGTATATAATAATATTTTTTTAACTATACATCTTGTCGTTCACATGATTTCACCATCCAGGCTATAACGTACTCCAGTAATCTGAAACTGTATTAAGATCTTGAAGATCAATGGCTTCAAAGAACTAGATGGAGTCCCCAATTTTTTTTTCACCAGCCTATAGCAGCACTCTGTTTCCTTAGAACTAGAAATGATCCCCGGCCAACCCACTGTCAAGGAAAATGAAGTGTTGACTTCCAAATGTGATATAATCCATTTTGATAGAGATGTTCTTTAAGACATACAGGTAAGTCTCATCAACGTAGAACACCATTGAAAACAATAAATCAGAGGTAAAATAGTATGCAACTTAGTTGGTTAGATAGGTACGGATTGCACAATACCTTTCCAGTGCCAGGAGGGCCATACAGCAGCAATCCCCTGGGCCACTGAAGAAAGAGGATAAAAGCTGAGAGGGAAAGGAAAGGAGCCAGAATTGAAGGGCCTCTGCGAAAGAAGCCGAATCATGTGAAGGAGGAGGGAGACAGTGAAGTGAGATAACCTTAAGTCCGAGTATGGAGGCTTCACGAGAGTAGATAAGAGGGTAGATGATCAGCTCTCTAAGAGCCTGGAGGGCCACTACATTCCCGGCTATGGCCTCCTCGGCCCTCCAATGCTGCTTGGCACTGCAATTTTCCTCCATAAGAACACTCGTCCCAGATAGACCAAGTTGATCTCTTTATCTTCAAATCTGGGTGAACAGCACAAGTGAAAGCTGAGATAAGTAAAACTGGGTGAAGCAAATAAATATACTACGCGGCAATGCCAATTGGGCTCTAACAACGTGAAGACCGAAAATAGGATGCTTGGATTTTCCCTCTGGGAGGGGCGGTGTAGTCACCATGCTCAAATGAACAAGAAAAGAAAACGGAAACGGATGAGGGTATGAATCAGAGAATTTTCATTCAGAGCTTCTTTGATCAGTTCCTTGGTTTGTCATTACTGCCCTCCTCAGTTCTCCAAGAACTCTGATAAGCGATACCGGCAGAGGTCTTCCCCATCGGCTCTTCTCCCTCAAAAGAACAGATTCATGATGGATTGGACTTGAGCGTAACAAGGAACAAGAAAGAGGAACGCACCGGCGGAGGCTTGCGCCCTGCAATCGGACCCAAAGGTCCCGCGTACTCAGATACGGCGATGATGGGATACGGAAAAACTATCTATCGACCGGTGGTTAAATCCGAGCGAGCGAGCGAGAGCGAGAGCGAGAGAGAGAGGCCATCACCGACTACGGCTGTGACGGTGCGGCCCGGCGTCGACGATACCCCGACGGCCGTGGTGGCCTCCCCGCAATGCGGAAGCAGGAATATGGGCAACGAGCCAGGGGTCTTCGAACTCAAATGGCTTCGGCGAGATGGGTGGAAACAAGGGTTTTGGGGAGTGTCGGAGCTTGGATTGCAGCCAGACGCGAGTCGAGGACGGGGGGGGCGGGAAGAGAGGCTGCGAGGGCTCCGCGCGGGAAGAAGGCGGGCTTTCGGGCTGGACATTCCGAAGCCCGAGCTTCGACCGGATTATTCTCGGGCCACAACAACCAGGCCCGAAAAATACGTGGGGGGTTGATCGAGGTCAGTTGACCCCCACTGGAGATCAAAGCCCCATAAATGAACCTCAAGGAGACGTGCTTCGTGTTCGGCCTGGATATGTACCGGGTCGGGCTCACTCACATCATAAAGTTTTGGGCCCAAAAAATGGCCGGGCCGGTAATCATTAACGTGATTACTCCTTGATCAACGAACTATAGCAGCCATCTCATCCCACCACCACGAAACCCCATGAAAGAAGAATTCATCATCAGATCCCCATTAGCTTTGATGCCAAAGATCTCAGCTTTACTGTCGCCGGCTGACGGCGGCGCCGCCGGCAGATGCCTGGTTCGCTGCCCGGTTGCTCCCAAAGTGCATCCTGTTCGACTCCCTCGCAATCCTCGACCCAAACTGCAGACAAGTGCCAACCCATGATGGTGAGCTCAGCAGGAATGGGCCTACTTTCCAAGTATAGAAAGAAACTCAGTTACGGAGGCATTTCGTTGATAGAGAAGAGAAAAAGAAAGGATCTTTGGAAGCTGGGTCTAGTGAGAGAAGGGGCTCCCTGCTCTCCTCTGCTCTGCTCTTGTAGAGTTTTCACCTGGATGGCCCTCTTGGGCAAGACGGAGGCTGCTTCCAGACCCAGCAGCCTCGCCACCTGCAAGAGAGAGAAGGATCGTCACGCACAATACTCCAGTCTGGGAAAATCGGCCAAGCATTCTGCCATTACTTACTTCTCTGAGGATCTTCTTATCACCTCTCCCAGCAGGTTGATCGAGCTCTGCAATCTCCCGCAGAGGGATCTCCAGCAAGGTCTCGACGACATCCTCGTCCAGAAATGGGAATCTGGCCTGGATGTTCATACCCATTTCGGGAATCAGGACGGCGGGCGGCAGGTCAAGAAATAGAAATCTTCGAGGCGGGCGTTACCTCCTTCCCATGATCGGAGATGCAGCGGTCGTCCCTCCCCATGTTTCTTATCCAAATTCTCTGCATGTCCAGCCTCATCTCCTCTTCCAGGGCAGCCCAGCTGAGCAAAACAGGGATCAGGCGGCGAGGCATGCAAGAATACTCTGGTATTCATACTAACCAAATTGAAGGCAGAAAAAATCCAGAAAGTAGCAGGTCAAATTTATGAAAGATCTCACCTCTGTGTCGTCCATCGGTTGATCTTTCAAAGTAGAGAGAAGAAAATATATTACTTTAAATGATCATTGCATCAGAGGAAGGGAGCAACGAGAGATAGATCCCACAGATGATCTATGATTCATCAGGCTGCAATCAGGTCACCATTGGCAATACTGAATCTGGTCTCAGACTGGCGTGAATATCATCCAATTCGGAATTGACCCAGTTTAGGTTTACATGGATGGAAAGAATCAAAGAAGAGAAATAGTTCATCAGAGGGTATAATTATTTGGTAATGTTTCTAACATGGGAAGCGGCAATAGCATTAGAACAACCGGATCAGGTTCATCTGAAGAGAATAACTAGAACGCAGGATTAATCCAAAAGAATGAGACTAATTGTCTCAGACAGCAGAACTTTGGTTTCAGAGGTGGTGGTTTTATTTAATCCAAAGAAACCTCTACTGAAAATGGAGCACGAACAAAGACAGAGACCAGTTGGATACCAGCTCTCAAAGCATCACATTCTGGGTTTGTTTGTATATGGATTGTAGACTTTGATCATTCGAGAAAGACATCAATTATGTTCAATGAGATCTGAAGCACTTCATTATTTTACAACTGCATACATATCATCACATTGATTGCTCTCCAGGCAGAGAAACTTCAGAGAGGAAAAAAAGAATAAAAATTTCATACCCCCCAAGCCTGTACTTGGTCCTGTGCCGACCATATCCAGCGCATTGCTCGTCAGCGCCAGCACCAACAAGAAGGATCCTAGCAGTTGACTTGTACTCATAACGACAGGAATCTCCAGGAGGATTGCAAAGCGCCCCGTCCACAAACCCTTCTCCTCGGGCTGCCAGCCATAATGCAACTCCAATGTTCAGATCCTGAGAGAAGACAGCTACATGAGCTCTCTGTAGTCAAGTTGGAATCACGAAATTCGTGAGTACATAGTCTCCCATTGATTGGCAATTGAGAATTTTTCATGCATAGCAAGCATGCCATCATCAAACTTTAGGGTAAACTAAATCGTGGATGTGAGAATGATGACAGAAAGCTACAACGGTCACTGGGTTTTACTGGGTTCTCTGCCCGCATATGCTTGATCTTTTGTACAACTGGTGTCGACATAATGAAAGTTCAGGTCAACAGAGAACTAGGATGTACAGACCACTACAATGTTATGCACTCTTATTTAACGTGAAAATAACACTATATAATGCAACTGAGAGCTTACGAACGAAGAAAGAAAAAAGGAGCCACCAGGAAAGGCATTTTTAAATCCAAATAAATAGCAAGCAATGGCAGCACCCTCTCTGCATAAACAATAGGATTTTGGAATATTACCCGCCTCCATCTTTAGAAATTCGCTCCAGAGAAGAGCTCAGAAAGATTGGCAGGGCTATGGCAGAGGATTATGGGGGTAGAAACATTCAAGCTTACGAGGATAGTGGCCATCTGTTCACATCACATTTAAACTGCGGTTTTTGGAATTTCAATGAACTGAATTCTTTTGATATGTAGCTGTTCATGCACAAGCTTATCTGAGATTATTTTATGTAGAAATTTCTCCTCCATGTAATTATGCATGGATACTCCATCATTTAATATCCCATGCCCTCTGGAATTTAAACCGGGATTGGGTCCTGGATCAGCCAGGTTTGGTCCACGCTCAGATATCTTAGACAAGAGTAAGAAGTTACTTCTTTACTAGTTATCAGGGGTAGGTGCATCTGTACTTCATAAAAATAAGAAAAAGGAAAAAAACTTGTTGAAATAAGAATCTTTTAATTCAAGCTTCCAATCCCAAAGTTATTAGCTGTCTCTTTTCTATTATTTTTCCCTGATTCTTCCTCTACAGAAAAAATAAAGGTTGTCAATACCGAGGCAGACCTTTAGCCGCTAATCCATCTCTGCCTAAATTTCTTTCTTCACTTTCAGCGGAGGAAAGGAGCTTCCACCTTAAAGTTGAACCCACTCAACCCCACACCGAAAAAGAAAAAGGAACATTGTGATGTACAACACCCAATTCTCGCAGGAATCTGCGATGCCAAACACGCCAAGAGAATCTCCAAGAGAAATATTTTTCCAGCTATACGGGGAAGAAATAGACAACATTGAATACCATGTAGGTTTTTGCTGGATGTATGAGTGACATTACGTGCCTGGTTTCTGACGCCAAATTTGATAAATCACCATCAATTTCTACAAGTCGCCATCTGCTGGCAAAAAATAATCATAGGTTAAAGAGGCAGACTAGCTAAAAACATGTCCGAGTTCAGGTTCTAATCATGCGATAAAAGGCAGAAAGAAAGGAGCACGTAAGAGGTTTCAAAGAACCCCAAGATCAGGTGTGTTCAATGAAGGCAGAAAATATCCATTAAACCTTCTGAGGGTCCAAAAAATTCAATACAACCTTACGTGAGCCTGAAGCCCAGTGGTCAGAAGAACTGATAAGACCCCATTCGGACATAGAGCCAAATGGTAAAGACCAGATAAAATCCCAACGTGGACTTACATCTCTATGATCCAATTCAGTGTAAAGTCGTTGAATTGACTTTATCCTATAGTCTCCTCCAATGGAGTTTATCCTATAAATTGTTGAGTTTTCAAACCACATTCAAACTTATATGTTTATGTCATCACTTTAAAACAGTTAATCAAAGGCATTCCATCGTCAAAAGGGTATACTAGCACTGATTTTAGTTAGGGGGAGGATCCAAATCTAAACCAAACTAAAAGGCTCAATCCACAAACGGGGCCCAATAAGAAATATATTATCTCAAGTTTCTCAAAAAGATGAAACAAAACAAGTTTTTCCTTTCAAAAATTAAAATTAAATGATGCAAAAAACATATTTATGTCCCTTAAACCTTCCATTAATTCTCCCCAATTACCTTTTTTGTTAAGTCTTCCTCTCTAAATTCAAGAAGAAGTTGAGGTCACCCTTAAAAAGCAATAGATTCATGAGACCATCTGATCTGGGAGTGGGAACTTTGATCAAACTGAATACGGACCGATCTTCAAAATAATAGTTACACCTATTTTTATGACAACGAAAATAACTAAACCCAGGAATATTAGCCAGCATGACAAATAGATCAAGATGACTGCCAGCCGCGTATGTAGCAACAACAATGAAAATGGATGAAATTCATACAATAAGACCCCCACAATACATCATGAGTGATTAGAAAATGTAAAATTTTTCATACACTAATACCTTCTAGATGGAGCGATCCTTTGAAGTTCCTTCAGTCCGTCCTTAGCAGAAATTCTATCAGGAGCAACAAGTCCATCGAAACTTACATTTAGAAGATCAATTTCATCTGTGAAGGAGTATTGACGCTATTTATCAAAACAAATGATGACATAGTGAGCTAATTTATAATGCAGACGGGCAATTTTATAATAATCTGAAAGCAATTTACTTGCGCAAATATTAAAATCTTTCCATGAATGTTTCCATAGATTTATAACTTAATTGATGTTTAGAGAACAAAATTCAAGGCAAACTCAATTTTTAGTTTATATGAAATGAACTCTTTAAATGCCACAAATACAATTGTGCAAGTTGGTATAAGAAGGCAACATAATGTTGACATTACATTGTTGATCCAGACATTGGTGTGATAGAGCAGCAAGTATCATAGAATCCAATCCTCCAGAAAATAAAAGCGCCAAAGGTGCAGGTTTTTCTTCTGCAGTCTGACAAAGATTTGTCTGTACGTCAACTTAAATAATAAAGAGAAATGAAAAGGAATGATTCAACTCTCAAACAAAAGGACACTATTTATTGCTATTATCACTCCATCACTGCTCGTTAAATGTATACATTAGGAAAAAGAAATACAGGTCTTAGCATAAATACATATTAACATTATGTTGATGGTAGAAGAAAAAAAAATTGAAGCACTGAACTAAAATCTGAAACAACACTAGAAGAAGGAAGTAACTACAGACCCCCCAAGGCATTCTCGGCGTGGAAATGATTGTATGATTAGGCAAGGCGGTGGATCAGATATCAAAACTCTGATAGTGAATCGTAAATTGTTGAGTTTTCAAACCACATTCAAACTTATAACGAATCAAAATTCTGATTTCCTGAAAGAGTGTATACATATCTGCATCCAGACGAGCGGTAGCAGACAACTAACTATTCTTTAGCCAGCTTGACTATTCTATTATTTTCCTATATGGTTTCTGAGTGAATCATCCGACAGTGATCCGTTCCTTTCACAAAATATGGCTCACAGTGTTGCCTGAAGCAACAGATAAATCAATATTTCTCTCGATGAAAGAGTGATCCTTTACCCCAATAATTCGTCAGGCTATGAATATCAAAGAACTTACACGACCGTATCTCCAAGGCTCAGTAAATGGTTCCCAACATTGCATTAACGGTCCTCATATGACGACCGAGTGGGGTTATGTGGTTTAAGGCAGAGAGGGAATTCTGCTGCAGCTTTGAATTTATACAGATGTTGTGCTTCACTGCATACACGAGCTTTTTAGAAAATATAAATGTGTACGCTTTTACAACATCGAAAATACAACATTTTTACCTCCATCTGAATCAGCCTCATCCAGAAAAATTTCAAAATCAACCAGTCCAATCCCCCAATAAAATACTTGTCTAACCAATCCAATTCTCCAATACAATACTTGTCCGATGGTCACATGACCATCTTTGCTGGATATCAAAATACATGTTAACATATTTCTTCAACAAGAGCATCAACCACAATTTCACAACTCAATGCCTAATTTTTTTTTCAGACAAATATCAAGATGCTCACCAGAGTGATCAGACATTTTTAATGGCGCCTAACATCACCCAAATTTAACATAGTACAATGAAGTTCACAAGACTATCATGTGAATTTTAGCACACTGCTTTCTCTAGCAGACCCACTGATGAAGACCCAGCTGCGACGTTAACGGATTTCATAAATTTTGACGGATAAATCAGAAACTTTTTGCCTCATGTATTTTAAAGATTCGTGGCGTTTATCATTTGAAGAAAGAACCGCAAACACATGGGAAAATGAGTGAAAAATGATTATAGGGCCAAATAAGATGACTTTCTAGCAGTGAAACCTTAAACATGGTCAGAGAGGTGCGACGCGTCACAGATTCTCTGAGAGAAATCAGCAGCTTCTGAGCAGGATGAAAGTTTCCTGAATTCCAAACAGAGATCAGTACCACAGATATTGTGAGAATCGGAATTTTACACTAAGAAACATCGTGTACCTCCAGGAACTTTGCTTTGGTTTACAAATGGAACCTCCTCATGCGAACTGAAACAAATCTCTGGCCAAGAAGGCAAAGCGTGCTCCTCTCCAACGAGCACATGTGGACAAGACTCTTTGGGTTGAGAATCCACAGGTCTTCTCTCCCATTTAACAAGATTATTCAGCAAGGCATTTGTCCATTCATGTTTCCGTATTCTAGATATGAGGCTCTGCATACTTCCCAAGAATTTGTCTTTCGAAGCTTCCATGCATAAGCTATATATACCACAAGAAAGCTCCTCCCAATCATAAGCGCCCGGAATGTCAACACCTTGATGATGTCCATCTAATAAAACGCCACCATTGGTTTATGTTACAGACGCATTATCACATTAATGTTTAATGTAATGCACCATATTATTCATCAATTGCCATACAAAGACAGTAGGCTAAGAGCCATCGAAAAGAAATGCACGCATGTAATCAGTCTGACTGGAATGGATGAACAGAAAAAATTATATCCACTATTGATCCATGAAAAGAGATCATGCCATACCAGAGATTCCTCTGACAGACCAGAATGGTGAAACAGAAGATAATACAAATTGGGGGTCATTCTCAGTTGGCCAGTGAACAAGGAGACTTCTCCTTCCAAATGCATCACGCCCAAACCATAAGGTCCTTGACTTTGCCTGGAAAGATTATTGAAGGAATGAGATATGGCCACACCAAAATCAAAACCGGTTTCAAACATCATTAAATGCTCATAAGCAAGAAGCTCAAACTACATGATAAAGAGGGAACAAATAGTACCTGCCAGTAAATCAATGCCCATGGCCCTTTAACTGATGAAAGAATGTCAGGAACAGAAAATTTTCCCTCTTCAACACAACGGTCTTTGTGGTCTCCACATTTTTCCAGTGTATCCAAAAGAGTTTCGCCATCATTTTTATCTCTATCAACATGAATTCCTCCAAATATCTCACCTATAGATACAAAAATATCAGCTAAGAACATCGAAAAAGAGCAAAAGAAGAAAGATGAAATATGCAAACAGAAACCCATAGGAAATGCCAATAAATGAGAACCAAATCGGTATCTCTGCTACTATTCCTCGAAAAAAAATATTAATAGAATTACTCAATAAAATGAAAAGAATGGGCCCAACACAATGTGGTGAAAAAAATCCAAATCGCGACACAGTATACGAATGTATCGCCAGTAAAATATTTGCTGTGTAGCACTTGTATACACCATTGCTGCCAAAACTACACTTAAGTAGTTTCATTGCAGTCACCTACGGGTGGGATCAGGAGGCATAAATATGGAGATGAACAGAATCATTGAGAAAAAAGGGGGTCAAACTTATCATGCATGGACCATGTGTTCTTAGACAAAGGAAACTAATCATTTATAATATCTCCATCTACCTAGCCCTCTGGCATTACGTCTGCCAGGTAAACTACAATAGCTGACCACCAGAGGTCTTTATGATTCCAATCCATGCAAGATCAAAGGCAACACTAAGAAGAAATAACTAACTGTCCTAGGGCATAACTCGTATAGAATTGCTAAAAAATTGAGTTTTCATTTATTGCTTAAATGCGGGGATGCGGGACGACTTTCTGCCAGCTTATAAAATGTGGCATCAATGCACGTAGTCTCTGTTTTGACTTTCTACCAAAGACAGAACGCAAATATGTAAAATGGAATCAAAATAACAGACGATAATATACACAAAGATTCAAATTAGTTGCATCAGAGTGATAAGTCCCATTAGTATTTGAGGCAAATGAAATACCATTGTACACAAGGATATTTCCAGAACCATCGACTAAGGGTTGAGCAGCGGGATTGATTCCTCTAAGGTGTAACGTAGCTCCCAAAAACTGAAGTCCAATAGTATGACTCATTTCCACCTCAGAAACATCGCGCGGAGAAATAACTTCAGTCACAGAGTTTCGTTTATTCTCTGCGTTGAACAGGCAGTCCACTTTCTTTGTTTCATTTCCAGTGCCCAACTGCGTAACTTCTAACTTCGATTCTGAACTTTTTATTTCCATTTCGCACGGCCAAATTGATGGCAAAAGTCCATTAGCAGAAACAACAGATTTGCTTGACTCTTTACTCGAGAGAGAGATCCGCTTTTCTTCAACAGCACTATCCAGTTTTTGCTGAAGAAGAACCTTCTTGCTCCCTATGCTATCAGGACCACGACTAATAAGAGCTACTCTGAGATCATCTACCAATAGTTCTGGACCATGCACCTGAATACAAGTTGTCAGACTGCCGCAATCCCCAGAGCATGAATAAAAAATCGAATCATTTCCGTGAACAAAAGCAGTGAAGAGTATGCTATCATCGCATATTTGCATGTGTGGCATATTTTTAAGTTTTCTATGACAAGACAGACAGAGTAATATGCAACTTAACCAATAAAATTTATCAAATTATTGTTATTTCCAGATAAGAAGACTTCAAAACCAAGAAAAAAAAGGAGTTCCAAGCAAAACGCCTGAAAGGGTGCACCGAAATTCACGTCAATGTTGCCACTAAAAATCAAACTCAGTCATCTTATGACATAAAGGTGGCATTGGCATTACACTGGGGTCAACGTAGAGTTGTCAAAGCAATAATGGTTTTCATTCAGACAAATTACATTATTAATCAATCATTAATTACTCTTTCGCAATATTGCTTTTTTAAAGTTGGCAAAGTTTTATTTGAAACGTTACATCGGCCAGTCTGCATTCTGCAGCAACAGGCTTCTCACTTTTTGCAGTCGCTCTCAGGCTTATATACCACATCCAACAGGTAAAACCAGCGGACTATTTTAATTTTGTAAAGGTTCTGAGCAGGCAATATTCTTCCATGACCCTGGCAAGTCTGCAGTTTGTCAGTGGAGATCAAATCTATTTTATCATGCTTGTCCTCTTTCCAAATAAATAACATATTTCCCCCTTCTTTCTACCCATCAGGTTTACTATGGTCTTTAAGCTGTAGACTCGAATCGACAGGAAGACACTAGCTGTCTCTCAGTTTATTTAGAGAGCCACAGTCATAGATAACCATGGTCTACTTCCAGTAGCCGGATATGTTATCCATAAGAAGTAAAGAAATTTTGCTTGGATTCCCTATCTCTAGGAACAACTGGATTAGTGAAAGTAGATGTATCCCACGCGCCCTGTCGGAGAAAAGAAAAGCAAGGGATTACGTGATCCCCACAAGCGCTCCGGAGGAAGGAAGAAAGGACCCCAAGGCCAGCATTCCTCGACGAGCTAACCCGTTCGGCCCATCAACGCACAACAGCCTCGGTCGGCGATAAACCTTGGAAAGCAGGTGGGAAGAGGCAACAAAGAAAAGGACAAAACGAAGGGATGATCGAGTAAGGCAGTAATAGACTTAGGTACCTCTTCCGCCTCCCTGGAAGCTGGAGAGCCGCCGCCGCCGCCTTGGGTTGACTCTGGAGCGGGAACTTCCGACAGAATCAACGCGATCCCGCACATGTCTCCCCTTTCCGCCTTCCCCGAGAACGGAAAACCCTCGATGGCTTCTGCCAGGGTGATCTGATAGAGTCGTCCCCGGTTCGGATCGCCCGATTCTCAGAAATCGTTCGACTCGTCTTCTAAAAATACTTATTTTTCAATTCTTTATCATTTTAGATACCATTTAAAAGGTGAAATTTTCATAATAATCGGAAAATAAAACTTTTTTAAAAAATTAAGTGCACAATGAATATCCGCCATACGAGCGCGATCCAACGGTCTCAAGTTTTCGGGCTTTTTCTCTCGGACACGGCTTGTCTGACCCGAAGGCGGGCCCGATTCCACGTTGCGGGGTCCACCGGGAGAATCTCTCTCTCTTTCTCTCCACGTGTCGGTGGAGCATCGTTAAATCATTGAAAGTTCTTCGGCGGATGACTATCGGATAAGGTCGACGTGGCATAATCCTTTTTTATCCCAGCCAATCAGGAACGCACATCTGGAAAAGCTATTTCGAATATTAAATAACAAGTGGGCACCAAGAGACCGATCAACGCATCACGTCGCGAGCAGTCGGCACGTCAAAAGGCACGTGCCATCAGGGCGGTGGCAGCTCATCCAGGAAGCAATTGCAGCGCCGCTGAGCGCTGGCCAATCGCCATCCGCCACCTGCTGAAGAATTTATCGTGTCGATATCTGATAGGTTGGGACCGGGGACGCACGAGATTTAATCATTAGCAGACACGGGTTGCTTGGCCACGTTTTCGGGACAGTCCTGTGCGAGGTGTCGCGATAGAATGAGGAAGGCGTGGGAAGGACACGTATCTCAGAGGGGGGGTCAGGGCAAGACACGTGGAGGTAAGTAGGGGTATTTTAGGTATTTTCTCTACCAAGAACGGTAACACAGGGGAGAAGGGGATAGAGAGAGAGAAGGAACAGTGAAACCCTCGTCTACTTCCTCCTCGGTCGCTCGCCGGCGACTCTGTTTCCTGCTCTTGGCCGTTCTTCTCTGCGGCTCGTTCTCCGGCAGTTTTCTCCTACGTCTCCCTTTCTGACCGACCGGAGCTGGTCCCCTTCTGGTGGAGGGAGGAAGGGAGGGAAGGAGAAGGCTACCTTCTGGTTCTGTGGCCTAATCCCTGCCATGGCCGTCTTCCCCGAGGCAGGGACCGCCTCGGCGGCAGAAGACGATGTCCCTTAGGTGCTCGGGGAGGGAATCGAGAGGTGAAGCTTGGGGATCTGCGTGTTGGAGGGGAGAGGAACATGGCGGAGGCGAAGGATCTGCTGCGGGGGCTCTCGGGAGACTTCACGGCGGCGGTATTTCCGGCGGCGGCGGAGGAGGAGGAGGAGAACTCCGGCGAGGTGGAGCTCACCCTCGGCCTCTCCCTGGGCGGCTGCTTCAGCGGGGAGCCAGGCTCGAGGAAGGGGACTCTCCTGCGCTCCTCATCCATCGCCTTCCTCCCCTCCCTGCAGCAGGGGAAGGAGGACTCCATAGCCATGACGGCCGCGCTCGCGAGGACCAGCTCACTGCCGGTGGAGACGGAGGAGGAACAGAGGAAGCGGAAGGAGTTGCAATATCTCCGGCGACTGGAAGCCAAGCGGAAGAGATCGGAGAAGAGGATCAACTCCCGATCGTCGGCCAGAAATCGCGCCGGCGGAGAGGACCAGCAGCAGGAGGGGAATAAGAAGGCCGCTGGAGACTCAGCGGCGGCGGCCGGCGAGGGGTCGCAGGGCCCCCAAGGGAGCAGCTCCTCCGTGGTCTCCGACTTCGACCACCCGCCGCCACCTACTCGTCAAGGTAAGTCTCAAAAACCAGGGAATCAAACTTGCAAGGTCTGATCTAGGGTTTCTGAGGCCGGGCGCTTCCATCCAGGGTCCGGCGCGGCGGCAGGGGCTTCCAACGGTGGCGGAGAAACTCTGCCGGCGACGGCCTCGCCGGAGAAGACGGTGGCGGAGTTGAGGGGGATGATGGAGGAGATGCCCTGCGTGTTCACGGTGGGCGGTGGGGGGAGGAGGGTGGAGGGGTTTCTCTACAGGTACAGGAAGGGGGAGGAGGTGAGAATAGTCTGCGTCTGCCATGGCCGGTTCTTCTCTCCAGCGGAGTTCGTCGAGCACGCCGGCGGCGGGGTGGTCGCCCACCCCCTCCGGCACATCGTCGTCAACCCATCGCCGGCGGGCTTCTGAGAGCCCCTCCCTCCATTCCCCTCACTCTCTTCTCTCCCCTTCAGCTTCTTCCGAAGGCATTGTTCTTCTCGGAGAAAGATTGAAAAAAATCATTCTTCGTCACCGTTCTCTCCCTCTCTCCCTCTCTCCCTCTCTCCGTCTCTCTCTCTCCCTCCATAGACGACAGAGGAGAGAGAGAGAGAGATCGCACAGGCTGTGTCGGGAACGCGCATCCCATTTTTGGGCTTGGGTACGTGGGCCGGAACAAGAAATGTCCAGATCATATTTCGTTGACCTAAATTAATTGTTAATTAATAACCTAAACGTTTTCTCAAGGACCGGGGGGGAGGGGAGTTCGCCTCTCACAGCGTGGCGGCGCCGCCATCGGCCGAGGCCCTCCTGCTCTCCCCCCGCCATCAAACTCCTCCATTACCAAAAAAGGTCGGAACCCTTGAGCATCTAAAGCTATGGATAAACAGGAAGATGGGCTTCACAGGGATAGAAACAAGAGATTGGGAGATCGGAAGGTGGAGGCTTGATCTTGATGGTAGTTAATTCCAAGATAAGAATAGCATTATTCATCTCAAGCGCATTCAAACTTATGAAATTATGATGCCAAATGTATGAACCACAAGCACTGATCTCTACAATTCTACAGTGAGGTGGAGGCTTGAACTTGATCATAATTAATTCCAAGATAAGAATGGTAATATTCAATTCATTCTCACTCAAACTCCCGATTATATGATACCAATTGCAGGCCAAGAGAGGAGAAATTCCAATGTATGAACAGCATGGAAAAAATATGGCTATGGGAATCTTCTCATCCACATTGAGAGTGGATCTCGAGGGGGAAACTCATCAGCAGAGGCCTGGATAAGAATGGTAATATTCAATTCATTCCCATTCAAACTCCCGAAGTTATGATACCAAATGCAGATCCGAGAAGAGCAATTCCAGTTTATGAATCACAATGCACTAATCTCCACACTCACTCGGGAGAAAATTATTTAATTCTTTTGATATATTTAATCGACCAGTTCAAGATGGAGGCATTCCAATCAATCACTCTCTATCTATAGAAGAACAGCAAGGAAAAAAATATGGCTATGGGAATCTTCTCATTCACAGTGAGTGTGGATTTCGACGAGGGAACTCATCAGCAGAGCCTAGATATATCAGCAATCGACGTAAATTCCCATATCCTCATCCAAACTCGAGATAAGCGGAGAGGTAATGATAAATTACAGCTTCGATTTATAAGACGGTGGATATTGATAGGGTCATTCGATAGTTTTCGTGATTGAAGTAAATTAACAGTACCCTGGGATAGGAATTTGAATAGAGTATTAATGGAAGAAAGAATTGCTATGACAGTATGAAGGCACTGGAACCACCAATTGAATAATGATAAAGATTAAGAAAAGAGAAATTGACGACTAATCAGACAGAAGGCGGCACTGGCTGTAGAACGAAAACGCCAAATTGATAAATCCAGAATAACACAGGAATAGTGTCATAATCGATCTATCATCGTCTAAAACATTTAAGGAAAAATTATAATCTACGAAAAAGCACCATGAAGTTCTCTCATCTACCGAACATCAGAGAACATCTTTCAAAACCAAAATCCAGGAATATGTAGAGCGAAACATCTCTCATCAAATGTCCCGTCACCAGATTTACTCAGCTTGCACCTTGTTACCGGCGTAAACGTACGTGAGGCCGCACTTGCCGCAGTAGTATCGGTCGTGGTGGTGAGCCATGAAGGTGCCGGCCCCGCACTCGGGGTTGGGGCACTCCTTGCGAAGCTTCACAATCTTGCCGCTGTCGTCGACCTTGTAGAACTGGAGAACGGCGAGCTTGACCTTCTTCTTTTTGTGCTTGATCTTCTTCGGCTTGGTGTACGTCTTCTTCTTTCTCTTCTTGGCACCACCGCGCAGGCGAAGCACGAGGTGAAGCGTCGACTCCTTCTGGATATTGTAGTCGGCGAGAGTTCGCCCGTCCTCTAGCTGCTTCCCGGCGAAGATGAGCCGCTGCTGGTCCGGCGGGATCCCCTCCTTGTCCTGGATCTTGGCCTTCACATTGTCGATGGTATCAGAAGACTCTACCTCGAGCGTAATCGTCTTCCCCGTCAGGGTCTTCACGAAGATCTGCATGGCTCCCATGCTCACCAACGGCAGCGGCCGCCGCCTCCAGAAGCTGAAAAAAAGAAGTTAGGGTTTCTCTAGGGCAGGAAGGTTGACTATTTATACTGTCAGGTGGGGTTGGGTTGTGATGTACCGCCGGTACACATTTCCTTGTAAAGTCCTCTAGATAGGGACACCGGGCTGGGCCGGGCCCATTCGGCCCAGATAGTATAATCTATCAACCAGCTCGGGCGGGGTCTCTCCAGTCCGGGCGGGGTAAGTATCGGGCCAGTCTGGTAGAGGTCCTCCCGGAAAGCAGAGAAGAAACAGAAAGAGAAAGAGAGAGAGAGAGAGAGGGGAGAGAGAAAGAGAAAGAAAGAGAGAGAGAGAGAGAGGAGGGAGAGAGAAAGAGAAAAAGAGAGAGAGAAAGGAGGGAGAGAGAAAGAGAAAAAGAGAGAGAGAGAGGGGAGAGAGAAAGAGAAAGAGAGAGAGAGAGAGAGGGGAGAGAGAAAGAGAAAGAGAGAGAGAGAGAGAGAGGGGAGAGAGAAAGAGAAAGAGAGAGAGAGAGAGAGAGAAAGAGAAAGAAAGAGAGAGAGAGAGGGAGAGAGAAAGAGAAAAAGAGAGAGAGAGAGGGAGAGAGAAAGAGAAAAAGAGAGAGAGAGAGGGAGAGAGAAAGAGAAAAAGAGAGAGAGAGAGGGGAGAGAGAAAGAGAAAGAAAGAGAGAGAGAGAGAGGGGAGAGAGAAAGAGAAAGAAAGAGAGAGAAAGAGAAAAAGAGAGAGAGAGAAAGAGAGAAATCTCCAGGAACATAAATGTATCATCAGAAGAAAAATTAGAAAAAAGAAAAAAGAAATCTCCAAGAACACAGTGGAAGATTAATATCAGAGCAAAATGGGTAGAAGTCTCCAAGAACACGGTGAATGGTCACAAGCAAAATAGGGAGAAAAAAATCGTCTTCTCTTCTGCGGATAATCAGAGGCGCCCCAAGTACCATCATAAGAAATCTGCATACACTTCTCCTAGAACCCAATCAATCAATAATCAGGAGGAACCGAGCTGATCCAATCCCAGAACAACTCCAGCTCGCTCATCAGTCACGAATATGGCACCCTGTTTCTGCGGATAATCAGAAGAAATGTGGACACAAAACTCCAAGAACACACTGAATACCCAGTCGCATGATCCAATGGAGAATCAGAGAAGAGACGAGAGGGTAATTATAGCAAGCACAGGCGCAATCCGGCAAGAACCACGACCAGTTCTTCACACAAAGTAAAATCATTAGAGGATGAGAACCTCGAAGAACCCACAGAGAAATCAGAGAAAAAAGAGAGGAATCAATCTCTTAGGATCAGTGGCAATGACTGAAATCAGAAGCTTTTATTGTCAGACAGAAAGTACGTCACAAGATCAAGAAAGGAGAAGAAGAACACGTCGTGGGCGTGCCTCTGCATGTCAGATGCGTTAGCCAGATATCTGTCATCAGTCAGAGAGTCGGAGGCGCGAGCTGCTTCAGCCGCTGAACCACCACCTTCATTGTGGGCCGACTGGAGGGTACAGCATCGGTGCACATGACAGCCAGGTTCAGTATCTCTACCAAGTCGTCGTGGAGTCCGACGTCCCAGAGCCCCTCGGTGAAGAACTCCTGCTCCCGGCCCTGCTGAAGACACATGCCCGCCCAGCTGACGATGGTGAAACCATTCCCGTAATTGGAGAAATAGGGATCGAAGACCTTCTTGTCTGAGAGCAGCTCTAGCAGCACAACGCCATAGCTGTACACATCGGCCTTATCAGAGACCCGGCACATGGTTGCATACTCCGGCGCGACATACCCAAAGGTTCCTTCCACGTCAGTGGTCAGATGAGTTTCAGAGTTGCCCAAGAGCCTGGCCAGGCCAAAGTCTGACAGATAGGCGTTCAGCTCGTTGTCCAGCAGAATGTTGCTCGGCTTGACGTCCCGGTGCAGGATGCGGTTGGAGCGGTGGTGCAGATACTTGAGCGCCCGAGCGATGTCGAGGGCGATCTTGTGCAGCATCCACCAGTCAACGGGCCTCTTGGATCTCTCCCTGATAAACTTCTCCAGGTTGCCGCCCGGCAGGTAATTGTAGATGAGGAAGGTCTCTGCCTCGCCGAGATGGTACCCGATCAAGGTGACGAGGTTGGGGTGGCGGCGGGTTCCTAGGGTCTTGATCTCTGCGTGGAAGTGCTGGATCCCCTGGACTCTCCCCACCGAGAGTCTCTTAATGGCGAGGATCACACCGGGGGCTACCTCGGCCTTGTATGTGGCTCCAAAGCCCCCACTCCCGATGCAGTTGCTTCCTGTGAAGTACCCAGTGGCTCTGACCACATTCTCGTATGTCAACGGGACCTGGGTTTCCATAAAGACTGTGACTTCCCGTCTCTCGGAGGACTGAACGGCATTGCGGGGAAGACACTTCCTTGTGTACACATAGAGGGCAATCAGGGACAGCAGGACCGAAACAATGGCGGCAGCAGAGACAATCGCAGCGACCTCAATGGAGGTGAACTTCTTCGCAGGAGCGCTCGCCGGAGAAGAAGCTTCAGAGGACTGGAGAAAGGAGTACCTCGGGGTAGCATCTGCAGTTCTTTGGATGGCATTCATCTGTGCTGCCGATGCGGAAAAATGATTGAATGAGGAGCTGAAGACCGATGGCGATCTCATCTTTCCGGCTCTGGAGGAGGCGATCTCTCCTGACAGATTGTTGCTGTTGAGCCCAAGAACAGAGATATCTTTCGAGCTGAAGAGGTCCTTTGGGATCTCACCCGAAAGATGATTTGACGAAACATCCAGCAGCTTGAGAGAGAATGATTGAAGCAATCCGGCAGGGATTTCCCCTGTCAAGTTGTTTCCAGCAAGCAGAAGATACTCTGCGTTCTTCAGCTGCCCAAAGCTAACCGGAATCTGGCCCTGCAATTTATTCCAGCTCAAGTCAACCCATACAAGGGATCCTAGAAGACCCAGATCTTGTGGAATTCTTCCACCGATCTGGTTCTTAGAAACATCCAAACATCTGAGAGCTCTGCAGCTACCGAGACCGGCGGGAAGACAGCCGTTAAGCCTGTTTCTTGATACATTCAACATCTGAAGCTTCTCTAGCCGCCGAAACTCTGCCGGAAGGATGCCCTCTAGTAGATTGGAGGAGAGCAGTAGGGCTCGAAGCGACTTGCAACTTCCGAGAGTGGTAGGAATGCTTTGGACTAGCAGATTACCAGAGAGATCCAGATGCTCGAGACTCGGGCACGCATCGCCGATCTCGCCAGGGATTCGACCGCCGAGCTTGTTGAACGACAGATCCAACTCCCTCAGTTTAGGGAGATCGCCGAAGAAACCGGGGATCGTGCCTTTAATCCTGTTGCGGGACAAGTCCATGGCCTCCAACTCCACGCAGCCGGAGAGTGAAGATGGGATCTCACCTTCGATCCGGTTGGACGCCAAGTTCAGCACTCGCAACCCGCCGGGGAACCTCCCGGGGAGCACTCCCGAAATGGAGCTCCCTTCGAGGTCGACTACTTCCAGGCTCTGAAGCTCCCAGATCTCCCCCGGAACCTCCCCTCGGAAGCTATGGAACGGGAGCGACAGCACTCTGAGCTCCGTCAGACGCCCGATCGCAGTAGACAGCCTCCCCGTCAGCCTAGTCGCCGGATCGGAGCCGGTGGATCCCAAGGACGCATCGCCGTCGCCCCTTCCTGAGACGTTGATCCCCACAACCCGAGACCTCCCGTCGCAGGAGACTCCTGGCCATGAGCAGGGGCCTTCCCCACCGGAGTCCGTCCACCGGGAGAGCAAACCGGCAGGATCAGACGTAATCTCTCTCTTGAACTGGAGCAGCGCCGCCCCGTCCGTCGTACCGCCGCCGCCCTCATCCGAGAAGCAGCAGATGACGGGGGTGAGCAGAAGAAGCAGGAGGAGGAGGCGGCGGGCGGCGCTTCCAATTGCAGACGTCAGCCAGCGCCACCGCATCTCGACCTTTACCTGGCTGCAACAATCCGCCCCCGACGAGCTCCACGGCCGAAGATCGAACCACCACAGTGCCTCCCCGTCCTCCTCCTCCTTCCTCCCTCCTCCCTCCTCCCTCCTTCCTCCCCCCGGCGCTTCCACTGCCTTCTCTGCTCCTGCCGCCGCTGTCTGCGCCGTACGGGCCACGGGGACGCGGCCGTACGCGTTGAGGTCGATCAAGTGGATCTCATCCATCAAATCAGTGGACCTCCGAAGCATGACTTTTCGATACCGGCTACAGAGAAAGTTGGGCGAGTAGAGAGAGACAGAGATAGAGAGATAGAGAGTAGCGTGAATCCCTCCACGTCACCGCCTCAAATCTCTCTTGCTGTCTCGCTTCAGGAGAGCCGGCCCAGTGACGAAGACCGAGTCCTCCTACGGATATTATACGGGTAGGATACCTGAATGTCTTCGCACTCAATAAATGGTAATTATTTAAATTAATTAATTTTATGATATTTATTATCCGCGAGTTTTTTTTTAGTTTATGGGAATTTAATTTAATTTAATTTATCCCTGAAATAGAAAAATAGTAAGCCTTCAATTGAATAAAGTTAACGCGCATTAATGTTATTATTATATAATCATGTACACATCCTAGTCGAAGAATTTTAATCGTGTACATACCATGAAATTTGTATTTATGTCCATTTTAAAGCTTTCTGAAACCTACGCTCTTCTAGGTATACACGTGCATATTACTGTGGAAAAGTCAATAAATATTTCTCTCTCTGAATCTCTCAGCCCCCCTCTCTCTCTCTCTACCGTTGACTTGATTATGTTCTGCTTGTGCCTACCGCACAAAACTGACCTCGCGAGTCCCTTTCTCCCCCCCGTCTCCATTGGTCGCAAATGGCGGCTTCTTTTTTGCTCTCTCTCTCTAGAAATTTAACGCTGACCGGGCTTCTCCGGACAAGAACGGCCAAACCAAACGAACCGATGTCGGCCCGATCGTATATAGTTTAAAGTCAAACCGAGATGGAGAAGTCAAACCGGCGGTCAAGTGGAGAGGGTCGTCCTCGGGCAGCTGTCGGGGACGCAGGCCAGGAGGTCGCGGTAGTCGCGGGAGATGGTGAACGCGTCGTGGACATCCCCGTCGCGGCTCTTCTTGTACTCCACACGGAGAGTCGTCCTGTTGACCGCCGTCATCTTCACGAACCCGTAGTCGTAGTCCCGCACCAGGCTCCACGACGCCTCCACGTCGGCGAACTCCGCCAGGTTGGCGCCGCCGCCCCCCGCCACCAGATGGATCGTCCCCTTCAAGGCCCCCTCGTAGTGCGTCCTCTCCTTCCTCGTGCAGACGTTCTGCCGAATCAGAGGTGATCAGAGAGATAGCGAGAGAGAGAGAGAAGAGAGGGGGGAAGAAAGTCAAACCTGGTAGATGGGGCAGGTCCGCTCGTAGTTGTGGACATGACCATAGACGGCGAGGTCAACGCGGTGGCGCTGCCAGAGCTCCTGAAGGGAATCCCTGCCCATAGGCTCCGCGAAGGAGCCTTCCTGGACGTAAAAGTGGCCGGAGGAGTAGCCCAGAACGCGGTGGGCGAGGAAGACCAGCCATGGCTGCTTCTGCCGGTCAACGGACGCCATGCAGCGCTCGAGGAACTCATACTGCTCGCTGCCCCGCCGCCAGTCCTGCTCCGTGTCGGCCACGCAGAACCTGAACATCCCGTAGTCCGTCGAATACCTGAAAACCAGACTCAAAGAGCTCACGAAACCAGGCGTTGACCTTCTCCTCCTCTGTTCTCAGCGGCAGAGAATACCAGAGCTTGGCCCGTTTCTCTGCGGGGACGTAGAACATGGTCTGGGTCGGGACGCCGCACTCGCCGCCGGAGTCATTGTTCTCATAGAAGGACCCACTCCCCGGCCAGTCCCTCTCATGGTTGCCGCTGACAAATCATGGGTCAACGCAAACATTTAATAACTAGATCTACATCAATGACATCTGAAGATTCATCCGTGGGAACCAGAGAGGGGAACCTTGCGATCATGTAGGGTAAGGACGACGCGATCGGCTCAACCTGCTCCGTGAACTGGTCCCATTGGGAGAGGTACCCATTGGCATAGGAAAGGTCTCCGATGTGGAAGACAATGTCGATGCCGGCCAAGTCCCGGACCAGCTGGCGGGTCGTGTTGAGGGACCCATACTCGCCGGAGTTGTACTCGTTGGAGCCATCAATCTCCCCCTGAGAAAAAAACCCATTAGAAAGTCAACTCTTCTTCTGACCTAGTGAAAAATTGTCAAGATGAACGATTTGATTAAGTTGACGTAGATTGAGCTGCAAAAAGACTTGATTTTCTGCGAAGATCCTTCACCCCGAGTTCACAAGATGAAGAAACCTCGACCGTTTTCGTCCTTTTGGTGGGTCGGCTCGGGCTACATCTTCTTCCTCAAAATGAGATATCTTTAAGAGATATCCTCTCAATCTCACCTTGCCCATGTCGCCAAAGACGACCACACGTTGCAGAGACTCTTGCCCGGGGTAGGGAGAAGCCCTGAAGCTGTATATTCTGCTCCATACGTAGGATCCATCCCTGAGCCTGTGCCCCAGCCTGTAGTCATACCTGCATCGTGCGCGATCCAGAATAAGAAAGTCAGATTGTTCTTGAAGAACACTGCATGTGGTACAGTGATTATATGTCTTCCCTCCCATTTAAAGATAATCATGGAGATTTAGAGGAGGTGGATGAACGGTTCTCACATCTGGTTCGGCCACAGGTTCTTCAGAAAACTGGTGTGTATGAAGCCTGGATCTCTCCAGCCCACCGTCCTCGCTGGTGGACCTGTGAACATGTTCGACGAATCGCAAGTGCCATCGGATTATTCTTTGACTTTGTAGAAAGATTTCGAAGAGATATTAACTTGAGAAGCTCGTAGATATGAACGAGGCGTATTTTTAGTGGACTTCTATATTAAAAAAATATCTAAATAGTTTAATGCAATCCTAATGTGATAGGTTAAAAAATAATTTAATGTAATTATAATGGACTTATATACTAAAAAAATTCCTTAAATAGAGATCGTCCGTAGACTTGTGAAGTGGGCCTCGTCCATACAGCCATCAAATATTCTCATCCCATCATTCTGTGGGGTTGTCAAATGGGCCTCATCGAGTAAATTTTTCAAAAAAGTGTAAATCTCGTAGATTCATCAGAAGAGTATCACTTTCTTATATCCAGGAAGATATTCCACAAATTTAAATTGTTTGGTAGATCTCATCCCACGCACAGTTGGGCTTCGAAAAAAAATCTATTTATTCATCTCATATTCAAGCAGCTTTTATCCCATGAATGCTGGAGAGGCTTCATCCCATTTTTAAATCCGGACATGATTCCTCTTTCAAAGATTATTTTTTTTTGCGGCATATTTTTAGTAATAAATTGAAGGTGTTCATCGGTCAGAATGATTTAAAAAATAATAATTATAGCCAGCGAGGAGGTTCCACAGTTAATCAAATAAAAAGAAATTATTTCATGCCTACTAAGAAGGAAAAAAATTGGCAAGTTTCCCAAGATAAATAAAAAACAGAGCTTGCGAAATTATATTACATTGGTCAACTCACTAAACAAAAATAGTAAATAATTTGATCGCAAGCAAATTCAGGGCAGAACGGTCCAAAAAAGAAAGAAAATAAAAACCGCGCTTTGGTTTGATAAACATTCATAAAATCTGTGATTCGAAAATAATGAGAGAATGAACATACCACACATGCTCCTTCGGCCAAAAGTCATAGTTCCAGCTGGGGATTTCGTTTGATCTCCTCGTTGAGGACCCCATTCAACAAGAGGTACTGCCTCGTCGATGCTATACCCACTCGTCCAAGTAACAGCCATCTGAGAGTCAAGTGTCCAAAGTGACCACCTCTGAGATGTAACCAAAGGATAGTAGCAACATATGCTATACACAGTAGCAATATTACTATGTATGGAAGCTTACACAATGCGGGATCCAGGGTGGGTGATGCTTTAGAACGAAAATTATGAATTTTCTAAATAGACCAAGCATTGTGTTGTATTTACTATGGGTTCAGGCGATGAAGTCCTGGCTCTTTGATCCGGCTGAGATATCTTTCAGACCACTTCCTCCGATAACAGAAGATGGTAGATATATCTTCAAACGTTAAGGAAGAAGTATCTATCATTTTACACGAGTTTGAGCTAGAAAAAAAATAGAGAGTGAGGAGAGAAGAAGGCAGAAATGCATAAAACCTGTGTCTTTCCTAGGAAGTTTGGAAGGATGAGTGTATAGTCTAATGATTCATTGGGAACTGACAAGATCGTTGACCACCAGAGGAAAACTGGAATTCTGACAGCCACTCGAGCTGCATTTAATGATCATTTTCTACACCTCTATGTCACATTTTACGTAAGTCTCATCAGTCGAGCTTCCAGATTCAGATTTCATCACTTAGTCCAAGATATGATATTTCTATTGTTTCAGCCGTTTGGCAAAAACCATGTTTGAAGAAGCAGAAGCAGATGCAGATGACGAACTTTATTAAGGAAAATAAAACCATCACACCTGAACTCAATCACCACCATACAAAGAATGTCTGATGGATTAAAATGTGTGAAGAAGTAACGCTTACCTCATTCCATTCTTTTCCTTGCGATAAACGTGGATAAACAGGAGCTTTGGGATTCGCAAAACTTATTCTATTTGATGCACCAAGCAGCTTAGGCTGAGACATGAAGAAAAAATGGAAATATAATCAAGCATTCACCCAGCAATGATGATAATTGCGAGATGAGCCATATACTCATAGATAAAGAAAGAATGGGAGACCCAAAACACCACATTGAGGAGATTGAAGATATCTAGTGATAAAAAAATTATCATACACAAAGAGATGATATTTCTATTAAATCTGGCAGTATGCCATGAGGTTGAAATTTTACAGCAGAAAAAAAAAAAAAAACTGCTGACGTCGGTCTGACAATTGGACAGACGATCATTGTTAGAATACACAGGATTTGGTCCTCAGAGTGTTGAGCTGAAACTAAAATAAAATGATAACTCTTTTCTCCAGTCATGACTTTGAAGATATATACGTACAGACGGACATAACTTTCTGGCGTAAAACATGAGACAATGTTCGAAGGGAACTGGAAAAGAGATGTTAACAATCTTGTAGTTCAAAGTAGATAACATACTTTCCATGAAAGATCACCAAAAAGGGGCAAAGACATATGTTTTTAGCTGACTAAAGCTCAAAATAGTGAAAATGAATCGTTTTGATGAACATGGGAATTTCTTCTTGAATTTTGGATATCTTCGAAAAGTGTTGATACAATGCCCATGATGCAGTTAGAAGCATAAAGTGAAAACAGAAGATAATAAAAAAACTTACTGCGACGTTTCACATCCATGCATTTTCAGTTACGATGGGAGAATCCAAAGTTCAGTACCAGTACTAATTTTACAGCGTGCATCTTGATAATAGATCAACTGACTGGAAAGAGACATGCTAATGGAGAAACCATAGGACTAGCTTTATACAATGGCAAGTATTGATGGACAGAATAAGATGTGCTACTCTGTGTTCAAGAAACGCTCGCATTTTATATGGTACAATATAGCTTGAATAAAATTTCACAATAAGAGCAAAAGAAGTATAATTTCACAAGATATGAAAAGAGGAGAGCATATTAGTGGCAATGGACCGGTTCATTTAAAACCTTAAGATGGAGAAATGCTTATATTGGTTAAGATTCTGGTTATAACGTATGAACCAAAAGAAACAAGTTAAGAAATAAAATAAAATAATATCAAAACTAAGAGCCATTCATATAAGTACGTTTAAAGCACTCAAAGTCTTTTATGAATACGCAAGTTCCTAAGGAATCCCAACAGTCATGGCCTATGGATAGCCCTATTCTTGTAAAGAATGGGAGCTTGTTGGAGGCAGGCAGCCTGAGGTACTTACATTCTCTAGTCCTCCAGAAAACAACGCAAAAGCAAAGTCCTCCCTCTGATTGATCAATCGAAACCTCAATGTGCCCTTTCCAGTGCCAACGTAGTCCTCTTTTGAATAGTTAGCATATTGATACTAGAGGACAAGCCAAAAATATATATATCAATCCATATTCTGGAAAGATCTTCTCCAAGGAAGAAAGTTCTGATTATTTCGTTCGATACTGTGGCATATTGGACCAGGCAAAAAAAATTAGCAGTACTAACCTTAATAGGTGCAGTACATAACAATGGAGGAAATTCTCTCGGATTTTCCGCCGTGCAGACAGAACTACTGTAGCATTTCAGATTAAAACAGCATGCAGGATCAAAACATTAGTGCAAAAGTCACAAAGCTAAAGCATTACTAAAAAAATAATTCTTAGAGTAGGAAGGAATTGCAGGAAATGGGTAACCGAAAAGTCTTGTCGGAGTTTGATAAGGGACAGATTCATTTCTTTTCTTCAAACCCTTTTCAGTACACAAAGTGATTTAACCCTGACATAAAGAAGAGTCTAACCTGAAATTTGAAGGCGAAAAGACCCCGATCCAGTCGTCATTTGATGGGTTTGCATTGATATACTCTAAGTTAATCCATTCATACGTTTGTCCCTGGAAATAGTAGTAACTTAATTATTCAGGGCAATCTTAACAATCCCATAAGCAAAACATATACACTGCAAGAGAAGCGTAAAAATAGATAAGTAGTATAAGACAATACGGTGGAATGAAAACCACGGATTGATCCTGTCGATTTTTCTCCTGATACTTCTACTAGTCAACGCGGTAATTCTTCAAGATCCTCACCATTTGACAGAAATTCTAAGACGATGTGAAACATAGAGTACAACAATGAGCACAACACAGGTAGGAAGCTGAATCAACGACAAACCATGCAATGAGCTGTTCCTAAACAAGATAACAAGATAATATGATCTTAAATAATGCACGGGTTTAGTATCTGCTCACTACCCCTGGCTAATCTGAGCTCAAAATTTAGGTAGGGGACGGAGGAGGAACCTTCAGCCCCAGCAACGACGGAGAGGCTTTCAGATACACCCAATCGTGAGAGGCGAGCGTCACCCTGTGAATCGCAATTTTTGAAAGCGGATGTTCTCCACCCTTCTTCGCAGACCCGAAAGGCGACAGCGCCAAGCATAGCGCGAGCAAGAACAGTGAAGTGGTCCGCATCATGGCTGAAACCTGAAACCTGAAACCAAATCGATCGTCAAGATGAACAGGAAAAAACGAGCCCTGTGCGAGTAACCCCACGACAGGCAATGAATTGTCGTCAATCAATCACGGAACAGCCAATCAAATCTCGACACCCAAGGAAGCAAGCAAGTGAAAGATGGCTCCCACTGATACGAACACGATTGAAGAGCGATCTACTAGGGGAGAGCAGCTCTACCTTGATCCGATTCTCGTACCACGGGAGCAGTCCAGGATGACTGGAAACAGAAGAAAATGAACAGAAATTTGTAGCACAGGCAAGAAGGGGAAGCATTTAGGTGGGTCCGATGAAGTCAGACTCCTACGGAAGCGTGCCAGTAGTGATGGGACCCTTTGTTACCGCCGCATCAATGAGATTCCCACCAATGGCAGCATATGCCACAGCCGCTCTTCGCCTATCCCAATGGAAACGGAACTTTCAAAGTGGTCTTCTTTAGGCCTGGAAGACGATGATCTTTTCGAGAAGGAACCCACGCATCATCTGACATCACACACCTGATAATACCTCCCCGCTAAAACAACGAGATTAAAATATCTAAAATTGTAAGTTATTCTTAAATTGTTGAAACATGAATTATAACGTAAAATTGGTGAGCATTTTGTTTATCTTTTTAGGCCCCTAAAACCTTTAAATGGACAATAAGCCCATGTTGACAACTAGGATCATACTTTTCTACCATAATCTAGGGTCGGATAGAAAAAATATATGGCCGTTTAGCCACATAAATAAAAGAGAAGACTAATTTGTTATTAAAATGATATTAAACGATGTAAATTAAAACACATACTGTTTCATTTCAAGTGAAAACACAATGACCAACTATTAGCCATTATTATAGGCAAATCCAAAGTTAATAGAGACGTATATAATTATTATTAAGATATTTTTTGAATCCATGTGGGTAGCCCTTTAAATAAATTATATATTTAGTTCTTATTAACTAATTTTTAGGCTTTTTTATTTTTCTTGTAGAACATGTTTTCTATCCATCCATCAATGATCAATCAATCAGTATGGAGAGAGGGAGGGGGATCAATCAATCATAATTGACCAGCCGACAATCAAGTCATCATGTTATTGTAGTGTACCCCCACAAAGCTAAGTGTTAGCATCAAATCTTATTAATATTGAAGATCAACTCTATCGTCCCCATATTAACTCATATAAGAGCATACAACCATGTACTTGATAATGATGGCATAGATATTTCCGGATTGTTAGTATATAAGAGATATTATGACAGTAAATGTGTTGCTTTTTGCATATTTACTCTCAACTATTGAACATATACGATGATGCACATGGCTATAAATAGTAATGTGTGTGTGGTTCAATGGTATGGTGGCATATACACAATAATATCATTGGGGCATATTTTTTGATATCCTGTTACATAGATTAGTTTTGTCAACATCTATTCACTGATATATTGAAGATGTTATGTTAGTGCATACATGTAGGAATCATAGAAATCTATTTAATCATAAATATTGACGTGAATATACTTGTTAGAAAACTATTTTAAGAAAAAGTGATGCAACAAGATTCTAAAAAAAGAATTCAAACAATCAGAATTACTATTAAATTGCCAAGATTAATGCACATATTTTTGACATCATTCTCTTTGGTGTGGTGTGTCAAACAATGATTGTATTGTAAACTACTAGTTGCTAGTAGAGAAGAGCGTAATCATCTAATTTAAAGTATATAAAGAAAAGAGGGAGAACTACAATGAAATATTTAAAGTACACTTTATTGAAAATTTAATGTAAAAAAGTAATGCTCGACACCATCTAACCCTCATGGATTGTTGTAGTTATGAGATTACCCAAGCATAGAGTATTGATTTGAGACATATGGTTCCCAAGATCAATGACAAGACCTTGATATCATGGAGGCATCAAAGAGGTGGAAAAGACATGTGAAGACATTCCTAACCTATTCTATCACATTTTAGAATGAATAAATAAAGTAGAGAAGCTCACCATAGCTATAGAGAAATAAGGGTTCAACTTTAATATAATGCTATAATTCAAGATTGGAATAAATATCTCAATACTAATTAGAGTCACTTGTATCAACAAAATAAGAGTTAATAATAAATGGCAATAAAGAACATTGAAGGTCTACTACTTCAACTTGTAGTGGTAACAACCCTCTTGACCTGAATTAATCTAAATATTTTTAAACAAGTGAAAGGTATTCATTATAAAATTGGTAAAAATTAAAGGTGTAGTTTTTATAAAGCTTTAGTTCTAAATCATTAGGTAACACCAATCAATAATTTTTAACTATTAAACAAGAAATAGCTATACTAAAGTATTGATGAAATAAAATAATTTTTATATTTAAAATAATATTATATAAGAAATTATGAAAAATAATTATATCAACATTTAAAAATCAAAAAGTAGATTTGAACTTAATAGTGCAAATTGATTGAGTTGTGAGAGGTTATTAACTTTTTTTAGTTAGTAGAAAAGAGGCTTCATAACATGTTGGCTATTTAGAATGCAAGTTTATCTAATAACTTCAAAGTAATGACTAAAGGATCATTGAGTACCCATAGGACAATGAGACAGCAAATAATTCAAATTTTCCCTCTAAGCAATTGTTGGAATGTAATAGAAATATTTTAGTTCTAGTTAGTAATATCACATCACAAGAAATCAAGAAACTAAATTCCCCTCTATAAGTTAATGTCAAGGAGAAAATAAAATGTGAAACATCATCAAATAGAATTGTATTGAAGTCAATGAACCTTATTTATGGAGTTACTTTAACTGGAGATAGTGAAAAGTACCAATAAATTAAGAAAGGTCTTCTCTGGTGCAGAGAAAAAACTCATGTAACTTTTTTAATATTTCTAAACTAGAACATGGTTTACCTATTAATAGATAAACAAACTAGAACAAAGTGTATAATTGATTAACTTTCATCCTTATCAATATTCTCACTTCCAAAAAAATGTGATTGGAATATCTAGTTAAAGAGATATCCATGGCAAGAACTATCAAATCCTTTAAAAGTACTTTCTTGAGTTTGCTCTTTTAGTCAATAAGAAAAATAGAAGTTAGTGATTTTACATTGATTGTAGAACTCTAACTAAAGGTATAATATCTCATATCTTTGGCCTGATCTTCATGAGATCTTTTTAGTCTAAATTTTTTCAGTGTTAAGACAAATTAATTCATACATTGTACATCATGTCATCGTCAAATGGATGAACACACAAAAATTCATCAATAATTACCTAAAAACTCACCTCATATTTTTCACTTCTAGTAAACGAAAAACATTTAGCAACTAATTGGAATAAGTGAAATACTAAAATATATTTTTCTATAGTTCTACTCAAACCACTCATTTCAAAATTTTGAATGGTTGATACCCCCCCCCCCCCCTTTATTTTAAGGTTTTAAAGATTACCCTTGTCTTCTTTAATAGTGATTTATTATTAATTACAAGTAAGAAATCAATTTCTTAAGATACATAAATAGTATCTTAGTCAAATTCAAAATTAAGTGAAGTCAAAGGTTAACTTGTATTAAAAAAAGATACAATTCTCAACAAGTAAAAGGCACTATTAATGAGATTGTTAGCTAAAAAATGAAATGAAAAGTTGACTCCAAGATATTTTGAACCTTTAAAATTTATGAAACGATTAGACTTGTTGCTCTCCACCCCAACCTTTCCTCAATATATTTACTTCACCTTAATTTTCATGTTTCATAATTGCAAAGACTTTGACACCAAATAGCCACAATCAACCCTAATTAGGACTGGACAATGAGATTCATTGGAATGTGTATCCCAAAGAATTGTTACGTGTGTATTCCATCCTTGTAGGAATATAAGTACTCATTCAATGGAACTGATTTTCTTACTTTGAAATATCCAACATTTAATGTGAATTTTTCAAAAGTTTACCTCAAAGATAAGTTTGTGAATGTTGGGGAGAGTATTGGTACTACATGAATCATCACTTATTTCAAAAGAAGGAAAAGGCACCATAGTCAAGAGAAATTAATACTATAAGTGAGGGATAAGTTACTCATTGTAAGGATAATCAAACCGTAAGGAGAGCATTACTAGGGTTCAATTAAGGAGAAAATAGGGAAAGAAAAAAGTCATTTGGTGTTTTGCAACAAAGGGAGAACAAATGGCCTTACAAATGTCCCCTTAATATTGTTCTAAGGTTCCTCCAAGACAATTTATATTCTTTTCATGTTTTCTTTTTATTTTCTTCCTTTGTTTCCCTATTTTTCTTGGCTCTATGAGTTGGTGTTGTATCACTATATCTTGAAAGTAGGAGTGATTTTCCATTCACAATATAATTTCTAGTTAATTGAGAATTAAATTGGCCAATTTTAAGTTTATAAATATTTAACATACATAATCTTTTAAAAGATTAGTATGAACTATGAGGTACTTTTTTGACAATAAACAAGTGTCATGAGCCAAATCACACTCTAAATCACATTAGGGAGATTAATTATATGTATTTGTTCATGGTTCCAGCATGTGGTATTATTAGAATAGGTAATCATTCATATCACATAGTCTATTTTATCATATATAAAATTATGTTTATTTATAGTTTTTAATATTACATTTTTTGTGCACATTTGGATACTTGGATTAAATTAGATCTTAACAAAACATCAGAATATATTAACCAACTTGATTTGAGTATTTCTCAAAAAGATGCATTCACTCCCCTCCCTCTCTTCTCTAAGTACATTTTATTCATCCTCAAGGCCTTCATTCTCTACACATTTCTCTCTAACTGTTAGGAAAATCAACTTAGCCTTCTAACAAAACACTAAAATCCATTAAAAAAAAATGAAGCCCTACTGATATTTTATTTTAAAAAATAGTATTCACTTGAACATCTCTTTCTTAATACCTTGCAAGGATTTACAGGGAAAAATAAAGTTGTGAAAAGGGTTTCTAGCACATTTTATCACTAACTATAAATCCTAATTTCTTGGAAGGAATTTTGCTCATGATTGTCCAAATAAGGATGAAGAAGGTGAACAAATATTTATTTAGTGGTATTTTGACTTGATAATGCAAATGAAGTTTGGATATATTGCAAAGACTTATGAATCAAATTGGAATATACGAGAATTAACAATGAACTGGACACTTGACAAGAACCAAAAATACCTAATTGAATGGTTATTTAACTAATCATGGATCTGAGCATTGTAGAATATATATAACAACATATTCTTTTATAAATTTAAGCATGCTGCTGTTTTCTCTCATTTTAACCCCAATTTCAATCTTTTCCGAACCATCTATAATAGGCACTTCTATTATTTGACTAGATCTTGAATATCACATTAAGTCAAGAGTACTCACCGAAACCATCAGAAATGGTACCGATTCCAAGGTCTTTCATCACGTAACCACCAATAATGAACTCCCCTAAAGGGAAAGAATCAGAGGAGAGCTGAAGAGGGGGGCAGCCCAGAGGACCAAAATGGCTTGAACCAGATCAACTGACCCCAACATTCTAAACCCACCAGGCCAGGCCATTTTGGGCCATCTTCCTCCATCTTCTTCCAGTCCACCGGCTTCTTCATCTGCAAACTGCCGCCACCTGGAAGCAGACAGCAAGACCACGCCCTGCAAAGGGTGCCTGCTAAAGCTCAGCCTACACCGCCCAGAATGGCTTCGGCGTGGCTGCAGTTGTGGCCGTTGAATTGATCCCAGAGGGTTCGACACTGCTGCCAGAGTCACCATCTTCATCTTCATCTTCATCTCCATACTCCATGAGCTTCATCAAGGGATCTGAAAGGGTAAATATATGCCAATAGAGGTATATATGAGGAGCTTCGAATTGGAAGATCAATGGCCACATCTCCACTAGAGTTGGAATTACCAGGGACAGGTCCTTTGGTCGGAGCCTTAGGAGACCCATTCATGTGATCATCTCTCAGCGGCCAGAATTTTGGCACCGGTGGCAGCGGCGGCGGTATGGTCTTCAGAGGTGGGAGTGGCGGCATCCCATTGGATCGAGGCGGGTCTGACATCTTTGGCAGTGGAGAGGAGGTGGAACCACTCCCCACCAGCAAATCATCTGAAGAAACACCGTGCTTGAGAGATTCCAACCCCTGTCGTGAGTTTTGAAAAACAATGTTGAATCTCCTTATCCTTTAATAATACCATGAAAATGTTTAAAATGTATAGTAAATGAGACCATATATTCACAAGGACCTAGAAGATGTGGACTATGCAAAGTCTGAAGGGATACAGAGGGTATAAAGGGGAGATTTGACTAAGAAAATCTTGAGCCGAAGATTTGTTCCTCATGAACCAATGACAAGCACGAATTGCAAACCTATGATCATTTCCTAATGATTATTCAGCTTAACTAATTATTAAAAGGGCATATGACTAAGAAAATATCAATTCCTACGAAATAATTATTAAAGGGGCATTTGACTAGGAGAATATTAAACCTACGTGATTCCCTAACGAATACTAATTAGTATGAAGAAGTATAAACCCAAGGTAACTTCCCAAGGAATCAGTGAAGAGTGTGAAAGATAATGAAGAGCGATGATAAGGTCTTCAGTGAACTGGCAATGCCCATTGAGGCGAGGCATCTAAAGCTGAGGAATGAATGTGGACTCTCCAAGGCTGCACCAATAGCAAGCACCACGATCTTGGGAAGACTCCGACTTGAAAACCCTGTGAAACATGCAAACCAAGGGACCGAAAGACAGGCCCAGTGCCAGCCTGTCAGCTTCAGAGGTCAGAGAAAATACCTGGAACAATGGTAGAAAAATTAGCACTTAAATTAAGAGGATAAGACATCAAACATAATCTTCGAATTCAGTGACAAGATAAGAAAATAATTAATAAGCACAGTGAAATTTATCCTGAGGCTAACATGAAAAAGTTTGAAATCTAATTATTTCCGACACCAACTAATGATGTGCTGAAGGGTTCATTCACTATTACAGTCTATCAAAGAAAACAAACTTGAGGATTCTTTAGATTTCAAACCATCAAAATCACCATCCTATAGATGTCAGGCAGCATCTGGAGTGGACAAGAACCGTGGATCCATCGTACATCAGATGGCAAAATAGTGTTGGAAGCCCACCATGGTCTAGGGAATTTATTGCAGAGAGATCACTTTTTCTTATATCCCCATTAGCGAAATGGAACTTTGATGAATGAAGATTTAATCCACTCCCAACCAATATTCACTTCTCACACTAGCACCCATAATTAATAGATGTGATAATTTAAACGATATCTAATGTGGTTGAGCGAATTGTCGATTTGGACTGTCAAATGACTGCTTAGCTATCTGAATGTGTCTGCAAAACCTTTGAAATGAATTCCTTCTTTGGAGGGAAAAAGAAGACGATTAACAAAGAACCTTAATATTCCAACAAATCGACTATGTTACACAAAGAAGAAAAACCGGTGATGGCAATTACCCTCCATCTCAAGTTCGCTAAGGATGCATATCCTTAGCCCACTTGCATTTGTCAGCATAGAGCATTAAAAAACTGCCTCAAAGAGGATGTTAGACATACCTGATGTAATCTTGGGGGCCCATTTGAAGCAACTGGCAACTCCTGAAACTTCCTCCTTTGTGGGCGTTTATCAGGTTCTGCACCTGAACTCAATGTCGTCTTTAATGATGTGCCAGCAGACATGGTCGCAGGGAGGGGAGATGTCACCGTAGGAGAGGAAGCAGTGGAAACAGGTGGTCTTCTAAGAGCTAAAGCAACTTGCTGCAACGGTGTGGCTTGGGGATAGATTCCACCGTACCCACTATAGTTAGCTCCTCCAAATATTGATGACGGTGAATAGGAAGAGATGTTAGTTTGTTGAGAACCATAATTTGTCACCCCATCATTTAATGAAGTCCCAGGAAGACAGACTGTGGATGCTGAGGAAACAGGTAATGCACTTGAGAATTTTCCAGCTGTGGCATCAATGGAGGGGCATACTGTGGCAGGAACTGAACTTCCATTTACGTTTTCTGAACATTCAACACCATCCAACAACTGCCGGGGGGGAGGAACTGCTTTATAAACCTTAGATGGTGGCACCCTGCCAAAAAAAGAATAATTAAAGAAATGTGTGGCAGCGACTTATCAAGGCAGCGACACCTATCTTCATTACACATTTCATAACATTCATGCGTCATGCTTCTCTTTTTAAGGAACAAAATCACAATATTCTAGTCAAATATCCAAAAAAATATATGGAGGAACGAAAGATACAAAGTAAGAGCAATTCACCAAAGTGGTTATTTTCACTAACCTTGAGGCACCACATTCTAGAGAAATTGTGTCCAAAAGGTTTTCTGCTAGGATTCTCGCATCTTCAAGACTTTTTTGATTGCTGCTCGAAAGATATAAATGCAGTGGTTGCTCTGTCTCTGCAATTAGAGAGGAAGGGGACAAACAATTGAGTACATGTGTAAAAAATGATAGATGGCAACTTAACCGTTTTACCTCCAGCAGTTGGGATTTCAACATTTCCGGAACCTCGTCCCCTTAGCGTGACAGTTGCTCCTGTTTCATTCATGATGTGATTTATATACTGGTCCTGCATGTATAAATCCAAACCACCACCAGCAGAAAAAACAATCTCTCCCAACCATATGGAGATGTCAGGGAGAGCTAGCAGATTAGATCAACAGAAACAATAAAGGGTTTAAGCTAGTGCATAGATTTGTATAGTGAAGGAGAAAAGAGAACAAAGAAACTTATATAATTCAATCAAGAGCGAAAAAGCCCGAGTTCAGGAGAAGTAAAACATGATTTATTTTCATAAGAGAACATACATTTGGTCCCCGGATGCGGGCTGCAATGTTTACTGAAGGATCCACATCAAAACCAAGATATAAGCATCTAGTCAGGGGTTGAAAAACCTATAATGATCACAATAATATCAATCATTGTGGTCTTCGAATCCAGATTGTCATGTGCCTATAACACAAGATCATTTTACCTGTCCTCCATTGTTGAGTGTTGAATATGAGGTTGAGACTAGAGATGAGCTATGGCCTTGCTTCAAAATTTCTTCAACCATAGAAGCTGCTCGATCAACTGCTTTGATTCGTTCAGCAGTATCTTTTAGCTACACATTGAAGAAGATCCACGAGATTGTAAATTTCTGAAGGGAAGGAATCAAACTTCATGAATAGGTAACGTGTTAACAGTAGGATCCATCTTTCCCCCTTTGCAGTTGTCTTATTGACACAATCAAAAACTTGAGAAAACTGATTGATAACCACCTAGAATTTGGTACAAGGTCTACAGTCCCAAAATGAGTTTATTTCCACAGCCGAACACTCTGAAAACAAGTTATCATCGCAAGGTAATTGAATTTTGAATGGGGAAAAGAGCTATGCATGCATGGCCATGGAACATAGTGGCTATTGAGCAGGGAGGGAATCACAACGTATAATGTACGTATCATTATATAAATGCATGTAAAAAGGTTCCTACCCAAAGAGCAGTCATTTACAACCATCTTCATGAGGTAAGTTACCCTTCTTTTTTCCATACTCGCTGATATTGAGAAAGTAAATTAACCTAATCTATGGAGATTACCCATCATTTAATATCTTTTTTTATTGAAAATTTTCAGAAACATTTAAACTCAAGCATTACCGAGTAAAAGTTTCTTTGATGCGGAGATCATGTGAGAAAAGAATAAACGATAAGAAATATGGTGAGCCTTGTCACAACAGAACAGATGGATCATCAGGTAGAACAATGGAATAAAAGAAGATCATGTTTATTTGTCAAGAATTGCAGTCTTGACAAATGAATAATGATACTGGAAGTTTCGGACGTTACTTACATGAGCCCCTGCAGAAATGTGAAGATACAGAGGTTTTTCATTATCGGGCAATGCATTTGGAGGACGATACTTCCCCCTGTGCAATTGAGAGATCAAGAGTGCTATCTTGTAAGAGGCCATAAGGCTGGGACACTCACAGGAAAACACTCACCTAGTTATGACGACGGCACCTGTGGATTTTTGAATCTGAAAAACATAGATTTAACAATGGAATTTAATCTAAAAAATTCTAATGCAGCAGATCAATTCTAAAAAACATTATAACCACTGGATCAACTGCCTCACCTCTTCTTGCATTTGACGTTTTGTAAGTTTGGACCGAACAGAAGCATCTGCATCATTGATGACAATTTCACGCGCAATTAACTCATCTTGGATCTTTGGCTGAAATTTGCCCAATGAGGAACAACGTTGCAATAAAAGGAAAAAAATAAATTAATACCTTCAGAATGCATTTATTCAACTAGGAAAAAACAGATTAAATTACAATCCTTACACTTTGGAACAAATTAAGGATCAACATTTTGATGAATTGGAGAGAAGTTCCATTGGAAGATGTAAAACATAAATACATATCTTGAAAACCTCAAGGTGAATTGCACAAAGCATTGAACAAAGAAAGTGTACGATCATTATCATCTGCTGATTCGATATTCCGATTACGGTCGCACTTCTGTAGAAAAAAATCTCAGTACAACGCACAACAGGAATATATAGGCACATGATCCAAGATAAGAATAAAATAAGCACCATCAAAAGGTGATAATATCTGCAGCGTGTACCCTCTTGCTTTCTGGACCAGCAAGCAACTAAGGCTTCTTGGGTTGTTTGAGAAAGAGGAAGAGAGAGAGAGAGAGAGAGAGAGAGAGAGAGTACGGTCATGTAACTCGGGCCACAAGCTTGACTAGGAGATGGAGACAGTTGAAGGCAATGTAAAGATGGATAAGAATGTTTCTTCATGACAAATTCTATAATGCTGTCAGTTTTCAGCATCTATGAGCTCTGACAGGGGAGGCTGACTGATGTAGTTTTGAGTAGTTTTTCCGAAGATATTTGACTGAGATAGGAAAACTCAAAAAGTGGGACATGTGAAATGAAACATGGATGATCATATTGTAGCTGTACAGTATAGATACACTTTGTCGTCACAACTCAGAATAGTAGTCATTGATCCCTAGGCCAGGCACTTAGGCATAAAGCAACTTTATGAGAGAAAAAACTAAATTTTCCAGACCTTCCATCAATAATTTTCCTATTTCAATTAGCATCTGAGTACATTTTTTTTCCTGCGTGAGAATTTCTATATCATTTTCACTGCATGTGATTCACTCCATTACTGCAAACCCTTGTTCCCAGGAGACAGTCCCCGCTGGCACCTGTATTTACTAAAATGAAGGCTGATCCCTAATCTGGAAATCTGATAACTGAAATTAGTTGTTGACAAGTACTTATTCAATCCTTCGTTTTACAAGAAAAAATAGAATGCAAATTACACGTATGGGGACATTAATTAAATCAACTAAGTTACGTGTCCTGCCGAAATGGGGGCACCTGAACCTAAAAAAGGCCACCCTTCCTCATCAAGCCACTACCCTCACCGGACAGAAATCCTACACTGCCATTATTCAGAGATAATGCACGTTCGAAAACAGTGCCTCCATTTAGCAAGACAACTCTGACATTAAACATATCAACACCTGCAAGAATATGAGATGAAACGACGAAGTACTCTAAGTTTCATAGATGACCCAGTGGTTTAATTTGCTCAAAGAGAACTCACAAAGAAGGAAACACATGAGGATATTTGTACTAAAATTCCGAGCTTGCGTGTTTTCATCCGATAACTCACTTGATTCGTCTTCTGAATCATTGCAGCAGCATTTTGTTGGAATGCAGGTGCGTGATACAACTGGGACGTAGTCGTGCAAACCGCTGCCACAGTACTCATAAGCAAAGAACTGGAAAGTGTCGTGATACCAATCCCAGTAAGGGGTCCAATATCAAAAGGGAGAGACCCAGGCACTGGTAATCCGACGGAGAACAACGATCCCGCAGGTTGATCCCACTTTCTCTTTTTTCTGAGACCAAAATGACGACTACAATTACAACACTAGGCTTTCTCTGACCGATGGTCCCAGAAAACTTAACATGTGAGCCGAAAAATCACAATGACAGAAACTGTAATAATATCACAGACGCAAAGATAATCAACCTAATTACTGGTCGGACTATTAGGACCAGATGAATATTTCTTCCACGAATTTGGATTTCGATGAATTGCACAAGGGCACGAGACCGTAAAATAAGTACATATCATACTTTCGCGTGTGCTGGGAAGGAGGGAGGAAGGGAGTGGCTAATCAATGGGCAGCATCTCAAGAATCGGAACATTAGGAAGCAAAAAAAGGCTTCTAGAACGGCCGAAGACACCTAGTACATTTTAATTTTAGCATAAATCAATCACCTAACACACGAATAAAAACATTTCAAGATAAATCCGTAAACCCTAGACCATGAAAACTGGCCAACAGCAAGGGCAACCCTCTTCTGAACCGAAAACGGGCACAGATGATCACGGCGGTCGCAGAAACAACACCCGACAACAACTCACGAGCGAATCACAGAAATCCTGTGGAATAAAAATCCTGAAAGACTCGTCAGGATATCCGCGTACACGGAAAGAGGACGGAGACTGGCGGACTGTCTAACCTCTGTCTCACCGACGCCGCTGCCGCCGCCGCCGACCCAGGCTCCTCTGAGGCCTTCGCGCAGCTCTCCGCGCTCATTGCTATACCCTCCCCGATCTCTGCTGCGGCGCCGATGGGGAGAACGCAGGAGGAGATGGCCGCACGAAAGTCACAACAGAATCCTCTCCCAGCGGAAGGAAGAAGAAGACGGCGCCACAGTTGTGAATGTAACACCCATCCAAGTTGACTCATCATTCACGCCACGTGTCCATCTTGTCATCCACTCTTTCTGTCCGAGTTGGCGGCCCACGTCGGTTGGCTCGACCGGGTTTCCATGGGTTCGCAAAATCAAACCGTTAAGAATGATCAAGCCCAGAAACCGTTCCAATTCTGCCCGGTCCACCACGACCTCACTACAGATCCAATCAATAAGCCCTCTCGCTCTCTCTCCCCTCTCTCTCCCCTCTCTCTCCCTTCCCTCTCTTCCTTCTCTCTCTCCCTTCTCTCTCCCTTCTCTCTCTCCCTCTCTCTCCCTTTCTCCCTTCTCTCTCCCCCTCTCTCTCTCGTCTCTCTCTCTTAATGGACAGCAGGGCTAGACACGAACAGTTGAACGTGGTGGGGCCCGCATTGACTGCGACAGCAGGAATCGGCAGCGTGGCTAATGAACAGGGATGATAACTCCTGGGTAATATTTTTTTATTCAAATGAAAAAATAGACAATAAAATATCGAGAACAGATTCGCATTTTGAGAGGATTTAAAAAAATGCTGGAAATATATCAGGTCTAAAAATAAATTTTATGGGCTTTACAAGAACGAACCAATTATGGGCCATTTAATGAGACCCTCGGTCTTGGGCTCGATGGGGGCAAGACCAGGGACAGGCTCAGCCCAGTTGCCCTTGACTTTTTTCGAAACTTGGATTGGGTGGGACTTCTCCGTTGACTATCCGTCAATGAATAGTCGGGGTTGACTCGGGCTGGGCCTCCTCTCACATGGACGTCATTGATGCTTTTTTTGGGCCGGGGCCTGAGTTGGGTTTTATGAGACTCTTTCTATCTCTCGGATAGGTTCATACGGAGGCCCGGCCCGGGCCTAGTTTTATGGTCGAGCCGTTGACCATGACGATTCCTCGTTGAATGAGGCTCATTATGAGACATGGGGGAGGTCCCACCTGTGTGCGGGAAGGTCGTAGTAGGCAGGTGGGGGCCCACAGCGATTATCTAACCCCCTACGCTTCCCTCTAATAATGCTATCGCGGTCAACGTCGCCCTAACCTGTTCCACCGGTCCTGCGCGAGGCAGGATGCCTACATCACGAGGAAGAACAGAGGCGATGCGTAGCCATTCACGAGTGTCCATGTCATACAAGGACCACGTGGCTTATCTTTATTGGTAGGGAGGCTAAATGTCTCTCCCCTGTTTGGGACCAGGCCAGATGCTCTATCTTCATACCAGGCTCGTCTCCAGTGGGCGACCAGCTAATCGATCAGAAAACCACTCTACCTTGGAGAGGGGGAGGGCTTAGACAGTAGAGAGTAGACGGAAGTCGGCACCAAACCCACGAGGGCAGCAGATGAAGAGCTCGGTGTTTTATGAGAAATAATCATTTTCCTTTCCTAAATCAGCGATACGGAGCCGACAGCTTCTCCATCAGCGCCGCGGATGGAAACCACCGGCGGCGGTGGCGGCGGTGGCGGAGGCAGCTCCTGCTCTTTTTCTTCTTCTTCTTCCTCTGGTTCGACCTCTTCCCCGGGAACTAGAATGGCGGAGGGCCCTGATGGAGATACCCCGGTGGTGGAGGTGTACTTCCACTCCCAAGATAGTTCTCGTTCTTCTGGCTCATCCTTCTCGTTTGAGTCCACGGCAGGATCCTCAGGCCATGAGCTACCGGTGACGATGAAATTCCCACAGCATTCTTCGGACAACATTAACCTGCACTGCTCCTCCTCTTCTGCTTCTTCTTCCTGCTCCTCTTCTTCTTCTTCGGGGAACCACAGAGGCTGTATCCCGGCGCTGAGAGGCGTCGCCACCAACCGGTCCGACCGCGTTGTCGAGGAGCTCATGGAATACGTGGACCGCCGGCAGGTCGAGTGGCGAGAGGTTGAGGGGAAGTTCGACCAGCTAGCCGTGCCGGTGCTGGGACGACTTCCAGCGGTGAAATCATCGGATTTCGTGCTCTGTATTGGTAGCGATCGAGTTTTTCAGAATTTCGTTTACATTTTGTTCTTGATTCATCTGGTGATGTCAACTCTCTGCATGGCTCGTATTGCTCAGGCATGGAGGAGACGCCGGAGTTCGCCTCAGAGCTTCTGAGAGCCCTTCGGGGGAGAAAGAATGACTGTCAGTGGATCACAAAGCCAGAGCTCCTTGAGTATTGGAGGCGCATCAACGACACTCGTCTCAGCTCGAGGGTTCAAATCTTCCTCGACATGCAAGTCTCCTCTCTCTCTCTCTCTCTCTCTCTCCTCCTCTCCTCTCTCTCTCTATCTTTTTCTCTCACGGAGAACTATGCCTGAACCAGGTGTAGAAATGTGGACGGGGAGATCACGGAGAAGGAGATGAAGCAGGTGATCCGGCTGAGCGCCGCCGCCAACCACCTGTCGATGTCTCAGCAGGAAGTCGGGGAATACACCCGACTGATCATGGAGGCCATCCTGGGGAGAGACCTCTCGAGCCACAAGGACGAAGAAACCCCACGGAAGTCGGAGGATGAAGAGCAGAGATTCCGGCGACGAGCCCCACCTTCAGCCGCGGAAGTCCTCGTCCGAGCAAACTGGCGGCAAGCATGGGTCGTCTCCCTCTGGCTCATCGCCTGCGCCGCCCTCTTCACGTGGAAGTTCGAGCAGTACCGCCGCCGGAGGGCCTTCGAGGTGATGGGCTACTGCCTCAGCGCCGCCAAGGGCGCCGCCGAGACACTCAAGCTGAACATGGCCCTCGTTCTCCTTCCCATCTGCCGCAACACGGTGACGTGGCTCCGGCGACAGCGCCTCCTCAGCTCCCTCGTCCCCTTCAACGACGCCATCAACTTCCACAAGGTAAGCTCCGCCCCGCCGCCTCCTACGCCGCGGCCCCAGGCAGCGCCGTCCATATGACCGACGTCTTTCTAGTGTAGCTGGTCGCAGGGGGGATAGTCGTCGGCGTGATCCTCCACGGTGGCACCCACCTGGCCTGTGACTTCCCGAGGATCGCCGGCGCCGACCAGACGCTGTTCCGGCAGACGATCGCAGCCAACTTCCGGCACCGGCAGCCGACGTATCTGGAGATCCTGGCCACCACCGAGGTTGCCTCCGGTATCGCCATGGTGGTCCTCATGGCCGCCGCTTTCGCCCTCGCCACGCGGCTTCCCCGCCGCGACCCCGCATCTCTCCCGCGGCTGCTCCGCCGGATCGCCGGCTTCAACACCTTCTGGTACTCTCACCACATCTTCGTCGTCGTCTACGTGCTGCTAATCATCCACTCGATGTTCCTTTTCCTCACCAAAGACGTCACCGAGAAGACCGTAAGCCCCTTCTCTATCTTCGACCTCCGGGAGTTGACTACTGATGTCTGATAATTATCCATTTTTGGTACGACAGACCTGGATGTACATCGCCGTCCCCGTGTTGCTCTACATCGGCGAGCGAGCAATCCGGACTTTCAGATCCCAAGTCTACGACATGAACATTATCAAGGCATTATCCCCTCTCTCTCTCTCTCTCTCTCTCTCTCTCTCTTTCTCTACGTCTCCATGTCCGAGGCCGGTGAGGTGAAAGTCTGAAGTCGCCGCCGGCGTGTTCTCCCCCTTCCCCGCAGGCCACCACGTACGCTGGGAAGGTGCTCTCTCTTAGATTCCAGAAGCCCGCTGGGTTCAGATTCCGCAGCGGGATGTACATCTACATGCAGTGCCCCAGCATCTCCGCATTCGAATGGTGAGGTCATCTTCGCCGTCGACTCCGTTGACCTTCCAACGCCAAAAAAAATCTCATTGTGTCTTCGTCTCTTGGCCATTCCAGGCATCCGTTCTCGTTGACTTCTGCGCCGGACGAAGAGCACCTCAGCGTCCACATTCGGACACTCGGAGACTGGAGCTGCCAGATTTACAGCCTCTTCCGGGAGGTGATGCCTTAAGAAGCATTCTTCTGAACTATCTGGGAGAACTTACGGTGGTAACTCTTGAGCACGTCGGATATGGCAGGCTTTGACCTCCAGCGAGGGCGGCGGCTTCCCGAAGGTGCGGATCGACGGCCCGTACGGCGCCGCCTCCCAAGACCACGCCAAGTACGACGTCATCGTGCTCATCGGGCTGGGCATCGGGGCGACGCCCTTCGTCAGCGTCCTCAAGGACATCGTCCACCGCCGGCAGCGGCAGCCGGTCGGCGGCGGCGGACCCAGAAAGGCTTACTTCTACTGGGTCACTCGCGATCAGTCCTCCTTCGACTGGTTCAGGGACGTCATGAAGGAGGTCTCCGCCGCCAACCAGAAGCAGGTGATCATCTCTCTCTCTCTCTCTCTCTCTCTCTCTCTCTCTCTCTCTCTCTCTCTCTCTCTCGTCTTTCTCGGGGCAACTGACGTCTTTCCGGCGAGGCCGCAGGCGGTGGTGGAGATGCACAACTACCTGACGAGCATCTACAAGGACGGCGACGCGAGGTCGACGGTGATCGGCGCCGCGCAGGCCCTCTACTACGCGAGGAGCGGGCTGGACATCGTCTCCAGGACGCCCGTAAGTAGTCGCGGACCTCCGCCGTGATGCCGCGGCCCCACCACCTCCTCTCCCTTTCTCACTGGTTCCTCCATCTGCAGGTGCGGACGTACTTCGCGAGGCCGAACTGGGCGAGGGTCTTCTACGGGCTGACCGCCCGCCACCAGGGGGAAACAATCGGCGAGTCCCCCCCTCCCCTCCCCCCCCCCCCACACACACTCCACAGACATATTTACAAAGTTCCTACATTTTCTAAAAAATCTACGAAATATACGGCATCCTGCCAAATATATCATACCAATTAAATACATATAATGCCTTTGTTCTATTTTTTATTTTTATCCTAAACTTTTAAATAATTAATAAATAATTTCCTTCTTGACGACAGGGGTGTTCTACTGCGGGCCTCCAGCTCTGGCAGGGCATCTGCGAAGATTATGCCACAGGATGACGACCAAGTCACTCACCAGATTCGTGTTCCACAAGGAAAATTACTAGTTTTGTCAAACTCGACATTTTTGTTATTGGCCATTGAAAGTTCGTGAATTTCTTAATATTTAAAAAATATATATAATTAGGTCAGGTAAGGCATTGAAAGCCTGCTCCTAGAGTTAATGCCCACAAGGGTCACAGTGTGTGGGTAGAGCTCGATGCAACTTGGGCATTGCCAAAGCCTTCTATACGTGTCCATTTTCGAGATAGGAAGAGAGAGAGAGAAAGAAGCGAGATAGAAATAGAGAGAGAGAAAGAAGAGAGAGAAGAGAGAGAAATAGAAATAGAGAGAGAGAGAGTGAGGGGAGAAAGAAGAGAGATCTTATTGAGGTTTTAAGTGAGCCTATGTTTTTTTTGGTGGGCTTAAGTTTTAGGTAAACTTAAATATATTGCGAATATTGAAAGTAAATACTATGTAGAGTAATTTTTTGAAAAACTAAGTAAGACACTTAATTTAAATTTTAAAATTACGTTGAAAGTAGTATTTTGTGTGTACATGGATGCAATTTTTAACTTTATAGGTGGGATAAAAAAATTCATTTTTTTATTTTTTTTAATTATTTAAATGTGTAGAAATATTAATGAGAAAATATATGTTTTTTTACAAAAAAAAACCGGAATGATTTGAGTTTTAAATAATATGGCTCGTTTTAATCAGACCGTGATTATTTGAAGGTGTAATAAATAATTATGATCAAATATTTACTACCTCCCTTCACAGATTTTAGTAAATGCTCGACATCTTGATAGCTGACGTCACTTCCTCGACGGAGCCAACTTCCTCTGCAAACCCTTGCCGCCGCGAGGGATGACCGGAGAGAGGTGAGATGCGGAGGAGCTCCCTCTTGATCTTCTCGCGACTCTCTCAGGGATTCTCCTCCTCCGCTGCGGCGGCGGTGCCTCCTTCCGACGTCCCCGTCCTGTACTCCTTTCTCCAGCCCACCGTCTTCCCCCTCAGGGGAAAAACTCCGCCGGTACCGCCGCCGCCGTTCGGCAAGGTCTCGGAGACGTCGGCGCCGCCGCGGAGCCCCTGCGCGGACAAGGAAACCCTAGAATCGGACCTGAAGGAGCACCTGCGGAATAACCAGACTGACGAAGCATGGAGATCCTTCAAAGCGCTCACTGCCGGATCACTCCTTCCGTCCAGGCAAGCCTCCAACTCCCTCATCGCCCACCTCTCCTCCCTGAGGGATCTCCACAACCTCAAGAGGGCCTTCGCCTCTGCGATCTTCCTCCTTGAGAATGCGCCGAGATCTCTGGAGTTGGAGACGCTGGACGCCCTTTTCCGCTCACTGGATGCCGCCAACGCCGCCGCCCCAGCTTTCGCTCTCGTCAAATCCATGTTTAAGAACCGGTGCTTCGCACCATTCCATGCGTGGGGCGAGGTCCTGCTCCGGCTGGCCAGGAAGAACGGCGCCTTCGACAAGTTCCTCATCATCTTCGAGGAGAACTGCCGGATCGCCATGGCGGAGAGGATCACCTCCATGAAGCCCGATTTGGGCGCTTGCAATGAAACCCTAGAGGGCTGCTGCCGTGAATTGGGGTCGGTGGCTGATGCCGAGAGGATCCTAGAGATCATGTCCGCCATGGACGTGCGGCAGGACTCTCGGACCTTCGGTGCTCTGGCATATCTATACGCCTCGAAGGGCCTGAACAACAGGATCATCGAACTGGAGAAGCTAATCTCTGGGGTGGGCATCTCAGATAGGACTGTGATTTACAGTAATCTGGTCAGGGGATACCTCAAATCCGGAGATTTCGAGTCAACCATGGAGATCATCCTGCGTGCCCTGAAAGAGCAGCAGGGCGAGAACGGCGGCGGACTCGCCGGCGTTCTCGACGAAGAAAGCTACTGCGAGGTGGTGAAATCTTTCGTGGAGAAGGGAAGGATGAAGGATCTGGCAGATTTGATCATCGAATCACAGAAACTGGAGTCTTCATCTTCTTCCTCGACCGATAACTATGGCGACACAGTGGGATACAGAATTGTCAGCGCCTGTGTGAACCTGGGGCTGATGGACAAAGCTCACAGCATTCTCGACGAGATGAACGCCTGCGGAGGCCCCGTTGGACTGGGGGTTTACTCTTCGATCTTAAAAGCTTACTGCAAGGAGCGCAGGACGGCGGAAGCTGCTCAGCTGGTGGCGGAGATCTCCGGCGCCGGGCTCCGGCTGGACGCCGGCAGCTACGACGCCCTCATTGACGCTGCCATGTCCGGCCAGGATTTCCAGTCGGCTCTGTCGCTCTTCAGGGACATGAGAGAGGCACAGCTTTCAGACCTGAAGGTGAGCTACCTCACCATAATGACCGGCCTCATGGAGAACCAGCGGCCGGAGCTCATGGCCGCCTTCCTGGACTCGGTGGTGGACGACCCCCGAGTGGAGATCGCCACCCACGACTGGAACTCGATCATCCACGCCTTCTGCAAGATCGGGAGGCTGGAGGATGCGAGGAGGACGTACAGGAGGATGATCTTCCTGCAGTTCGAGCCCAGCGAGCAGACCTACCTCTCCCTGGTCAACGGCTACGTCTCAGCCGAGAAGTACTTCAGCGTTCTGATCCTCTGGTCGGAGGTGAGGAAGAAAGGCGCCAACCTGGGGCACGACTCCCTGGACGGCTTCCTCTACGCCCTGGTCAAAGGGGGCTTCTTCGACGCGGCGATGCAGGTCGTGGAGATGGCCCAGGACCTGAAGATCTTCGTGGACAAATGGCGGCACAAGCAGGCATTCATGGAGAATCACAAGAAGCTGAGGGTGGCGAAGCTGAGGAAGAGGAACTTCAGGAAGATGGAGGCCCTCGTCGCGTTCAAGAACTGGGCTGGCCTGAATTAAATGGTTGACCCCTGATGATCCTAAATGGTTGACTCTGGTACTATCCTTCTTGGAGTATCGCACGCTGACCTTTTACTCACTTTTTTCTCGGATTATCGAGGATTTGACCAAAAGGGCCGTCGTTCTTGCTCTGAAAGTGCTTTTTTTTCCCGCTGGAATCCCGTTGTCAGAATTTTTTGGCATACTTATATTGATAATGCACGGTCAACGCCTTAATATATGAATTATGCTCCTACCCATAATATTTCGACAAAATTAGAATAATTCATTACATTTATTTTAAAAAATGATGTTAATTATTTATCTTCAATATGCTACATTTCTCTAGATATGCTACATTAGATTGACATTTGACCAGGCAACATAATTCATTCACAGATAGTGGAAAAACCTAATATGCCCCCGCGCAGTTATGATACATTTATCTTGGTTTATTTGCCCTTTGGGACTTTATAGACCCAGACAGAGAACATAATTCAGTCACAGGCCCCCCCCCCAGAAGGCTTCTCGGGCAGAGGGGTGGGTCTGACAAGAAATTTCGCTGGGTAAAAATATAAAAAAAAGAACTCGGAGGTTTCTGAGAAATCTGCGCCACCTATAGATCATAGAGCGAGAAAGAGAGAGAGAGAGAGAGAGAGAAGGGGGCAGAGGTCTATTGGTTCCATAGAGGGAAAAGGACGCGTCAGCCCTAGACAACGAAGCCCAGCCTAGAAATAATAAGTTATACAAGGGAAAGACCGATGGTCCCAAGAGAGACAGAGACAACTCTCCTGCCGCCGCCACCTCCACCACAAAGAAGAAAGAATCAAAATCCAGCCCTCGCCCGGCGCCGGGGCCGGCGCAGCAAGATCAGCCCTCGCCGGCGGCATTTTCTTCTTTCGGAGGAGTAGGGGTGGGAAAGGAGAGGGAGTGAGTCACCAGCCGAGCCTGAGAACAAACAGGGCGGGGAGGAGAAGGGCGGCTGCCGGAGAGAAGGAGAGGGACCCCGCGCCGCTGCCGTCGGTGGAGATGCCAGTGCCGGTCGGGCCGAGGCCTCCGACGATGCCGTTGGTGGTCGGAGAGGTGAAGGTTGGGGTCCCACTGGTTGTGGTGGTCGTCCCCGGTGGGCTGGTGCTGGTGGAGGTCGGCGTGGTAGAGCTGGAAATGATGAAGAAGAAGAAGAAGAAGAGTACTGTGATTTAACGATGCTTCACCCGAATGTCGATGGAATACGAGCAGATTCCCCGGGATGATGACAAAAAAAGGGAAAAAAAAGCGACAGAAATCAAATGCCACAGATCGATATAAATAACAGCGAAATCATCTCTTTTGGCCAGCAAGATAAGAGCAGAACGATGAATCCAGGATCGGGGGCGAGGGCGGAGCCGATACCTGGCGGAGGACGGGTAGCTGCACCCGGAGATGCCTGCAAAACGAACCCAGATACGGAAGAATAAGTGTGCTTTCTCGCCGTCTTCAGAGAGGGACGAGGGAGATTTAGTGGGGGGAGGAATGGAGAGAGATGTTCCTCTTACTGGGGTCGGTGGTGGTGATGCCGGCGGTGCCGGAGAAGTCGCAGCTGCCGGCGGCCTGGCCCTTCTTCTGGAAGTAGCTATTGGCGGCCCAGGAGCAGTGGGCTAGCACGGTATTGGGCTCGTAGCAGCTTCCCTTCTGCAGGATGGCGCTGCAGTCGGCGCCGGCGCCGCACGCGTAGTCCAGTGTCTTCTGCAGCGAGCTGGTGCCGACGTCGCTCCTGCACACGCACCACGTCGCATCTGCCAAAAGATCCATCACACTCACATCGTCACAGCTCGCCGGAGCAAGAAACCCCCCTGCAACACCCCACACAGAACACTCCCGACCCATTCCTCACCGGCGCCGGAGAAGAGGAGCCCCGCCACGAGCATGAGCACCACCAGTACCGCCATTGTCACCGGCGACAAAAACCCGCAACACAGAGAAGAGAGAGAGAGAGAGGGGGGGGAATCCAGAGAGAGAATGGAGGGAGGGGAGCTGGCGATGGCGACGGGGGCGGTCGGTGGAGGGGGAGGCTTTTTATGGTCAGCCGAGGACTGTTTTGAAGTCTTGGGGAGCGAGCCCTGCTATTTCGGGCCCAATGGGCCTTTGTCCCTGGCGAACGGTCATAAACCTGAGTGGTCACTCGATGTGGTTAAACTAACCGTGGTCAGCACTCAACAACGGTCTTCGTTCACGGCGGTGACGGCGCAGAACTGGCGGCTGTCGGAAGCCGCAATTTTTACCCTAGATTTAGGGCCGCTTTCTTTGTGTCACGTGGGATCGGAGAGAGATTGAGACACGTATCCTTGTGCACGTGCTCTCGTAGGAGTTGTCGACTGACGTAGTTCTGTGCGGATGGTGGACCTTCAGACATGGGACACGTACCCCACCTAGAGGGTCTCTCCCCTTGTCTGTGGTGCCTACCATTTGTCGTTTTGTCGAACGTGGAATACTTTTGAGCTGTGAAGAAAGCGAGTTGACGGTGCGGAATTATTCCGTTTGTATATACATACCCTTATGAGGGTAAAACAGTCATTAACTATTTCCCCAGGTAAAAAGGTAAATATCAACCACCAAACACAAAATAAGTGTTTGACCAACTCAGATGAAAATTTTGACATTATTTATAGTATTTAGAAATGACAGGTGAGATCATAGACTCTGAGACTCACAATTCCCATCCTCTCTCTCTCTCTCTCTCTCTCTCTCTCTCTCTACCTTAGATTTTGTGAAATGGACTTGGAAATACCCTCGCTTTTGACTATTACTATTTTTGTGTTATTTATCAAAGTTTTATCAATTAATCCCTACCATGAAATTGAATATTCGCTAGGTAAAATATAATAAACATTGGGGCATCAATGGGCCCACTAAATGTTGAAGCCCAACACCATCTTTAACACTTTTTTATATAATATATTACCAATAATAATAATAATAATAATAATGACTAAGAAAGGAATATAAGACGAAAAGTCAAAATGACATGTCTAAAAGGCTAGACCGGTGCCAGTTGACTTCCCACGATGTTCCAAAGTGCCCCAAAGAGTATACATTATATATAATATATATATTAGAAAATGGGAAACATAAAGAGTGATGTTAAATATGTACTCTCTTGAAGAGTTACTCGTCGAGGAATGTTGATGGGCCCCATGCACTCTAAAGCAAAAGCCAATGCTGCTGCATTACTAATTATGAGGCTTGAAGAAAGTTTTGGAAAATAGAGACAAGTGTCTTCATTTCGACATGAGAGCACCAGAGAGAGAGAGAGAGAGAGAGAGAGAGAGAGAGAGAGAGAGAGAGAGAGAGAGAGAGAGAGGTGGCAATAAGAATAGTCTACGAGCTTTCAATAAAATTCCAGCATAGATGGGGTGTGGGGTCAAGTTGGGCTGGGCCCATTTACTACTGGGCCAGACTTCAATGTGAACGGGCCCCATGACAAGTCAACATGGGCTGCCAGCCAACGAAGATATTTATCAATCATAGAATGAATGAGGAACCTTCGGATGCCTGGCGCCACTAAAATACCCCCTTCCACTCCACATGGAGGTGGAGGGGTTGGGAATATAACAGCACATGGTGTTATAAAGCAGAGATTCCCCACCATTATTATTCTTACCTCCCACTGATGGCTGCCCTCCAATCCATTTCCAGATTCCGGGCCAAGTAAAGCCGGGCTCACGGGCTTTTCCGATCCGATCGAGGGCACAAGGTTCTTCTCAGCCTATCGATGAAACATTCCATGAACCCTATTCCATTCGTTTTTTCCGAGGCCTAATTTTCCCCAATTATGAGCTTTGAAAATCAGACAGTTTGTACCTTCAATTATACCACATTGAGGGGAGAGAGAGAGAGAGAGAGAGAGAGAGAGAGAGAGAGAGAGAGAGAGAGAGAGAGCATAGGAACCACATATGAGTTAATCACATAATGATGAGAACATCCACAGCCCAACAACTAAGAATCGCCTGTGGTTTTAGCTACACATATTAGATTCAAGGAAAAAGGAGGAAGATCTCCAAGCCTATTCACAAGTGTGTGTTTGTGTCGTGTGGGGGTGTGCATTCAAATGGTCAGTCCCAGTCAGCATCGAAGAATCCCGCATCTTTCATCTCCGAGTAGTACGCATTCTCCAAGTTCAGATCCTCCTCCTGCACCAAGAAGGCCCCCCCAGATCGATGAATAATTGATGCACGATAATTAAATTGTTTCATAAGGAATTATCAAGAACACCAATCGAGAGAGTACCACAAAATCAGATAAATCCCACACATGTTCATTCGATTTTTTTATTTTTTATTTAAAAGGCCCACTCGGCAGCCATGCAGACCAATCCATGAAGGATTGAACTAGATTTTGGGTGGTATATCTCATTTATGAGCATCGAGTTCATCATAATATTGATTTATCAAGAAAAAAACCAAGAAAAAAATGAAAAATTCTGATAATAAATCTCACCCACGTTTGGTCAACTAATATAAGACGACAAGAACCACATAGACCAATTCACAGGGTTGAATCGGATTGGGCAATATGTCTGATCCCACCATGACAGTGGTTTAGATATCAGGCTGCTTGAGCCCGACATATGCGATAACTCTAGCTGGCTGTACTGGAACCGGGTCAGCCTAGAACAAGTCTAAATTGCCCAATTTGCCCATTTTCAGCGCAAGATGAAGGGATTGGAGTTTTCCCAAATGGGGATTGGATGATTCTGGATGCCCTAATTCTGATGATAGAAGATGATGAAGAATACCTGAAAAAAGTCCGCCAGGAATGTGATGTATAGAAGTGGAGGATAGAACGAGTGATAACAAATGATAGAGAGATTATACAACCTGGAAGAAAAGAAAAGAAAAGTTAAATAAAATATACTTTTCTACACATTACATACTATGAAAAATGAATTAAAGCGTACCAGAAGCTGAAACCTCCTCCATTCCCCAAAAGCCCACATGCAAATAGAGCCGCGGCATTTAACAAGAACATATATACGATATATTTGTAGAACATTGGTCTTGCTGCAAGATAAAAATAAATTATTGAAGAACATCGGAAGAGATGGTGGGTAAGATTAGAACAAGAGGGTGTAAGCAAAAATGGTCACCAGGTAATCTCTCCTTCCATTTGGAATGGTGCATGAACACGATGATGCCATAAACAGCTGTAAGAAGCAACTTGTGGATGGCCCACAACCCCCACTTCACTCGATTTGCAGCAGTGCCATTGTCGATGAACAAGGGGACACCGAAACCGAAGACGTATAGTGACTGAAGTAATTGAGATAAAGAAAAAAATTGTAATTTCAATAATAAATTAAGTTTCCTTGCGGTAAAATAGTAGATATAAAGGCAAGGTAGAAGAAAAAGAGACCACTGAAATAATTAGATAAAGAGATGAATATTAAAAAAAAACCGAATTCTTATGTCCATAGGCAATCTAATGCTGAGTGCGTCACACATTCTACCTCCCTCCCTCTCTCCCTAAAACTTGAAAACATCCAAGAATGGAGTTATCAGGACAGACACCAGGACCGGCCGTGACTTATAATCATCCAGATTACTGGAAGAGGAAACGGAGAGGACTTGCCAGATTTGTCTTCTTGCCTCTTTTCCTGTATCCTTCCTTGTATGATAAAAAACCAGCCAAGGTCTTCAAACGCTTCCCTTTAAACTGATTCCGGAGTGGTTCTCATTAGAGATAAAAAAAGATAATAAGATAGCAGGGGACAACAAAGGCGAGAACTAATGCATCGTTCAGGATTTGTTTTGACTGGTGTTCTTTGCAGCGGATTAATTGTGATTTTCAGTGTGCTTCCTTTTCCTTAAATGGACCTACCAGATAACGAATTCTTGTCAATATAGACGACTAAAATTACGGCGTAGTTTTGTCATTTAATCAGTGGGTATGATAAGGGTTTTCTGTGTCCCAAAAGTGACAAAGTTCACTGAAATTCCAATTCCATGAACCAGATAACTGCCGGGGTGAAGAATCAATGATAAACTGAGTGGGTAATCACCAATCCCTTGTTGCAGATTAGGTCAGGGACATCTGTTTCTAAAATGATTATGTCGACCTTAGGAAAACTCATCTTGAAACAAGGAAAAAACGGATTATTTGATCCTTGGGAAGAAGGCTTTGCTCAATATGACGAAGATTCCAGTCGTACCACAATACAATCGTAGAGCAGTAAGCATGCGCCAGTGAGGGGGTTTTTTCTTCATCGTGTGTATGAAGAATTAACTCCTCGCTGAATATAGTTTGCAGTGTATTTCACATACCAGATCCTCGTCCAATAAAAAAGAACAGCGATGCAATCTACGCAGTTTTTCTTTTGTTGTGTAGTTCATGTATCTCTTTCTCAGTTGAGGTTAGGGTCTTTCTTTTCTTATTTTCTCTATCTAAATGATTCATGCCTTCAACATAGGACTAGAACTAGGGTTTGTTGGGCTAAAACCGAAGGTCCTAATTAAACCGACTAGGGAGGGTGCCAACCCAAGCTTCAACCGTACCTGCTCGCCTGATTGCATCGAAATACCTCTTGAACCTCACCTGAACGTAAACCTAGCGAAAAGAACTCAATCTGACTCAACCAACTTTAAACTACACAGTAAAAAATCATAGACAATCAAATTGTTTCAACATGACATTTCTTCTCAAAGTAACTCTCGGGTCAAATAAAGAACACATTAACTCGTCAGAGTAACTTAGAGAAGCTTAATATGCTGCACATGTGATGCCAACAAATGTACCATGCGTGGTATTGGAGATATCAACAAAAGTATCAATGGGTATCTTGAACAAGTAAAATGTGTGTAACATGATAAAAAGAAAAAAAAATAGAGCCACAGAGAAATATTAAAAGTACCTTGAGAAAGACATCCACCGCAACAATGACACCAGAGATGGCAAATGTGCGTGTTAAAGCCTCCAAACCACTTGCTTGATTCCCTTGCAGTAGGAAGGCCACCAGACTGATCTCCAGAAACAGCAATCCAGATGTTGTCAGCAATGTTAAAAGGTTCCAACTCAGTTCTCTTCCCGGTGTACATTGCCAATACTGCACCAGATATTTCACTTTGATAAAAGGTACATGACAGTATTCTTCTCTCATTATAAATACATTTTTTTTCATGTTGAAACATCCACAAACATTTACAGAAAGTAAAGATTAAATGCCAGAAAAAACCAGCGAACTTCTCTTACAAATATCTTATGTTCGTGTTAGTATTCATCCTTGTAACTAAGGGTAGAGAAGTATAATTGCAACTGTACGTGTAAAGAAATAAAGCAGTGTGTTGATGATCTATCAACAATAAGCGATCAAGTTTGGACGATTCTTATAGGTGAAGATGATCAAGTATATAATACAAGATTTTGAATAATTTTGGCATAAACTGAAGAACAAATTAAAAGGCAAAATGATTAGCCCCTTCTCAAAGAAAAGACAAATCAACTTGAGATTGTCAGAATGGTTGTCTAAATTTGAAATTGGCTAGCTCCACATGTGCAGTCCATCAGAGGCAACATGGTGCACAAATGTATCATCTTGGACAAGTTCAATACAAACATGTGGAAACATGTTGATTGCCGCAAGAAAAAAAAATACAGGCAAAAATTTCTCAATTAAGGAAATAATGGGACACAACCTGCATTAAAAATGAGCAAAAATACAGATAATACTCTCCATTGAAATACATCTAGACCACAATGCGATATATGTCCAAATGCAATTATGACACTGAAACAGTTTTTCAGGATCAAACCTGTTAGTAAAGAACTATGGCCATCAGTATCGTCTAAATGTTTTACTTGCGCATGCTAAGTGGATTTATAATATAGGAACCGTGTATTGGATTTTTTTATAATTTGAAGGCATGTTACAGGATGGTAGATGCACTAGACAAACATGCTTCGGATGACACAATGGAGAAGCATTATCCGGTTGATAGGATATTACAGATCATGATGATACTTCAAGATTGGTCAATCGATTTGTTTGGAAAAGCGTCGCATGGTTTTAGAATGAGACACCAAATCTTCTACGTTATCAGTACATGTTGCTGTCATCCCCATTATTGATTGGAGCTTACAGGATAAGCTTCTAAAACTGCCAGCTCAGAATTGCTCATCATAGAAGGAGCATATTGGATGAAGTTTTGCGCAACATAGGTACTTCTTCCTAGCAATTTACTGGAAATTGCGTTTTTTTAGTTTGGCTTCCTCCCTTAAAATTAATTCACTTCTATTGGTCACGATCAAAAGTTGGTCTACTAATCGCTTCCTCCACAAGATGGAAGCGGTACTTTCCCTCAAGCCCTAACCTCCAAGGACAAGATGGGCGACCTCCACAAGGAAACAACCTTCTCCAAAAGAGGAACAGCCCTAATACGGAGAAACTCCGTAGCAGTCAAAGAGAATTGCTAATTACGATCTTCCCGACATCACTATCCATACAGACCAAAGGAATGGCGAAATGATCCATCAACCGGAGGTAGGGTCTCTGTCCAATCTAACGATGGGACTAATCAGGCAGCATATCTGAGAGATTACGCGAAATTCACACAAGTTTGAACAAATATTTAGTTTTACGGAATGAACAGCTTTCAACTCGAAATCAAGGGGGAAAGAGGGCGGGGGAGGAGCATACCTGGAGGACGCACCACGTAAGGTTGAACAAACTAACAGCCCAGAGGAGGCCGTAATACGAGATCATGATGTACGATCGGCCATATGAAAGCTTTGTGAGGCTCTTCCTCGCCTGCGAGGCCAGGAATGCGACAAAAAGTGCCGAAGGCACAATCAGGGCGAGGTTGTACCACAACCCTCGGCAGTTGGAAAGCCATCCGGAGAAGTTAGGGGAGCTCCCGATGCCGGCAACTCCTGTATTTGCATCCACCGCCGGGACGACCGCCAAGGGGCTCAACAGGACCTCTTCTTCAAAACTTCTCATCTGGAGAAGCGGCGAAGCATCACAGGGAGCACAAATCCGAGGCGGATTCTCTGACAATCATACACAGTCACCCAACCGGCGAAAGCGACAAATGATCCGCGGATCCGGGCAGTGGAGGATGAAGGCGGGGGAGTATTCTAGCTCTGCTGGTATCCCACGGGACCCCCGAGCACCCAGAGCTTGCTTCCAGGCCTCTCTCTCTCTCTCTCTGTGCCCCACCTCTCCACCCGCAGAGACCGTCAGATCGAGTTTCCTGGTCCTCGGCAGCAGCGATCGTGAGAGGCTCCAAAACCGCGACTGGAGGGTGCCGCACACGGTCACGCCCACGTCATCACCAGCTTCAATGGTCGGTGATAAAAACCGCCCGTTATAAAAATTGACTTTTTATCAGCAATACCGCAGTATAGTTTATTGATATATAATTGAAAGAAGGTTACATGGATTTTGATTTTTAAAAAATTATTTTTTTATCGGTTATTTTAAAAAAATATTATTTATTGACTAAAATATTTAATAATAAAAATTAATTAAAATAACAATAATTGAAAACAACTCGGGCCAACCTAATCTGCCTTTTAATCTATAACCCTAAAAGAATTAAGGAAATTAGTGGGGCCGTACTAAATATAAAATGTACAGAAATAAAATATGAATAGTGTTAAAGTGTATAGTTTATTATTGGAATTTGTATGTAGTGATATATTAAGAGAGAGCTATAGGGATGAATTAGATTTTTGCTAATTGCTTTCTTCTTCTTGACTACTAAGATCTAGATAGTTGGATAGAAATTTCATTCACATAATTCATAGTGATTTGGTCACCTAATATACTCCACTCCCTAAGTACCATGCATGCCACCACTTCCTTATGTTTTTACTAAACCTTTAGTGAAATATTACATTGAATCACATATTTTGGTTGCTTTCATTGGATTTAACTTTAGTAAATGTAATATCTCACCTGTGAATCTTCTACTAGATTGAAATCTCTAAGGGGTCAAGTCACATTAAAACTTACTCATCTCTTTTGGATTAATAGCTCTAAGATGCCAAGAAGATCATGTCAATCTCCTCTAGATTAAAACTATGAATAGACTTTGAGTGAAAAACACACTCTAAATATAAATGTAGAATGCATTTTTATTCTTTAGCATTCAACTCCAAGTTTTTTGAGTCTTGAATTCATTTGACTTCTCATTTAGAAGAAATATTGTGAGGATCTCCTTTTGTGACCTTGATTTCTTCATACTTTTCAACCCTTGATCTTGATCTTTTGTTGATGCTTTCTTTTTTTATTTGAGGAGAGATTCCTTTTTTATATCCTGATTTTTATTTTTATTTTATGAATCTTCAATCATCATTTAATGATAATTGAAATGGTCATAATAAAGTATGTAGTCCAATGTAGTTTCAATTTTTTCATTTTTTGTTACATGTCATGATTGTCTTCTTCTCTCTCCTCATATGTTAATAATATTGGAACTATAGGACTAAGTGAAACATTAAGAGGGGGCTTGAGTTAGGGTTTTTATATTTTTTTTCATTTTTTTATGTTAAAATTGATGTCTATTTGACAATGAATATGTTGAGACTTGTAGCTTGATGATACCTTTTAATTCTCTCTCACAAGTGACACCAAGATTTTAATACTATTTTATCCTTCAATTGACTACTTCTGTTGATATGAATAAATATATTTCAATGTTTACTAATTTTCTTAGGAATTATATGTTGATATTCATAAACTCTCTACCTAAACACCTAGACTTCGTCTCCTTAGAGACTCATCCACTCTTGGGTGAAAAATGGTGACTACTATTTTATGCCTTTGTCCAAATCATTTCCTCACTTTAGAGCCTAATGGAGAGCTGGAACCATGGAGATGTAGTTGATCATTGAGTCGAAATCAACTTGAGAAGATGATGCAACTTTATTGTGCATCATTAATGTGTAAATCTTCATGTGTTAGATCAATTTTCAATGTAGAAGTTTTTTTTTCATATGTGAATCTTCATCCTTTAATAGCTTCCTAATTTTATTAGATTTCTAATGTTCGTCTACCTTGTTCAACAACTTGTTGTTTTCTAGAATACGAGGTAATGACCTTTGGACCTTCCAACATTTAAATCTCCAACTTTCATTGTCCTTTTTTGTTCAAATTTGAATTAAAATTTCCTAACTTCATAGATAAAAATTTGATTATACGTTAGATCTAAATCACTATGTTTATATGATCTTTTGTCTACTTAAGCAGTTGATATGCCATTTCCAAGATACTTTGTTCAAAAATTGAATATCCCTTTCACTTTTTCATCTTTTTGATGATTTAATCCACATGAGATCATAGAGAATATCTCTATCATTATTTTGAAATGTTAAACACTTCATAGTATGGTTAAGGAAACACATAATCAAAGATAAGATAATTCGTATGATTTACCTATACGTATTTAACCATATACTTCTTTTTTCATTTGAAGATGATTCTTTAGTTAATTGTTTATTATTGATAAAATGGTTATTATGTGAATAATAATTTAATCTCAATGATTAGTATATTGGATTCGATCATTAGTGATAGGATCATAAAATCAATAAAGATATTTTATATTATGTTGAATGTATTGAATATTGGAGACATATTCATAATAAATATAAATAACCAAAGATATTTAATAATTATATATCAATAATTTTTCACTTTTGAATATCAAAACTAATGGCATAAACAAATAATATAATTAGGTTCCATATAAGATATGTAGATGATATTTTCTAAAATAAATTATTTTAGAGAACATTCAATCATTTTTAACATTTTCAAAGATCGCTAGAATATTGAATTGAGCTTGTAAAATAATGTTAACAATTTTTCCTTCCACTTGACTTTATGTAATTAGTGTTTTCCACATTAGAAATAATTAAGATTATGAAAATACTTAATGCTAAAATCATAATCTTGATCAAACTATTCTTGCATGTGTATAATATCATCAAAACTTGTAAGGCTCCTAAAACCAAAACTTCAAAATATAATTGAAGTCCTTCCTCAAATAAAGCTAAATGAAATATGGTTTACCATAATAAGTGCTTTAGAATAGGGAAACTTAGGGTCAAATGATAAATGCTAGGACTGAAAAATACAATGATAACTAGAATCACATAGGAATCAACTAATATTGGTATAGTTAATCATTAAATTAAGTCAATAAACTATGTAAAAATTAAATAGACCTTAAATATTAATGTTTAAAAGAAATGTAATCAATTTCTAAATCCAATAATTCATATCCAAATCTTTAGGTCTAGCTTTATTTGTTCTACATATATGTTTTGTTGACATCATATGAGGAAAATAAATTTCAATAAATAAATATGCATCAAGCCAAATCAAATAAGAGCAAAATAAAATATTGAAGAAAAAGACAATGAGGGAGAAAGTGTGTTGACTTAGTAAAAGAGTTTTCCTAATCAAATTAGAATAAACCCTAAGAGGGAAAGTGTGTAGACCAACGAGTCTTCCTAATCAAATTAGAATAAACCTAGGGAGAGAGAGAGAGAGAATATTTTATTATAATACTTGACGTGTATGACATGTCATGATTGAGTTAGTAACTTTCTTAATTCAAATTTCTCCTATTCTCTCAATTTTTCTGTTCATTACTTAAATTTCTTAGAACACTTAATAAGAATATATATTATTTTATAATGGTTTGGTCTACCCCTACACATCTACTCTTCAATGACCTTGTCCTTGGTCCTTGGCTTGGTGTTTACATGAGATTATAGGTTTCAACCACCCACTAGATGTCACAACGCCGACACAAAGTTTGATCCTAAAATATTCTTCTAAATTTTATTTTCTAAAATTATCTTTTAGATTCATGACTCTAAGAACCCAATTGAAGAGAGTTATGACTTTGTTTAAAGAATTATCATAAATTTATAAAATGCACTGAATATACATCTAGATTATAAGTTTTGTTTGTTGTGATGATTCAAGAGACATGATGCATTCAGATTTGACAGATGAATATCTCTTGTGTGTATTAATTTCATGTGTGGCATGTGTAAATGCAGCCTATTAGTGCATGAAAGGTCATAGCTTAACAAAAAAGAGCCCAAATGGCCTAGAATGGAAAAAGCTGTTAAGGCTTATAAAGGAAGCCGCCCATGTTAGAAAACCCAAGTGCCATAATGACCCAAAATGAAAAGAGCCACTAAGGCTGAAGTTAGAAGCAGCTTGCTTTATAAGTAGTCTTGAAGATGGTGAGCTAGCCCATTATGTTGGAATATAATAGGGTTTTGTTTCACTCAAAATTAGGGCACATGGAATCGAACAAAAATTAGAAGCAATCACAACCTTCCTTGCATGGCTCCTCCTTTAGACACCTCAAGAGATTCAAGGCTGAAATCAATAAGACTTAGATTTGTGCTTGAAGAAAGATCTCAAATGACTCCCCCCATTTGTTCTTCCTTAGCTAACTCCAACAAAGTAAAACTTCTCCATACTAAGTTGAAGGCAATGTTAAAAATTATTTTGGTTTAACTTTAGTGAATTTTATTGTTGATTGGTTGAAAGTGATTGAACATTGAGGCACATATGGTTTGTCAACAATGAGGGTTAGGGTAGCTAGAACATAGAGTTCTAGCAAGGCTATAGAAGCTTGCTGAGCTTAAGCTTTTCAGGGGATTCCTTATTCCCAAGAAACTTAGTTGTATTCAAGATGTTAAGATAATAAAATCAAGGCTATAATCTAGAATGTACGTCGAAGGGGTTCAGCCAAACTATTATAAAACATCATGTCTTAGATATTTCCCTCTTCTAACTTTATACTTAGATCAACTTAAGAGAAAAACTAGAAAGTAAAAAACTATTACAAATTTAATAAAAAATAATCAATTCACTTCTCCTCTTGATTCATCCTTTAGTACATTAGAGACTAATAGTTGATATCAAAGCTAAACTTAGTGAGAGATTGCATAATTTGAAAGAGCAGATCACATATCTAGTAGTCTAATGAGTCACTCTTTCAGGGGAAAATCTATTATTAAATTACTCAAATTACTCATATAAGGAAACTAGAATGAAAAACTTCATCCAATCCTATATCGTAGAAACCTAAAATGTAATTGAAAATGATTCATATAAATAAAAAAAATCCAATAGACACTTGAAACTTCTATTTAGTATAATTTTAAATATAGCATATTAATGTTCATGTAAGTTATTCTAAAGTATCTCACAATGTGAAACAACTAAAGAGATATGGGATAAACTGGAAGTCATACATGAGGGTACATCATAAGTGAAAGATACAAAGATCGATATATATTACTAAGATCTATGAGGGGTCATACTCAAACACTCTTATGGAATAATTTGTTCTACAAGAGAGCCAGTTGATGCCATGAGCCTGCGCACTTGCACTTATTCTGGCTCAAAACTGTTATGACGATACTAAAGCTAGAAAGCTTCTGCGTAGAAACCCTAAGAAGCCGCACCATAGACGTGGAGGGGGAGCCTGGGAATCGGGCAGAGCTTGAGGGGCACCGCCCTCTGCAGGGTCAGCCCATATGCCTCTTCCATGTCCAGCTTCTCGGGGGACTGGCCCCCCGGCATGGCCCAGTCGAAGCCATGCACCAGCGTGGCAGCGGTGAACTGGATGACCCTCATGGCCAGGCTAATGCCGGCGCAGATCCTCCTGCCGGCGCCGAAGGGGATGACCTCGAAGTTGTTCCCCCTGACGTCGATGTGGGCATGCTCGCCGCCGGGGAGGAACCGGGAGGGCCGGAACTCGAGCGGGTCTCCCCACACGGCGGGGTCCCGGCTGATGGCCCACACGTTCACGAGGAGGGTGGCGCCCTTGGGGACGTGGTAGCCGGCGACTTCGCAGGCGTCGGCGGCTAGGTGCGGTAAGGAGAGCGGCGTCGGCGGGTGGAGACGGAGTGTCTCCTTAACGATGGCCTGCAGAAGGGGGGTCTTGGAGAGGTCCTTCTCGGTGACAAGCCTGCCGGTTCCCGCCGCCGCGTCGAGCTCCCGCTGCGTCGCCGCGAGGATGTCCGGGTGGCGGACGAGCTCGGCCAGCATCCACTCCAGCGTGCTGGAGGAGGTGTCGGTGCCGGCGTTGAACAAGTCCTGCGAGATGGATGTTAGGTTAGGGGGCGGATCACAGCGAAAAAGATGATCAATTGATGATTAAGTACTCTGTGGGGTGTTTTTACCAGGAGGAGAGCCTTGATGTTGATGTCGGTGAGCTGCACTCCCTCTCCGGCGCCGGCGCGGTCCTTGAGCCCCATCAGCAACCGGAGCATGTCCTGTTCGGCCTCCTTGTCCGACGACAGGTGATCGGCGATGATTTTGTCCAAGAACACATCGTACCTATCGCCCAGGCGCTTCATCCTCCGCACGACTTCCTTCGAGTCCATCCACCGCAGGGCAGGGACGAAGTCCCCCACCATGAACACCCCCGCTAGATGGCTCAGCTCCACCGTCATCTCCCTGAACTGCACCGCCTCCTCCTGCACACTGTCCCCGCCCTCGAGGGCGAAGAGCCGCCGCCCCAGCATGGCCCGCGTCAGGATGTTGGCTGTGCAGACGGTCAGGTGGTCGTCCAGCCGCACGCCGTCCTCCTCGCCGCCACGCGCCGCCGCCGCCACCAGCGACCTCGCCAGCTGTGCCACCTCCTCGTGCCGCAGCAGCGCGGAATCGTCGAGGGCCTTGGGGGAGAATAGATGGTTGGAGCATATCCTCCTCAGCATCCGCCACAGCGGGCCGTAGGGCGCCCACACGAGGTCCTGCCGGTCGTAGGCCATGTAATTCGATCCCGTGTTGGGGGGCCGGTTGGAGAAGTTGGCGTCGTGGGTCTTCAAGAACAGCGACGCGGCGGCCGGCGAGGCGGCGACGACCACCGGCACGGATCCCAGCCGGAGGTGGAAGATGGGGCCGTAGACCTTCGCCATGCCGGCGAGGGTCTGGTGGGGCTTCGCCCCGAGCTGGGGGAGGTTCCCCACCACCGGCCATCCCCGCGGGCCAGGAGGCAAAGGGAGAGAGGAAGAGGAAGAGCGAGAGAAGATCCTGGGAAGGAGGAGGATGAGGGAGGCTGCCGCCACCGTCAACGCGAGGAGGAGGAGGAGATCCATGGCTATGGCCGATCTTCTCTCTGCCGGCGGTTCTTGGGGGATGAATGAACGTGAGGTATATCCTACTTGTAGATACTCCGAGTTCACCGGTAGGCAGATGGTCACGTTGAGAACGGGCTCCAGGGCGTTAGCTGTACCTGAAAGTCTCACCGAGACCGTCCACCTGGGCCTGTTCCATTTGCTCCCAAAGACCCTGCCCGGGCCCCGAAGCATGGACAGCTACATGCTGGGCATTGACGTCTCGCTGGAGGTCATAGCATACTATTCATTTTGAGTAGATAATAATAATTATTTTTTAAAAAATAAAAAATAAAAAATACCCCTTTCGGCTACGGAGGGGAATTTTTTTTTATAAAGATCCACATTATTATTTCCAAAAAATATGAATTTTTTAATTAAGTAAATATGGGAGATAACTAATATGTTGGCTTCATATTCTTTTAGGCGGGAAAAGAGGCGCTAATATATATTTCCGTTTGATAAAACGTTTATTCAATTAACTCTGGTTTATTTATTTATTTATTTATTTATTATTGATTACTGGTCAAGTTGAAGCCGCTGACGATATCGTAAGAGGGGGAGGAGGGGGAGGAGGGGGAGAAATTAGGGCTGGCGAGAGAGATCGCGGGAGGAAGTAGAGAGGGGAAGATGAAGGACGTCTCGTCGTCGTCCGGGGCCGATCCGCGGCAGCCTTCTTCCGCCAAGCCTTACGTACCCCCGACGGTGTCCCCCCAGGATCTACCCATCGATTATTCTGGCTTCCTCGCCATGCTCTTTGCGATGGCCGGAGTCATGTTTAAGGTCAGCACTCTCCCGCCGGATTCTCGCCGTCTTATTTTTCTGTTCTTCATCTTAATTATGTCGCTGAACTGAAGATGGGTGGAAATTGTGTGAACGTCCTGGGAACCCATAGTTGCCCTTGAATTTTTCCCCCTCTCGTATTAATCACTCCTTTAGCGTTTGCATCTTTTGCGGATGCTACGGGCTTGATCTGTTTTCTGGTGGCTTACTTGTGCAGTACAAGGTCTGCTCGTGGGTGTCTTTGATCTTCTGTGCTCAAGCACTCGTAAACATGAAGAACCTCGAGAACGATCTTAAACAGATATCTATGGCCATGATGTAAGTTGGCTTTCCCCATAGCGTTGCTTCTGCTTTTTGATCGTGAGATTTGTGTAAATTCTCATCGTGACTTGCTCGACACCCAATCATTCATCTCTAAGCACGCTCAATCAATGTTTCTGTCCCTGATAGAGATTTCCAAATGCGTTGAGTATTCCGATGAAAAATCTTTGTGCGCATTTCTGGCAGATTTCAGTTCATAAAAGCGTTTGAATGGCAACTTAAAACAAGATTAACTGACTATTTATACGCAAGAAGCTCTTGGTGACTTCATCTTCTTGTCTATTTGGACGAACATTTAACACGATGATGAAGGGCATCGGCATCACAGTTTATCTCTTTAATGTTCTGGATCTTGGCGCTAGTACTACATGATCAAGGGATATGACGGGTATTTGATCAGTCATGATTCTTGCTACTAGGCACATTTTCTTGACTATGGAACTTCAGATCGTTCCGCTGGAGAAGTTTCTTGGTGTCACTATCCACATTTTCTTGACTATGGAACTTCAGATCGTTCCCCTGGAGAAGTTTCTTGGTGTCACTATCCACATTTTCTTGGCTCTGAAACTTGAGATCTTATTTGCCTCCTGATGGAAGCGTTTCAGAAGTCCAGGTTGATGCGACTGGAAACTATACCTTTTCGTCTGTTCGTTTTGAATTCCCAGTCAAGACAGCTTTCACTAAAAAAGTTTCTGTGATAATCAGCAGAAAAGGTTTTGTGATTTGCTGTTCAGGTTTTATTCAAACTTGCTTGAATTTGTGTTGAAAATATTAGAAGCGGCCATTACTCTAGATGATTCAATGAGGGAGTGAGGGAGGGAGGGAGGGAGATGAACCTTGAATTGAAGGCAAGTTAGTGAGAACTTCGTTATGAACCTTGACAGTGATTCAGATAGTGCTATAGACGGATGCACCAGAATTTTCAATGAGTTCAAAGACATTTATAAAGGAAGAGAAGGAACTTCTTACACACAAAAATTCTGCACATAGATCAATCCCAGGCTATGAAAAAATTTGAGTGGCTGAGAATATGAAAATGGAGCAGTATATTATCGAAATTGATAAAGAATGTTTTTCTATGGACGAGTGATTTTATCAGCCTCAAACATTACAAAGGTCTCTGTTAGATAGCAAACGTAATAATCGGGAATACTTCTCCCTATCCCTTTGATGTTTAATTTATTTACTAGATGATCACTTTTAAGTTTGGCCCTTATCAAAGTTTAACTTATGACACTTTTTTGTGCTGAATAAAATTGAGCTGTAATACAGCCTTTCTTGGCGTGTAAGCATTTGAATTTAATCTGGGATTTACGAAAATGAGGTTAATTAAGATTATAGTGGAGCATTTGTTTTGTACTGTTTTTGGCGCATTTCTTTCCATTGTGGAGATATATGTTAGTCTCGTAACTTTTTTGACCAGTGGCCACATACTTGCACCTGTGGAAACATCAATGCTCCGCAGCCTTGGTGCAGCTGATCTCATTTATAATCTCATCTCCACTTGCTGTCAATATTGGATTCAATCTGTTATTTTGGTAATGCAAATGTTACTAAACTGGATAAATCCTCGTCATGCGGTTTAATTCTTGTTCTGAATCGCTATTGCTGTCTATTGTGCTGATTGCCCAAATTCTGCCAGGTTTGCTATCATGGGGTTTGTGACAAATTACTTGGGAACGTCTCGTTCATCACCTTCAACAAAACGCTGAAAGAGAGAGAGAGAGAGAGAGAGAGAGAGAGAGAGAGAGAGAGAGATGGGCATGCATTTTCATGCTCTCTATGCTTTATGTGGATACCATTTATTTCCGTCTGATCATTACTATGTGCCCATTTATTTATTTCTACTCTTCTTATTCTTGTGTTGGATAATTATCAGTGTGACGTTTTTTTCTAAACTGATTAGCAAACATCCTCAAAATCCTCAGTGCTCATGGGTGGTTTTTGCCTCACATACACACATTTGCAACACACCGGAGCCTCATATGCCAATCCTTTTGAATGTATAAGCTTATATGATACCTTGCCCCTTCTCATCCACACTTGTTTCCCCTTGGGATTTGCCTCATTCCTTCATTGGCCGCCTAGTACCCTCTCCTCAACCCAAATGAGGATTCTATGAGAATTACACTAATTTATATTTATGTAAATATCTACATGGCGCTGCTATGAGAGAGAAAGAACTGTGGGATTTATTTATGGCAGTCTCTTTGATCGGTTTTTTTTATTTGAAATCTACTCATAGAGAGGGCATATGCTTGATTTGATGGGTTTGTGGGGGCAAAAAAAACTAAACAATGTATGCTTTATGGCCGTAGAAGGTCCGGGCCTAGACGCGAGGGGGGGCACCGTCTGCGTGACGTCAGCTCCTGAGGAGGGCGCCGCGTGGTCTCTGCACGGTTCCCACAGCGTCTGACTGGGATAATACGGCGTGGAGCAGAAGCGCCGAAGAACCCCCGCGGGGGAAACCAGGAGCTTCGGGATTGGTGGGCGGCGGGGGGCGGTTTTGCGTCGGCGCCACCTTCTGGCTAGCTGGCACTGGAGGGGCTCGGAAGCGCGTAGAGTGCTGCTCTCTCTCTCTGTGACTGCCTGTGGGCATCTGATATCCGGTGGGGGAGGGTGAGTGCGGTAGTAATGAAGGATTCCGTTGGTTCTATGCCCTTTCCTCCGTACGCGTTCTCTGCGCATATGTAAAGGAACTTCAGCGGAGAACCCCCCATTGCTCCCGCTTCCCGTGCCAACCTGTCTAAGTGCAAAACTCTCTCTCTCTCTCTCTGTGGTTGGAGAACTGCTCGACTCTCCGGCGAGGGTATTCCGCAGTGCAAGTAGGGAGCCGACCCAGGAGGTAAGACGGTCTGCTGTTCTGCTGTGACGCCATTCGGTTTTCCCCTTCGTTCGTTCGTTTCCATGGAAGCTCATGCGATGCCCCTCCCTCTCGTCTCACCTCTCCTCTCTATGGCGTGCGGGGTGGGTTTAGGGTCTGGTTGTTTGAGAGCCTTGCCCACTTCGTCTCCTCCCTGAATCCGGCGTCTCCTAGGTCACCAATGGCGAGGGTGGGAAGCTCTCCTACGCCATCAAACCTGCCGGCGCTGAATCGGCGTAGATCGGCACAAACCTGGCTCCATTTCCGTGAGAGGATGGCGAGTGTAGGGGGGTGCATACTCCGCCTGATCTGCAGAGGCCCTTCGCTATAGAACCGAATGATTCAGCAAGAACTCCACATCGCTGTCTGTTCTTCCGCTTTCCGCTGTGGTTCTGAAGATATCTCTTGCCATTGCACATTCCTTCAGTTCCTAAGTTTCTGGACCAAGTTAGATCCCAATTCTCAAATTATTATTATTTATTTGAAGAATTTCTGCTACATTCTGGTGACATAATGACGATAAGCTTCCGAAAAAATTTTGCAACCCAGAATCTGAGATCTCGTGTGTTCTTAATTGTTCCTGGCCTGTGCTAAAACAGTACCCCCGCCTCCCACTGTGTTCTAGAGCCATCAATCATCACCCTGCGTTCATCACAGAGCTTACTTCTGTCTTCTCACGAGGCCATGAGGGAGCATTCTGAAATGATGGGTTTTGATCATAAACTTCATGTTGTTTGCGGCATGTTTTGTATAATCTCCGAGCACTGTTGCACTGGAGGATCTCTGCCACGGATCAGTCCAAAACTATGCTCGAGCTATAGGAATCTTGTTCATTCACAGTCATTAATTCTGGAGAGTGTTCGTCTTTCCATCTCAGGCAAGGGGAGCTGAAAATGGTGAAGATCTGCTGCATCGGGGCGGGGTACGTCGGCGGTCCGACCATGGCGGTGATCGCGCTCAAGTGCCCGTCCATTGAGGTCGCCGTGGTTGACATCTCCGCCGCCAGAATCGCCGCCTGGAACGGCGACGAGCTGCCGATCTACGAGCCGGGTCTCGACGAGGTGGTGAGGCAGTGCAGGGGGAGGAACCTGTTCTTCAGCGCCGACGTGGAGCGCCACGTTTCCGAAGCAGACATCGTCTTCGTGTCCGTCAACACGCCGACCAAGACCCGCGGGCTGGGCGCCGGCAAGGCCGCCGACCTCACCTACTGGGAGAGCGCTGCCCGGATGATCGCCGACGTGTCCAAGTCCGACAAGATCGTCGTGGAGAAGTCAACTGTCCCCGTCAAGACGGCGGAGGCGATCGAGAAGATCCTCACTCACAACTGCAACGCCGTCAACTTCCAGGTGCTCTCAAATCCCGAGTTCTTGGCGGAGGGGACGGCGGTGCAGGATCTCCTCCGGCCGGACCGCGTGCTCATCGGCGGCAGGGAGACCGCCGCCGGCCGGAAGGCAGTCGATGCGCTGAAGGACGTCTACGCCCGCTGGGTCCCCGCTGACCGGATCGTCACCACCAATCTCTGGTCAGCGGAGCTGACCAAGCTCGCCGCCAACGCCTTCCTGGCCCAGCGGATCTCCTCGGTCAACGCCATCTCCGCTCTCTGCGAGGCCACTGGCGCCGACGTCTCCGAGGTCGCCGCCGCCGTGGGGATGGACGGCAGGATCGGCCCAAAGTTCTTGACCGCCGGCGTCGGCTTCGGGGGTTCCTGCTTCCAGAAGGACATCCTCAATCTGGTCTACATCTGCGAGCGACACGGCCTCCACGAGCCGGCGGCCTACTGGAAGCAGGTGATCGAGGTCAACGACTACCAGAAGAGGCGATTCGTCACCCGGGTCGTCTCCTCCATGTTCAACACCGTCTCCGGGAAGAAGGTGGCCGTGCTCGGCTTTGCCTTCAAGAAGGACACCGGCGACTCGAGGGAAACGCCGGCGATCGACGTCTGCAAGGGCCTGCTGGCCGACGGCGCCGCCGTCTGCGTCTACGACCCGCAGGTGACGGAGGACCAGATCCGGCAGGACCTCGCGGCGGTGGGGGAGCCGATGCGGCAGGTCGGCGTGGCCCGTGACGCCTACGAGGCCGCGGGAGGAGCCCACGCCATCTGCATCTTGACGGAGTGGGACGAGTTCAAGGCCCTGGACTACCGGAGGATCTTCGACGGCATGCAGAAGCCCGCCTTCCTGTTCGACGGCCGGAACGTCGTCGACGGCGGCGAGCTCCGGCGGATCGGGTTCATCGTCTACTCCATCGGGAAGCCCCTCGATCCCTGGCTAAGGGGCATGCCCGCCGTCGCCTGACCGGAGGTACGGCCACTTCTTACGGCATGCTGACGCTCTTATTTATAACTTGAGATCCCTGTAACATTTGATTTTATTTATTCAATGAGGCCTGCATTTGTGGGCGGAGCTCAGTTCAGAGCCTGGTTCATCAGGAGGACGTTCTGCCCGAACTCCTCCAGCCTCTCCTACAAAACCCGCCACACAGAGAGAGAGAGAGAGAGAGAGAGAGAGAGAGAGAGAGAGACCACCTTATCTTCAACTGTTTTTTTGGGCTAGTCACCAAGCCCACCTCATCTGACTTTCATGGAGTTCAGGCCCTGGGATGGGGAAATTTCACGAGTTCATATTATTTGACTTTTCACGACTAAGTCTGCTCAATTGTCTTGAGCATGACCAAAAGTCAGCTCAGTTACCATGAAGTTATGCCATTATTAGCTACCATGAAAACATACCTAATTTAGTTTTCACTTATTTGGGTTAATCTCAAAATCCTGCCTCATTTGATTATTATGCATCTAGTTTTAAGTTCAATGATTTTAGTCAGCGAAAACTACTCAACCCCATTGTTGTTATTGAAACCATGTAGTAAAGTGTGTATCAATGAGATCAAACATGAAAACAACAATCTATGGTGATTTATGTGAAACTATTTTTTTTTTTCAAGTGTTAGCATAGTTGAAATGAGAAGAATGAGGAGGGTATCTGGTGACGGCGGGAGAGAGAAGAAAGAGAGAGAGAGAAAGTGAGGTGGGGTACACGTCGACGGCGGGAAAGATAAGAGAGTGGTCTCGTCGAGAAAGGAGGCTAAAGTCGGTAGGTAGCGATGGTGAGAGAAAGAAGGGAAGACGGTTTCACAACGAGGGGATGGCCGGAAGGGGGGGTCTAGTGGCGACGGCAGGCTGGGGGGTCGGACGGTGAGGAGGCGGAACGGCGGCGACGGGTCGGGCGGTGATGAGGCAGAAGGGCGGTGACAGTGGGAGAGGAAAGAAAGGTGGATTTAGTGACAGGTCAGATGGCTGGAAGGCGGAACGACGGTGACGGGGCAGACGACTAAGAGGCAGAACGGGAACAAGCGGATGACGACGAGAGGTCCCCCCCTTCTGCCCCCTAGAAAGACGGCAAGGTTGGAGAAGAGAAGGAAAGAGGTCCCCCTAATCCAAGAGGCCGAGAAGAAGAAGATATCCCTAATCCAAGAGGCGAGCGAAAGAGAATAGGGACCCCTAATCCAAGAGGCGAATGAGGGAGAAGGAAACCTGGTGAGAGGGATAACACGAATCTTCTTGATTCCAAATTCAATTTCAATTTCTTTTCCAGTGTTCTTGAGTTTGAGTATTTATAAGAAATAGAGGAAGGTAGTAAGAGGCGTCCCCTCCCAAAGGATGCCAAGCAGTGTCTCCTGGAGGGAGAGACGCCTTCCTTAGGGGAGAAGGGGTGCATGGGTGATGTGGCCTCTTCTCCTCCCTCTTCTTCCTCCTTGTGAGTCCACCTAAGGTAATGAACCCTCATATTGATTCTATCAATTATTTTAGTACAGAGGAAAAGCCTACCGGTAGTTGATATTTCAATAGATCAAGCTTATATTACGGAATACTATTTTACATCAAATGTTGGTATTTTAGTATTTTAAGTTTTCCTTGCAAAAAAAATATTATTACACCAAAATTAATATCTCATCATATGAAAAATTTGTATTGTCGAAAATTATACTATATAATTTATGATATTTTAATATACCGAGATCATGTCAAAAAATAGTGGACAACATCAAAACTCATATTTTCTTATAAAGTTTATATGATGGAATAAAACAATACACCAAATCTAATATTTCAATGTGATAAATTTATATTATATAACATAGTAGTACACTAAGGTTATGATAAATAGCAAGGTTAGTAATTCAATATATCAAATAAATCATTGAAAAAAGTCTATCAAGCTTAATATGTCAATATATGATAAATTGCATTGCCGAAAAGCAGATCCGGCGCGACCTCATGGCGGGCAAGTTCGACTGGGACAGCCCGATCCACTGCCGCCCGGCGAGCTCCTCGGCGGCGGGACTGCTGCAGGTCGGCGCAGCTTGAGACGCCTACGAGGCCACCGGAGGAGCCCACACTGTCTGCATCTTGACGGAGTGGGACGAGTTCAAGGCCCTGGACTACCGGAGGATCTTCGACGGCATGCAGAAGCCCGCCTTCCTGTTCGACGGCCGGGACGTCGTCGACGGCGGCGAGCTCCGGCGGATCGGGTTCATCCAATGAGGTATGGCCAAAGGGAATGTCTGCCGTCGCCTGACTTGAGGTATGGGCACATCTCACGTCATGCTGACGCTCTTTTATTATAACGCCCTCTTCTTATTCAATGAGGGCAGCATTTGCGGGCCGAGCCGAGCCCAGAGCCCTTCCCGGTCTAGGCCGGGGGGGGGGGGCCTCCTGATCTTGGTGGCCTGCTCGAACCCATAGGCAATCTCAATCAGGCGAGGCTCGGACCCCCTCAGCCCGCCAAAGCATATCCCCAAGGGTACTCCCTCACCGTCGAACCCCGCCGGCACGACGATCCCGGGGTACCCGCCGATGGCCAGCACTGGGTAGATGCGCGTGGGGACGGTTGCCTCCGGCGTCACCACCGCGTCCAGTCGCTCCTCCCTCATCAGCCTCTCTAGGCCCCCCTCCGAGAGCTCCTCCAGGCGGGCCAAGGCCTGCCTCTCCGCCGGCCCGATCCCGGTCGTTGCCTGGCTCATCAGCAGGATGTCCTGCCCGAACTCCTCCAACCTCTCCTGCAAAACCGGCCACGGATTGGGTCTGATCAATCGGGCTTAAATAAAAAAAAAGCCTCATTTTTGGCGGCGGGGCTTGGGAGCGGCTCTACCTCCGCCGGGTTGGCGGCGTTGAAGGCGATAACGTCGGCGAGGGATCTGACGGGCGAGCAGGGCAGCTCCGCCAGGTAGGCGTTGAGGGAGAGCTTGAATTCTGCGAGGAGCAGCGCCACCTCCCCGCTCTCGGTAGGGTTGAGGATGGTGCTCGTGTCTGCAATCTCCAGGTCATCCACGACGATCGCACCTTTCTCCCTTCATAATTAAAACACTTCAAACTTATATAAAGATTATCTAACCACAATTTTGGTCAAATTGAAACAACTGCCAGGCTGACTAGTTAGAGAGAGGGGGAGAGAGAGAGAGAGAGAGACAGATGTGGGATGCCAGGTGGAGGGTTGGGATCAGATTTTACCTCAGCGTGCGGAGATGAGCTTGGAAGTCGTCGGCGAGGACGGAGCCATTGGGGAAGGCGAAGAAGGGCCGCCTCAGAATCCCCAGCCTCTTCCCCCGCAACCCGTCCTCCCGGAGGAACTGCCGGTACCCGCCGGGGGGGATGAACTCCGATGCCTTCGCCGTCGCCATTGAGTCCCTGGGGTCGTACCCGGCAATCACCTCTAGCACCCGCACGGCGTCCGCTACAGTGCGGCCGATGGGCCTGCGGCCGGCGGCGAGGAGGGTTAGGGTTTGAGGGAGAGCGGAGATTGAGGAAGAAGGGGGGTTTCTCACCCGACTGTGTCCTGCCTGGGGGAGATGGGTACGACGCCGGCGAGACTGGTGAGCCCGACGGTGGGCTTGATGCCGACCAGGGCCTGGGAGGCGGCGGGGCAGATGATGGAGCCGTCGGTCTCCGTGCCCAGAGAGACGGTAACCATGTTCGCCGCCACCGAGATGGCTGACCCGCTGCTGGACCCGCACGGCGTGGCGGAGGGGTTGTAGGGGTTCAAGCCCTGGCCGCTGCGAGCGCACCACCCATTGGGGGCGGACGAGGAGCGGAATCCGGCCCATTCCGACATGCTGGCCTTCCCCAGGATGACAGCGCCGGCCCTCCTCAGCCGCGTCACCACGCCGGCGTCCCGCGCCGACGTGGCCCCCACCAGGGCCAGCGACCCCGCCGTGGTGTTGAGCGGCGAGGCGGTGGCGATGTTGTCCTTGAGGAGCACAGGAATGCCGTGGAGGGCCCCCAGATCCCCGTAAACCAAACACCGCCGCTTCTCGTCGGCGCGGTCCGCCTCCGAGAGGGCCGCCGGGTTGACCTCTATGACGGCCCTGAGGCGGGGGTTGAGCGTCCGGATGCGATCGAGATAGAACTCCACCAGCCGCCGTGAGGTGAGCTCGTTCCGGGAGAACGCCAGGTGGATGCCCTCGATGGTGGCCTCGCTTATCTCAAATCCTCGGACCACGGCGGCGCCCCCAATCAGCAGAAGCACCTGGAGCAATAGGAACCGGGGTGCGGAGATCGGGACAGCCATCATCTCCCTCAGGTTCGCCATACCCACCTGCTATTCTCTCTGTGTGGGTGCCATCGTCTCTCCCATCGATGATCTTGGAGGCGACAGAGAGAGAGAGAGAGATGATCAAAGCATCTACTTTTCCTGGTTGACCTGCCGTCCCAGTTCATTCATCATGAATTAATTATCATTTCAGTCTGGGCCCTTGATGCGTCAATTCAATGTATGAAGAATAATCAGATTTTCGTGGGATTCTGGGCCTTTGATTGGGTCAATATCGAAGCCCATTTCACTTGATTCTCAAGGATATTGGGCCTTTAATTGGGCCAATCTTTTTGCTAAACTCTCTTGGTCTTCATGGACATAGGCCGTTGCAAGTTTTACCTCAAAACCGGCTTCACTTCACCTTTAATTTTGGGACTACATCGGGCTAAGAATGAATCCCACCTCATTTGACTTCCATGGAATTAGGCCGTGGGATCGGCCAATCTCAAACTCCACATTAGTTGACTTTCAAGAATAAGCTCAATTGTCTTGACCATGATCAAAAGTCAGCTCGACTACCATGAAATTATGCCATTATTAGCTACCGTGAAAACAGACCTCGTTTTAGTATTCATTCATTTGAACTAATATGAAAACCCTACCCCATTTGATTATTATGCATTGAGTTATAGGTTCCATGATTTTAATGAGCCAAAACTCTTCGACCTAATTTTGTTGATGAAACCATGTTAGGATGTGCAAATCAATGATATAAAAAATGATTATAATAATCTATGGTGCTTTATGTGAAAAACTCTCAAGTTAGATAAATAATGTCAATGGTTAGTTTCAGGATGGCAGCATGTCACCAAACTATACAGATAAATAGGAATATTTCAATTACATGATATATTAGTTGGATTGCGCAACTTACTTCACTTCTTAAGTAACGACGTTATGTCTAACTTCTTGGGTTTCACTAATCATTTAATAAATACACATTGAAATGTACATTTAACGTATCTTTATAATTGAATTTAATAACTCTGGCCAACTTAGGAATTTACCTAAGAGTCCTTCTTTAGATTCACAACTCTATAAGACCAATGAATATTAGTTACAACTAATATCTTCTAGGTTAAGGCTCTATATAAGTCCTAAGTGCAAAAGAATTTCAAACACAAGGTAAAACTAGCCTTACTACTCTTAGATGTTCAACACCTATTGTTTCTCGTTATGGTCATTGTAGAAGTTTTAGTATTCTTGAGTTGAGCATGTCAAGTGGATACACATTTTTGGGGTCAAATATGCATCAAATTTGTGCAGAATCTCAAAAGAAGATGGATTGAATATGATTTCTTGTTTAACATTTTCTCTTTCTTCATATCTCACCATCTTAGTTTTAAAATAGGCCTATCCTTATATAGACATTTTTCTAAGTAATATTTGATTTTCAGATTATTAGGCCACTTTATTGACCTCCTAGTGGTATGAAAAATGAAGAGGAATGAGAGAAGGATGCCCTGAAGCCTATTTGAGGATGAGGTGAGAACAAGCCAAGAGTATGATAAGATGAGGGGATTGACGCTTGTTAGTGAGTGATGTCATGAGTGAGGAGTTGCCAGGGCATTGAGATGATACAATGGCTGAAGAGATGTCGACAAGACAAGCCCTCCCCCCTAGGAAGAGGTGAGGAAGCAAATTATAAATAAAATTTTAAATATATACTCTATCAACAAAAAACATCATCATGCCTATATTTTAAACTGCAACAATAAAGATTCATTGTTAAAAGTAATATCAATTAAACATCTTGACATTTTTCTACATAATTCGTTACATTGGAATCCTCTTCCAAAGAACTTTATAATATTTACTTATATATATCACTAATGTCAATTAATATATATATATATATATATTAAATGATGATTGTTTTACATGAGAGAACTCTTTATAAAATTTATAGTCAAGTATTAACTTATTGCCCCTCAGTGAATTGTGTTGGCTTTGATGTGGTTAAGTGGAACATCAAAAGTAGGGGTAAAATTAGTTTCTTACGATCTTTGTTTTATTTTTCTCTTTTATTTATGAGTGTATGTGTTAACATAAGTTCTCACATAATTATTTTGAGTTGAGTTTAATCTCTCTCTCTCTCTCTCTCTCTCTCTTTTTCTCTTTACGTGGGTTTACTCTAGGTTCTATCTCACTCATCAACACAAAGGACATAGAATTTTTATTGAAATTTACCTCTTACTAGGATACTTCAAATCTCATAGGATCCTGTTCTAGAGTTCACTATTTTTTTCTGAAATACAACTGATTTCATGGGATTAATGGCCCAAATCAATCTTGTTTGATCTCCACAAAGATCACATCACTTGTAGATAAAGTTTAACTCTCAACACCACATGTCTTAGTTAAATACACCACATGTCTCAACACCACTTGTAGAAAAATTCTTATCTTTTCATCACTTGAAAAATGATCATACAAATTAAAATTTATTATTGTTACTTTGCTGACATGTCAGTGACTTTTATTTGTTCTTCGATTCAAAGCTCATTATTGCATGTAACTTATCCTTGATATTTTGTATTGGTATTCTTAATATATCAACGAATATTTTTGCTTTCAAAGTTAAGCTCAAATAATGTCATTGAGTTTGTCTTTTTCTCCACATATCTAGCTGATGTGTTACCATCCAATATATATGGTGCTTATTGTTATCTCATAAATGATATTTGAAACTTGATTTGATGATACGTGATCTATCAATGATCATCTTTGCTTCTAAGGTTGAGTTGAAGTCTATTCATTTGATCTATCATTTTCTTCATGTGCTATGTTGATGTGTTACCATGTGTAATACATGACAAAGACATCTCCATTTTTGTGAGTTTCATGAGAACACAAGAGTTTGAATCTTGTCTTAGCCATTAATCCTTTGATATTTCTTTATATTTCTCTAATTAGTTTTCTAGCATGTTATCACTAAGGTCTTGATTTTGATCCTACTAATGACTTTACATTTATGTCATTTTCAAATATTTCAGTTGTTGAGAGTTCTACCTTTTCGTTGTGTAAGTCTTTAGTCCAAATCTTATACTTGACTTCATATATATATTACTTTTTTCAGGAGTTTTTCTCATTGAAGCTTTCGATTTCACATCACTTAGGTTCTATGTTTGAGTCTTATAAGTGACTTCACATTTTTTTGATTTTACATGATACTTCTTCACGTGTTGAAACTTATTTTTATGTACTATATCAAAATAATATTATGATGTATTATATTTAATATAAAACTATCTCAAGGATATAACTCGTTGGATTCATTGTTAGTTGTAAGATTATTCAATTATCATTAATGTGTATTTTAAATATTTTTCAAAGATACTAGACTTTTAATATCAATATTTATGTAATTAATTTATGATTAAGATGAATCTTTAATAAATATTATGTAAATAATGTGTAAATAAAATTTCATTTAGAAATGTCGATACCACGGACATCTTCAAGTTGTACTTAGAGTACCAAATCTCAATATCAAGTAATCAAGATCATCAATTAACTAATTGTACAATAATTCAAGTTAGTAACTTGCTCTTCCATGCATATAGTCATCATGAGACCATTTTAGGCTCATCAAAGACATCATCAGTCCCTATAATAAAGTATTAAATAGTCATTTTAAAAAATCACACAAAAATAGTGACATAAGTAGAAAATAATGAAATCAAAAATAGTGACAAAAGTGTCAGTATGACTGAAATAACTAGTTTGCCCAAAAGCATAACATGAAGAAATTAAAATATTTTATAGAATTACAATGTCAAATTTTATTTATATAATAAATTACATTAATAATCTAGCATAGCTTATTACATATATCAAGGTTAATATCCCAATATATGATAAATTATAGTGCATAATAAGAGAATATATAAACTTTTTGTCATTTGATACATGTAAATTAAATTGCCTAACACTAGCACCAAACTTATGAATAGAGTTAAAGTAAGTTAGTGTATTGAATACAATTTCAATATGTGAAAACACATTATACTATGACATAACATATCTAACTTAATATGTATGTTAGAATCATTACTTGATCTCCTATTGAATCAAGTATTAGAAATTATGAGGAGACTAAGATGGAAGGAAGAAAATCAACTAGAACTCTATTTTTTTCATAAACTCACAAAAGTCGATGTCCATCTTTTATTCCAATCCCATTAGTCACAAAACGTACTAGACTAATATGAGCCATAATGGGCTGGATTGGTCTAAGTTCATATCGACTAAAATAAAATGTGTAAGTTAAGAAGGTTGGATTAACTTGAGGCAAATAAAATATAGTAATAGAGAAAAGAAAAAGCAATATGATAATAGATAAATAAAATGCATCCTTTTTGACATTGTCTCTCAAGTTGGAGTGTATGACAATTATCCTGAGCTTGGATATAAGGTGATTAATAGTATTTTTGATCAAATCTAGTAAAGAAATCTACATCTTGATCTCTTGTTGCTATGTTTGATGTACATATGAACCTACTCTCTATCTTATCTTTAATAAATTTTTCATTTTTTTTATACTATACTAGATTATGTACAATACTAATTTCTACTTTATTATCTCAATAAAGTTTTATTAGACCCTCCAACTTTATTTTTTAAGTCCTCAAGAAGAATTTTCACCTATCACACTTGACATATACATTGAATCATGACTTTGAGTTCTATTTTCAAACTTGAGCTTTTCACCACATTTTTTTCTCAATATAGATGATTATGTTCCAATCATAAAAGATGTAGTATCATGAGGTAGATCTTATGTTAATAATATATCATACATAGTTAACATAATTGTATGTCTCAAACAATACTTTTCCATTTTTTTTTAATAAAAAATATTTTTCTACTATTCCTTTGAGGTAATATAATACTCAATAAGCTGCATATAAATGTATTTACTTTATATTATACATAAATAGACTGACCACATTTGCTACATAAGTTATACTAAGAGATGTATCAAACAAATAAATCAATTGCTTAATTGGTATTTGGTACATCTCTTTGTTTACAATCGAATCTTTAGTTTTATTAAGTTTAAGATTTGAATCTATCAAAATATTTTTTGATTTACATAAAAATTTTACTAGTTTCTTCTAAGAGATCCATAACATACTTATATTAAGATATGAAAATCTACATGTTCGAATGAGCTACTTTAGTTCTAAGAGAATACTGTAACATATTAGAATGGTAGGATTAATTGAAATACAAAGAAGGAGAGGGGGAGTAGAGTTTCTAAAAATTATGATGATTTTTTCATTTTGAGACAAGTTACTACTTTGGCTTATCTATATGTCAACAAAGGGAGGTGAATGTGTCTAAAGGCTCTTTAAAGGTAATAAGACTTTTTAATACATTCTCACTAAGAACATAAAACTTTTCTATTGGTTCACCATTTACTAGACCACTAATTTTAGATTCTTATCTTTCAATATTAGACTATTTCACCCCTTCTCTTCTAATGTTAATTATTATCATCAAGAATGCACATTGATTTTAATGAGATCATTTGTCTCTTTAGAGACTTAGCCCCTCTTGAGTCAAAAATGTCACTACACTAATGTTAAGACTACGAAGTAGTGTGAGATAGTGTGGGACATGCATGACTACGAGGAGTGTGCGAGTAATGTTAAGAAGATGTCGAGGTTTCTATTTAATGATGTCATTTTGCTAAAAAGTGTAGAGGCAAGTAGTCTGATGAATGATGTACTATCTTTGAAAAAGCTTTGAAAAGTATTTTGGATAAATTTTAGGACATTGTCGGTGCAGAGAATTTTGGAAGTAGTAGAGTACTGTGTAATGATCTCTATGATGTATTAATGAATCGTGTTGTGAATTTGAAAGTAGCTTTTGAGAAGATATACTCGTGTAACATGAGTATAGTCATCGACAAAGATAATATAGTATTATAATTTTATCGGAGAAACAACTCGAGATAATCCCCACATGTCTAGTGAATGAGGTTGAACGGTCGAAAAGTGGAGATAAAATCTCAAGGTGGATATGTAAAGTGGTGATGCTAGCCTAATTGTCACGACTCGCACACAAACTCGAAAATAGTAAGCCATAGAAAGAATTTTTAAAGTTTCAATAAATATGGATGTCTCATATGTTGATGTCACAAAATGGATAAATTTTATGTGGAAGAAGTTACAAAATTAAAAGTCCAGAGGAAGGAGAGTCGGAAATGAGCTCATAGACACCACTACTGTTCTCACTGGCCCAAACTAATCCTCTATTTGATATGCAAGTCTTGGAAGACATAATGATAAGGAAAAAGATGACGACGTAGTATAGTACACGAGTGATGACACTAATTGACACAAGATTCTTAAGAAAACCGAGAACATAAAGTACGTCATAGAGTGAGAGATTAGTAGTCAAAGTGGTTGTGTCATACCCTTTGACAGGGAAAGAATAGTCGTCAGCAATAGAGACAGAAAGAAGATAATTGATGGGTGTAAGATAATGGATAAGAGAGGGAAACCTTGTCACATGAGCAAAGGCCCTTAAGTTGATAAGCCAAGAAGTAAGAGAGGCGAGTAAAGCATGTGTACATGAAGTGGGTGTGTCATATGCAGAAGTGGAGGCAAGGTCGATAGAAGAGCCATGAGAGGAAGCGTGAGAGTCCTTTAATTATGCATACTCTTTAGGAGTCATGTTGTCTAGACTATGGAAGTAGACGATGCATGCGGAGGAGTCATAGAAGACAAGTCTTGACCCCATACCGGCTTGCCAAACTCCTTCCAATATTTCTCAACCATGTGATTTTGCTTACCACAATATAGGCACGGAGGGAAGGAATTCTTCTACTTAGTCGATCCCTTTCCCTTCCTAGCGGTCTTGGAGCCATAACCTCTATCAACACCTATGGTAGAAAGTGCAAAGAGATTAAGAGTTGCGGGAGCAGCATGAGCAAGAGGCATGCTAGTGTGCACATGAAGAGCCACTGAGAAGATATTTGTCATCAAATGAACTTGAGTGCTAGAGAGGACTTGGCCACATATTTGATTGACGAGCTCCGGATAGAGACCGCTGAAAAAGGCCCCTATGTAGAGTTTGTCACAATGGCGAGTGAGGGTAGACAGATTCGTGAATTGGTGGCTGATAAATAAATAGCTTAGTGACAATATTTTATAATTTACCAAAATACTCATAGAATGATCGACTACTTGCTTATAAGCAAAGAGTGATTCATATGGACAGATGGTGCAATTGATGTTGGTCTTATTCGCTTACATTGTCTCGAGAGTTTATCATAATCAATGGGTTGACTTTAGGTGACTGAGAGGTCGAATAATGAAAGGCTCAATATTTTGACAAAGCCAAGTGCTAACGGCAATGTCAAGATATCCCAAATGAAGATAGTTTGGAGATGTGACATTAGGCGGAGGTGATTGGAGGTGATGTAGAAGTTGATGAGCATGAAGGAATTTTTCAAATGTAGACACCGACGAGTCATAATTGGTGCCATCAAAGACGTAGACTAAGAGACTTAATGCAACTGTAAGAGAATGCTGATGCCCTGAGATTAGATCTTGGAGGGTTGTCATGCTAATGTGGAGGACGAGAAAGGGCCGACACATGGCACGCACAAGAGAGGGTTGGCACATGGTGCGAGGTAGGGTGGGCTGTGCGTGAGAGAGAGTGGGCACAGATGCTACGTTGATAGTGGTGCAGAGAAACCGGTGGCTGAGGCCAACAGCAAGGGGGTGGATTCCCTGAGATCAACACCCAGAGGGGCGCATCCTAATGGTGACAAATGTTGTGTGGGTTGTAGTGCAGAGAAACCGGTGGCTGAGGCCACTAGCGAGGGGCTAGAGTCCCTAAGATCAGCTCCTAGAGGGGGTTTCCCTGATGGCAATAGAGTTCCCTAATGAGGCCACCACGAATAGAGGTAGTGTCGAAGATGTCATTGGAGGATTGACGACGAGGAATGGTGATGTGAGTGAGTATAGCAGGGGCGACGGATCAAGTCCTTATGGCTCTAATACCATGTGGAGAGAAGAGCACTATAAACCCTTAGAATCGAGAGAGAGAAAAATGAAGATGAGTAGAAGGCTTTATAGTGGCCCTAATTGACCCTAATGGGTTAGGTCCATAGTGAGCTGATGTCGTAATCTAACATATATGTAGATGTTTCAATGTAAAAAACCATTGTTGACACATTATAAAATTTCCATACTTATTTTAGTGCATGAAAAGCTTATATTGTAGAGCAATAAACTTAATATTTCAATAAATGAAATTTATAGTGGAATAATATTTACATCAAAGGTTAATACTCGATCGTACCAAGTTTACATTGCAAAATAATGTGGTACATAAAAAATAATATATCAACATCTGTAAAGTTTGTATTATAGATTCTTCTACTACATAAATGATAATATTATAGTATAACAAGATCACATGACAATAGTACACAACATCAAAACTAATATTTTATTATATGATATTTATCTTATAGAATAAAAAACACATCTTAACTAATATTTAATGTAATAATTTTATATTTTAGAACAAAGAAATACATGAAGTATGAGATGTTAGGTTTTAGGCTACACTAAAATTTAGAGGGGGGGTTCAATTGACCAATATACTATTTGTTCATCTTTAGATAAGATCTCTTCTACAAATAGTTCTTTGAGTGACAACTAGTTAATTGTTTTCTATTTACTTGACAAAGATCATAATTTTTATATTAGTTTCATCACTACCTATGTCCACTCTATAAGAATAATTTTTATTAAGAAAAATGAATTTAATCAAACTAAAAAAAGACCTAACCAGATATGTCCCCAATAAGAGAAGTAGGTATGTCATGCTTGCTTAGAAATAACAGTCCACACTTGTTTCCAATTTTCATAAGAAGAGAAGAATACCCACTAACTTATGTTTTACTAATACCAATAATCTTAACTAATGATATTATCATATAAGGGTTAAATAGAATATTCACAAAGTCTTAACAAAAATATGGTGAACATAAGAGTTTAACAAACCTCGATTAAATGTATGTCTCACCAAGCCTATTGAACACAAAGGCCTCAACAAACTTATGTTGAACACAAAGTCTTTGCAAATCTCCATTGGATACAAAGGCCTCTACAAGCCTACACTAAACACAATAACTTTAGAAACTCTAGTGAATGCAAAGGCCTCAACTAGCCTATATTGGATTTATCAGCTCTGAGAAATGAGAAGATTATACTCAATTTCATGTTAAGAATGTGTTTATATCCATACGTCTTTAACATGTACATTGGTAGTGTACATGAGGCATTGATTGCTTCAGTCACAACATTTTTTTCTTCTATTTATAGTGTTTAATTCACTTCTAAGATTGTGTAGACACTTTGGTTGGAGTATATAATCATTATGGCTCCCATTATTATTTTTTGTTCTCAATATTATTAGATACAAGCCAAAGTTGTCTTTATACGTTGAATTTGGGCTATCCACTGGTCACTCTCAATAGTTGGAAGTTGGGCTATTTGTTTTCACATCAGAACATAGGCTTGAGATTCATAAAAGGTATGTAGTATTTTTGCATGATGCTAAATTTAAAAATATCTTTTTAACATGTACACATGACCTATATATGTGATAAAAACTTGTTTTTAATTTACAAACTATTTAATTATATGAGATGTATGAAGATTATTTTATTCTTGCATTAATTTACAAATGGTATAATGGTTTGAAACTATTCATTATTCAAGTGAGAAGATAATCCTAAGCATTGTGGCAATAGAAGTTACATAAAATATGGACTCATGTCTACATTTAATGTGTGGCAATTTTATGGAAGAACCATTAAATCTATTTAATGAGAATTTAGCAAATAGCATACCTTCACACTAACTTGAACAGCACTTTTCAATTTTCCATCTAGCATAAACTGTCATATCAATACAAGATAACAAGGTTAGAAAATAGAAGAAACAATTGTAAAATTCTTGCAAGCATTAATATAGTAGACAATTTTTTGAGTATGCTAGTATGTCATGTTTTAGTCAGAGGATTGCTCAATAGTTTGAATTATATTCATGTCATTCATTTAAACTGAACTTTAGAATTAAGAGACTTGGATGAGGAAGGGTGTGGAGTTTGAAAGATGGTCATACATTCTAAAGTGCCATACATTTAGATAATTATAACTCAAGTTCAACACTTAAGAAATTCAGCGCAATTGATTAATACTTAATTAAAAATCATATTTCTCTTATGTTGTGTGTCTCGTCCTTATGTTTCATGATTAAAATAAAATAGCTACTGAATCCTTGCCTTTATTATTATAACCTAAAAATCACTCCTTCCTTTAATTTTATGGAATTTGGGCCCTTTATCAACCCTATTGATTATGGGCTTTTATTAGGCTAATCTTGATGGCCCATAGTATTTCTTAATTTCCTAAATTCTAGTTTTAGAAGAGCACATTAGTGCCGCGAAGGTCTTGTGTGGTCATGCTCTTTTAGAGAAATGAGCACCACTTATCTATTGCCACGTGGATAATATATGAGAATAATCGTGCATGGAAATTCTTAATTATTGCACTAATTAAATAACTATGAGAATAATTTAAATAAAATATTTAACATAAAATAGAATAAATGGCATACATATTTAAATCGACTGCGAGTAATTTGAGGGATTTTTTTACAAATGAATAAATATCCGACCCTAAATAATAGTAATATATATATAGAGAGAGAGAGGGAGAGAGGAACGGTTTCGGTGAAGCCGTTCCTGGGGTAGCCATTTATGGTAAGGATCGGCCCCCTCTTTCTCTCTTCCACGTGTCTCCATCCTATTCACCTGATTGAAGCATCACGATCCTGATATCACTGCCCTTGCAGCATCTCTCTGTCTATTACTCCTAACCTGGTCCTCGTATTTCTCTCCCACTCTAACCCCGCATCTCTCTCTCTCTCTCTCTCCCTCGCTCGCTCGCTTTTTGCATAAATATATATATGGCCATATATATGGCCCTTTTAGCTTTGCTTCCATGCATGGGTTTCTCCTTCCTCTCTCTGCATCTGCCCCTCTGTGATCCCCTCCCTCTCCGCTTCCCTCACCCGCCGCAGCTGAGAGAAAGCGGACCCTTCCATCAGAAGCTACATCAGACTCAGTCTCCAGGGTAGAGAGAGAGAGAGAGAGAGAGAGAGAGAGAGCAGAGAAGAACTGGTAGACGGTTCATTTAGGGATATGCCAGAGTTTGGATCTTCGTCTCCTCTATCTCGAGGCGGGGGGGCTGTTCTTTGATCTGGGTCTTCTTCTCCGCAGCATCTTTACCCGTTTCTTGTATTCTCTGAGATGAGGATGTTGGAGGAGGGAGGGGATCAAGAAGGGAGGAAGAAGAAGCACACCTGCAAGATCTGCCGCAGGAGCTTCCCCTGCGGGAGGTCACTGGGGGGGCACATGAGGTCCCACGCCGGAGGAACTTCCCCTCCATCGCCGCTGCCGCTCCAGCGGAACCAGAGAAGCAGGGGGCTCGCAGAAGCTGGTTATGGCCTCCGGGAGAACCCCAAGAAGACGAGGAGGATATACGAATCCGCCGCAGGGATCGACGCCTGCCAGAGGAGGGAGAAGCTCTGGGGGCAAGAAGAAGCAGATTTAGCGCTTTGTCTCATGATGCTCTCCAGGGACGCCGGCTTCTGGGGCGGCGGCGAAGGCGGAGAGATAAACTGGGTCAAGAAGACGGAGGAAGAATCCGCGGATTCAGGCGATGGGTCTGCCGCCATGGAAGACCTTGTGAAGAACCCTAAGGGAGCTCTGAGCAAAAAGAGGAAATCAGGCGGCGACGGGGGCAAATTCGAGTGTAAGTCCTGCAGAAAGACTTTTCCTTCTCACCAGGCCCTCGGAGGACACCGAGCGAGCCACAAGAGGAGCAGCATCCGCCGCTGCGGCGGAGATTCGAAGCTCTCTGCAGAGTTTACGCAGACGAGCTCTGCGTCACCGGAGGAGGGCTCCGTCGCCGCCGCCGTCTTCCCCGCCGTAGAAGCTCCGGCGGAACACCTCGATCTCGATCTCTCGGGTCCCTGCAACGAGGAGTCGGAAATGTGGCTCAGCCGGCGATGGCAACCGCTTCTGAATCTCTGATCTCGCGTCGACGGAGAAGATGAAGAAGCAGAAGCAGAACCAGAAACTGTACATCCCCTCGCCATTTTTTTCCCCGATCATCTTCCCCAGCATCTCCTCACCGCTGTTCTTTGGATCTGAGAAGAAATAAACCACCCATTGATTCGCATCAGGAACACAAAAAGTGGAGAAATCTCTAGGTGGCTGAGAGGATCGGCACCGAAATTTGCCCTTCTTCGATCTTCAATGAGATGAAAACGATTGGGATCGTATCACTGCGTCCGATCGAATTCCTCAGATGAATCAAATGTTTACCTGCACAGAGACAGCGAGAGAGCGAGAGAGAGAGAGAGAGATAGAGATAGAGAGGAAAGCATGCGGTCAATTTAGAGAGAGGAACGTATGATGACTGACTACTGCTGACTTTGGCTACAATCCACAGCCTACTCTGTTCTTGGAAGGAAGCTTCAAGTTTCTGCGGAAGTGACTGAGCTGGGTGATCACCTCTCTACCTTTCCCGCTCTCTCTCTCTCTCTCGCTAGCTAGCTAGATATATATGTATATAGAAGAGGCTATCCATCAATTTATGATAGGAAACATTAGAACTATAAATTATTTAATTACCTTAATATTTGTAGTGTAAGAGACTAGAAACAAATACCACAATAAGCAATGATGATCAGCAGCAAGCAGCTGGTGGCGCCGGCGACCGGCGATGATGGCAATAGCTTGGTCGTAGCCACCCTGCGACGCCCTCCCTTTCTTAATCAGATAAATATTTATATGAAATAATATTTATATATTATAGTAGTATGAATAATAATTCTAATAACGATGACGAATTGAGAAAAAAAAATCATTTTTAATGATTCTTTTGGGAAATTAATCCGATGAATTGTGGAATGGAGGTTAGCTGTCAATTTTTTTAAATCCACTTGCTTATAAAAATATCAGCATATTTTTATGTATATTAATTTAATTGAGAAGAGATATAGTATTGGAGTATATTATTAATGGGCCAGGCCCACTATGCTGAGATGGACCGGCCCGGTTGATCCCTAGCCGAGAGAGAGAGAGAGAGAGAGGGAGCTGGGTGAGATTTATAGAACAGCAAAGTTATAGTTCTACAGAAGTGAGAGGGAAAACCGCGGTGTTCTTCGCGGATATGGCCCTTCCTTCGAATCTCCCATGTCTGAACAGGCAATTCAAAACATACCCGTCTCAGGAAACTTGGGAAGAACGAGAGAGAGAAAGAGAGAGAGAGAGAGTACAGCTGAAGAAGAGGTGCTCCCTGCTACCCAGTGACAGAGCTGGAGACGAGGAACTTCCTCCTGGTTCCGGGTTCCTCCTGCAACACCACGACGTCGTTCACCTTCGCCACCAGGTCCTCCAACCCCTCCGCCCCCAAGCTCCGGTAGTCGAGCTTCTTCTTGTACCGCTGCTGGTAGAGGCCTTCGAAGTTGCCGGAGGGGATCCGGCATGAGTAGCAAACCAGGAGCTCCTGCACCTCCTGCCGGAAGCTCTCCAACCGGAGATACTCGTCGTCGTCGGAGAAGTCGTCGGAGGAGCTCCCCATGGCGGGGCACACGCAGTCGTCCACCGTCTCCGCCAGAGCCGTCGCCGCCACCTTCTTCCCCTGCTTCTGCCTCGCCGCCGCCGCCGCCGAGCTCCGAAGGACGACGACCTTCCTGTGCCCGGTGCCGGCGACTGCCACCACGTCGGCCATCCTGCTGAGCAGATGGACCAGCTTGAAGGCACCGTACTCGGCCACATACAGCGGCCGGCCGTACAACCTCGCGTACTCCGGCGGAAGCCGCACGAGCGGCAGGCTCCCTCCGGCCAACTCCAAGAGCCTCGCCACCTGCCGCTTCAGCCCCTGCAGATCACCCGGCTGCACCCACAGCGTCGTCTCCTCCGGCGAGTCGCCGCCTTCATCGATCGCCGGAGCACAAGAACCGGTGGCGCCGCCGCCGCCGTACCCCACAAACGAGCAAGAACTGAAGCCGAAGAAGCGAGGTTCCTCTTCATTCTGGGACTCCGGAGGGTCGAGTAGCTGGGTTCTGGGAGGGACGACGCCGTCGCCGCGCGCCACCGTGGGCCAGTCCCAGACGAAGCGGCCGGCGTTGCTGAGCGCCGCCGCTACGCCGACGTTGGCGGGGATGACGAGGATGACTGTGTAACCCCGCTGGCCGAGGATGTGCAGTGCCGGAGCGAAGTCCACGTCGCCGGAGATGAGCAGGATAGAGGACGGGGGCGGGTTGTCCAGGGCGAAGAGGAACATGTCGATGAGGATGGCCTTGTCGGCGGCGTCTTTCCGGCCATTGGGGACGTCCACGAGCTTCACCCCCGTCCTCTGGCAGCCCTCCCGCAGCCTGCGAGGGAAGGAGTTGAAGTCTCCGTAGGCGGAGAACATGGTGACTGCTCCTCTGATGAGGGGGTGAACTCGCAGCGCCATCCTGATATTCCCTGCAACATCTTCAGGCCGGACATCGCTGGGCACCGGGCAGTTCTCCATGTCCCAGAGAATGGCGACTGGGCCGTTCAAGGGTTTGGCCTGCTGGGTCCTCGCTTCAATGGAGGGGGGGCTGGCGGAGAAGGCTCCCATGGAGTTGGAGGTCTCTGGGGCTGTGAAGGTCTTCGAGGGGCTCGAATTGGAGATCATTTATTTCTTTCCTTTTATGGAAGGATTTCTTCGGGAAGAGATGGAAGGGAAGCAGGGCGGGCAGATCGGTCTTGGTCTGGGATAGCGCTCACATGGGGATCGGCGGCGGCTCCTCTGCGCCGATGAAGATCCTGGACAACAAAGGGCAGAGATATGATGCTTATATAATTCATAATAAACAGTGTTGTTCCATAAGATTCGTAAAATAAATGGAATAAACAGCAATAAATATCGCATTACAACCAAGATTCTGGCAGGTTTGGACTACAGGTTAAATCATGGAGATGATTATGATTCTAATCATAGTGGAAAACCAGCATCCACTATACGGTGCATTGAAGCGCAATTAGGCGCGCAAAAAAATAAATTCGATCAGAGTATAATTCAAGCATTCGTCTTTGAATTAACGTTGACTCAGGGAGAATCATAGGAAGCATGATTAGGAATCATTTAGAATATAATCAGAAGGACTTTATAGATGTGGTTGACATTAAAAACTTCATGATTCCACGCAAATGATTGAAGAAAAATAGGAAAAGGAAAGTCATCAAGAACATAAAACAAGTTGACGTGGAATTAATTCTTCAGAGGTGTTAAAAGGAGGATTTTCTCGAAAATGGGTCAACGAGCATCAAAAAAAAAAAGGGCGTGTTGCTTCCGCTGCTTCTGGGTACCAAGCCAGAAAACCGTAAATCTTAGTGGAGGTAAGTGTAACAATGGTCAACCATTAATCAACATCGCTCCATCTTATCCAATCTGCATGTATGAATGATACAGCAGACTTGTCAAGCTGAAGATGGGAAATTGCTGAGACTGGTTTTCACAATGACAGGGGCTTCAAAAGATCACATTTTTTAGTCTAAATTCACAAAATCATCCAAAGAAGGGACTTTGGCCAGATGTGAGTAGATGTCCTTCATCCAACTTGTAAACTATTAGTTGAATCGCTCTGCGTCATCCAGTTTGCATATAAAGGGGATACTAAAATCCTGTGAAGCAAAAGATGACCCAATTGAAAAGCTCCCTTTTATACCCTAAAAGGCTTCCAAATTAACTTAGGTAGTTCTTAAATTCGCAAAATGAGCCAAACCAGGAGTGAACATATCCCAACACAAGGCGGGGTCCCTAGCAGGAAGAACAAGCCACAGCTATGGGAACCCCCAGCTTCTCATCTGAGAATGCATCCGCACCAAAGGATTCGGAGCTACAAAAGAAAGATTGAACAGCAAAATTACCATCTGCAAAATGCTGATTTTTAGGCATTTTAGACGGAATCACAATCCAGAATCTCACTCTCGATAGACTCCAGCCCATATACCAGATTCCACATTCTACTTTAGATAAAATTAATCAGACTAGTAGAAACTTTCTCCCAAGTGCCACTCAGAGCAAGGGAAAGGACAGAAGCAATAAAGGGTCTCATGTGATTGAACAGAAACGGATGTCTCTATGGAGGGCAGTTTACTATAAATTCTTGAAGAGTCTCTCTACGAGAGTGACCTATAAACATCAAGAATGATCAAAGCAGCCCATCAGAAAACATTTCATTCGGCACAATAATTCCAAGAGTGAGAAACTAGAATTTCCTCTCTCATTAATAACCGGAATCTCCTCAACATGGACGATGAAATTTCGAGCTCATAACATTTTCCTCAACATTGGAAAATGCAGTATTCTAGGGATAGAAAAAAGGAACATCTTCGCCTAAAATGAAAATTCTACTCGATGGTTACATGGAATATTTAAATCAACTGAAAAGTTCAGATCAACGTCTTTGACTCAGCACGGAAGGCTTTGGCATCCTAGAAGCTCGAGTACATGTAGATATCGGCTATTTTAGGATAACCTGCCAAAAACTAGAGTTCGAGGAAAAATGGCTAATGTTACTCGGCAAAAAGGAAATCAATTCTCGGCATGCAGAAAACTTCCAATAGTTTGGCGAAGGAGAGAAAATAATTTGGTGAAGGACAGATCATCAAAAGCTGACCGAGATCTTCTTCTCAATTAGAAGAACCTTCAGAAAATGGGAGGTAGAAGGCCAGCGCGGGAGATTGTATCCACTATGACTCATCGGTCCATTAGAATTTGGGGAAATCAGGGTTGAGGAGGTGGACAACAGAGAAATAACATCTTTTGATATTTTTTAGAAACTACTTTAGAAGCAGGAATCTAGGACTGTTTATGTACCTCCATACAATGCAAGTCAACGAATCGATCCCTAGACTAAATCCTAAGGCTGTAAAAGATTTTCAGATTCACATACTTCCTTCCACATGTGAGCATATTTATTATCAGTTAAATCCATTTAAGTTAATCATCTTCTCATTTTTTTCCGTCGTGTGAGGAAGGTTTGACTATTACTAGCGGTACGGGGATTGATAACTATGTATCAAGCTGTCCCTGCGTGTGTAGAGAGGCAGAATGTATTCACAAATGATGCTCCGAGCGATTGAATTCTTCTGATATACAATTCAAGCGGAATTATATACCCTCTTGTCATAGACTCATCGGAGAGAAGAAATACAGATGAAAGCAAAGCAGCGAGCCCTTGTGCAAAACCCCTCGTAATGAGATAACAAAGAATAAATGATACCGAGTAAGAGACCGAAGAGAAATAAACAACGATTGTGAACGGAGTCCCTGGCAAGACAGCAAATCTATAAGGAACAAAGAGGATCCCAAACACCTGAAATCTATTAGGAGCTAATCCTGACGACAAAAAGCGGAAGAACAAATGAGAGTGGCACCGATTCAGCCGAGAGGGGGTATCGGATACCGTGCAACAGTCAAGCATGTTCAATCGGAATCCTGATCGCGTCCGTCAAGCAGCGGTATCGTTATCGTCATCAGCTGCTACCCCAGATAGAACTCGCGTCTGAAATGGGCAAGGACACCGGGGATCCCAGTCCCAATGGAATTGCAACACGAAAATTCCGATGAGAGAGAGTGGAATAAAGGATGAAGAGAAAAAAACCTCGTCGGGCAGCACCAGGCCTCCGTCTTCTGTCCTCGCTCCCGGATTGCTTTGCAGCCGATCTTCTCCGCCCGATCCACCAGCCACGCTCAGGAATCAACACAATAATCAACCCACCAAAGAGCAAGCACCGATCTCGACCCTCTCTCTCAACGAGGCAGAGGGAGCGGGAGCAGGAGCAGCGCAGAGACCTCCCTATCTCTCTCTCCACTTTCTCTCTTTTTAAGCCGTGGATGTCTTGCGTCCACCGCCACTCCCGTATTCTAGAATATAAATTCGTCAGAGAGATCGTGAGGCTGCAGCTGATGAACGATGGAATCTAACGGTCCATATAGGTGGATCGAAATCCACCGGTGAGCCCAGCGGGCCGGGCCCAAATGCCCGAATATGTTCTATGCTTTAATGGGCCAATTAAATCATCCAAAAAATACGCGAGATTCACGTGCTTAAATAAAAAAGGCTTACTAATTCCCATCTTAATACTCCCAAGTCAAGATAGATACGGTTCAGGGAATATTTTTAAGTTGGAACCCATAAACATTCGTCAGTGACAATTCTACCTGAAATTGATGAAAATAGAAAATTAGTGTATTAATCCCCAATAAACCTTGTGCCCTATCCGAACAGGTATTCTAAACATTTGGGCCTAAAAATAAACTCGAGAATTGGATATAGAGAGTAGGCGCGCTAACGTTTTTGTACATATATGTAATATTAACTAGAGAGCCTATTTTTTGGGCTCTTCTACAAAATGCGACGTGGATGTGGGTATGTATATCATAATCCATATTCGAAGGAGTAGATCATAAAATATTTATATTATATTAATATTTGCAGATCAGACCGTCGACCGATTTTCAAGTGGGAGATTGGGGTTATGTGCATAATTAACAAGTGTAAAAGACTCTGCAAATATTTTAATTTCAGTCTGGAGCCCGTCTTTGTTATCAATACGTTTCGGGCGTCGAGGAGGATACGAAGGCCCGGCCCGGTTGACGGCAGATACTGTCATTTGGCAGTTGAGGTGTCGGATGAAAATTAATGATAAGTCCTTTATAAACTAGTCATTTACAATGTTGACCTCCTTTTAGTACATACTATGCGACCATCTCCCTCCGACCCAGACACCCCCCCCCCCGGCGGGGAACTCTCTCTCTCTCTCTCTCTCTCTCTCTCGCTTCTATTTCTTCCCACAGGTTACCCATTACACGGTTTGACTCTCGGACCAGGCCGCAGAGTGCACCCTCCCTCTCCACCCTCTCCCTTTCCCTCTCTCTATCTCTCTCTATCTCTCTCTTTCTCTCTCTCTCTCTCTCTCTCTCTCTCTCTCTCTCTCTCTCTCTCTCTCTCTCTCTCTCTCTCTCTCTCTCTCTCTCTCTCGCTCTCTCTCTCTCTCATGCATTCTCTCTCCTCTGCTTGCGATCTCTCTCCCTCTTTCTCTCGCATCCAGTATTCTTCTTCTTCTTCTTTTTTTGTCGACAAGGAACAGAAGCGAGGACGGGAACTGAGAGCGGGAGGAAGGAAAGAAGGGAGAGGAGAGGAATAGCAAATCGGCTCTTTCTGGTCCCCCCGAGTCTGTCTTCCTTCTCACCGGGGAAGAAAAGAAGGGGGGAGGAGAACCAAAAAGGGGAAACCACATGAAGGAAGGCAGCCCCACTGGATCTCCCATTTCCCGATCCAGAAATACCTCAGGCGGCCAATTCGCCGCAGACCCATCGCGTCTGTTGATTCCTGAGCGCCGATGGTGATCAATCCAGCCTGTCCGGTCCACCTCCTCCCCGGGATTTCCAGATTCAGCACCGACGCCGACACAGTCCTATCGTGGACCCCAGCTGCCGCCGCCACCGCTGCCTCCACGGTGGAAGAGGTGGATAATCTGCTGTGGACGCGGTGGCGTCAGCTACTATGATGCAGATTCGGCTCTCGCCAAGCATGAGAAGCCTCACGATAGCTACCAGCAATGGGTTTCTAGACCTGATGAAGGTCAGGGTCGCAGCCCGCCACATTTCCTACCGGACCCTCTTCCACACAATCCTCATCCTCGCCTTCCTCCTGCCGTTCGTATTCATCCTCACTGCAGTCGTCACGCTTGAGGGCGTCAATAAGTGTTCCACCTTCGGTAATTCTGGAATCCTTCTGCTGCAAATCTGCTTTCATTCATTGACTTTATAATTCTAATTTAATTTGGCTTGCTTCTGATCTGCTTCGGACGATCCGATGTGTGTCACATTTTCAGTTATTTGTCTTTTCAATTCAAATCTATGCTTGCTGTTCATTTCTTGCTTTCCTTTACAGCTTTTTGTGATTTCCTTGTGATGTGATTGCCGTTTTGTGCTTCTGAATTCTTTCAGTTCCTAAATATTCAATGATATGAACCTTAAAATCATTTGGCTACTTACTTTATATTTTTTACTTTATTTTCATTTTTTGTAAGCTTGCCCAACTGATCTTTGATTCTCTGGCTAGCAAGTAAACTTATGTACGCTAAGAAGGGGAATAATTTTATTTTTTTATTCAATACTATTATTCCCTTTCTCATCAGGAAGTATCATCTGACTCTGGATACATCATCAGCTGCATCTGTCTGTGGACACTTCATCATGTAGAATTAATGGTTTCAATTGGGGGGATAACTCCTTCTGATCATGTTTTCATTACTATTTCACCTATCTTGTTTTAGGGGATTTCAATGCCAGTGTTGATTGTTTAGATTTGGTGGAATTCATTTAATTTATTGATTTCATCAACCGGGGTTTGTGCTGGGTTCTACATGGATGAAAACAGTATTTCATTGCAGCGGTCTGCCTTCCACTTGCCCTCATGCTCTCTCCAATTCCTAGCTCACAGTTCAGACCCAAACTTGACTTATCAGATCAGTGCAGTTTGCATAAATGTTCTTTATTTCCAGGTTCAACTTCTATGACGAAGCTTCCAAACACTCTCAGACTTTCATAACAATGATCTCTTTAGTTGTGCATGGGTTTGTGTTAAATTACCTTTACTTGTCATGAACTTAATACTGTTCGCATCTCATTTCATGGTTCAATTTTTTCATGTTCCTTGCCCTCCAAATATTTCGCATGGATATTGCTGGTCGATGCAGCTCTGTAAATGTTTACTTTCCTGTGCATCCTCCTCTCATTTCCTATGTTGCTTTTTCATGTTTTGGAATGTTGCTATGGTTCAGCGGTTGATACTTTATCTTCATAATGCCGATGAAAATTTAGCAGTACAATTCTGTTATATTTCTTAGAAATGGAATGTGCTGTTATGTCTTATCTAAATCCAGTGACTTGAAAATCTGATCCTGAATTCCCCCATCTTTTTTTCCCGGGGAAGTTTTTGATGCTTGAGTTGATACTTTATCTTCATAGTTTTAGTGGAACGTTAGTATCATTATGTAGTTACAGTTCTGATAATGTGCTATTGCGTCTTGCTGAACTTAGTAACTTTCAAATCTAATATTGAATCCTCCTTTCTTTCAGATTGTTTGGGAAGGCGATTGGGACCAAAGTTTCTTACTCGATCAGACGACTCTGTTGTAAGTATTGTTGTTCTCTCGTTGGAGCTGATCAACTACATAGTTTGCATAAATGTTGATGTAATTTTGGCGGTCTATACTCTGATCTTACTCTTTCACCTTTTCTGGATCACGCAGGTACTGATCAAAGATTTTTATCACATTCTTAATCAAGTAAATTCTGAGGAAATTCCTGATGGCCTAAATTTGCCTGAGTCATTTGATGAATTTCTTTCTGAAATCAAGGGGAATCAGTATGATGCCAAGACATTTGCTCGAATATTAAAAGCGATGGTACGAAATTGACCCAATATTTTTATCTTCTTAGCTTTTTTTGGGATAGTGCCGTCACAATGCCTTGTTTCCTCAGTTGTCAGCGATAGCTACTTTTTATTGGACCCAGTCTTTTCTTTCATTTTAAGGGATTATATGTGCAACGACATCATATTTTAGTTTCAAAGTAATGATTTCTTCCATGTTTTACTTGGTTTTTCTATAATTTTCGTGCATATTTTTTAGGCGGTTCCTTTGGGCTGCCAACATTTGTTTTGCCCTTGATTTTCTAAGACTGACTTCTGGGAATGTTCCGAACAGCTGTGTTTTCCAGTATTTCCAGGGTTTAATATCTGCCACAGAGTCTGCAAATCAGTGATGGTTGATGCAGTTTTGAATACCGAAGTGTGTGACAGTTCATCTTGATCAATACCGCATGGCCACAATAGGGTTTGAACACCTTATTCTTTGTTATAAATAGAATTTAGCATGGAAACCTACATTTTGCCATGATGAAACTGGGATGAGTGTATAATGTAATTGCCCAGTATCCATCAAACAAATTGAGAGTCCAGGGCTGACACAGATACAATGAAAATCCCATCCATCCGAGGGCCTGAGCCATACGTGCCTAGTTTTGTGGTGTACACAGACATAGGAAAAACAATCTTGACCTCATGTTCAACTCTGTATTTGTCACTGGCCGACTTTTATGAGAACATGGTCTTGTGCTGAATCATATTGATCACAAGCGAGAGCAAAACACATGAGGGGAAATAAAGGATAAGTTCAAAGTTATGCATCTTTCTTGTCTGCTTGTCAAAACTATTGGCCATTTGGTGGGCGTGCAAGAGAAGGTGGGCCAAATTAATCTGCAAATGGTTAACCGGAGATGGTACTGCCCTGATTTTTTAAAAAAAAGAGAAAAGCAAACCAAGCAATCACATACTTTATATTCCGAATTATTGAAACTTAAAAGTATATATGTGTAGTCATGAACGATATCGATGGGATATCTTTTCAGGTTTACAGATTTATTTTCCATTTAACTTGAAGATAGTTGGATTTACATGGGATTTTTAAAATAGACTGTTGGGAGACTGATTCCTGTTGTCTGAGGAACTATCATGTGCAATGTGCTCATAAATATGGCTTTCCTAGCCTAGACTCTCTAAACTTTATGTTTCAATTCTCACTGATTCCGGTACAATCCCCAAAGGGGCTACAATGAATTAAATGACAAAATTTCTAGGATTATGAACCACTTTTGTTCGATAAATATTTCATTTTCTTGCAGATGGAAAATCTGGATAAGGAGGCAAAAAGGTCAAGGTTGGCAGAGCAGTTGAACAAACACTTTGCAGCGAGTGCGATTCCAAAAGGGATTCACTGTCTGTCCTTACGTTTAACTGATGAATACTCATCCAATGCCCATGCTCGTAAACAGCTACCAGCCCCGGAGTTACTCCCGTTGTTATTTGACAACTCCTGTCAGCATTTTGTTCTAGCAAGTGACAATATCCTTGCGGCTTCAGTTGTTGTTGCCTCGACCATCAGATCTTCCTTGAGACCTGAAAAAATTGTCTTCCATGTGATTACGGACAAGAAGACATATGCGGGTATGCATTCATGGTTCGCATTGAACCCTCTGCCCCCAGCGATTGTTGAGGTGAAAGGAGTTCACCAATTCGACTGGTTGACAAAAGAAAATGTCCCTGTGCTTGAAGCCATAGAGAGCCATCATGTGGTCAGGAATCACTACCATGGCAATCACATTGTGGGAACCAACGCTGGTGACAGTCCGCGGGTGTTTGCTTCAAAACTACAGGCCAGGAGTCCAAAATATATTTCTCTGCTTAACCATCTTCGTATATACCTTCCAGAGGTAAATTGTTTCGCTGCATTATTATGATTATATAACTGATTTCGGATTATTTCCCTGCTGTATCTGCCATGATCTTCCTGGGTCTACTGTCTCCGTGAACATGATTTTGCATTGAACAGGTGTGCTCCATTTTAGACGAGAGCATGCTAGAAGGGTGATGTACAATATATGTTTATTAACTAATTTCTTCGTTTCTTTCTAATCACTTACAATGCTAATCCAGATTCGTATAACCAATGAACTCATTGATTATCGTATTCTGTAAGGGATTGTTTTTACGGGTTAGGTTTATGGTTCGTAAACGTTGCTTCGTAGTTTTGTTATTCATCTCATCAGGAAAAGGATTGATGAATTGTAGTAGTTCCGTTGGTTATTTTCTGATATGGGCAACCACCCAAGAGACTAAAAATGACCCGAAAGAAAGCATATGAGAGCAAGGCTAGGGTCACCCTGAACTCACGGAGGACGTCTGGAATTGCATATCCTGTTCTTTAATATTAATGAATTTTGGCATAAGAGAAGGTGGCCTCTTCTTATCTTTGGTTATATTTAACCACTTAGTACCTTTGATTATATTCTACTTTTGAACCCTTCTTTAGAGAGCTGGGGGTTGGCATGCGATTGTTTTCATTATCATGACGTAAATTATGCAGATGGTTAGATAGAGGATTATTTTAGACAACATTTTTTCGGAAGCTTGTTGGGAAGTTGAGATCATTATTGTGGAATGATGAGACTACTCTGCATCCCGGCTGATAACAATGACCTGATTATACAGGCTCTGTCTGTGCATCCTGAGTAGATTTTACTGCGTATTCACTCCAGTGTTCTCATTTATTCTATATTTCTCATGTAGACTCCTTACTTTGTCCAGGGAAATCATGATTAGTAGAATAGTCCTTGCCTGAAAAATAATGAAATAGTTGGATTGAGACCATGCATGATCCAGAAAGTAGACCCGAGGTTTGACAAGATTGATTTTTTTTCCCGCATGACCAAATTAAACTAGGGAGAATCCCTTGTTAATTCATTGATGACATTGGGTAAATTGCTCGAATGTATTGCCTCGTTCACTTATTTGCTTTCATGAATCGCATTTTATCAAACTTGATAACCTGGAAATAAAAATAAACAACGATTGATGAGCTAACGCTTCCTAAAATTTGCAAGCAGCTGTTCCCGAGACTGAACAAGGTGGTCTTTCTCGACGATGATGTAGTCATCCAACGTGACTTGTCTCCTTTGTGGGAGATCGACCTCAGTGGCACTGTAAATGGAGCTGTGGAGACCTGTAGAGGTGGAGACATCTGGGTGATGTCCAAACGCTTCAGAACATACTTCAACTTCTCTCACCCTCTCATAGCACAGCATCTAGACCCCGATGAGTGTGCTTGGGCATATGGAATGAACATTTTTGATCTGAGCGCATGGAGGAAGACAGATATTAGAGATACATATCATTATTGGCTAAAGGAGGTAAAAGTTTGGTCTTACCTTCACTTCAGGCATTCTTTGCGGTCTGCATCTATGATTTGGGTTCTTTCATGGTTTAGTCTGATACTCTGTGTTGGGGAAGGGGTTATATATTGATTTCACCTCCCCCATGCAATGAATCTTTAGGATAGTTGATGTTTTATTTTTCCAGTTGTTTCTATCTTTAAACTAAACCCAGATATCCTATAAATCAGAAACTTACCATACTGTGAAGTGTTGACATATGATCTCTCTCTCTCTCTCTCTCTCTCTCTATCTCTCTCTCTCTCTCTCTCTCTCTCTCTCTCTCTCTCGCTCGCTCTCTCTCGCTCTCTCTCGCTCTCTCTCTCGCTCTCTCTCTCTCGCTCTGTATCACAGAAAGAATGAAGGAAGACGTCTTGTATTCATAGGCATTCCTGTGGGTTAGTTCATGTATTTGTCATGTTGGAAGCCATAATTAAAACTAAACTGATTCTCTCTATCACCACATGATCCATGCTAAGAGAACGATTTTTTTCTTTCCTTCCTTTTCCCATCAATATTTACCATCTGTGATGATACACTCAAATAGATCCACAATCCAGCTCAGCTCAGCTCTACTTGTATCAAAATCATCGTGAGTGTCTAAAATGATCATGTATCCAATTAACTGGGCCAGCGGATTCTGCTTGGATTTTGGAGCATAGGCTAATGCTTTTCTGCATTCTTTTTTCTTCTGCTATGAGATTTGATCTTGGAGCGTGATCTACTGTTTTTCTTGATTCCCCGTCCTTCTGATGTCTCCAGAAAGCAGACATATGAGTCTGCTTCCTGCCGGTATATTGTAGATTCTCTTCTTCGACGATTGATACAGTTTTCTCATAAACATAATAAGATCAAACACATTATGATCCATATTTTATCCTAGTGAAACCTCATCGAACCTAAAACACTGAACATTTGCTAGTGGTGATTGGTTAATACGACCAACAATGAACAACAAATTGTTTGACAAAACTCCAGACTCTATTGTCCGAAAATAGAAAATGTTTAATAGTTTTGGAGTATTGCAAAGAGATGTTATAACTTGCGGATCTATCATCTTCCCAAGCATAAATGCTGTACATTCTCAATATTACTTGAAGCATCAAGGCCCATGTGAATAATGCTTGTGGCATTCCCAGTGAGTTGACATTACCCTCTTGAGACAAAAACTAGTAATGCTTATGCTTCATTTGGCCCAGAATCTGAAGTCAAACTTGACACTGTGGAAGTTTGGGACGCTGCCGCCGGCGCTGATAGCATTCAGGGGCCACGTCCACCCGATTGACCCATCCTGGCACATGCTGGGCTTGGGCTACCAAGAGAACACCGATCTTGACAGTGCCCGGCGAGCTGCCGTGATCCACTACAACGGGCAGGGCAAGCCCTGGCTGGACATTGGATTCAAGCACCTCCGGCCCTTCTGGTCAAAGTATGTCAACTACTCCGACGGCTTCATCAGGAGCTGCCACATCTTGGAGCCTCAGAATTAGGACGAAACCCAGACATGCTCTGTCACTTTCCTTTGTTGCAGTTCTTTTGCAGCTTGGAAGAGATTAGCTATGGAAGCTGGGTTCATCCACACGCGTCCCCCCCCACCTCCTCCCAACCCCTTTGTTGGTCAGAGAATGGGGTTGCCGGCAAGGAGAGATTGATTCATTCTTCAGAGATGGTGTAAGATAGTGATCGGTGGAGCACTGCTTGTGGAGGCGATTGGGGTGTCCTCTTTTACAACAATTTTTTTTTTTTTTTTTTTTTTTTTTTTCTGAGGAGAAGATCAAGGGATCGATTCATATTGGTTTGCAAGGCTGCACCACCGAGATGACCTTCTTCTGTATCATCTTCTTCTTCCTCTTCTTCTTATATCTTCTTTTGTTCTGGTATTCTTGTTTGGCACCGATATTTTCCCCCCCATTATTATTTTTATTTGTTTATTTGTATTCATATGTTGATTTGTAGGGGGAATTGGATGAGGCATTTGTTACTATTTATGGGATGTGAGAAACTGGTAGATGGATTATTTTTTTGCTTCCTTCTGGTTATTTGCTGCTTGGGCAATGAGGATGATGTGGTTTCCATCACAATTTCTCTACTCTCTAATGGATCTTCCTCACTGGGGATGATGAATGGCGATAAATTAAAAGTTGAATTGTGTCAATAGGGTGTTGGCCTCGGATGTCTTTGCTTCACATTGGAGTTTGAATCTAATGGAATTCTTAAGAGAGAGAGAGAGAGAGAGAGAGAGAGAGAGAGAGAGAGAGAGAGAGAGAGAGATTGGCACTACACATGTAGGCCGTTTGACTTCTTAACTTGGATGATTAAGGACAAGAACAAATTATCTGTTGTACAATCTAAAGGATGAATTTACAGTCCAACAATTAACATCAGTTGACCTGATTATGGCCTTACAAGTTGCTCAAATCGGGTTGCTTAAAATATCTAGCACAATATGTTATTTTATTTCGACGATCTAACCAGCAATTAATGATCATGATTGAGATTGAGACCAATAAATAAATAATTATATTAGTGGACTTTTTTCTAGGGCTAATACAGCTTTTAGACATAAATCAAGCATGTGATATAAAAACCATCACAATGAGACATTCTAATTTCTATCATATTAAAAACTCAGTGAATTAAATTTATTATCTACAATAAATAATATGCAAGAATCCCCCTTTGACCGTGCACATTGACTTTCAGATACAGGGTGAAGGAACTGAGGGTGATTGGACCGAATCATATAAATTTTAAACAGATATACTTTAATTGTGCCATCAACCACAAACACAGCCACCCACATTCTCTCTAAATCTCTCAAAAAAACAGCATGTTGAGTTCTGTTTCCAGTGATCCAAACAAGTCATGCACAATTCTGCATAATCTATTTTATGGATATTTATTTTCAGGTAAATCGGGAAGTCAACGAAAAGAAAAAACTGAACACATATATATATATATATGTTGTGTATGTATGGATGTATGTATGAATGTATGTATCATAGGGAAAGCCCCGCAAGATTATGCCGTTTATACTCTAGTGAATGGATGATCACTAAGATGCTGCTTCGCCTATTCTTATCATCTGAGGAGCCAACAAGAGAGATGAATTGAATCATGCGCATGAAACAGGGTTTGTATATCAGACAGGGAGAACAAAAAGTCAACGAAATGTACAGGGAAGAGCTAACTGAAGAACAGATGGCGGAAGCTGTAAAAAAAGATGTGCCATACAACTTACAGAAACTGAACAGCTAGCCATGTCGAAGAAGATGAACCCAAGCAGAGGTCCGAGCACAGAAGGCCCTTCCATGGAAGATTTCCCCGCTTTGCATCCCTGGAGATGAGAAGAACCGGATGAATGAATGAATGATGAATAATAAATACAGGCACCCACTTTGAAGAGAAACCAGCATAAGAAATAAAAAAATTGCACTAAAAAAAATCATGCTTGATTGTGGCAATCGGATATTTCATATATATATATATATATATATATACACACCTGATTTTAGGTCAACTGGAACAAGAGATGAACAAAAACGAACATAATTTCGCGATCACCACGGCCCTGAAGAAAAACAGTCTGCAGCAGTATGCGGGTATTGAAGAATTCCTGTGGAGTTAGATCCTATCAACAGCCACAATCTCCTCCACCTTCAGTGACGGAGGCGAAGGCTTTGACCGATGAACGATGTCCTTTCTTGCACTTCCATGGTTGGAACCCAGTTCCTCTCTCACCTCCATGTCGTCCTTGTCTCGAGGATCGACTGCAACTTCTGCTTCCGTAAATGGCGCAGCAGCCCCCGCAGGGGGGTGCTTCCTCGGTCTTCTCGCCATCACCTTCTTCCTCATCTCCCTCGAGGCCTTCTGAGACGCTGGGGTGGTCCTCGGCAAACTCTGGTTCTGGTTCTGATTCTGATTCTTCCCTGAGCTCCACATGTCCTCATTCTCCTTCACGGCCGCGAAGCTCCGCTTCATCTTCTTCTGCCCCCCGCCACCAACCTCCGCAGCTGGGGCTCCATTACACTCCCCTTCAGCCCATTCTCCCGTCCGATGGGCAGCAAATGGATCAGGGCAAAACCCTGGGAAGAAGGGCGAATTCCATGGGGTACCCTCTGCCGGAGAAGCCATCTTCGGCGCCCCGGCGGCGAAGTTGGAGTGCCCAGGAAACCCTAGAGGGAACAGTCCCCATGCACAGTAGTACAAGTCGCTCCCTGGTACGATCGGCGGCGGATGCGCCAGCTCCGTCGCCGGGAAAGGTCTCCGGCAGTTCTGGCAGATTAGGGTTCTTCCCTCGTATCCCCTCGCGTATTGGTGCAGGTAGAAGCAATTGCTGCATGCCGTCCAGAAAGAGGTGCCGCCATTGGCGCCGGAATCAGACGGCGCCTGCCGGCTCTCGGCGGCGGTGGCGGCGGCGCCGCCACCGCCGGCCGTTTGCTCCGTCGAAGCGGCGATGAGGAGCTCCTTGTCGTAGAGCTCCTTCTTCACGAGATCGGAGAGGACCGCCCACGCGTTCCCCACAATCTTGGACGCCTCCTCGGCGGCGTCCGAAGGTGGGCGGCTGTTCGGACGGAGGAGGAGGGCGAGGCGGCGGTACTGGCGGCGCACGGCGGAGATGTCGTGGTCCTCTGGAGAGGGACCGAGCTGGAGGACCTCGTACCAGTCAACGTGGTGGTTGACTCTGCGCCTCCCCGCCGCCAGAAGAACGTCGGACGCGGCTAGCACCCAGTCAACGCCCTCCAGGAGAGGCTCAGACTCCATGGCCAGCTCCGCGAACTTCTTGCTCCCCACCAGATCCCGCGCGTTGAGCAGCTTCTCGGCGACTCCCAGCAAGCGGGAACCGTCCATCTTGGCGGCGGCGCCGCTGCCGCCGTTCATCGCTTCCGCCGACGGACCCGTTGAAATGGAAGAGCCAGGAGAGGACGGGGAAGAGCGAAGAAGACGAATCAGACCGGCGACTCCCTAGCGGCATTCATGGTTCTTGGAGTATCCTCCAACACTAAAGGTTAGCTCTGAAGACACGTGATAATGGGCCTAAATGGGCCAATTCGCCTGGTTTCTTGGAAACTTGGGCCTCATGCGGCATTTCAGGGCCCACCTTCATTACGGGGGTTCAGTAGAGCCTATTGTTGAGCTCACTTTTCTGGATTTTCTCCATGCGAGGAGAAAACCATTTTTATAATAATTATTCAAATTATTTACTCGTAAAAGTCGTGCCTGGCACATCAAAAAAAACTTATTAAAATGTATTAACGTAATATTATCATTAAATTTATATTTTATTAGAAACTTCGTCCAAAACATAACGAAATCTGGGCTTGGCCCTGGATCTCGGTAACCCAGATAAGAGAGAGAGGGAGAGAGAGAGAGAGAGAGAGAGAGAGAGAGAGAGAGAGAGAGCTATCGAGAAAATTATCTATTCGCCACGATTTTCTTTCTTCAAGTGATTATCTCACCTTCTTCGGGCGGCTCCGCAGGCATTTTCATGGGGGCTCATCAGGTTCTATCTTCTCTGAGGTGCTGGAGCATCAACGCCCTGGTTTTACCGTCGGGCTCAAACCCGTTGGCTCGCATCTTGTCGTACAGCTTCTTTGCCGATTTAATCTTCCCTCTCAAGAAAAACCCTTGGATGATCGTATTGTAGAGAGAAGCACCTGGCTTAACCCGCTGCAGCAAATGGAGGATGAAGTGAGAGGATGAGAGAACAGGGGGGATTGTTCTGGACAATTTTACATAAAACTTGGGGAAATGGACTGCATCGATTGGAGGAGATTGAGCCTTGAAAGAAAATATAAAAGTTAATACAGGTTGGATCGATCATCATTGCATATTCTGTGTCTGATTGATGTAACTGTGAAGAGTCCCATAAGATTTCGATTTGGTTATAACGAATTGCGTGAAACTCCGATGAAATTGTGACGGATCCCATAGAAGTTTGATGAAATTGTAAATAATCCAAAATAAGTTTGATATACTGATAAAGAAGAGCATAAAATTATGACGTAAATGATAAAGGATCTCATAATTTTTTTGTGCAACTATCAAGAAGCGCACAAGCTTTTGATGCAATTATGAAGAATCCCATGGAATTATGACGTAATTGGATATTGATGTAGTTGTCAGGAATCGAATAAAATTCTGATGTGACTATAAAATATCTCATAGAGTTTTATGAAACCATAAATAATCCCAAAGGTTTTGGAGTAAATAAATTGTCACAAAGCTCTTTATGGAATTATAAAGAATCACATAAAATTCAGATCTGATTGCAAAGAATCGCACTAAATAATCCACAAAAGTCAGATGTAAATATTCCCATAAAGATTCCCATAAACGTTTGATTTAATCATATGAAATCAAAATTTATAAAATTTTGATGTTGTAAAGAAGAACACAAAAGCTTGATGTAACTATAAAGAACCCTATAAGTGGGATGAACAAAAGGAAAGAAAACGAGATAAGATAAGGAAAGTATCTTAGTACGAACAATTTGATGTATCATGGAAGCAAAAAGGAACGTTTAATACAAAAAATCTTATACTGGAACATTTGTAGCAACTACTTACCCTCAGTATTTCGTCGACTTCGATCCAAAGAGATCCCCAGATGCATGCTCGTATGAGAGACAGATAAGTGAATGTATCTGGGACGCACTTGTTGTGGATCATATGCTCATAAACTTCGACTGCAACTTTTGGTTGCTTTGCCCGCTCACAGGCCAGAATAACCAGATTATAAGATTCAGTGGGCACCGGCATCCCACTCTCCTCCATGTTCCACAAGATCTGCAAGGAACGGTCCCATAGACGAAGCCTCTGGCACGACATCAGAGCCACATTATAAAGGTGGACATTCAATTCTGATCTCCCTTTCATGATGAACTCAAACAGTCTAAGTGCATCCGCATATCTTCTGGAACTGTACAGAGAATTGAGCAATGCACTCCAGGTGTATACATCGGGAGAGAGGCCGGAGGATCTCATGAGCTCGAAGATCCTGAATGCGTGGTCAGACTCTCCTGCCTTCCCTAGGCAATTGATCATCGAATTGAATGCAATGGCGTTCGGCTGGATGCCCCTGTCCAGCATTCGATGGAACACAGTGAGACCCGATTCCCATTTTCCTTCTTTTGTGCAGACGGAGATTATACCTTTCATGATATCCTCATCTGGTTCCAGGCCATTCTGGATCATCTCGTTGTAGGCGGAGAGAGCAAGTTCTGCCTGGCCGCACTGCACGAAGGTGCTGATGAGAAGACGATAGGTCAGCATCGTCCCGATGCAGTCGCTCTCTCTCAGTCTCCTCCACATCCGCTCCACCTCAAGCCAGTTCTTCGACCGTCCGCAAATCGAAATCATCGTGTTGTAGACTATTACATCAAATCTCCCCTCCACTGTTCTTCCCTCCGACTCCATCTCCACGAACATCTCAATGGCAGGGCCGCAACCCCTTGCCTCAGCTAACGCTTTGAAGATCAGGCTGAAGGTATGGCCCGTGGCCATGCTCTCTTTCCTCATGATTGCAAAGACCGCTAGAGCGTCGTCTAGATATTCATTCCGAATGAGGCAAGCAACCAGAGAGTTGCAGGCATGGCTATCCGGTCTGATACCTGAAATGGACATTGACGCGAACAGTTCGAGGGCGCTCCGTACCTTGTTGTTCCTGCTGAGCTTCAGCATTCTCCTAGAAAGGATCCCCTCCTCCCTCTCCTCCAGGAAGTGAATCTTCACGCCAGAGAAGTTCAGAGACTGATATTCCCTCGTCTTCACCGGCACATCGGCTTCTCCCTCCCGCTCTTCAAAACCTTCGGAATCTACTCTGCAGCGACTCGCCGGCGCCGCCAGCCAGGTAGCACCATCGCCACAGTCCGGCAAGACCGCAGTCACGGCGGAGCACGATGACTTGTTCAGAATTCTCCAGTGAGTCGACTTGAAACCCCACGCGGGGCGAGAACACGGCGGCGACAGTGTCCCCCCTTCGGGTTTAGCGGAGATGTGCTTCGAGCGAGAAGATCCACGGCATACCGAATACACGGACGAGCTACTCGTCCGCAATTCCAGCATGCTGCAGAAGAATCCTCCGGGACGACTACTGGCTACGCCGCTCCGGCAACGATGGACCTGGACTTGCCGAGGTGATGAGAGAGAGAGAGAGAGAGAGAGAGAGAGAGAGAGATCTATATACAAATAGCGAGAGAGAGAGAGACGTGGACCCGTAAGGTAACATTCTAGGATATTTCTACAATAAAAATATCGCATATCAACGGGCCGAGCCGGGTCAAAGAGAGTCCGTAGCAGGTTTTCGAGCCGGTCAACGGCAGTGCATCACCTATGTAGAGTAAAAATATAAAGTGTGCAGCCCGAAAAACCCGGGCCAAGCCCGCTGACCCTGTGTATATATACACGAAAAATTCCCGCTCATTTTACTATTTCCAGATGTCCTCCCCGCTTAGTCGTCGGGAGGAGACGGCCGAGGGGGAGGAGAGAAGAGCGAGGATGGGGGAGACGATGGAGGGGATAGCGTCGATAGCTCTGCTGCCATGCGGTTCCGTCTCCGGGCACTTCATCAAGCTCCCGGAGTCCTCGTGCTATGGCCTCCACGGCACCGGTATTTCTTCTGGTTCCGTGATTCATGGTTGTTCATCTGCTCTGTCTATTTGGTTCGCGCGTAGGGCCTTGACGGAAATAAATTTTCATTTCACTTGATGTATATTCACTTTCTATATCGATGATCTGTCCCCGCCGGACTTCCACGGCGATTGTTTTCTTTACGTTCTAGCCGCTTTAGAACGCGTTTTTCTGCCTTCATCGATGTTATGTGTTTGGTTTTTTTTTTTTTTTGTCACCACGCGCTGGTCTCTCAGGGTGGCCGAGTTCATCTGCTTGATGTATTTCTTCCTCCTTGGACATGGGAGAGTAGATGGTTTACTTCTCTAGGCGTCAACTACACCCTATATTTATTTTTTACCATGATCTATGTTGTCTATTGACGATTTCGTGGTTGACATCTAATTTTTTTTCCTTACTATTTTAAATAATCGCGGATTTTTTTATCTTAGAAGCGACTCATAACTTTGCCATTATCTTCCTAAAGTTGACTAAATACGATCTGAGATGTAAGACTTTGGCAAATTTTTGTAACTTATGGCTCTGATTTTCGGGCCTCCACAGGTTTTTTTTCTTGCTTTAAATTATGTTTATTGCTCGTCCCAGACAACTAGTTGTGAAGTAAAGAATATTCTTCGTTTATGGATTGAACTCCTGTAACAGAGGAAAACTCTAAATGCTCCCTTAAACACAAATGGAAGAGCTTAAATAAAGGTAAGGGTTATGTGACCTATATCTTCTACAAGGAAGTTATTAATTGGACCATACTTTCCAATGTGGATGATTTACATCTTCAAAGAAAAAGTATATTATTGGTCGGCTCAAAGTGTACCATTCTAGCTCTCGCTTATTGAATTTTATCTTCACTCGCTGGATCCATGTCCTGGAATATATCATACCGGCGCAACAATTGGAGTGGTCACCATTTTATCTCGTTGATCATCTTCATATATCACTACCTGCATGTCTATCTGTGTTAGCTACTTATCTGGAGCAATGGCATTATTGTTCTGCCACCTTTGAGCTTTCTATGTATCCCATTTACCCTGTGGTATTTTACTGGGCTCTTGTCTAGCTGTCATTGTTTCCTGTCCTGGCTGACTACCAGGAAGCGAATACAATTTTTACTTGGATACCTATGTTCATGTATCAGAAGTTATCCTAATATTTGCCTTGTATCAAAAGAAAGAGATTGCAATCAGGTCATCTTTCTTGTTGACCTCTCTCTCTCATCGGCAATGTTGTCAGATATGGCTTCATGTTGTTGTACTTACTTTGAAACCAGCTGATTTCCTTATGCGGATGATTTTCAGTGTGATTTAAACAAGATACTGTGAATCAGTTTTGTATCCTAGGAATCTGTTTTTTTGGGCATCTGGGTCATGAAAATGATTGCACCTTATTTTTATGGTACAGAATTAGCGTGTGAAAGGGAATGCAGTAGAGGTGAAGATTACCGCTTGATCAAGTTAACCATATCTGATTACTCTGTAAGATACATGAGTTCCATTCATCATATCTTATTTATTTCGTCATTCTCAGTCTCCCTGTTCTTATTCCAAATAAGCTCCTGAAATGTAGAGCAACAAAGAAGAGGTCGTCGTTGTGGAGTGCAGAGGGCATGACGCTGCTAGATTCCGTAGCATTGATAATGCCAATGGGTATGTCCTTTTTTAAAAAATTGATGTTGAGAGATATAATAAATTGGGGATGTAGCTCAGATGGTAGAGCGCTCGCTTAGCATGCGAGAGGTACGGGGATCGATACCCCGCATCTCCATTTCTCATCGGGATTTTTTTAGATTGATATTAAGACCTAATGCAGGTAGCATATTTTGTGAGAGGGTGTATGATAGTTAGTATCTCCAACCAGGTAGTATGGACGAGAAGCCACTGAAAGAGGCCGTTCCTCTGTTCTTGCTCATCATCAAAGTGAGCTGCACAAAAACATTATTTAGAGAATCAGAAAACCCTCGCATTAGCCGACATTTGGGCCTCTTTTCGTCTATAAAATGGGCTCTTTCTACAATCCTAACCCCGACCAGAACCAGGGATGGAGTTTATCACACATGGATCATATTCAGGGTTCTGAACAAGATTTACTTCAGTCAATCGTTCTCTGTGTTGGATACGATTGTTGTCTGGCTACCATGCCAAGGTCTATGCCTGATCTACGTCAGCTTCCTCTGCACTGACGCAGGTGGGGAGAGGACGTCGCGGAGATGGTCGAACAGAAGCATGGGAAGCAGAAGATCTCAGTTTCTTTTGAGTGCGAGACCTTGAAGGCGGAGAGTGCGGCTGAAGAACACGTCAGGAGGTTCATGCCCAAAATATCCGGACTCGACGCCGTTGGTAGGTCAACCAGTCAGCGTTGATTCTTATTTGCCTTGTTTTAATCGGTAATCTCTTTTGTGTTAAGGAGAAGAAACTGGAAGTCAAACCTCTTCAAAACCCTCCATTATCACATCTGAGTTCATCATCGGATATTCTGGATATGTGCTGAATAAGCAAAGGAAACTTTATTCGTGATAAATTTTCCAAAGTTTCCAGGCTCTCATTGTTCTAGTGAAAATGCAGTGAATGTGGGTCGCATGAGCATTTCTGGCCTCAGTTTTCAGGTGGACCAACCATATGAAGAGCAGAGCTCACAGCGCAGGTATTATCATCTGCCCTACGCCCCCATTTAATCTAGTCCCACTGCCGTGTATTTGTCGTAGCCTTTTCATCTCCCCTGGTAACTCCAATGGAACAGGTTGGAAGAGGCCGCGCCGACCGTCTGAGTCAACGCTGACTCCGGGTATGTTCATATTAACTTTACCTAGTTCTTGCTGTTCATGGATCCAATCACCTAGTTGGAAGTATGGCAACTTAGAATCTCAATCATATTCCCCCCCCCCCCCCCCCGGTCCTCTCTCTCTCTCTCTCTCTCTCCCTCTCTCTTGTCGTAAAGCTCACATATCTAGAGAGAGACAGACAGACAGAGACCTACCGAGGCATCAGCTGCCGTCCATATTTACATATTCCTAAATTATATTTTTTATCGGAAAATACCTGGAAATACATTATTTTTTACTAATTACTGAGATGCGAGCATGTCTCATATTTGCATATTCCAAAATTATAACTCTTTTATTGGAAAATAGATGGTAATATATTATCTTGTGATAACTACTGTAACATGCAGCACGATCCACATTTACATATTCCGAAGTCATCTCTTTTAGTGGAAAATACATGGAAATAAATTATTTTTTACTAATTATTGAAACATCCAGCACGTCCTATATTTACATATTCCTAAATTATAACTCCTTTATCGGAAAATACATGGTAATTTATTATCTTATAATAACCACTTTAACATGCAGTACGATCTATATTTACATATTCCTAAATTTCAACTTTTTTATTGGAAAATGCATGGAAACACATTATTTTTATTACTAATTGCTGAGACATGTAACACGTCCCATATTTACATATTCCTAAATCATAACTCTTTTATTGGAAATACATGGGAATAAATTATCTTTTACCCATTATTGAGACATGTGCACCGTACCATATTTACATATTCCGAAATCATCTATTTTATTTAGGAAAATACATTATTTTTTACGAATTATTGAGACATCCAGCACGTCCCCTGTTTACATATTCCCATATCATAACTCTTTTCTTGGAAATAAATGGGAATGTACTATTTTTTACCCATCACTGAGACATGCACACCTCGCTATATTTGTAAATTCCGAAATCATATCTTTTTTATTGCAGAATACATGTAAGATATACTATTTTCTCTTACCGCCAGTTGCAACATGAGGTGGAACGTTAAGGGGTCGCCTCGTGGATGAACTGCGTGAAGTGGGGGCTACGGTAGGCCTCCTGGAGGAGCTCCTCGTCGGGGCTGGCCTCGCGGTAGCCTTCGAGATCAGCGTTGGCGTTCATGTGCGCGTTGAGCACGAGCTCCTTTCGCCACTCCTCCAGGCGCGGGAACTCGCAGTAGTCGCCGTACCTGTCACAGTACTACGGTGGCGGCGCCGCGGAGAGCCCCCCTTCAGCGGCGGCGCCGCCAGCCATGAAATGACAAGAGAGGAAAGGGAAGAAGCCATGCGCACCTCGAAGTCGGCGATGTCGTGGGTCCAACGGTCTGGTACGCCGGCTTCTCGCAGGGACTGGTAGAACTCTTCGGCGGACCTCATCATCTCCTCCGGCGACGGCAGGTTTCGCCGGCCGGAGAGCACCTGGGCTATCCACCTCGCCTGCGCCTCGAAGAACGGGAATCCGATGACCTACAGCTCCCAAAATCCCGGAGTCAATCTCAACCTCGTAGACGATTAATCGAGAGAAACGGGATGTTTTTTGTAATGACCTTCCGGGGGATGCCAACGAAGGAGAGGGAGGGAGCGAGGGAGGGGGGGAAGGTGTGCTCAAAGAGCGGTCCCACCCTGTCGCCGTCGCCTTCGACGCCGACGAACCCGCCGCCGTCAAGGAACGGCAGGGAGTAGGAGTAGCCGGTGCAGTAGATGACGGCGTCCGCCGCCACCCAACCGCCGTCCTTAAACTCCACCTTCCCGCCCTCACCAAGGGACTCCACCTATTACATGGCTTCCACTCGACTCAATACCCCTAGAGAGAGAGAGAGAGAGAGAGAGAGAGAGAGAGAGAGAGAGGGACCTGGGGGTGGAGATGGAGATTGGGGTGGGCGGCGAGGAGTTTGGAGAGGGCGGGGGAGACGGACAGAGACTTGGCGCTGAGGTGGACCTCCTTGGCGATGTCGAGGAGCTCTATGGCGATGTCGCGGCCGCTGTAGGAGACCCCCAGCAGCACCACCACCTTTGAAGAACCGCAAGTTATCATTTTGCTCTCGAGGAATTCATGGAGATGTTTAAACATATACCTGATCACGGAAGGGGTCGGGAACCCTGTACACGTGGGAATGCAGCTGGGTCCTCTTCCAGACCTCCATTCCTGGTGCAAGCACAGCCTTATTTAGAGAGAGAGAGAGATAGAGAGAGAGAGAGGGCAGGGAGACCTCTAATGGTGGGCAGCCTGGGCTGCGAGTAGTGACCCGTGGCGATGACCACAGCGTCGAAGACCTCCTCCGTCTCCTTCTCGCTCCCCTCCTCCTTGGACTTCACCACCCACTTCAACGCGCCGCCGCCGTCGCAGTCGCCGTCGCCGGCGGCCATTCCCACGTAGGAAACTCTGGTGTTGAACCTCACCGTCTCCCGCAGCTGGAACCTCTCGCAGAAGTCCAGGAGATACAGAAAGATTTCCCGGTGGCCGGGGAACCGGCGGCCGTCCCTGTCCTTGCGGACCAGGAAGGGGAAGTCGGTGAAGCCTATGGTCTCCCTCGGCTCCAACACGCGGAGGGAGGCGTAAACGCTGCTGTGGACCCGCGGCGGCGCCGCCCTCCCGAGGGGGTCTTCACCGGCGACTTTCCCGTCGTAGAGCCACTGCCCTCCTACGTCGCCCTTCTGCTCGAGAACGACGACGGCGTGGCCCTCCTTGCGGAGCTCCCTTGCCGCCACCAGCCCCGAAGGGCCGGCCCCCACCACGCAGATGCGGCAGGCTCGGAGAGATCTCCCGGAAACCATGGCAGCGAGGGAGAGGAGACGGCCAGCCTGGTGTCGGTGGCTCCGTATAAGAAGCGCCCGGCCAGGGAAACCGTGGTAATTCCCTCCATACCCCCACTCCCCCCCACACCGTAAGAGAGAGAGCGAGAGCGAGAGAGAGAGAGAGAGAGAGAGAGAGAGAGAGAGAGAGAGAGAGAGAGAGAGAGAGAGAGAGAGAGAGAGAGAGAGAGAGGGAGAGAGAGGGAGAGAGATTCATAATTTCATGTGGGACCGATCATTATCCCTCTAGCATGTGAGACTGGTGAATTTTTTTTTGGAAGGGATCAAAGAGAGACTTAAAAGCTTTTAGCTCTTGATCTTACAACCCATTAAATTGTTGTGGCCAAGATATGCATCGTCACTAATAATTTAAATACCTTGGTCAACGTGAGGGTAGATCATATCTAAGAGTCTCATCATTGAAGAAAAATTAGGTAACTTGGAGGTGCGTCAAATAGACCGGAACGGCAGCCCGAGGGATGAAGCAAAAAACGAGTGTACAGGGGCTGAACAGCTGAGACAACGAGAGAGAGTCAGCAGAATGCGGTGGAAGGTATTCGAATGGGGATCCCATGCGGTGACTAAGAAACAAAATTACGTCCGTCCAGTAGTGCAGTGAGAAGTGCGCTTCCACCCGACAAACTTCGAGGTGCAGATAAGAAATATGTGGTGTATACTGGCTGTTTAATCACACCTGCCTGTTGCCCCTTAATAGAAAAGACACCATTGCTCTCTCTCTCTCTCTCTCTCTCCCTCTCTCTCCCTCCCTCTCTCTCTCCACTGTCTTTATCTAGTTGTATTTATATAGTAATCAACTTGAGATGGGCTTAATATTAAATGTAATCATTAAGCCCGTGAAAGGTATTGCCAAAAGGGAAGAAAAAAAAAGAGGTGGACGGTTTTTCTAATGGATGAAGTTTAAATAAAATAAAAGGCCCTCATCTCTCTCCCCCTCTCCTTCTATCGTCTCTCTCTACGTGTGTATATATATAAAGGTAGCAATAATTCGAAGAATATTGTATGATTCGGAAGAAATCCATTTTATTTATGTTTCCTATGTTCCCGTCGTCTCGACTGGCAGCCGGGGAAAATGGGGACCCGCCGTGATGACACGTTGGCCCACTCGGGTCTATTCGGCGCGGGCTGGAGCCAAGGGAGAGCAAGAGATGGACGGTGATCCAAAGTCGAGGGAGCAGAGGATTCGGACACGTGTTGGAGAGTGCTTGACAGAGAAAGTTCGCTGCACCTTCAAGAGACTGACGGATAGCTAGACGTATCTATTCCCCCCTCTTCGTATGTTGGGAGAGGGAGATGGAAACTCATGTAGAGATCGATGGGCATAGAGAAAGAGAGAGAGAGAGAGAGAGAAAGAGGGAGGGAGGGAGAATGAGAGGCTGATATGTAGATTCATAGGCGTAGAGAGAGCTGGGGAGAGAGAGGGATAATAATGCATGCATGGGTAATTATAGAGAGAGAATCAATGAATGGAAAGGTTTATATGCGCGGAGGGAGAAGGGTCTCACTATCATATTTCACTCTCTTTCATATGACTCTCCATCGTGAGAGGCTCTTCTCTCCCTCGTAGACGTCTCTATCTCTCTCTTCCACATATGGCTTACGTACATCTCCACTCTTTTATTTTCGGCTCTCCAAATCTCCATCTCTCTCTCTCTCTCTCCCTCTCTCTCTCTCCCTCTCTCTCCCTCTCTCTCTCTCCCTCTCTCTCCCTCTCTCTCTCCCCCCCTCTCTCTCCCTCTCTCTCTCTCCCCCTCTCTCTCTCTCCCTCTCCGTCTCTCTCTCTCTCCCTCTCTCTCTCTCTTTCTCCCCCCCTCTCTCTCTCACTTTAATCTCGAGAGTTGACTTTGCTAGAACTATGAATCCAGTCAAAAGAGTTGACTTCAGTTCTTGAATGAGCCTAACAAAAGCTGGCAAATACATGGTTCCTATCCTACAATTTCCTTGGGTGCGAAAGCAGTTGGTTTATCAAAATAGTTAATAAAGGTCTAAAACAGTGTGCATCCCCTCCCTCTTGGTTCTTTCGGTTCACTTGGAATCAACTCTCCACATGCCACTTCAATGATTTTGTAATCCTCTATGGAATTAGGTGTTGTGTAATTAAAATGGGTTTAGTTTATTAATCAATATTTTCCATTTATTTGTATAAGTTTTTTAGCATGAGAATAGATGTTTTTTTATCCACCATCTACGTGAAGGAATGGAAGGCATGATGCTTCTCCTAACTTGGAAGGCTACCAATATTTAGTGTATTATTATTATTATTATTTGTTAAAATTATGCCCTTTTAACCTTCTATGGATTTGTCATAACAAAGCAGATATCTACTAATATAATTTCATAGATTTTTTAATAGAATGATTATGAAAAATACAATAGAAAGCAGTTTATTTAGTCCCACACAAAAGTAATGCCAAATTCTCACTAGGCATATAAACTCTTTACGACACTCATTGCAAAACCTATGATATGTGCCTTGATAGAAAGACATAAGTGAGATGGACAAGTGTCAAGTCTATAACTAGGACTAGATTATGTGTGTGCATGTGTGTGTGTGTGTGTGTGTGTGTGAGAGAGAGAGAGAGAGAGAGAGAGAGAGAGAGAGTTTAAGGGTTTGAAGGGTAAGAAGATATTAAGACAAAACCCGCTTAGGACCAAAAGGGTGGCAAAACCTGAATGTGAAGCCTATGCTTTGTGGGAGGAGATGAAGAGCATATGTTAGAGATTCGAGACAGTCTTAGCCAACCAAAAGGGGGGAAAATTCTCATACGGAAAATCTACTTCATGTAGAGAGAGGAAGATCATGTAGTGGAACTCAGATAGTCTTAGGGCCCAAAGGTAAGAAGATCTTGAGAGAGAAACCTCCGCTGCATCTAGAGAAAGGCAAATCATGAAATAAAGGTTGGATAAAATCTTCATAGAGAAACCAACACTTGATGGAGAGAGAGAGAGAGAGCATAAGAGGATGAGAGAGAAATCTCAACTCCATGTAGAGGGTCACTTGGTCTCAACAGTGGTTGGGTCTTTTAATCGGTATTTTCAGAATATTTTTCATAAGTTGTATCATAATATTACAAACATAGGCCACAAGTATATTTTTATTTAGTTATATTTCTTTAGTAATTTTTTATTATCATTCTAAACGATTTTAATTAGATTCCTCCCTGAAAAATAAATAGAACTATGACCATCACGTAGAGTGTGCATAAATAATTTAGAGCCATTGTCTCCTAATACTAGTCCTTTCAAATTAATTTAATATAAACATGGCACGTTTGTATTAATGCAGCTATGGTTTGCCACAACTTCATCTCTCTAGCCCTTCATCTTGCTTCTATCTCATGCCCTTCAAGAGCCTCAAGCAAACCTCAATGGGATTACTTCTTCAGATTCCCTAGGAACTCTTTACTTACAAGCTTGACTTATTTGTCTCTGTAGATTCAATTCAAATCACCAAGCTATGTTTATATCCCTTCTTGTGATCTAGTTCTTATTGTGAATTGAAGATTTCTTGTTGATGGGGATAAGATCGAGCACATTATTGATTTCAGGTTCAATTTCAAAGCCCAAAGAAACCTAACTTGACAGAGTTTCCACTTCATATGCATCTTGCTTTTGACTCAGTGGTACCACCCATCCAAGTCATGCATATCCACACATTCACATGCCTCCATGCTTGTTGTGCATGTTTGCATGAACTGCCATGCATATCTTTGCACATCATCTTGTGCCAACAAACCCTTCACACACTTGCATAAGTTTATTGTAGCATGTGGTGTGCTCATATTGATGGTGCAGTTTCAATCTACATTGGTAACTTAATAAAAGTTGTGGAAAAAAATTAAAATTGAGCCTTAAATTCAACAAACACATATCTAGAGTATGAAAAGAATGAAAGTCAAACATTGAATCCACAAGGTATAGTTTTTCTTAATCCTTAAATCTACATGGCTGATTGGGTTTGACTAGGATGACTCTTGAATCATCAAGCATAAAAGATATGCCTTAGAATCTATGAGGATTGATTTGAACAATCACCTGATCCACAAGAGTTGCTTGAATCAAACTGGAAACTTTTTCAAATAGATGAAAATTTGTAATAACTAAGATGCATATAAGATTACAACATATATTCGATTGGGACATCCCTAAAAAGGTAAAATAATTAGAAAAGTGATTTAAAATAAACTTAAAGTGGCATAACATGAATTTAAAATATATAAATAGTGAAAAAAATAAACACTAATCTCTGATGTATTTCTCATGCATTTTATTTTAAGTGGCATTTTCCTAATTTTTCATGAGTTTATATCATAATATTACAGATATATGCCATAAATATATGTTTTTATAGTTCCATTTTTCAGTAGCAGTGAAACTTTTTGATCAGATTTTTCCCTGAAAAATGAGTAGAATTGTGACGCATCATGCGGAATGTATATAAATAATTTTTGAAAAAAAAGTACACGTGGCGCAGTAGTATTAATGCCGGCCCTCGTTTTTCGCAACGTTATCGTTCTACTAGCTCTTCGTCTTGCTCCTGCGCCGGAGATCGCAGGCTGAAGGAAGGGGACGCTGCCAAGGGAGGGCGGGAGGAGGCACGATGCTCTCCTCTTCATCCCTCCATCTCCTCGCGCCGCCGCCTCACCGCTACCCCGCCGCCGTAGGCTATGGGAAGGCCGCCGGACGTCGCAGCAGAGTAAGAGCGGGGACCTCCCGGGAGGAAAATCCCGGAGCTCTCTCCCCCTCGCCGGCAGCGCCGCCGTCCTCTTCCCTATCTCAACATCGAGTTCCTCGGAGGTCGATTTCTCTGGCGGGTTCCGCTGCCCTACTTCTCTGGTCCCTCCCAGGTATTCTTACCCTTCTTCTCGGCTCCTCCGGCGAGAAACCCTAGCGTAGGATCTCCGGTCCTTTTGTTTGCCTCGTTGTGTTCTTCACGGCGATGGAGGATTGATAACCCAAGGTCTCCTGTGGTGGCAGCTTGCGCTGGAGTTCTATCGGGGTTCCCCGGACTGGAGTCCGTGCCGGGGCCCGAGCTTCCTCAGATCGACTTCCTCAACCGGTGGAATGGTTCCGATTCCAACACTGGCTTGGAGGATTTATGCGGTTGATAATGTTCGTCTTAGGGCGCCGAGTTTCTAGATCGATGAATTCCTCCGCTCCCTTCCCCCTTTTGCAGAAGAAAAACGGAAGAAGTACGAAGAGCTGGACTCGAGGTTTCGATCGTCTTCCGTGCTGAAAGAGCTGCTAGAGAAATCTAAGCAGAACAAGGACAGGTCTCAATTCTCTCCTCAACCTATTTACGAATCCAAACACATATTTCCTGCCATGGAATGTAAAATCATCATCTAACTGGAAGAATGTTCATGAACTAGAGTGCTCATATCTTTCTTGGGTCTCTGAGTCTTGTGCATGTCGGGGATTTCCACCATCAGTTCTTCGGATTCCCTAGGGACGCTTTATCTGCAAGCTTGATCTGTTTATCTCTCTAGATTCAACTCAAATCGGCAAGCTTTGTTTCTACACCACCTTCCTGTGATCAGAACATTGGATCAATCTTTCATCCATGAAGGGATAGGAAAGATATTCGATGAAATATCTGAAATCTCATCCAAACATCAGTTCCTGACAGGATCTAGTTCTTGTCGTGGAGAATTCTCATCTTCTGCTACAACTCATGGATAGAGGAGCTCTTGTCATTGATTTCCTCCCGGCCTGGCACAGAATCTGCCCTAGAGATGAACCCAGAAGGCTTCCTAGTAGTCACACCATTTGTGATCTGTGCTTTCTGCTGTGATGATTTCAGGAACAAGAGGGCGATTCAGGATAAGTACTGTATCCGTGGCGCCGAGTGGGGCGTCGGCGACTGTTCGACTGATGGGATGACACAGGACGAGAAGGACGCATTCATCAAGGAGTTGAAGAAGAGGAGTGGAGTCGAGTGAAGCAGGTTCGATTCATGCAACCATGGGGCAATCTGAATTGACTCACCTGATTCAATCCAGGCAAGAGTCAACAGGGCTCGATCAGGCCACATCTGAGTATTTTTCTGCATGATTTTGTGCATCATTTTTTCTTTCGATTCTGATTTTTTATCCCATTTAAGAGCCGGATGCCGTAGTTGGCAAAGTGAGATGTGAAATGGATTAACAAAAATTATAAAAAGTAAATTTTTTTTTCCAGAAGAGGTGATTTATGTGAATGACAGAAACCTGCGTTTTCTTAAGAAATTATGATATAATGCATCGAACATGGGAGGAAGCTGCTCCTTTTTGAAAGAATATGGGACCCATGATAACATTCGGATCAGTTGCCTCCTTTGCACCACTAATATATCAGGGGACAAAGTCTCTACAGCCCGTTGACTTACAGGGATTTTTAATCCAGCAGCCGCAGCAGGTACTGCACTTGGACCTCCTTGGTCAACGGCATGATCCATTCTCCATAAAGCTGAGCGACTAAGCTGGGTTCAATCTTGTAGACGGGAGGGTTCCCATCACTTTTCCCGACGTAATCCTGCCCGAAGACCCTCGCCTTCATTTCCACCCTTTCCTTGATCGCCGATTCAACGGTCTCATATGTCAGCAGTTGCAATATCAGATCTCTATCCTGCAGAGTCAACAAGAGGAAATTCTTCAGAAATTCTTCAAGAGATATCTCCTTTACAGAGCTCTAGGTCCATCTACAGGAGTTTACCTGAGCCCGTATGGCAGATTCGAACAGTTCCGGAGAAGCCCGATACTTCGCCTCTGCCACGAATTTCCCGTAGTGTATCCTCTTTGAGAGAGCCTGTGAGAGGAAGAATGCCGCTCAGAAGGCTAGAAATAGTGTATGAGGGAGAGAGTAGAGGTTGACCATAAACCAGAAATGTTGCACCTGGCCCCGTTGACCCCACTACATATAAGTCAACGGTAAGTGTGAGTAGAATTTGTTAAGGAGGAAGTGCACCTGCAAGCAGATTGTGTCACAAACAGCACTCGAGCCGCAGTTGCCATCGCTCCCACCCTTGACCAATTGGGGGAGAAGGCTGCCAAAGTACATGCCCCAGATCTTCTTATTTATGTTGATGGAGTTGGCAATCGGATGCAGAACCTGGTACAGCACCACAAGAGCATGAGCAATGTGAAAACTGGAGTGGCGATATTGGCTCAATCATGGTGTTTATCTCCGCAAATTCTTGTACATTATTTAGAAAAAAAAAAATTAAAACAAAAAAGAAAATAATAACACACGTCAATTCAGAGAGTACCCACTTTCGAGGGTCTCTTGGAATCAACAGATTCAATTCAGAGAGTCCAAAGTCATTTGCTGCAAAATCACTATGAAACATTCATCAGATGATTCCTACCGAATTATATGTCATTCAAAAGAAAATCCGTGTACTCTTTAAAATCCAATATCATACCAAAGTATAACCTAGATATGTGCACAAACTCCGTGCATAACACTAGTCAGTCAAACACTTTGATTGGACAAATTGGTTGTAACCTCGATTCCAATGAGAATCCGCAAGAAGTTTATGACTTAGAGCAAGCATCAGGTGTGCTTGTTTTTGAGTAGAGGAAATTTCCCAATCATTTGCTGCCAGTCACACCAGTCATCAATCTGTCGAAGCCTCTCTTTGGTGTGAAAACTTAACAGTCAATAATATCACCATTCTGAAAAAATGGTTTCTGGCATGATCAAACTGGGACTTTTCACATCTCATGCTGCGGACAGTTGAGACCATTCAGAAGAATTTAGCAGTTAATGCTGCAAGTATGAGATGTGTTCCATTGACATAGACCGCAGAATAGATAGATCAAATAGGTCAAGCAGCAGCAGCAGCATTAATATTACCCTCATCTTGATTGGAAATCGGTCTATGCTAATAATAAACCTATGCTATACTTAACTTATCCAACCACGAGTGATCGTCATCCAGAGTCAGCGAGCTAGAAGAACAGGCAATTGGCTCTTAGATTAGGAATTTCGGTACTTTCATTCTGGAGGAACCATCGAACCATTCATACTCGATCAAAGAAGACTACTAACAACACATAATACATTCGTGATTAAAAATCAAATTCAAAGGAATCAATTTTTTGCATAATTTTCTAGAAACCAACAATAAGCTGAGATAACTCTTTTCAGTTTGAAAACTGTGACAGAAAAATCCAACTTGATAATCTTACTAGTAAAGTCTCAATGTGATGATAAGTCTGTCAAACTTTCTCTAGCAAAACAGTACTAGTCAGTGATGGGGCCCCTCGCTCCCTTTAAGCTGTTGCTTGTGAAGACAATTGTTCCTAAAGGATTACATCACATTCTCAAGTAGGCAGAAAAAAGGTTAATGAACTGGGCTCCCTAAATTGTTAATCATCATTAAGAAACTTTCTAATAAACCTAGGTTTCCACTGCAACTGAAGACAGTGTCAACCGTGGGCACGGCAGAATTTGTTGGTTGCCAGTCGATAGTCAACAGTAAAATTTCTGAAAGTTCTCCAAACGAGGACCAAGACAAAGAGGATGATTCATTTGCAGGATAAGTCTTCCTGAGGATGTACGATTATGTTGGTGGCAGTAAATAATGACAATAATTATCTCATGACGAGCACAGTTGATCAAAATTTTATTGCAAGAAAATCTGTGTGGTCAGTTATCAACCACCGTTTGTTTTTCGTAATCATTTCCAATACCAATGACCATAAAAAAAAACGTATTTCCAAGCCGTATTCAATATTTTCCTCATCCAAACTGTTGTGAATACCACCAAATTATTAGTTAAGATTCCTACGACACCCAGAATTCTGCAAATATTAAATAAATTTCTTTTCATATAAGCGACAGACAACAATTTTTAATTTACAACAAAAATTACCATTAAAAACAATGTTTAACAAGATAAATGCATCGACAAAAAGATACATGGAGGGCAGAGAGAGACAGATTTAAAATTCCACTGATGCAATCTAGTGGGGCTGTGTCAACCTTTGGGTACTGCATGGGTGGCAACATAGGCTCAGGAAGATTCTCCACGAAGAAAGGATGCTCATCTGGGCTCTTGTATCTGCCTACCTGTGGCAAACAAAGTAAACATTATCCAATAAAGCCGTAACTATCTCTATTGTCTCCGGTTGTGGTTTTCTTTCAAAGAGTTACATACCTGAGCATGAAGCCTTTCTGTTTCGCGAACCATAAATTCAACCAAGGAGCCTTGGAAACCATCCATGTAGAACACATTGTGATTGTATGTATCGGGGTTATAGCGGTATTGAGCCCTCTCAAGGAGGCTAAATATTATGCTATCTTCCTGCCGAATCAAAGAGTGCCTAATGCTGTCTAGAGTCAAACTTTGACTCTCATCCACTCTCTTCTTCTCTAATCTGTGAGGAGAAGAGAGCACTTGAGATATTAGTAAATGAACATGATGATATATGCATCTTCATTGACAAGTGAATGTACACTCGTCTACAGGAAAAGCACCATTGCCCTAAAATTGTGCCCCATTAGGTGAAAACATGCCAGTGAAGTTGAACATGCAGAAGTCTTATAAACAACGGAATCAGCAAATTGCATGCTGCCGAAAATAACAGACAGCCAAAATGGAACCCAGGGCCAGATTTAGAACTGAGTATTCCCCTCTTGCAAGAAATCTTTAACATTTTAAGCTCGTCGGTCTATTTCATCTATGAACATACTTTCATCTGCGCCATAGAAAAGCAGCCATTCGTAAAGTTCAGGTGCCTGATGGAAAAGCAGTGGCATCTAGGATTACCAACCCGGTAAAGTCATATACAATGAAATCCATACGCTTGTGAGAAGACAGCTTTTGAAAAATGAAATTAAAGATTAAAATTGCAATTTCGAAATATCCCAAGACTTGTTTGATGTAGGGTTGTAGTCCACTGAAAACTTGTACGATGTATTATTTGATGATTTCCGTCGAAAGATGAACTAAAAAACATACGATTAAGCATGATGCAACCTATAGGATCTAATTATGCTCTTCATTCACACTTTAACAAGTAAAGATGAAGAGGCTACATAAAAAGACGCGGGAAAGGTTTTAGAAAAACTGGGAGTGAAGGGGAATGTTCGAGACTACAGTAAACACGGCAATGAGCTGTAAGATTCCAAGACGTCCCGAATTCATCCAAGAAAATTTGGGATATAAATCATTTCGGAACGTAGAACGGACATATAGATAGTGTATCGATAACATGCCATGTAAACGCCATGAAAAAATAAAAATAATCTTTATGGCTGCTAGGTGCAAGAGTCAAATACAGAGAGCGCAAGATTCCGTACGAGCACGAAGAAGACTTTATGGCTCAAAAAATATGCTCACGATTATCCATCAACTCGGACAATACACCACGACTTCGGAAATGAGAGAAAAATAATTGCAACGTGGAGGGCGTTAGTAGAGCCATTAAAACAAAAATAAAACGCCAACAACAAATATATATCTTCATCGGGTCATTCTCGTCCGACCAAAATGTGACCAACGTGGATCTCGGAGGAAAATTTCGAATCAGATACCCCAAATCTTCCAAATAGTCAAAAAAGGCAATCATCTAAATCGAGCGAACGGCAGTCTCGAACTAAGCCGGAGCCTCTAACAGACAACCGGCTCAAAATCGTTACAAAGAGCCGGCAGCGACGAGCAGACAGAAACAGAGAGACGTCAGAGAGCCTATTACCTCGTACAAGCACTAGAGGGTTTCTGGACTGACTGCATCCGCCGGTCCACCTCGGCAGTGACCAGCAACCTTCGTGGGATCCTCTGCTCTGCTCGGACGGGGAGGAGCCTCCAGACCACCGGAATTCCGGACAGGCGAGGGGCCAAATTGCAGGGAGAGGGCTTCACAAGCTTCATCTCCATGGCCGCCGGGGAACCCGGAGATCTGGCCTCGGGGGTGGTTGGTGTTGGACGCCCTATGGTTGCCACTGACCTTTTCATAGATAGTGAGGGAGGGCAGGGGGCGGGGTAGGTGCGGTAAGAAGACATGCGTATCATCAGCATCCACATCACAGAGAAAGTTAGCATTCATATTTTCTATTTGTACTTTTCAGTACCATAAAATATTGAAATTTTCTTTCTCCCCCCAGACATACAGAATATTCTTGATTATACTCTCTCTCTCTCTCTCAGTCGTCCAAAAGCCAATATTAGATTGTTAATCAGGGCAATTAAAATAAAATAATTAAATATACTATTTTAAAATTGTTTCCAAGGAGCGAAGCCAGAATAACTTTTTTTATCTAAAAACATAGTAATATATATTCCCGTATTATTTAATCACGTCGTAGGTTCTGAAAGTCGCCAAAGAAAAAACGACATTCTAGAGAGAGAGAGAGAGAGAGTCGGCTTACACGGTTAGTAATCACATGGTGAACCCAGTCTCTTCGGCCCGTTTTCAGGTTTGGGGCCTATAAAAAAGAGGCCGTGACCAAAAGAGGTGTTGGGCTTCATTATTAACACATTGGCCCAAGCCCCATTATAGCTCAATCTGGACCATAAGGCGTGGCCCATTAACAGGCCCAGGCCGTAGAAAAGAATACTCATAAATTTTCCATTTATAAATAAGATCCCATTTAAATAAATAATTACCAATATTGAGCTATCCTTAAAATGCGAGCATATTGAGGCACTATGTTGGAAGAAATTTATTAGGAATCTTGAAATGCGCCAAGTCAGCAAACTGTAAGTATTGACGCGTGTTGGATTCCTCGCTTCGATGTCTCTGGGGCCAAAGAAGCGTACGATCGACGCAAGTTGTTGGCATCCCCTTGTCCACCGAAAGGGAATCTGACGGCCAGGATTAGGTGCGGACGTGAACCCGGATTTTAGTGCGGATTGGTGAAACCCAGGCTCCGGGTGAGGAGTCCGCCAGGCTCTCCAACTGTTGATTCGCGCTTAAAGTTGGTCCCCCTTCCTAGCCCCCACACCCCTTCCCGGTCCGGCAACACAACCAGGTGACATACACTGTCTCTCTCTCGCTCTCGATCACGTTCGATCGCTTGTTCTCTCGCTCTCTATCTTGTTCAATCGCTTGTTATCTATCGGTTGATGTATTGATCATTTGGGTTATCAAATTGCTGGGATCAACATCGAGCAAGGTTCGGGGGAGTTGATCGCTGGGATTTTTTGTTTTCTTCCTGCAGGCGTCACCATGTCGGACGAGGAGCATCACTTCGAGTCGAAGGCTGATGCCGGGGCCTCGAAGACCTACCCCCAGCAGGCCGGGACGATCCGGAAGAACGGGTACATCGTCATTAAGGCGAGGCCCTGCAAGGTTCGTCTTCGATCTATGCGGTGCTTGGTCTCGCGTACTTTTTGATTTGGATGTGGTTTATCTGCGTTTGATCACGGGTCGTCGGGGCGGGGTTGCGATCGGACGTTACATTTGATTGTCATATTGTTGCTGCTGAGAGGGACTGATCCGTTTTACATCTTGCTAGATGTATGTGCTTCTCATTGATTTCCATGTGCACGTGTGTATTTTTTTAACTGGTTGCTTTGTTCCTTTTTATTGAGTTCTGTGACCAATCGAACCAATAACCTGAACCAAAAATTTATCTGGCTGACTTTGTGCGTGACATACATTTTGTCTGCTGGTTGATAGTGCACATCATTTTGATTTTACTCTCAGATATTACTTTTGCCATTCTATCAATAGGACATGCCTTGGACTTGATGTCTCCGATGACATAGCCGTTGATCTATCGATCGATTGGACATTCTAGTGAGTTCGTGAATTCTATGAAAACATTTTTTTTGCCATAAAAGCAGAATGGAACGTCATGAAGAATTCTTAATGCAATCTCTGTCACTCATCGACGGTAAAATATAATCTGTGGCATTTTTCTGTGGATGACAGACTTTTTCCCCGAAGTTTTGAAGTTTTTTCTTTCACGTCAACCCTGGGAAGGCGTACATTCATTTATATTTGCGTTGGAATTTATTGTCTAAAATTTGTGTGGATTTTTTTTTAATTTCCAGATTGGCGATCATATTGTTTATAGTTTTTTTTTTTGTTAATGCATTCTTTTTATATTGGAAACGCTTTTTCTAATGAACATAAACATATTTTCCGAATGGCAGTCCATTTTATTTCCCTCTCTTCTTGTTACTTAATTCATTGCATGCAAGGGAAAAGCTGGATGGCAGTCGTTCTAGGCTAGACATTATTAGATGCAAATTGTGTTTTTGAATTTCTTCACTTTTAGACTTTTGATCAATGATCCCTCATGTCCCTACTTTCGTCATTATTTCAACCTTCGTAGTGATTATTTATTTTATTTTTTTAATTTCCTTCATAGGTTGTTGAGGTTTCAACATCCAAGACTGGAAAGCACGGCCATGCAAAATGTCACTTTGTTGCTATTGATATCTTCAATGGGAAGAAGCTGGAGGATATTGTGCCCTCCTCCCATAACTGTGACGTAAGGATGTTCTTCTTAGCTATCTGTGGCTTCCCGGAACTGGGCTACATTATCTGTCCTTGGGCATTAACTGGGTATTGTCTTTACCAGGTTCCCCATGTTAACCGCACGGACTATCAGCTGATTGATATCTCTGAAGACGGATTTGTACGTAGAGATGTTTTCTAATGTTAAACACACATTTACAGTTTGCGGTTTTCTTTTAACAAGCTATTCTGCAGGTGAGTCTGCTCACCGAAAATGGGAGCACCAAAGATGATCTGAGACTCCCGACTGATGAACCACTGCTTTCCCAGGCACGTTCTCTGGGTCTTATCTTTAAAGTTAATAATTAAGCCTGAATGACTTTGACTTGGACTTTTTCTCTGTGGCCGCAATGTCCGGTATGCAATGTGGGTTTGGGGAAATCCTAGCTGTTTGATGTAACCACCGTACAGATGTTTAGGTGAAGAATTATCTTCTCAATTTTAGAAAGAAAATAGGGAAAATTTTGTCTGAAAATACCAGCTTTCCAGACTGGGAACTGGATGAAGTTTGTACATGTCTAGAATGACTGCCATTCCGAAAGTTTGCCCTATTTAGATATGTGCTCCCTGGCGACGACAGAGAATGTTAGGGTTATTTTATGTGATTTTTCTGAAGAACATACTTTTCTGTCCTTTTTGAGTAGGTTGTTCATATTAATATTTACTCTCGTTCTGTGGATAACTTTTGCAGATTAAAGATGGGTTCGCTGATGGGAAAGACCTGGTGGTCACGGTGATGTCTGCTATGGGTGAAGAACAGATCTGTGCCATCAAGGACATTGGACCCAAGTAGCTTCTCTCTCTACCAAAATCTCTCTCTCTCTCTCTCTCTCTCTCTCTCTCTCTCTCTCTCTCTCTCTCTCTCTCTCTCTCTCTCTCTCTCTCTCTCTCTCTCTTGCTCTGTGCTTTCTTCTAGTGAGAGATTTTGTGTGAGCTCAGACGCTGGGAAGACGAGTGTTTATTGTGACTGTATTCTGGTTCGAATTGTCCTGTCATGCAGGACAGAGTGACCACGACGGCCGGTCTCATGGGACTATTCATAATGGAAAGGTAATGAATGGCCTCTTGTGCTTCTATATCCTCCGGTTTCAGCCGTGTTGCATAGGAACCCATTTGGGAGTTGACGATCCTCTGACTACCGGGCAACTCGTTGACCATTTTTCGTAACTTTATACCCCATTCTCTAGTTGACCATGTTCCAAGTCTTAGATTATCTGTTGACCATTTTTTTATCCTGTTTCTCGTCGTGATGTGATCCCATGATCTAGTTGAGCACGTTCTACCTATTTTCTGTGAGGTTATCTGTGATGCGAACCCATTTTCTAGTTGACCCTTTCCTACCTCTCAGGCAAGCCGTTGACAATGCCCATGACCAGTTGCATCGCCGTCCTTATCTGCGATGTGGGCCCTTTATATCGTGTTATGGTCCGTTTTCTGGTTGACCTTATTTTACCTTTTTTTATCCTTTTTTCTTCTTGACCCTTGCGATTGCATCAGGCGGCTTGTCGACACTGTTCCTGGTTTAGCTTTTACCTGTGCCCGTTTCCTTGCTTCCCCTGTTCTTCATCTCGTCAACCGGTTGACCCTACTGAACTAGTGTTAGTTTGCCCCGTGGGCCTCATTTTCCAGATGACCTAACGAGGTCAACGGGTTGTGGGACTGCTCTCATCTTGAAGAACCTCTCATGTCGCTGCTCTGGGAGTCCCTTTGAGGGAATAATCTCGTGGGGTAGTTATTTAAAGGACTCACCGTTGACCGTTTAGGGTCAACAGGACTGTGACTAAATAGATCTAGGTCAATGGTTTGACCGAGGAAGGAAGTCATTCATCCTGGACCTCCCGACTGCAGGTTTTGACTATTCCTGGGATTATTTTAGAGCTGTCCACCCTGGCACTGTCCGTAGCTATAACTTACTGATATAACCTTGTTAGGACTGAATTTGCACAACAGTCCCTCAGCATGAAGCACGCGACTTGCCCCCATTTGCAGAGCAGCATTTAAGGGAGAGAGAGAGTAAATATGCAATTTTTGTTGTATCTCGGGATGTGACTGTGATTACGCTCCAAGGAAGCTTCGAAATGAGTACCTTAATGGACCGAATAATGCAATTTTCATGCAAGTTGGCGGCGTCCTTCGGACAGCGTGAATGAGAGAGAGAGAGAGAGAGAGAGAGCATATGTGCAATTTTTATTCTCTGGGGACGTGATTATGATTACCTTCCAAGGAAGCTTCGAAATGAGGACCTTAATAGACAAGAGTAAGGCACTTTTCCTACGCTTTGGCGGCGTCCGAAGAGGAGAGCGAGGGAGTAAGCGTGCAATTTATGGTGTATATGGGGTATGATTGTGATCACGTTCCAGGGGAAGCTTCGAAACGAGCACCTTAATAGCCCGAGTAACTCAGTTTTCTTACACGTTGGCGGCATCCTTGGGACAATTTGAGTTGCAGAGAGTAGAGAGAGAGAGAGAGAGTAGAGAGAGAAAGAGAGATGCGTCTGCCATGTGAGGGCGGATGGGGGGGGGGGGGTGTCTCTCTGTCTGTCTTTCTTCCCTCTCGAGGTGGTGGTGGTGGGGGACACTGAGATGTGGGGCGCTGGGGGAGGAGAGCGAATTAAATGGGGAGAGAGGGATCCTGTCAGAGGGGTCGGGTTGGGGGAGTAAAGGCCATGGGGGTAACTACAGGGGCAGGTATCTGGTTCATGGCGGGGAACCTTTATGTGTCGACTGAGCTCACCTCCTGACAACGGAAATGCCCGCCCCGTCCCAACGAAACCCTAAGAGAGAGACGATATAGAACATGAAGGAAAAGCTCCAAGCTCCATTCTCCCCAAGGATTGCAAAAATTCACAGTCTTAAGAAGGAAAGAGCTCAAGTCTCTCCAACCCCCCTGGGGAGGTGGGGAGGTTGAGGTGGGTTGGACCATTCTCCATGTCCTGTGGCGAACAAGACTTGTTCTTTCATCTTCAACCATGAGAGAGAGAGGGAGGGCAATGGGGAGATGTTACCACAGTGTTCTAACAGCGATCGTCTCTTGAACTGTGTGGAGACAGTTGGGACCTAATCAGCGCCGCAAGAGCTACTGAGCTCCATTTCTGGCATGGTATTTAAACCAGGACAAGAGATTTGGTGGAGGGCTACGGGGCCTTGGAGCTCCAGGCCGTAGACCTTTTAATGGGAGCGAGCCGGAGATTTTGTTAGGCAAGGGAATTTGAGGGTGCCTGCCCCTGCCCGGCGCTTCCAAAAAGGTCATCTTTCTTCTCAACGGACCTCCATTGCGTACAATCTTCTCTCTCAACGCTCTCCTGAGCAAATTCCCTCTCTCCGTCTCTCTCTCTGTTTTATTGCGGAAGATAAAGGGGGACAATAGTGTAGTCTCTAGTGCGATCTGATATTGGAGAAGGATACACCCAGATCGAAACACCACGCTTCGTGGTGGATGAGAGGGAGCAGGGGGGGTGGGTAGGGCAGAGAAATGTGCCTACAAAGAAAGGGCGGGATCTTTTGGGCTTATGACCCGGAAAAAAAGGGCGAGAGAAGCGAGAGAGACGGAAAAGAGATATTCACCAGTTAAATTTACTGGGCACACCTACCCGGGGCTCTGCTGCATTTTGCTAAAAAAAGCAGCGAGGGGGAGGAGGGAGCAAGAAGCCCAGAGCCCTTTCCCTTTACTCCTCCTTGAGCGGCCATTCTCAAAGGTGAGGGTGGGTTTGAGATGAGGCGATGCGTTGCCAGGGCATCTTCTCCCCTCTGAAATGCTCGTCTCTCTCCTGCAAATTCCTTTTTCTCTTTCTCTCTTGATATAGACGGGACACCCTTTCTTCGTTGCTGGTTCTTGGAGCTGAAGGATGGTAATGGGGGCTCGGTGGCTCGCGTTTGGAAGGGCCCTCCTGCGCTGTTCCTTCTAACGAGGTTTACGAAGGAGAAGAAAGGGAAAGGCCAAATTCCTTCTCTTTTTTTCTTCTTCCTTCATTTTTGTGGGTCTCTGGCGAAAACCCAGTGCCCTACGCAGATCCGGGCCTTGGGCCCTCTCTCAGTTCTCTCCAGCTCTGCAAGAACCTCGGCGGAAATGAGGAAGCACGGATGGCAACTTCCTTACCACCCTCTCCAGGTTCATTCTCCTCTCCCTGCTCTCCTCCTTCCCCCTCTACCTTTACTTTCCGCGGCTGGTTGAGCTTCGTAATATCCGTCTGCAGGTTGTGGCCATTGCAGTGTTCATGGCACTGGGGTTCGCCTTCTATGTGTTCTTCGTCCCTTTCGTTGGAAAGAAGCAGTTCGAAGTTGTCGTGATGGGGCTTTACACTCCTCTGGTTAGTAATTTCTAGTTTCGCAGGCCCTATTTCTTTCATTTTTTGAATGTGAACCAGTTGTTAAGCTCTCTCTCTCTCTCTCTCTCTCTCGCGCGCGCGCGCGCTCTCTCGCTCTCTCTAATATCATTGTCGAGTGTTCTTTCAAGGTGGGCGATTTCCTCCTGAAAATTGTATCATTGTCAAGTATTTTTCTTTTCGCCTTCTTATTTTCTACTTTTCATTTGGTTGTGACATCAATTCGATTGTAAAGGTCAGTTTTTTCCCGATTAGTTGGTTTCATTAATGACAGACGGTGGAGAATGGGCTGATGAATGGACCCAAGTCTGAAATCGTGCTTGGTCGCATATTTTTCATTAATAACAATTATTATGAAAAATATAAATTTCAATTATATATATATAATTCATATGCTTGTGTTCATCGAACATCTACATCTCTCGGCGCTCGTTTTCTTGCTTTTTTTTCGATTAGTGCACTCATTCCCATTCTTCAGATGTGAATTTTGTGTTCAAGATATAAAAATCCTAATTTTTAAGACATCCCTCCACCGAGATTGGATCATACGATGAGATGGGCGCGGATGAACTCCCTGAGAAACTTAGTTTTCTTCGTGTAATTCCTCATCGATCCCAGAGATTCCAGTTCATCCCAATTTCTGGTTCGAAGAAAGTTCAAAGGGTCAACGTTTTATCATCGATGGAGTCCAATTATTCCATGGAAACATATAACTCGTCCCAGAAGCAAAAAGCATATGCTATTAATGATTTTGAAGCTATTTTCGTATAATTCATGGCCAACATATGATGTTGAAGCTATTTTCTTTCTGGATGCGTGAAATCCCAATTAATTCTCCCGTTGACATGCCCATTTAATCCATGATTTATATCTCCTCTACGATTACTCCCCCTCATTCATATTTCTAGTTGTCGACAATTTAACTTATTTATTTATGTCTAATCGCGTTGAAGGGGATTTTTTTTATGGAAATCTGCCCCTGACCCAAGCAAATTTCGAACCCATGGATGATAATAATTCATTTATAAGACTTGATTAAGCTCCCCCAAAGCCAATCTCTGAATGTTTCCTAGACTAGAAAAATAAATATATACATATATAGATATATAAATGACATTGATCTTGGTCAATGCCCTCTACAGGTTGCATGCGTTTTCTTTCTCTATATCTGGTGCGCAGCAGCTGATCCAGGGGATCCGGGGGTCTTCAAGTCAAAGAAGTATCTAAACATTGTGGATCACAGGAGGTACTCCAGTTCAAAGGGTTCCTTGGAGGGTGGTGAATCCATATCCTCCTCTGTGAAGAAAGCTGATGCCGCAACTGACGGAGGGAAGCCGTCGAATGAGCCCCCTGCTGCTTCTGAGATCAGTGACAGGAAATCATCAAATAAGCATGCAGAGGAGAAGAGATCCCATGGGATCTTTTTTTTTCTGGCGGTTTTTCTGGGCTGCTTTCCTTCTCTTGGATGCACTAATTCAAGGTCTCACGAGCATTCTTCGGACCATGAAACGAGCGAAGATGGCATGTTTTACTGTAGTTTATGTGAAGTTGAGGTAGGGGACTAAGGTTTTATGATGGAAAATTGTCTTCTTGTTCAAGCTTATTTATTGACAAGGGAGCCCTTTTCTTCTTTCTGGCTATGGATATATAGAAATAAAAATGTCTATTGTATCATTGTTCATCTTTTATACTGGTAATAGTGCATTTTTAGGAAGAATCTGGTTCACATTTATCTGTGGGTCTAGTCTACCTGAATGTGTGGTGTCGATGGTTCTTATTGGTGTTTGATTCATGGGCAAGAAATCCTTTGAGTTCCGTAGGATAACTTCACATAATCCTAGGACATCAGCTGGTAAGATTGATTTTTTTATTTTATTTACTTAGCTTTAGAGTTCTACAGCGGCCTCCCCTGGAAGAAAGGAAACTTTTTTGTGATTTAATGTACGTTAGGAAAATAAATTGTTTCCTAGGAAAACATCTAGAAGCATTTCCTCTTATTATATGTGCTGAAATAAAACTATGAAAACTTTTAATTTTGAATCTTTTGTATTCAACAAGGTTTCACCTTGAAATATTTCTTCTCTTTATTTCTGTTGAAATTAAATAGTTAGGGCCTCATTTTTTAAACACTTCCTCTTTATTACTTTGACTAAAAAAATTAATAGTTCCTCTTGTTATTCAGTGAGGCTCCATTTTTGGGATATTTCTCCGTATCATTCCTTCTAAAACGTAATTTTGGAGATTTATTTATTTATTTCACCTGGGATTCATTTCTAACAGCTATTTCTGCTGAAATTAAGCTACTTGGGCATGTAGTTTCGTAATCTCTTATCCACCAAAAAGGGATTTATTTTGGACTGCCCCTCAGATTTCTCTTCTAAATTTTAATTATTTAGTGCGGTATTTGCCTACATTTTTCTTGAAATTATTCTCGCATCTAATCTGGCTGTGGGTGATTTTACAGCATCTCAGATTTGCCCACAATGTGCAGGTTCTGAAGTACAGCAAGCACTGTAGGGTTTGTGACAAATGCGTGGACGGCTTCGATCACCACTGCAGGGTCTGGATTCTTCACATGACCCCATTTATGCCATCATCTTCCGCAAATTTAACAGGTTCTCTCCTTTGGTTTTGCAGTGGATCAACAACTGCATAGGGAGGAAGAACTACTTCATGTTCTTCATACTCATGATGTCTGCGCTCCTCCTGGTCTGCCCACGATCTCTCTGCCATCTAGACCCTAATTTCCTCTGAAAATTATAATTTTTTCCCTTATTAATCATGGGCAAAAAATAAAAATAAAAGTTAATCGAAGGGGTCTCAGAATCGCTGGCTGTTCTTGGGCTGAGAGTTGCTCCCAATGAGAATAGTCCCATATTGCTTATTGTAGGAATCATTCATTGCCGATTGCTGTTGAGTTGGATTATTAGGATCGCTATGCGTTGACTGAGAGAAATTAAGCTGGTAAATGAAATATTTGGGTTCATTCTGAAACGGGTAAAAAAAAAATGCGGATCCCTCACTCATTGCTCATGTGTTTAAGGCTTGAAATGGGATGGCCATTATTCATTGTTCTTGAGCTGGCCTACAATCAGCTGTTTCTTGGGGAGATCAAAAGATCCCTTCTTTTTGGTTCGTTATTATTGTTATTATTATTTCGGCTGCTTATGCGGGTGCCTTGGGCTTGAACCTGCAGCTCATTCTACAATGTTCGATCGGGATTCTGGTGCTGATTCGCTGTTTCCTCGAGCGGAAGCAGTTCTCAGTCGATATAGCCTCTAAGCTGGGGAGCAGCTTCTCCCTGGTGCCGTTTCTCGTTGTGGTGGTGGGTTTTCATCCTTTGCCTTGGCGAAACGACAAATGTGGAAATCTCTCTCTCTCTCTCTCTCTCTCTCTCTCTCTCTCTCTCTCTCATCAGATATTGTTCTCTAACTTTCAATGTCCTGCCCATTTGTTCTCAGGGGTCATGTACCTTCTTGGCTATGGTGGCCGCCTTACCCATTGCACAGCTCTTCTTCTTCCACGTCCTCCTCATAAAGAAGGTGATCTCCAGTGCTCGTTTCTCATCTCTCTTCTCCTCATCCCTTTCAAAAGCAGCACGTCTTGCTCATATCGAGGCTAAAAAAAAGGACTTCATATGTCAGTAATCTACGTTTTATTCGTGGAATAATCTCTATGGTTGATGGCAGGGAATCAGCACCTATGACTACATTGTGGCCCTGAGGGAGCAGGAGCAGCAGCAGGGAGGAGTCGGTGGGGGGCAGCAGAGCCCCCAGATGTCTCCTCTCAGCTCGATCACCGGCCTGAGCAGCGCCAGCTCCTTCACCACCTTCCGCCGCGGGTCCTGGTGCACTCCGCCCCGCCTGTTCCTCGAAGATCAGGTGAGCTCCAGATTATCCTCATCCCCCCCTTTTTTTTTCTGCGGAATTTCAGCTGGATTTCTTTCGGATTGAGCAAATAATGAGAAAATAAAGAACTGGATTTTTTTTTAGTTGCTTTTTATATCAGATCATTGAGGAATTAATCCCCTGATGGATGGAAAATATCATTTTATTCCTCTCTCTCTCTCTCTCTCTCTCTCTCTCTCTCTCTCTCTCTCATGACTGTGCCCAAAGTTCGTATGAGTTCAGCCTATGGGTCATTTTCCAGGTTCTTTTTCTACTACTAAATTTAAATTATAAATCTGTTTGATGTTGAGAAGTAATGAATTGCTTTTTTCTTTTCTTTTTTTGGATAGTTTGATGTCGTCCCGCCGTACCCCGGCGTGGCAGCGATTTCCGGCCAGAAGAGGGCGGCGGCGGCGGCAGAGGAACAAGCGAGGAAGAGAAACCCACCCGCCATCAAGATCAGCCCCTGGACATTGGCTCGCCTCAACGCTGAGGAGGTCTCCAAGGCAGCGGCGCAAGCCCGGAAGAAGTCAAAGATCATGCAGCCAGTGGTGAGGCGGGAGAACCCACTGCTGCCGCCGCCGCCGCCGCCGCCGCCGCTGGAGACTGATAGCAGCAGTAGCAGGATAGTGGTGAGGGCTGACGGCCGGAAGAGGCCCAGCAAGAGGGGCCGGCTGCCTGGTGGAGCAATCCCACCGGAGCAGCTCGCAATTATCTCCGGCGGTGGCGGCAGTGGTGGCGGTGGTGGCAGCGGTCCCCCGCCGGAGACATCAACCAGCTTAGCTCCTCTCCAGCTCGAGGCGAGGAATGCCTTCCGCAGCAGCAGGGCCATGTTCTCCCCCGCGAATGCCTCCTCCTCCCCAGAGAGCAGCAGCTTGGACTCCCCGGATCTCCAACCCTTCTGCATCACCTCCGCCACCGCTGACATAGCCCAGGGCCTGGCGGCGATCCCGCCGTCAGGACAGACGGGAATTCTGCTGTCGCGATCCACCAGCGACGGCTACGACGCCTCCGGCGGCGAGGACAGCGACCGTGTACCGTCCCGGATCGTCCACCGGTCGTCAAACTGGAGCAAATTCTTCGCCACCAGCGAGCCAAAGGCGGTGGCGGCGTCATCGTCTTCCAGAGCGCTCCGAGGCGGCAGCCGATGATTATGGCCTCCCATTAACACCCCAGGTCTGAAGATCTGCTTAGAAGAACAGCCTTTGAGGGACACCAATCCTGCATCGGCAGGCGGGAGCAGCGGGATCAGGACCTCGGCGGCGGGAGGGCGGTGCTCTGGTGGTGAACAGGCATCTGCTCGATGGGGTTAACATGCCGGAGGTACCCCCGGTTCGAGCTACGGCAAGCTGGCTCACCCATGGAAGCAGGCCGCAGTTTGATCTGGGTCGCATCGTCTTCTTCCTCCCCACCCCCATCTCATTTTAACCTTCAGATTTCTTCCCCCCGACGACAGCAACTGTTCCCTGTTAATGGTGAGCTTAATCTTGATCCTCTTCCTCCAAGTTCTTCAGTATAATCGCTAGAAATCAAGCAACTTGAGGTTGACTCTCAAAAACCTAGTCAATGGGCTGACTGACGGTCAAAAGCACGCCTCAAGAGCTCAGGGGAAGAGCAGAGAAAATAAGATAATAGCATCGGAAAGATATCACCCACAGGAGAAGTCAACCCTACATCCAGTCTCTGCCCATTTACAAGGGAGAGGACGGGGAGGAAATGATGGGCTCCTCACTTGATGAAATGGGGGTTGAGCAGGCCCGATATCTCGAGGAAACCTACGCGATCTCTGCCGCCGAAGATCTTCTTCAACCTCCCGTCACAAACTATAATCTTTTTGTTTTCTGGGTCCTGCAGCCGGGGACGAGAGAGCCTTTAGTAACAGTATCAAACCAATTAATGAGAAAGAGTAACATACATGCGCAAATTTCATCATCCTTGAACGAGAAGAAATCAGGAACACAAGTTATGAGAGAATAATCGGAGCTCAATTAGTAATATTATTAAACGAATTAATGAGAAAGATTAACATACATGCGCACATTTCATCATCCTTCGACGTGAAGAAATCAGGAACCCAAGTTATGAGAGAATAATCGGAGCTCAATTAGTAACATTATTAAACCAATTAATGAGAAAGAGTAACATTTTATCATCCCTGAACGAGAAGAAATCAGGAACCCAACTTATGAGAGAATAATCGGAGCTCAATTAATGCGCGCAATCTTAATAAGATCTACTAATCTCCTGCCTGGTTAGTGCTCTCCTAAGTAGATGCTGATCTTATTTCTTCGATATCTCTGTTCGTGCAACCACTCTGTTTCGTGAAGAGAAACTAACTTATATACGAGAATCACCAATTTAATGTGCCTCCGATCATGTACTGCGTCCTTCAAACCTAAGGAGATCAGAAAATACACTGACAGCTGCACGTAATAAAACTAAGTCCCAAGAGACTAGTTACTACTCTGTTGATGCACCTCATCTGCTTTTGTTAATTAGGGGATGCTTCTTTCCTCATCTCTCTCTATTTTCCATTGCCGATACTAGATACAGCGCCCAATGTGCGGCAATTCCTCTGCCGCAGAAATGGCCATTGGAAGGAAAGATCCATTTCAATGATCAAACTGACTAACTTATGGAAACCAATGAAACCTCATTAATATGTTCTAGAATAAAGTGGAAGATTAATGTGTCTTTTAATCCACTAACTTTTGGGAAGTTTAATTTACTCTGGAAGTCATTTTCGGGACTAAGATTATTAATATGAAACCTTCATTACAGCATATTAATGATTCCAAATTAATCGATAATCAGCTCAATATAAAACAGTTGTTATGGCATGTACTTTGCTGAAGTAGAAGATGTGCGCAGAAGCTACATCATGTCTTTAAGAGAACGTCAGTGTAACCCATTTTCTACAGATATCGTCAATTTTTAAAGGAAATTTCCTACCAGCAACAAAGTTTTCGATGGAAGGTGTCAGCGGAAAATTCGGAAAAAAAGAAGTTACAGAGGTTCGTGGTTCAACTACATTCTTATTCTTATAACCACTGGTGCTTCCCCACACTGGTTCATTTTATCAACAACCACACTGGTTCTCTATTACTCTGGCCACTAAGCATTCAAGAGATGGACGGTAACAAATATCTCGAGATAAACACGACAAAGATACATTCCAGGAGACACAAATACCACCGACATTTTTGTAAATCCAATCCAGAAAACTCCAATGATTGATGGAAACACGATACGCGTGAAAAAAAAAGCAGAAAAACAATGGGAAACTGGAAGCACTCAAGAAGTAGTCGTTAACAAATACCTCGAGATTAACACAAAAAATAAATACATTCAAGGAGACAAAAGCACGATTGATATTTTTTAAAATGTAACCAGATAACTCCAATCAGTGATGGATACGGAAAAACGTAGAAAAAAACCAGAAAAACAAAGGGAAACTATAAGCACAACATTCTGTATATTCCGTATTCAGAAACCAGGAAGAGCGAGCATGAAATAGGGCTAGACTAAGGAAGAGAGGATGAAAGACCCCATACCTGTAGGTTTTTCTCCTTTATGTAGGCCCAAATCAGCTTCAGCGCCTGGGTGCGCGGTATCTCAGGGACGCCGAGAAGCTCCTGCAGCTCGGGGGATATTGGCCGGGGTTTGGTGATGCCTCTTCCCCTGGTCTCACGCTTTTCGGAGGCAGCAGCGGCGGCCGCGGGCTTCGCGGCACCGCACAGCGGTAGGAACGACCTCCGTCCCCGAAGCGGCAGGGAGAAGCAAGAAGAAGCCGGAAGAGGCAGCAGAGGCCTGCTCGAGGAAGCCTGGCCAGCCAGGAAGGAAGACGAACAGCTTACCAAAGACCGCGCCGCCATCGTCGCCTCTCAGGGAAAAACAAGAACCCGAGCTAGGAGCAGATAAACCTCCAGAAGGAGAGAGAAAATGTTAGATACTATATACTGTCACAAACACATATAAATATAGATGGATAGAGAGAGAGAGAGAGAGAGAGAGAGAGAGAGAGAGTAAGTGGGCCCCCCCTAATCCAGTATCCAGCTCAATACTAGGCTCACCACACAGTTGGGCCGGTGGAAAGTGGGCCTGTCCATTCCTTACGGTGACTTTGTTAATGGGCCAAAAGCTAGTCAAAGCCCAGGAAAGCAAGCTAGCCCGCCGCTGGGCGGGCCTCTAGCTCATTCCAGTGTTAGCGGGCTGAGCCTAGAATTTTCCCTCGCCACAGCCGCCAGTTCTCTACCTTTTCTTTTTTATGAACTCGACGTGGAGCACAAAAATGTATATAAATTGATATTTTTTAATTTTTTGTGTTTCATAAACTGCACGTTTTTCATATTTAAAAAAAAAACACTTACATGGGTCCATTCTTGAACTCAAATAAAATATAAATCATTTTTAAAAAAATCATAAACTGCATTATTTTTTCGAAATGTTTATTTTCAAAATTGTTCACAGTTCCCTTTTTTTTTAGCATAAATAGTAAATAAATTTAATTATCAGTTAAATCTACGTTGTTCATAAATGCCGTACCATTTTTTCTCATTTTTTTTATTTTTTAAAACTTACATGGCTCGATTGTTGAGATTAAAAAATACTTGTGTCCCATTAATTTTGTATTCAATCTGCGTGTTTCACAACTTGTACTGTTTTTTCGCTATTTTTTTTTAAGCATCTGCATGGCTCCATTAAAAGTAAAAAATAAAGAATGCTCTTATGATGCCTGTACTGCCCTATTTTCACATACCCCCCTGCACTAACACATAATTTTCATTACAATACAGGACCACCAATATTTATGTGTGTGTGTGTGTGTGTCCCTCTCTCTCTCTCACTCTCTCTCTCTAGTGGCCATGAAGTGAATCCAAAGGCTCATGAGAAGGAAGGTATCGAGTGTAACAACGAGCAACACCGTTCCTGCTGCTCGAGATTGTAGCTCGTTACATCGGTGCGAGCTCGCACTCGAACAAGAATTCAGACATCGCCGGCGATTCGGAGATCGTACTATATACATCTCCCCTGTTGATGGTTGATCTTCGGGCTCTCTCTGCCGGAGAATCAGACCATCGAGGGGAACATCGGCTTGCCGGAAGTGAGGGAGAAGATGTCCGCCGGCGTGTTGCAGACGACGGCGGAGGCGCCGCCGGAGAGCGGAGAATCTCCTCCGCGATGCCGGTCGAGGAAGACGACAACGACGGTGATGTCGTCGTGGAAATGCCGCCGCACGCCCTTCTCTATCCTTCTCAGGTCCTCGTATCTCATCTCCCTCTTCCTCGCCGCTTCGCTGAGCGCAGCTCTCACCAGCCTCTTCGCTATTCCCTGCATCACCTCCCCCAGTAAAAACCCTTTTAGAGAGAGAAAGAGAGAGAAGGGGCGACAGCGAACCAGTTTTAGCGAGAGAGAGAGAGAGAGAGAGAGAGAGAGAGAGAGAGAGAGAGAGAGAGAGAGATTAATACTCACGGGTCTAGGGTTCTTGAAGACGATCTCCACGGCGTCCTGATCGCTCAGCTGCTCCCAGAGGCCGTCGGAGGCGAAGATGAGGAAGGAATCGTGGAGGCCGAGCTTCTTCACCCGGATCGAGGGCTCGGCGCTCATCACCGGTCTCTTCAGAGGAACTGGGCTGACGAACTGCCGGAACACCGGATCCCTGCAGAACTCCGGTTTCTTCAGGTACACGTCTCCGATCGATCTCGACACCTGAAAGCAAACGGCCGGCGGAGCGTTCTTGTTTGAGACGGTTTCTGATCTTCTCAGGAAGTAATTCCAATAATAACATTCATAGTCGATCATCGGTCTTTCAGAAGATGAACAGATTATTCGGTGCAAAGATAGAACCAGTTAAATTATTTGAAGATCTCATGGCCGCCGATTACTAAACTAATACGATACTCAGAACCCCGAGTCTCCGCACAGTAGATGATTCGATTATATGAATGTTCTCCACTCAAAATCAGGAACTCTTGGCTGTTCATCCAAGTGTTCAGAAGAACAGGAACACCATCGATCGATCAGGAATAAGATGCCCTGATTCGGTAAACCAGTTGAACATCACGATCATCCGTGGAGGAGAAAAATCAGTATAACCAGTGAGGTGAAACCCACCCGGAAGAACACTTTTCAGTATTCACAGAAAATGAAGAATTCAGCGAAATTCCTCCGCAGATTGTTCCCCAGAGATTGCAACATACAGAGAGAGAGAGAGAGAGAGAGAGAGAGAGAGAGAGAGAGAGAGAGAGTTGGGCGTGCACCTGGATGATGCCTTTGATCCGCCAAACGCCTTGAGTGTGAACGACGATGTGGGAATCATCAGGGTGCTGTTGAAGGAGTTCCTTCCTCACTTCCTCCTCGGCAACGTTGTGGTCGTTCGACAGCCGCTCGGCGACGACGGCTCTCCCGTCGGCGACTCGCCGGCCGAGCACCGCCCTCGAATCCCCCAAATTGGCAACATACAGGATCTCGTCGGTGATCGCTCCGACGAGGCAGCAGGATCCCACGGCGGCGATCTGTGGCTGAGATAACCACGCCTTCATCACAAGCTGCACGAAATCCTCCTCCGTGGCGTTGAACGCCTTCCTTATCACCTCCTCCGACAATCCCCCCTGCTCCAGCGCAAACCCTAGCGAAGATCAAATCGGAGAGAGAGTCCGAATAAATTGAGGTCTCCGGGCCCATTGATGGAGAAGAAATCACAGAGCAAGGGGGAGGAGATTACTGTTGAGGTAAGGGAAGAGGTGGCTGTTAATGAATCGGGAAGCCTCTGGGCCGCCATGGCCGTCGTATACTCCGATGTAGGTGGCGAACGGAGTTGTGCAGACCTGCGCCTGGTCCTCGAGCGATTTATTGGCCTGAACTACTGCGACGGAGAAGTCTCCAGTGGCGTGAGGCTTCAGGTCTACGTGCCACAGAAGACCGTCCCTCGTCCTCCTCGCAAAGCAGCGCTCCAGCGGCCTGCAGCACAGCCTCAGCATCACCACCTCCCTTCCAGGTCCCAACCCGCAGGTTCTCTCTCTTCTTCCCGCTCCCTCTCTCCCCCTCTATCTGCTACAGACAGAGAGAAAGCAAAACCCTAGAAAAAGGAGAAGAAGACGACGATGGTTTCCCTCTCCCCATCACACGGAGCAATCCAGAGACAGAGAGAGGATACATATAACGGAGATGAAGATGGAGATGGAGATGGAGATGGAGATGGAGGTGGAGGCCTCGGCGTCAACTCCGCGTCCGAAGACGTTGAATGAGAAGACTCAGAGAGAGAGGTTTGACGGTTCCCCCAGAGGAAAGAAAACGACGACCACACTCTCTCTCCTCTCTCATCTCACACTCTCCCATCCCCCATAGGCCGGTAAGAATGTCAATTTTCAAAATATTTGTTCCAATATGTAAAGTTCATAATTATTTACGGGTTTTACTGAAAATTTAAGACCTTTTCTGTCGCATTAATGTGGAGGATAATCAAATTACGCTATCGAGATTCGTGGGCCCGGGCCGGGCCCAAATGTACCCCTCAAATCACGTGTGCCCTTTTATTCTTTCTATCTCTGGCAAGACCCGATCCCAGGAATAATTTGACTTTGACTAGGTACTGGGAGGGGGGCGGGCGGCGGCTCGCACATCTGGTTGACTTTTATCACGCGAAATTTAATAGTAATAAATATGGGAAGTATTTTTTTACCATATTAGCGTACTACGTTCACCGATGCATTTAAAACATACGGCGGACTAATTGCCTTTCTTTTTTGCCATTACAAATTTATTGAATTAATAATATAAATAATAAATATCGTGGAAGCCGTTTGTCTGAATGGAAGGAAAGTTTGAATGTCAGAAACTTTGACTTTTTCAATTGAAAATAATAGATGCGCGTGGCTTGGATTGATTCTGGACAATGGATGTGCCCAGATATTTTTATTATTATCGTTTTTAAAATCAATATTGAATTAAAAAAAATCTATAACATATAAAACAGTTGTAAACTGGAGCTTAGCTGGCGTTGACTTCTTGATAATGATGCCACATCAGATCGATTAAATATGTATTTATAGGCCCAAAGAAAAATGCTGCCGGCAGCAGGTTCCCATTCTAGGAATGCATTCTTGCTCCAACACTATTCTACGTCTCGTCACAAGGGAGAAAGTTTTCTCTCTCCTTCCCACCGATCTAGAATGGTTGATCAGGTAACATGATGAATGACGTCAGCGCTGACAGGAAAGCACGTGGAAGATCCGGACTAGGTCACCAAGGCTTCTAGATGACTGTGCCCAGGGCCGGGCCCAATGGACTTAATGGACTATCTGCACTACGGCCCTTTGCCGATCATTGGCTTAGCCGCTCTAACGGGTTATCCGTAACTTTCACCTTTAAGTTTATCGTTTATTGGGCATGCCGTGGGTCCATTATGTGACAGAACTTTCTAGATCTAAATTTCGGTGTGGGTCAGGTCTTCGGAAACTGGTAGCTACACCACGAGTCCTGTTGACCGTCGTCATCTTGCTTGCTCCGTCCTCCCCACCGGAGCCGCTGCGGCCGACGGCAGACGGACCTTCGCCGGTGCCCCCTGCCAGAAGAGACTCGGTGGCTCCTCCTCCTCGTCATCCTCTGGAAAGGTAAGCGGTTGGTCCTCGGGCTTCGGGGATGTGGTGCTTCGTCCTTGTTCCTCCGAATCCCTGGCGGAAGTTCTGCTGTGGCGCTTGGAGAATCTAGCCTGTTGATGAGACAATTGTCCACTACCGGAGGAGTTCTAGGATATGATTTGATTATTTGATTGTGTTTGTCAGGTTTCGGAAGTATTCGGCGAGATACTTCTGCCGAGGTGTATTTGACCTTCTGTGTTCTCGATCGAGACTAGGAAGCGAGGGGAATAAGGGAAGCTTCCTTCTCAATCTCGTTCGTCATTTTTCTTCTCTTTTGTTGGATCTCGTTGTGTCTATATCGATGAGAGGGAGCGCCAGAAGTGGGAGGGCTATTGTGGCCCTGCAGACGACGAAGTTGGGCCTGCCAGCGGTCTTCTTCTGCTGCGGTCTCTTCTTCCTCGCTGGCTTCTTTGGATCCATGATCCCTCCTGTGGTACGGAATTCCCTTCTACCCGCTTCTTCGTTCCAAATCTCTCCTGATTCTGCTTCTATGCTGTATGCATGGCCAGCCACCAGTTATTTCTATGTGACAGTGTTGTAGGATTTCTTCCAGGATCTTCCCAACGAAAACCCTGCTCGTCTGGGGCTTTATGAAGAGGAGACGCTGGAAATGGCCCATGGGGAGACTGGGGAAGATCATGTCTCAGAGTTATCATTTCAGGTTCTCTTTCTGTAAACTTCTTTTCGTTTTTCGTTTAAGAGCTACCAATTACTGGACACTTGTTCCTTCTTAAAGCGAGTTCCACTTGTAAGGAGCAACTTCAGACTGTGAACTAAAAGTTTACACTCCAGATCACGTTGCCCTGGAGTTTTATGCGACAGTTGCTGCTAAATCTTTCCTGCCGTTTGTTAAATGAATATTTTTAAAAAAATTGGCTAACGATCTATTTTAATTGGCATAATTGACTAACGATTACAGCTGGAATGTAATCGGCCTTAGTTGTTTACTTCGGCTTGAACTTGTGATGACAACACTGAGGATGGTCTGTCCTCAAAACTCACTGCAAGAGGTGAGATTTTGGGTGGATCAACGCCTATGTGTTGCATGAGGGAGGGGGGTGGCGCTAACTTGAGAGTCACGTACCCCCCTCCCTCGTGGGTTTCTTCTCCTCTGGGACAAAATAACTACAACGTTAAGATGGCTACATCGTTGTTATAGCCTATTTGTTGCTATCTTTAGTTGTGGAAAAGGTCATAATTTGCATATGTGAAATAAGATGCTTGGACTCTCCACCTTCATTAGCTAGTTAACCTTCTTCCTTTCAGATTCTCTTGCTTTTTTGTTGCTTACAGTGGAGTCACGCACGTGCAAAAATATATCATAACAATTGAGAAAGCTTAGAGCTTTCCCGAACTTCATAATAGCTATTTTTCTGGAACTTACCTTTACCTGGCAATCTCGTAGAGTATGAATGATTGTTTTGCTTTGCAAAATCGTGATTTTAAAATTTCTTATACAAGGTGAAGTTTTTAATTGGAGATGTAGTCGTGCAAGTATTAGGGTTATACAAGTATAAGGAATTTTGCCGATTATACTACCAAAGATATGTACCCCCGAACTTGTGGACGCCACCACAGAAAGTGTTGTTCATCATTAGGGGAAACCATACCCAAACAAGAAGAGAACAAGGACATTTTTGGGAATAACTTTTTTCAGTCTCTTTATTTGGCATACTCAAGTCTTTGTTACAAATGAACAAAAATATATTCTTCGACTCTGTACATGTTACTGTCGAGCAGTTACAATTATTTATATGTTATGATCTTTTGTGTTGGATGCACATGGCACTCTGAGCCATTAGTCATGTGAGATTTTTTATTTAAGCTTGATGCATCTCAATATAATAGTGTGATCGGGCAGGCAAAGCATCTTTCATGCTTTTTTTTTGGGTGCTTGATTGTGTTTCTAAAATCAGGTTTTGAGCTGGAAACCTCGCGCTATGTACTATCCGAACTTTGCAAGCAGGAAGCAATGTGAAACGATTATTAGAATTGCGAAGAGTAAACTTAGTCCATCATCACTGGCTTTGCGCAAGGGGGAGACGGCTGAGAGCACCAAAGGAATAAGGACAAGGTAGTCGCTTTTGTGTCCATTCATTATTATATGACTAGGGGAACAGTTGTCAAAAAGGTGACGCTCTAATCTATCTGGTTTGATGACGTTGTTTTCCGCTAGCAATTGAGCGAATTAATTATCCTCAGCCTTTTTTTTTGACCCCTGGTGAGATGTAAAAAATCAAAGACCCTATTTTTTTTTTCTGTCACTTGCCGTTTTCTTATCTGTTGCCTTGCCAGCAAGAAGGGTAGCCATTTTCATGCTGTTGGACTAGGACTCCACTTTTCTTTGAGGGAATGCATCAGGCAGGCATAATATAGGTTAGTCAAGGATAAAATCTTTTTACTTTCCTCAATGCAAAGAAAGAAAATCTTCTGTACGTTTTGGTTCTCACACACACATGTACATAGAATGTCTAAGGCTGAGCCAAAAATTCCCTTTATTAGTATATTCCCACTTTTTCTATAGTCAATATTCTTCTTAGGTGGAAATTGTGTTCTTTCTAAAGTGCTCTAAAGAAACATCGAGCAGCCTTTGTATACTACTTAATACTGAAATGATCTTTGGAAAACCTTTTGTGCACCACGCTGTCATGATATGTTGTACTAGACGCTTCATTCTCATAGTCTATGACACGTGGTATGTTAACTCATGTCATCGGCGTTATTATGGAATCAGTTCAGGTACATTTCTCAGTGCAGTGGAAGATTCTAGTGGAACCCTTGACAAAATTGAGGATAAGATTGCGAGGGCGACACTGATACCCAAAAATCATGGAGAGGTATTCACGTTTATCAGGCTTATATTCAGAATTTGATCTCCGCTGAATTCTTATCCGTGAATCACAAAGGCATGATCAGAACCTGAAGTTCTGTATCAATTTTCCTTGGGTTTGGCAACGAAAATGACTGTCCTATGTAAACCATCTTTCAGAATATTTCAGTGCAAGAAAACTAAGTCGCATTGGGAATTCATATTATCTGTCATTAGATTACCTTTTTTTCTTATAGCGGAGCTGCTACAAGCTAATATACTGGTATATTAGGAGCAAATGAGGCTCAGTTATAATGGTAATTATTGGGATGCTTAATCACTTTTATTCATAATTTCTTTTCCAGTTATTTTACTGGATTTTGATGCTTAATCACATGTTATTCATGTTTCCTGTGATTTTTCTTTGAACAGTTCATCCATTTCGTTCCTGAATCAGTTAGAATGATGTGTGATGACAAGAATATCTCTCTGGCGCAGGCATTTAACATCCTTCGTTATGAGATAGGTCAGAAGTACGCCTCCCACTATGATGCCTTCAATCCCAAGGAGTACGGCCCACAATCGAGCCAAAGGGTAAAAAACCAAATGGAACAAATTTCTCTGCCGGCGATATTTTTTTCCTTATTTGGCAAAATCTAGTGTAATACTTTCGGGGTTAATACGTAGATCGTTTGACTCCTCTGGAAACAGTGACATTCCGAAGTGAGCTCCCCTCCCCTCCCCTCCCCTCCTCCTCCTCGATGGCACCTATCCAAGGAACTGCCATGGATCGATTCAAAGTCAAAAATCCCTATGAGCCTTTGACTTTACTTTATTCTGCATTGTTTCTTGATCAAGCCTTCTGACTTGAATCGATCATGGTTTCATGCCTTTATTAACCATGCTCTCGTGGTTAATACGTTGATCGTTGACTCCTCTGGAAACATTGACATTCCGAATTGAGTTCCTCTCCCCCCCTCCTCCCCGATGGCACCCATTTCCAAGGAACTGCCATGGATCGATTCAAAGTCAAAGCCCCTATGATCCTTTGACTTTACTTTATTCTGCATGGTTTCTTGATCAGGCCCTCTGACCCCCTGCCCGCAGGTGGCTTCTTTTCTGCTGTACTTATCTGACGTCGAGGAAGGGGGAGAAACCATGTTTCCTTATGAGGTGACGCTCCTCCTCCCTGTTCCTCCCGGCGATCTGACAACTTACTGGGCGTCATTATACGATCCTAAGGTGTCGATTATGCCTGTTCTTCCAACAGAATGGCCTCAACATGAACTCCGGCTATGACTTCAATGAGTGCATTGGTTTGAGAGTGAAGCCACGCCAAGGAGACGGCCTCCTCTTTTATTCGGTCCTGGTCAACGGCACCATCGATCCGGTATGTGTCCTGATCCCGCTAGAATCATTAATCTTATGCGTTGACCCCGAATATCTTGCCAAAATCCTTCATTTTAGTGAACCCAGTACAGTCCACCAACTCCTGTAAAACCGCATAAAAATGGCATCCCACTTACCATCTACAAGAAGGTGGATAATTTTTTTTAAGTGTGATAAGACAATATAGTTGACTTTTCAGTACCACTGTGTGGAACATGGGAAAGGTCAACGAATACTTTGGTCAAACTTTGTCAAGTCAATGCATCAGGCGACCTGAAATCCTTAAACCCTTCCGAAGTTTTAATCTGTGTATTTATTTATTTCCATAAAAGGATCTATCTCTTACAGAATATCAAACCGTAGGTATTCATTGGTCAATGAGAGTAGACGACAATCTGTTTATATATATATATATATATATATATATATATATATATATATAGATAAACCTTGAGGATAATCCTATGGAGAAATTCTGTTTTTGCTCACGCAGATGTCCCTCCATGGAAGCTGCCCGGTGATAAGAGGGGAGAAATGGGTGGCCACCAAGTGGGTGAGAAACGAAATCCAGTGATGGGTTGAATCCAATCCAAACCCTCACTGCGTTGGCGCGGTAGTGGCGCAGTTTCTGCGGAATGGGGAGATATCGGGCTACGTATTCACAGCCGAGGTCAAAGAGGCCGTGCCCAGTTAAGCTTTCTCTCTCAAGATTTCTGTGTATTTTAGGCTTCGCATCCCGTTGAACGGTGGCAGCCGCGAGCTTTCATCGTGATTTCTCTCTCTCTCTCTTCTCTCTCTGAACTTTAGCCTCCCTTGTCAACCTTCTAATGCGGCTGAGTCTAGGGTTGCGGCTAAGAGTTTATACCATGTAACATATGCCAGCAGAGCTCTCTCTCTCTCTCTCTCTCTCTCTCTCTCTCTCTTTCTGCATTACTGAATTTAAGCTTCCCTTAACATTCTTCTAATGAGTCGGAGTCTACGGTTGCGGCAGGAGTTTACAGTATGTATGTAGCACATGACAGGATTCTTCTCTCTCTCTCTCTCTCTCGCTGGAAACAGTAGGGAAGGGGCAACGGACTGTCGGTGGAGCTAACATGGTAAGAGCACGAGCATATCCTTAAACCAGACCTTGAGCAGAATTCTCTCTCTCTCTCTCGTTCTCTCTGAAACACTCACATGATCCGGAGGCTCAGATACTCGGAGAACCAGGAAGCCCGTTGCTTCGCCCCCTCCCCGTTCTCCGCCGTGCCCTCCCTCCCCACCTCCGACGAAGACGACGAGCAGCTTCCCCCGCAACCCTCCTCCTCCGCCGGCCTCCTCCTCGGCCGCCGGCCTCCCGTCGCCAGCGTCAGCTCCACCTCCTCCCCCTCTTCCTCCGCCGCCGCCGCCGCCTCCCTCCTCATCTCCCTCATCAGCAGCTTCTGCACTCTGTACAGCCTGTGTAGCTCCCCCACCTGCAACTCCATTATCCCACCGAAAACCCACACATTTATAGATTTAGATAGAGAGAGAGAGAGAGAGAGAGAGAGAGAGAGAGAGAGAGAGAGAGAGAGAGAGAGAGAGAGAGAAGAATCTGTTAGCGGAAGCCCCCGCACCTGCAAGTCCATTAGCCCACAGAAACACAGAGATTTGTAGATGGATGGAGATAGAGATAGAAACAGAGAGGAACCTGCTCGCGGAAGGTGCAGTCCTGCTTCAGAATGGCCATCCTCAGGAAATTCTTGTCGTAGGGGATCGTGAGTCCCGCCATGAGACCCAAACCCGTGGGGTGGCTCTTCTTTCTTCCAGCGACCAGGGATTGAAATATGCGAGCGCTTTCTTCCCCGGGGAAGTCTGAGGAGGATGAAGGAGAAGAAGAAGAAGCTCTCTTTCTCTCTCTAGGCCCCCCAAGAAACCCGGGTCCGCTGTCGCGGGGGATCCCTGCAAGGCGACCGCCTGGCAGAGGATCCCTGGGCCGCTGTCGCCATCTCCAGAAGCTCTAAACCCTAAAATTTGGACGGGATGGGGACAGGAATTGAAGGGGGGGCATCTGGGGAATGTCCAAACTTCCATCTTCCTTGTACCCCGGAAACGAGGAAGATGGATCTCCAATGCCCGCCCTCCTCAGGACAAACACAGATCTAGAGAGATAGAGAGAGAGAGAGGGTGGGGGGCATGTGGGGTCCTTATGTTGCTGAAAGAGAGGGGGTGTGTTGGGTTTGTGAGGGAGAGCCGACGGGGAGTATGCGGGGGAGACTGAATATGCCCGTTCTCTTATTCTTTTCCCCTTCTCGCTTGTCCCCCCTCCTCCCTGCCGGAAATCGGGCCGGCGCACCGCAACCCGGGTCTCTCTCTCTCTATCTCAGAATATAAAAAATCATCTCTCAGAACATAAGAAGAAAGCTCGCCACACATCAAAACACACAAACTCTCACTATATTCTCTACGTAACAAGTAAAAACAAGTACTCTCTCTCTCTTCTCTTAATAAAAAAATCCTCTCTGTGCATTAACAAAAGAAGAAAACTCGTCATGCACACACACACACTCGCCATATTATCTACGTAACAAGGAAAGAAAAAGTACCATCTCTCTCTCTCTCTCTCTCTCTCTCTCTCTCTTCCTCTCTCTATTAGAATAAAAAGATCCCAGCTCGCGTCAGTCTCTATCCTCCCAATCTGTCAGTGAACATTAAGATCAGAGATGATAATTTATCACTCTCTCTCTCTCTCTCTCTCAACATATGTATGTCTGTCAACATAAAGAGTAAAGAAACCGGTACCCATCAGGCCCTCTCTCTCTCTCTCTCTCTCTCTCGCTCTATCCATTTATCCCTATTCAAATCCATCTGACCCTAAACGGATCTACTTCCCACAGGATGGGTATTAACCCCAACCAGATATTTCTGAATTCTGGACCTTTAGTCAATCAATCAATCCCATGAATAATAGAAATAGGTCAGACACCATGCTTATCTGAGTCAGCCCCTAAGGGTTCCAACTCAGCAGCCCCAATCTCCGCCACGTGGCAGTGGACCCCTAATATCCTCGGATAGTCTGTCCCAGTTGTACACTACAGATGTCAATCTAACGTCTCCCAGCGGCATTCAAAGGCCGAACTATCACAACTCAACAGCCGACTCTCACATCAACAGATATCAGAACCGTGGAATTACAAGCGAAATCATGAACATTAATATAATCAAATAAAACAAAAATTGTAGTGAACAATTAATTCTGCATTAACTGGAAAAAAATCATCGATTTCAATGGAAAATGCTGATTTTTTTCCTCTCATTTCTTCTTGCATATACCAATATCTGAACGCATGGCGGAGGATGCTGCCTTCTGATGCGAGCAAAAGATGTTATTATAGCATGAAAAACCAGAAGGAAGAATTTTATGAAATGGGCATCTAACACGGATGCCTCCAACGAAAACATACAAGAAGACCCGAGTGAGGAGATTAACCAGGAGAATAGACAGATAATTGTGGAATTGATAATATTTCACCAAAGAAACGACTGCTTACATTGCTGCTCTTGAACCAGGGGAATGAAATAGATATTGGTGAGAAATAACTTGGACATTGGAGATGACAGCAGGTTACTCGCAGTATAATTTGCGGTGAAAAATATAGTCTTCCTAATGCACATACAAATGATATAGCTCTAACAACTATACCCATCCTCTTCATCCAAAGCCCTTCAATGGCAATTCCAGCTTATTACCCTCTGTACAGCTAAAATTTCCTGACGGGAAGAGTAACCGTGCGCTCATGATGAATGATCTGGGAAAAGATCTAACCGGTTCACTTCGTCCATAGATGTCGCTTGTTTTATGACAAAGTGGATATCACAGGGCCGACGGTCAGTTATGCAGTCTCAAGAACTTCTTCATCCAAATTAGGACAAGTGCGACATTACTCACCAAATGAACGGAAAGAAATCTTCTCAAGCTGTAGTGGCCAATCTTCCCCGAGACATTGACGGTTGGACTCCATGGCTATCCTAAAGTCGAGCAGGGATACAAGGAGAGACTTATTCAATATCTGTTCATGTTCCTTTTGCTGCAAACTGCTTCTTTCAGAGACCAGGCTCCCATTTGCATGGTCGGTGAGTCCATTGCTGCACCTTGCTCTTGCCAACTCCACACAGGGTTTGATCAACCTCGTCAAGAATGCATCCAAGCCAGAGTTCAATAGGTTGGCACATTCTGCTGACAATCTAAGATCCTCCAGCTCTACCTTGTGCTCCAACCGCGTCCGTAAGGTAGCAGTATCAGGGAGCTCAGAACAGCTTTGGCAGCCATCTTGAATATATGGCTTGGGGAGGTGGAAACCAGATGTTGGTCGTTTGCAAATAGATTTTCTAGAGAAACCACCAGCAGTGGTTGAAATGCCAAGAGGAGCCCTTATGGGGCTTCTACTTTGAACACATGGACTGTCTCTTACTTGTTCAACCTCTTCCCCATCTTCCACAGAACCAAACTCCAGAGGAGCTTTGCTGCCAACTGAAATCAACTCCGGACCACCCTGCTGCTCTCTTAGGAATCGAATATCACAAGAACCACTTATTTCCTGTATGCTTCCAGAAGGTACCTGACTATGAAGTCCAAGTGGACTCAGTCGATCCTTGAACTTCCGATCTAGGTTATTCAAAGGCTTGCCCTTGCCAGCTGATGGTGATAATGTGACCCCAAATGATCCATTGGAGATCTTGGAGATCCAGGAATGTGGTGAATTGATGTCTCTGTCTGGTGGGGCATGGGCGAGACATGCGTTCATAAGGATTGACTGGACGAACAAATTGTGAAGCGTGACATTCTCCCTTCCTATCGTGACTCGGCATAACTTGTCGAACTCACGCTTGCTCATCTTGAAGTTGAGAAATCTTTTCAGATGAAAGAAGTACTTCTCGGCCTTTGGTCGCCCAAGCTTCCTGAGGATCTGAGACTGTAGCTCCAAAGTGTCGATCCGCGAGAAGTGCCCTTTGGGCCGCATCTCCGCTGACAAATCCCCCAAAGTCATCAAAATGCTCCGAACAGAAAACTTCCAACACGGAAGATCTCAGTCGGGAGAATGATCTTCTCTACCAGGAAACCCTGAAGCACAAAGTCGATGTTATCGGATCGATCGCAACTCAAATAACAACCAAATTCAATTCAGTCGAGATGAAAATATAAAGAACCGAATCATAGGGCGAGCTATCCGCCCACAAAATCAACTTCAACAGGTATCAAATCAAATTGGGGAAAAGCAGCTAACCAGTGAAATTCAAACCAACCGTGGGGAAGGATAATTAACGAAGAGATTATAGCGGCATTTACACCAAATCAGCCAAAATTCTCCACCACTGGAGACCAAATCGCAGAGATGTCAAAACCCTACGGAAACACCCCCAGTACATAAACCCAGGGATGCAGAGATCAGCAATGACCCGAACAGGTCGAAGCATAGAGGCGAGAGCTGGGAAAAAACCGAAGGAAACGAACCTCTCTCATGGGATTGCAGCTCGCAATGGCGAAGTATGGCGACGATCTCGCTGTTCCCCTGCGCACGCTGTGAAGTAGCCCCCGACGAAATTGTTCCCGGCCCGGCCGACGCAGTAGTCTTTATCTTTTATATGATCAGTTTCATGATTAACCCTCATCATATTTATATTTACAAATATACAGATTAAGTCTCCTTTCGGCAGACGCTCACATCACTAATATTTATACTTATGCTCCTATGGGCGGATCCTCGTGGGCCCACTTGTAAATAGGCCCATTTAAGCCAACATGGGATTTTATAGAGCCCGGCCCAAAACGTTCAGAGCCCAACATGGGACTCTCCCTCCCTCTGTCTCCCTCCCTTCGTCCCTCTCTCTCCCCCTCCCTCGGTACCGAATTAGAAAAATTATTGAATAATCATTTTTTTCGCGTGTTGAAGGCAAAAAATGCAGTAAATTGAGGGACTTTTTCACAATAAAACATGATCACACCATTCTACCCGAAAAATATAGTCATTTCAGATGAAAACACATTGATATTCGCGTAGTTTCAGACGTGGAGGCTGATCCGATCATATCTGATCTGATCCAAATCTATCTGATTGCATCCAACATGGGCCATAATTTTTTTTTAATATAAAAATATAATAATATGATGTATAGTATTACTTTACTAATTAACTGGTTTAAACTGCTGAAAAATCCGAGGAAAAATCATAGGTCTCAATTTTTTTAATCCCAAAAATGGCAAAGAAATGATTAGGGAGTCAGCTGGAATCCGAGGCTGAGACCGACCAGACAACATGCTTCATGGGGCCTGCAACTAGATAGATTTGAATCAGGTAGGCCCTTGCAAATCAATCTGCTATTAATGAAAAAAAAATCAGAGCAGAGGTTCCTCAATGTATTTTTTAAGAAATATCCGAAGGAAAATCATGGGTCTTAAATTTTTTTATCCCAAAAATGGCAAAGAAATGATTAGGGAGTCAGCGAGCTGACACCGACCTGACAATATACTTCATGGGGCCTGCAGCTAGATAGATTTGGATCAAGAAGGCCAGATGAGTCTACTATTAAGGGGAAAAAGCTCAGAGCAGACGTTCCTCAATGCATTTTTTAAGAAACATCCGAGGAAAAATCATGGGTCTTAAATTTTTTTATCCCAAAAATGGCAAGGAAATGATTTGGGAAGTCAGCTGGAATCTGAGGCTGACACCGACTTGACAATCTGCTTCATGGGGCCTGCTTGATGGTGTAGATGAGCTTCAATCCAATGGGATATGGCATATGAAGGCCTCCATACACAAATCTACCAAAAATATTCGGAACTAAGATATAACCTGAGATATAACCACATTAAAAAAAATCAAGCCTCTGAACCATTTATATCAAATAATCCTGGAACCAGTCTCATCTGAAACTCTGAGAGGATACCCAAAGTGGAAGGTTTTGGAAGGGAAGGAGAAGGGGGTCCTGCTATGGACTTTGGAGACCGACTTGAAGGAATTCGATGGGTTGAACTGGTGGAGTCGCTCCAAATTTCATCAAGTGGGCTGTTTCATAAACGGGACGCAGCTGCAGGATCACCTGTGCATCCAGATACGCTTCACAGGCAAAACACCAAACAGACAGATCGCTTTGGGAAAATAAAACATGTTAGTTTGGTAGAATTGGCTCTTCTGTGACAGGTCAATGATTTGGGGGAAAGCTCATCTCGTACCTGTAGCTCAGAGCCAGGCAATGCCCAGTTACCTTGTGATGGGTGAGCATATGCTTGTTGATGAATCGGCTGCAGAGAACATCTTTGCAGCTCAGGCACAGCCAGTTTTCAGCTGGATGGTGGCATCTGAAGTGAACAAGATGGGTTGTCAGCTCGTCGGATGTGGTTCATCACCTTGAATACAGGAAACCAAGTGAAACTAAGGAGAAAAAGTTTCAAAGAATTGACGATACAATGACTTTTTTGTGGATATCCTCAACATAATGATCTGCTTAAGCTGTCATTAACACAGCCTATGATCTACATGAACAGAAATATGTATTACAGAAAAAAAGAAAGGATAAGTCTAAGATGTTTCTTTTTCCCCGGGCTTGTATTCAACTATTATCATTATCAGTTGTTGCCACTGCCACAAATATCATCCCCAGATTATATTGGCAGCCACTAACTTACGTCGATCAGAATTAATACGGTGCAGGGTACTTCCAATAGTGATCAGATGAAAGACAGTATCACGATATGATAATATCGAAACTTCCTTGTAATCAACAAAAAAGGACACGAAGAGTCTCGGATTTTTAGGAAGATCCCATTGGTTATGAACCATATAGGCATTAGAGAAAAAAAGTCGCGAACAATGAGGTTTTTATGGACTCACATGTACCAGAAAAAAAGTCAGAGCGGAAACAATCACCTTATTTCAGATCTTTCATTCTTAAATTTTCGGCTCTTATGGCTTCTCTCATATCTACCAAGAACATCCGCTTCCCTGTTCACAACTACTCAGAGAATTATAATGCATGCACTGATCGCGTTCTGTACTTATGAAACAAAAGAAATCTATGTTTCATTTTATTATTTCTGGGAATCTGCATGAAGCATGGCCATCGCAGCTTTTCGTCTATTTTTGTGTTTTTTAGGAGAGACCACCAAACTAAATTGTACCCTTTCTATATCTTCCGGCAATTATCATTCGCCCCCTTCATATTGAGAATGAGAGGTTTCAAGTTGTATCCCAGACTCGAAAGAAGTTTCAGGATGAGCAGCCGAAAAAAAAAAATTCATCTCCAAGTTAATAATGCCGAAATAATAAGCCGTCTGATCTTCTCCAAAATGCAGCAGAAGACGTACACTTCTTTTTTAATGATACTACTTTAATATAATTTAGAAAATCCAAGAAAATCATCGGAGAAAAAATCAATTAAAAGATAGAAGCCAAGCGGAAGCCATGCGGAAGCCATGCCCATAAAATAGCAATAGAAATTCCCAATTTCAACGGACTTCCTCACCAACAACATAATCCCCTAAACATCCGTCGGGTTCTGGAGGCAAAAAACTCCACCTGGTGCAGTCAGAACCCGGAGGAGGTATGTGTAAGAGATCGCTGGATAGGCTCGGCAGATGCTCACAGGTCGTCCGAGCCTCGACCCAGCCCGAACCCCCGCCATAGAAATCTTCCTCTTCTTCTCTGTCGCTTGCCTGTGAAGGCAAGGACGCTGTATTCTTCAAACACCAAGAGACGAAAACTGGATACGAACGATGATCAGCTGTGGTGGAAAGATTCATACCGCCGTCGCCGACGATGAAGAGGCCATTCAAACGTCTGCCGGAGCTCGACGGAAGCCGTCGGGGGCCGTTGTGGAAAATATAGGTGTTCGAAAGGGATCTAGCGGTCGTAGTGGGCCATGGGCCTGTCGGGTGAATCTCAAAAGAGATAATGGGCCATCCTGAGCGGGCCCAAAATTCGGGGGGGGGGTTGTAAAGAATATAAAATTAATACGGTGGTTTAATTAAAACATTATAAGGATAAAGCTTTAAAACTAAGTGGTTTTAATACAATAAACTTTGTTATAGGATTTACTATGGGACGTCCTGAGCAGGCGCAAAATTTAAGAGGGGGGTATACATACTATAAAAGAAATATGGTAGTATTATTTAATACAATAGAAGGAAATAGATGGTAGAAAGGCCAATTCTCTCAGGACGACCTCATGGGAGTACTAGTACAATACAATATCTAATAGGATTTATGATGTAATCCCAAATACTGATGGTCCGTTCTGTTCAAGCCCAAATTTTAAGGATTTAACATTAATGGCACCGCACGGCCATACTATACCGGAGAGGGACATATTGGTAATAGGAATATGTATAGGCTTTAATAAAAATATAAAGTAAAGGAAGTTAGGGTTTGGGTTCAGTATAAAAACACAAGGTTGGAGACCATCGCCGCCACTCGGTCGTTGTTGCGGATTGCGGCGAGAAAGAGGGGGAGAGAGACAGAAGGAACAGAGGCAGAGATGGGGCACACAGCCATCTGGCACTCGCATCCGAAGAACTACGGCCCTGGATCGCGGGTCTGGTAAGCGTCTTCTTTGGAGCGGTCCAATATTTCCTTTAGTCAGATCGTCTTCATCCTTGTACATGCAAATTTCTACCCCGTTACGTATGGTCATTATCGTGGTAAAGGCGTGTTTTTCTAGTTTTGATTACGACGGTCTTGTTCGGCGTTTTCAGATGCAAACTGCTTGGTAGCTCTGTTTTCCGTAGTTTTAATATCCAGATGTCTTTGTGCCTTCTTTCAGAGGCCACAGTGCATTGGTTTAATCTTTGCAAAGTTTATCTCTCTCTCTCTCTCTCTCTCTATTACTACGAGCTTAGCAAGTTGATATGGAAAACTTCACCGATGTCGGCTTTTGCGTCTAATTTTCGATCATATGCCGCTTCTAAAATGCGTTAAGTGCCTTTCCTTTGAATCTTTTAAGCGTCATTGTATCTCATATTCTTATTTTGGCTGCAATAGTTGGATTTTGGAAAATAAATTTTCGTCTATATGTTTGACTAAGGTAGAAGATTGACACCAGTTGAGACGAAATGAAACTTGCACATAGTTCTTCTCAGAATCTTATCGTGGTTTGTGAGATTTTATGTGTGCGTAAATCAATTGATCCTCACTGCTTGAGTATCCTCCTGTTGATAGCACATGGAGCTGCACTCCAATGAGGTGGATTACATTCAAAGTCGCTAATATGTACTCATCCTGTTGTAAATTATAAGTACGATGGGCTTTACGTACTTTAGATCATTATTTTGGTTCTTGACATAGCGCCAGTTACGATCTTCACGCATAGCAGCCCGTCTTGAAAGGCACATATTTAAGAAAATGCCTGCCCTTAAAATATAATTGACAAATAATGTTCCTGATTTATGTACATTTAAGCATTCTGATTTTAACTGGTGCAGCCGCGTTTGTGGAAACTCCCATGGCCTCATCAGGAAGTATGGTCTCATGTGCTGCAGACAGTGCTTCCGCAGCAATGCCAAGGAGATTGGGTTCATCAAGGTACCCACCCGTTCATTCATGGTTTTTCTTGTATATATCTAATCAATATTGCCCTCCATATTTCATACCTAAATTTCCCCTGATCATCCGAATTATATTCTTCCCGTTTTATATATTTATTTGAACTCGTATGTTTTCGCTCTAGTTATTATTTTCTTCATCAATCAACTCGATTGAATTCTTTACAAATACCTACAAATACTCGATTGAATTCTTCATCAATCAGAGTAGTCGCTCTAGTGCGACTACTTTACAAATACCTGTTTTCTTGAATTCTTATCATCACCACCTTAGTTTTAGTGCCGCTGTTCCAAAATTTTCGACACTAATTTTTTAAACTTTAATTCTCTTCGCCTTGCAAGTGCTTTTTTTCATTAATTTGTTCTCGTTTACAAATTTTCTCATCACCATCGCCTTGCTTTCAGCACTCCTGTTCTTACGGGTTCCTTTGATTTAGATCTCACCCTAGTTTTAGTTCTGTTTGACAAAGATTAACTCGGATTGCCATACATTGATCTTCATCACTTACAAACTTTCCCATCATTTAATTTTTGCATAAATTTCTTCTAATTTACAAATTTTCTCACCATCATTGCCTTGCTTTCAGCACTCCTGTTCTTGCGGGTTCCTCCTCCGATTTAGATCTCACCCAAGTCTTAGTTCTTCTGTTTGTCAAAGATTAACTTGGATTGCCACACATTGATCTTCATCATCATCTCCACAGCAGTAACCTCTCTGAGAACTAGGGTTCTCAGCAGAACTGGGCCTCAGGGTCCTCTTTCATATGTTCATGTATTTAATTTTATATGAATTTATTGAAATATTGCCTGATTATGCTTCTCCCCGCCCGTTCTGCAGTACCGCTGATGGAAGCTCATTTCTGCGACGCGCCTCTCCGCGGCGGTGTCGACGTTGCCCAGGATCTTTATTATAATTGCGGTAGATACCATTTCGGGGATCCTTTGTCTTCTTAGAGAGCTTCGATTTCTTTTGTTGCGGACAGATGTATGACTATCTTCCTGATGGTTGCATGGACGGCCCGGATTGATTTGATTCGGCTGTGTGGCTGTTTGGATTGCCGTGGATTTTGGAATCCGCGATTTCCTTGCTTAATATGGTTTTGTTAGATTATACTCAAATATATACATTTTAGGCAATATATACGTAAATATGAAATTATTATAAACTAATGTTATAAGCTTGTTGGGGCGTTTTTTCGGGCCGGGCTTCGTAAAGTGATTTTAAGCGGTAGTCATGGAATGGGCAGGCTTTATATGCGCATAGCCAGATAAACATAGGCCCATTGGGCTGAGCTTAATGGGTAGCAGAAGTGTAGTTTCAGTTTCGGGCGCACCTAACCTGGATGCGAAGCCGCTTGGGACGGGGCGAGCAGAAGGCAGAGAGAGAGAGGGAGAGAGGTAGAGAGAGGAGTGTAGAGAGGGAGAGAGAGAGAGAGAGAGAGGCGCGTAGAGATTTAGGGTTATATATGGTTCTTGTCATCGCTGGTTAGCTTTTTCTCCTCGCTGTTTCATGGCATTGAGGCCAATCGGAAGCACCGTGCACCGGCTCCTATCCTTACCACTTTCCTCCGGTTCCCCTTCGCCAATCCTCCTCCGGCACGACTGCGACCCCCAGCTCCGCCACTGTCTACGGGAGATCTCCTCCGGCGCGACGCTCGCCGGAAACTTCCGGCACCAGGATCAGCAGCAGCAGCAGCGGCGGGCGCAGCGGCACCTTCCTCCTCCTCCGCGGGCCGGTGGCTCGGGATCATTGGCTTCGGAAACGCTGGCGCAGAAGATTGGGAAATCTGTACGGCGGCCCGGCGCCAGCTCCAAGGCCAGGGTGTATGCTGATGTTAACGTAGTCCGTCCGAAGGATTACTGGGACTACGAGTCCCTCACCATTCAGTGGGGGTAGAGCTCATAACATTTCGTGCATCTCTTGCCAATCCCTTCCCTTTCTTCATTTTGCTATTTTTTTTTCGTCGTCTCAGGGAACAGGATGATTACGAGGTGGTCAGGAAGGTGGGCAGAGGGAAGTACAGTGAGGTGTTCGAAGGAGTCCACTGCACAAATAATGAAAGGTGCATCATCAAGATTCTAAAGCCTGTGAAGAAGAAAAAGGTTATTAACTTCTATAATGCCGTCTCTTTAGCTGGCTAAAGGTTGGATCTATCCGTGCTCTCTTTTAGTTGGTTTTCCCCTATAGTAGCATTGCTCAGTGACATTCGACATCCTGGACCTGGGAAGAAATCAAACATTGAAATAACTGGAGAAAGTCAATTCGAAATTATTCAGCTGTAGCGTTTCAAACTACTATAAGGGGTCAATTCCGGGCTTCTAACCTGAGAAGTAATAATTAGGCTAACTAATTGATTTTACTCTTTCCAGGACATGAAAAGAAAATAGTCCATTTGCTTTCTAGACAGCAATGTAGAGGAAAAAAATGGAGAAATAATCTAGGTGACTTTCCATTCTCTGTCTCATTAATCTAGGTGCTTGACGCTGGTTCCGCGTTTGTTTAACCTTTTTACGTGTACATATGAAAAAGAAGGAGAAATAAATGATGCCGCATATGTAGCCCATATGTTTTATAAAAGAGAAATTTCCTAATGGGGTGTGAATTATTACACTTCCATGAACCATGTACACAAGCCCTGTACAAGGATGTAAGATGTATATTTGAGATACATCTATGCTGTCGTCCTTCCGAAGTCTTCTGTGGATCAGTATGCAGAGTCTTTCGACGGAAAGTCGAGGTGAAGAACTTGCTCAACAGAGGAGACATCAGCAAGGTTTAAGGATTCCAGCGAGGTCTTCTTGTCTACATGATTTAAGGTGGGGTATTGCCATCTGGGCAGAAACTGAGTTTTCAAAAGAAGATAATATGCCTACGCCTTCATTTTTGGTCAGAGGATTTGCCAGAGAAAGGTGAGAAAAAAAAGACGTTATAGGCTCCAGTGGGCTGAGGAAGAAGAAATGGAAGGGGAGGGTAAGAGCATCATGAAAATAAAAGAATGATAAATATGAAACTCACGTTTACTATTGTATTTGGTTTTTTCGCAATGGTTATCCAACACTTTTTTATGAAATTTTCCAGATATCATTCTTTTATGGAGCTTACTTGGATTTTCTTCTGTTTAGTATTTCCTACAGGAATTCCGTTGCCATATCATTTATATACTCTATGTTCTCTACTGACACTTGGAGTATTTGTATTTTGGGACGTTTTCTGGTTTGCAGATCAAGAGAGAGATAAAGATATTGCAGAACCTCTGTGGTGGACCAAATATTATTAAATTGCTTGATATTGTGAGGGATCAACAGTCAAAGACGCCCAGTCTTATATTCGAATATGTCAACAACAAAGATTTTAAAGAGCTTTATCCAACTCTTACAGACTATGATATTCGATACTATATATATGAACTGTTGAGGGTAGGCCTTTTATTCTACGTTGATTATTAGGTTGTGGATAGATTTTTCTTAGATTTATACTTTTTTGTTTGATTCTTAACCATTGGGTATTACCCATTGTTGAGAAGTGTTTTCATGTTGAGAGTTTAAATATATTTACAATTTTTTCGTTAATTATATCTCAAATTGACTTTTCTGCCAGCCATGTGGTTGATGCATGCAAATAATTAATGATATTCCTTTTGAACATTCTTTAATATTCCATTGTTTATGATGGCTAAACACCACTTTAAATATTTAATCTTTGACATGCTTGCTTTTGGGGTCTAGTTCAACGTTTAGACTTTGACTTCATTTTTTACTGGAACAAATGGTCATTTAAGTATTCTGTCCTAGCAGAAGTTGTAAATTTTATTTAATGGTGATTAAGCTTATTACTTTTGTTTGGTGGCATCCTTGGTGCCATACGTATGATATGGGAAAGTAAGTTTGTGAACGGATGTAGCACGCTCTGGATGTGCATAGGCGCGCCACACAAATTCTATTAACAATTTTTTTGATGCAAAGTATGAATGCGTCTTCTTCTCACAAGAGGATTTTCATATGACGTTGCAAAGGGTAAGTAGGTTTTCAATGGGCAATTTCTATGTTTGCAGATATTTATTTATCTGCATGTGTTGGTGGGGAGGGGGTTGGGGGAGTTGTGCTGGGCAGGAGACAGGTGGAACAGACATGTTGTGTTCCTAATTTATTGATTATTCTCGCAAGTTAAACCGTGGATGATATGCTCTGATTGACAAAAATTGCTGCCAAGTTATACGTCATGTTATTATCATAGTTGTACAGTAAATTTGATCATTAGATTTTTTTAATAATATTTGTCAACTCCCGTTACCTAATTTTCTTCCATATCCCTTCCCCTCATTGAAAGTTCAATGTGTTGCGGCTTTTGGACTTCATATTTTACTCGTTGCATCTGTTCTCGCATGTCGTTATCTTCTGCTTTTTTTTATGTAGAATGCAGTGGTTGAGTATGGTTTTTTATGGACGTTGGGAACTGCACTAGCCTGACCTTTTCCATCTTGATTTTCCAATTCTCATTTTGTGAATATTTCTGGTTTTTCTCATAATATATTTCTTCTTTCTGCAGTGTCTTATCATTCTGCCATTCACTAATTTTGTACTGTCGTAGTTTCCTCGGTTGAAGTATTCTTTTTAAAGTGCATGATTTTCGTTGTCAAGTGAAGAAGTTTGCTTGTTTCCTGACTCTTATGGGATTTAACTTTGCAATTGTATTTTTGTAGGCTCTGGACTTTTGTCATTCCCAAGGTATCATGCATCGAGATGTGAAGCCTCATAATGTCATGATTGATCACGAACAGCGGAAGCTTCGTCTTATTGATTGGGGACTTGCAGAATTCTATCATCCTGGAAAAGAATATAATGTCCGTGTTGCTTCAAGGTATGTTTTCGTTTATCTTGTTCCTTTTTATCCGTTTTACGTACGTCAAAAGCATTATATTTTTTTGAATTTATCTTAGGATGATTTAGATTTAATTGGGGCAATAAGTGACCTCGGGCGCAAGCTTTTTTGTCTGATATTATTGATCCGCAACCATGGGAAGCATTTCACGATTTGATAAGCTAGTTTCTCAGACTCGTGAATTCTTTGATCCTGAAAAAATATTGCTGTAATCTGTGTATGGTCAATTGGAGTTTCCTCAAGGCTCCCCGTGAGGGAAAATTTTAAAAAATATTGGTATGCATTTTTTTCTCATTTGATTGTCCACGAGACAGGAGAAAAAGATAGATCGCCATCAATGGGTTCTTGGTGCAGACAGATTTTTTAGGTTCAAAGATGGACTAGAGTTAATGGGTAGGCTTGTCCGTCTATACTTGCTATTAAGTCTTCATAGTCTGCTCATAATTTCTAGTTTTGAGGGAAACATACATTGTAGTTAGTCAATAGCCACAAGAACCTTCTCTGATAGATTCTCTCCGTGTCTCTAAGTCATTTTCCCTTGGGTGCCAAAGGATGAGTCTTAACATATTGGCCAGGTGGGGTGGCTGGTGGGCCAGGCACGAGGCTCGATTTAGCTATTGCCTACTTTCGTGACTCAATCTCAAGGTTTGACTTCGCAGAGCCCTGCTGCAGAGTTGACTCAGTCCACATTGGTCATTCCACTTGGCTCCAATAACTCATCTTTCTTCTTGAGTTTTGGGTGTGGATCCCAAAAATTTTCTCCATATCTTCTGCTTTCTTTTAATGAGGCAGAATGCGGGAAATGTACAGAAAGCCCCCTTTATAGTCATTAAGTGCTGATATTCCCCGTCACCAAAATAGCATTCGCTTTGTCACCAAGAAAGGGTTTAACTAGGTTAACTGCCGTTCTTCTCTAATGGTTTGTACGGACACATTCTCAGAATCATTGCTTGATCATCAGGGTTCAGAGTTTGATAGAAAGCATGTAAATATGATGAAGGCTTCTCACTCTAATTATGTGTACCCAGATCTCGTCCTGCCCTGTAGTTAGTGTGTTAAGTCGAGTCAATGGCATCAATATAGACTCGTTATTTATTGCTTTGCCCATATGAATAATTTTTTTTAATTCCAATCATTACTCTTTTCGGAACTATTAGAAGATACAATGCCCGACTTATCTTGTTGAAGTCGGCGATGGGGCAGAGCGTTTCTCATCGGCAATCTTTTCTTTCTACTCAGATATTTTAAAGGGCCAGAGCTCCTGGTAGATTTGCAGGATTATGACTACTCTCTTGACATGTGGAGCCTTGGTTGCATGTTTGCCGGCATGGTAAGCGATTGCTCCCAGGACGTTTTCTGCTGCTTCTAGTTGCTCTTTAGTGAGAACCCTCCTTTTCTGCAGATATTCCGTAAGGAGCCATTTTTCTTTGGGCACGATAATTATGACCAATTGGTCAAAATAGCCAAGGTAACTACGCTCTCCAGCTGCAAATCGTTCATCTAATTAGTATACATTTCCTTGTTCTGTGAGTCGATGGTACCCTCATAATAAGAGAGAGAGAGAGAGAGAGGGAGAGAGAGAGAGGGAGAGAGAGAGAGAGAGGGTGAGAGAGGGTGAGGGTGAGAGTGAGAGAGAGCTCTCAAGAACAGAGAATGAAGAGAAAACTGCAGACCCAACATGGGAAAGCCTCACATGATGTCGAGGCGCTTCCTGTGAAAGTCGCTCATTTGAAATCCTCCCTGTGAAAACCTTTGCCTGTGAGAGGGATCTTATCAAGGGAGAGGGGAGGGGGGCTGACTTTCTGGATCTTATCTGCTTCAGGTGCTTGGAACGGATGAGCTGAACCTCTATTTGAGGAAATACCGCCTGGAGCTCGACCCGCATCTGGAGGCCCTCGTCGGAAGGTTTCCCTGATTCCCTTCGCGGATCATCAGCTTCCTTCTGTTGTAGATGTTGTCGTCATCACCCCCTCATAGATGGTGAATCTTCGTGCTCTGCGGCAGGCACAGCAGAAGGCAGTGGACGAAATTTATCAACTCCGAGAATCAGCATCTCGCAGTTCCAGAGGTCCATCCTCTCAGTGATTCATCACCAGAAAATCTCCGTATTTAGCTAAACAAAGACCTCTTTTTCCTTCTCCAGGCCATTGACTTCTTGGATAAGTTGCTCCGGTACGATCACCAGGAGAGGGTCACCGCCAAAGAAGCCATGGTATCTCTCTAGGGCTGGCGGATTCCCTGTTTTTGCCTTGAGCCATCTGCATATTAGAAGATCTGAACCCAGGAGTTTCTTACCCAATTTGGCAACTCTTTGCTCATCCAGGGACATGCCTACTTCCATCCGGTGAGGAATGCAGAGAGTAGCAGAAATCGTTCATAAGAAGTGCTTCATTCTCGAGCTGCTCATCCGTCAGATTAATGGTTTTGTTTGATGTAAGTTGACCGTTCTGTCCGGTTCAAATCTCCCAAACTGTTTTCTAATGTCTCCTGGCGGTTGTTTCTCTCTCTAATTTTATTACCTTCGGGTCCCCAAATTTGGGCTATTGACACCCCAAATGAGCTCTTTTCGGTGTTGTTGATGCCTTTTACTGTGTTGAAACATTTTTGGCAGATCCAAGGCAGTATCGCTCTCTCTCTCTCTCCCTCTCCCTTTCCCTCTTTCTCTCTTACTCTCCCCTCTCACGTCTCGCTCTCTGGTCACTTCTCTCTCTCTCTCTCCCTCTCTCTCTTCCCTCCCACGTCTCTCTCTCTGGGCACTTCTCTCTCTCCCCTCCCACGTCACGCGCTCTGGGCACTTCTCTCTCTCTCTCTCTCTCTCTCTCTCTCTCTATCTCGCTATGGTTTCTGCGGAGATTAGTGAATAAATCTCTTATTCGATTTTAAAAAGGTTTTATTGGGAATTATGCCATTCCGTCATATGGCCTTCTGGTAGGGGGACTAAATGGGCCGAATGGGCTGATATCCCAACCTCACTGGGTTACAAAAGGCCTTCATGAAAACGGCCCAATTTTATATACAAACATCGGCAGCTATTCTGACCAAGAAAGCATCTTATTGACAGCGTAAAGTTCTCCCTGAGCTTCCTCAATGACAATTTATCTCTTTGGAGCCCTATATTTAAATTATAAAATTTAAAAAAAAATTCTACCGAGATCCAGGTCACGCTTCCATTGAATTGGACGGGTAGGATTCCAGCCCAAGCAAGTGGATTATGGGCCCCCTAATCGATGACAAAGCCCAAATAACTTTTCTACAGTTGAGGCGGAGAGAGGCTACTCACCATTTATGGCCCGGCCTCATACTAGAGATAGTATGTCTCACTATGGGCCAGAAGTCACAATCGGACTTGCCCAAGGCTTATTTTTTGGGCCTTTAGTTGGCCACATGGGCCCTCATAAATCGTCTGTAGTGGAGACGTTCCATCGATAGGGCCCGCGGACTTATATGGGCCAACCAAATCATCTGGTCCAGCCCAAACCTCAAGATTTTGAGCCCTAATGATTCACACCGACCCAATAATTCCTTTGGATACACCCTCCCCCCCCGCCCTCATTATGGGCCGGAGTGTTGTAATCGGACTTTCTCCAAGGCTCATTAGTTGGGCTTTAGTGGGCCAAAAGGCCCAATAATTTGTCTGGAGTGGAGAGGTTCCAGCGATATAGGGAAGCCGTTCAAAGGTGGAAGAGATAGTTGTAGCCGTCGGCTTCGAGAGAGCTCCGAGCCATGGCCGCTGCCTGCGTTTCCCTCACTTCTCCAATCCACGACATCTCCATGACGGCGGCGGTGGCGACGGTCGGAGCTGGGTCGTCCTCCTTCGCCCAGACGGCCGTCTTTCCGCACCCCCGCAGCCTGTCGAGCTCGGGTCTGCCGTATCCTTGGACCACCCGCCGGGGGACGGCGAATTGGAGGTGCCGGGCTTCTTCCGAAGGTTTCGAGCACATACCTAGACAGTTTCGGGAGGTGAATCTTAAGGAAGGATGTGAGTTGCGGCGTGGACGTCATTCTCTTATCTTATTTTTCTTCCGATCTGATTTTGTCTCTATTTTTCTGCTCTTTTATTATACGAATTTCCTAATTTAAACTTTTTCGAGCTCCCGGTATTGGATTTCGTGTGCCCGTCCCGTTTCAAATGATATTATTGATTTTTTTCTTGAGGTATGTCGACAATGTTCAGACCTAAGTTTCTGCCGGGTTCGTTGTACAAAATGAGAAGTGACGCTAAACAAAGATTTTAGGATAACACTTTTCGCCCGTTTGGTCGTATATTTGGCAGAAAAAGAGATGTAATTACTTTATTTTCTCTCTTTTATAAACAAACTAGCCGGGATAGGCCCTAGAACAGGTCCGACCATCTTGGAAATTGACAATAATTCACGGAGTTCGTGTTTTTCAGTTTTTCTCTATGATCATAAGGGACTCTTGTAGATATGCATCAGAGATATCTTAAATTATTTAATCCTAAACGACTGGGCGTTTGAGTCGTTCCTTCAGTTTTCTTTCCCAGGAGTATTCATTCTCGGGTCATTCAGGTTCTCTCTTCAAAGAAGAAAAATAACCATTGATATTTTCTTATGAGTGTCCTCACATTCTTGTTTCTCGTTTTCAGTGATGGAGAACTTCAAAAATGTCCCCAAACACCTTTATGGCTTAAACGAGTCACAGATGGACATGTTCATGACAGAAGATAGTCTCATTGCAAAACAATCGGAGAAAGTCACTGAGGTAGTTTTCTTGTGTTTTAAATTTCTTTCTGTGGTTTATGGCAAATCGATTGAAGGCCAAAAATCTAAAGCCTTTCCATATGATGCCAGCAATCCATTTCATCTGCAAGGAACTATCTAGACAATGGAGGGATGTGGAGTCAATCAGGTATGAAGGATGAAGCTTCTAGGTACAGTATGAGTGTCAGCATGTACAGAGGAGGAGCTCGTGGATCGGGGAGGCCCAGAACTGCCCCCCCAGATTTGCCTTCTCTTCTCTTAGATGCCAGGATTTGCTACCTGGGGATGCCTGTAAGAGATTATCTTCCAAGTCATTTTAGCCATTTTAAAAGCTGATGTTTGATTTCTTTTGATGCTGATATTTTTTTCTCGACTTTCGCAGATTCTTCCCGCAGTAACTGAACTTCTCGTTGCACAGCTGATGTGGTTGGACTATGACAACCCCTCTAAACCGATATATATGTATATAAATTCGTCTGGGACACAGGTAATTCCGAAAAGCTGGATGCATAATCTGGTCACAGGCTAATTATAGCAGGTTCTTCCCTGCTAAGTTCTCATGAATTACTGTTCTTTACGTTGAACTGATTTTCACTGCTACATTCTTTGCCAGAATGAAAAGTTGGAAACTGTTGGATCCGAAACTGATGCATATGCAATTGCGGATACTATGGCTGTGAGTTGAAGACCGCTTGCCCTCTTTACGTCCTTTGATTTAGGAATAAAAACTAATATCGTTAATGATAACAACCTTGCAACAAAAGGATATTACCTTTGGCTTTTTTTTTTTTTGCAATGTTAGATATTTAGACATTTGCATGCATATAATTCTTTCATCAAAACTTTTGAGGTTGCCAGGTTAGTGATTGAAGGGCGGTTTACGCATTTAATATAAAGCCCAGTATGGCTTTGGTCACATATGTTTGGTAGAAGGTACTTTCATGATTCTTGGATGAACGTTTAACGTGATTCCTTATTTACGGGCTCCCAATTTTTTCTTACCCCATGTACGCTCTACCTGAGAAAAAAATTGAATTGAATAATTTATGTTGTTTCATGTTTTACTCATTCTGCTAACAATTGTTCATTGATAAAAGAAAAAGGGGTAAGATTATGAGAAGACTTATTCAACGTGTCAAACAATGAAGAGAGCTTTCTATATAAACCAGAACATGAGCAGAAAAGGGTTGCTCATGACCTTTAGAAGCGTGAGCAATGATAGCTGATGCAAAACATCTTTCTGGCTGCCAATAACTTCAATCCAGAGAGTTGGTTTGATTTCTTAGAGATAACTAACCATAAAGTGAACCTCATTAAAGTCATGGAGAACAACACGTAATTGGAAGGGTTACATTTCTGTGCAAATTTCTGATAGTTTCCTCGTTAGTTTCTACCATTGAATTATCAAATGCGTCAGTTATAGTTTGAAGATGGAGATCAACTAAGTATGAATCACATGACCCGGTTGACTTGAATGGTTCAATGGAATGAACAGAAAAGCCATTTAGGTAGTCTTGAAAAAATAATTGTGTGGGTTGCAGACAAAAAACTGTTTGGATCACATGAGCATTTCTCTTCAAAATACTGGGGGAAACGTTTGGGAATGATATGAATCAGAGGAGAGAGGTAAAGGGGTTTGGATGCTTGTGACTAAATCATTTTACAGAAAGAATTTTAGTTTCCTTAATGAATGCTGAGTGGAATTTATATCAATATCTAAAATCGTCTTACTTACTTACTTTTAGGCTTCTGTTTAAGTGCTAATCACCTCAGATGTGCGTAACACTGGTCAATGCGCATTTTTGACAGTGGATATATCTTAAAAATATATATAATTTTTTTTTTTTGCGCTGACCAATTTTGTGGTTGCTTGCATGTAAATAATCATGTTTACCAAGTTATTATCTATTCACCCACTTCTACCTCTATGAAATCTCTCTGAACCCCATAACTCTCCCATACATCTCGGAATCCGTGCATCATTATCTCTGTCTCTTTCATGTTGACCATCTAAGATTGGACTGATTAGCATCCCTTCCTCAACAGTACTGCAAATCAAAAGTCTACACTGTGAATTGCGGCATGGCGTACGGTCAAGCGGCGATGCTCTTATCTCTCGGCGCAAAGGGATTCCGTGCTCTGCAGCCAAATGCCTCCAGTTATCTCCCATTTATCACTCCCCCACGCTGATTATTTCTCCTTCAAGCTTCCACAGTCTCTCTCATTATGTGATGCTTCTCTTCAATCCCAGCCAAGCTGTACCTCCCAAAGGTCAACAAATCCAGCGGGGCAGTGATCGACATGTGGATTAAGGTGAGACGTGATTTGCTTAATCCTGTGGTTTGGCCCAGAGAATGTCAACCCAGTTGACTTAATTTTGTCAACAGAAGGTCTGAGGTCATTGTATTCTCGTTTTATCCAGGCTAAGGAGCTGGACGCCAACACCGACTACTACATCGAGCTGCTGGCGAAGGGGATCGGAAAACCTAAGGAAGAGATCGCCAAAGACATCCAGCGCCCGAAGTACTTCCAAGCCCAGGAAGCCATCGCCTACGGAATCGCCGACAAGACCATTGATTCTCGCGACGCCGCCTTCGAGAAACGGGTAGATCGGAACCTCCTCCTCTTCACCTCCCATATTCTGATCGGAGCGTCTGTGGTGTCTGATTAATCTGATTTGTTCTTCTTTTGGTCAGAATTACGACGAGCTGCTGGCTCAGTCTAAGGCGATGAGGAAGTCGGCAATGGGCGGCTCGGCGTCTCAATCGTTCAGATGAAGATGAGCCGGTGATGGCGTTCAGGGTTTATCAGCCCTCTCTGGGGAGGCTGCCAGTGGGTTCTTCTGTATCATATAACATCTCATTTTAGGGATGATCACGCTGATCCGTCGGTGTAGAAAATATACGCAGTTCGTGTTTAGTGTGATGTGGGATTTGGCCTTCGAAGAGAACAGCAGAGGATGAACTCAGAGCCCGATTGGAAGCCCAAACCCAGAATCATTGACTGGTACCCATCTCATGACGACCCCTAATTAATTTTTTCACTGTCATCTTGCTATATTTTTGCAATTTTAAATCGTAAATTTTAGATGGAAATGGACCCAATTGGGAGTTTTCTTTGATTTAATATTCTTCGAGATATTGAAGATTATCTCATGATTTAAAATTGCAAGCTTTAGATGGAAATGGGCCCAATTGAGAAGTGTATATGACCTAATATTCTTCGAGATATTGAAGATTATCTCTTGATGGCCCTAATTAAAATCTTCATTCTAATCTTTTCATATTTTTCAATTTAAAATCGTAATCTCTTTAGGGAAACGGGCCAGATTGTAGCTTTTACGATTTAATATTCTTTAAAATATCAATTACAGCTGCATCTCAAATAGCCCTCTCTCTCTCTCTCTCTATCCTGTAGACACCCCCCAATAATCACTGTGGCAGCTCACTTCTCTATCACTCTCGCGGGGTGGCAAAGAGTGATGGCCATGCGTTTCTGAAAACGCGGTTCTGCGTCGCCGTGGATGGGGAGCAGCTAGATACTGATGTGTGAAGAAACAAAAAAAAAAAGAAGGAATCTCTCTCTCTCTCTCTCTCTCTCTCTCTCTCTCTATCTATCTATCTCTAATGAAAAAGAAAAGGAAGCAAGCCGAAGAGGAAATGCACGATCATGCAAAAGAACGGAGGCTTTCGAAGTAGAAGCGAGGATCTGGGCCCATCTGAGAGATTATGGCAAGGTCCACAGCTCTTCTCGGGCATAATCTTTGACCGCAGTCTTTCTGACACCACACTAGATCAGCCATCTGACCAGTCGCTTGCCACCCGTTGACCTAGCGTGCCGGCGCTGGGTAGGCCTTGGGCTTCGGCTTCACCTCCATCTCGTTCACCTTCCGGACAAATATCGCATCCGGTTCGTGGCTGGAGAGATAGGGAGAGAGAGAGAGAGAGAGAGAGAGAGAGTTAGTGGTGATGTAGGGAAAGGAGAGAGAAAGAGTTGGTGCTCACGATATGTCTCCCTCTTCGTAGGTGTAGCTTGATGCCACCGCCAAGAGGCCGCCATCTCTGCTGAAGGAGAGGGCAGCGATGCTGGTTGGGTACTTGGAATACTACAAAAAAAGACCCGGAATTTCTCAGGGGGCCTCTCTGAAGGATAATTCCATACATAGAACGCGGCCCTGAATTGCAGAGGGCGGCGTTTATAGAGAGAGAGAGAGAGAGAGAGAGAGAAATTGATCGGATGGGCCACATCAGACCAGAGGAATCTGGGAATCCATCATTAGAAGAATGGGTGAGAGAGATTGAGATTACCTGATATAATCTCTTCTTGTTGCTGCCATCCCACACGTTCACATACCCATCACAGCCTCCAGTAGCGAATGTTCCATAGCTGAAAACCAAAGTTGAGAAACAAATAAACAGCATATTCTTCCTTCTATTTCCATTCTTAGCGGGATTTATGTACGAAAATAATGGTGTGGGGGAGAGAGAAAGCAGCACATTGGGTGGAATGCGATTGTGTTGACAGGGTACACGATGTCCCTCCCAGCCTCTGATTTTCTGTGGCACTTGAAAGCATACCTGAAAAAATAAAAATAAAATGCGACTTTACCAATACTAAGATCTGATGAAGCAATCCCTAATAAAAATTTGATCAAAGGGTTTGTGAGCATGAGACAGAAAGCGCTCCTTTGGATCCAAGGCAAGGAGAAGAAGCCCTGGGCGGTTAAAAGTCAATAATACCCCTCATCCTGAGTGGAAATTAGGGTCAACGATAGAAAAGTGGAGAGAGGTGTTGAAGAGATGGGATGGGGAGATTCTTACTCTAGAGATTTGAGCTTCAAGGATTGGTAGGATGATTGATGGAGTTTCTTCCTTCCCAGGGCAGAAAGTAGGTGAGATTGGACGAAGAGCTGATGTAGGATAGAGATCCAAGGGGTTTTATACATACCAGTTTTACCAAGTTCGTATTTGTAATGCAAGGAGAATTATTACATAAGCTGTTAAACGTGGGTGGGGGAGACGATTCCGAGTTCAGTACAAGTTTTTAGCCTATAAAGAAGGAAATTATCTAGACTTCATATTTCTAAGAACGATTACAATACTAATTTAAAGGTCCTAAATTACTCTTACAAGCACAATGATAAGACAATTGGGGGGAGGTTTGTTGATAGGACTGAGTCTACTCATGAACAATAATCTTTGGTGAGTGATGCCTCCCACGGCACCATCAGTCATATGCACAGAGAGTAGGAAGGATCTCCTGCTTTATCATGGGGAATGAATGTAATGAAATATGAAATTAGACTGCTTTTCAAGTAGTTCGGTCGCTTTTTAGAAGATAAATCTTCAACTTTTAGAAGGCAATCATCCTGCCCCCACATTATTTTGATGTAGATGTTGGTAAGTGCGTGATGTTTTAGAGTGGCTCAAACAGAGATAATTCTAGGGCAATAAGATATGGTGCTTTTTCGTCGTTTGGTGATATGTTGTGTCTAGCACATACAAAAAAATAATACAACAATGAAAGCTTATTCTTTGTTCTAGGGGTTGCCAAGAGTTCAGCGATGCAGTCAAAACTTTATGAGAGAGAGAAAAAATTAAGGTAAGTTCCGGAGTTGGAGCTAAACATCACAAAATATTAGCTTGTTTACAAGAAAAAATAGGTTTTATGAGGATAAAAAGAGGAAAGATAGCGTTGTCTTATGTAAAGTAACGTGGGAAAGAGCACCTACTTCTTTGCCTGCCCGGCATCAGATAAATCAAAGAATTCCATGGCAACCCGACCTTCCACAGAGCTAAGTGCAAAACCTGAAGAAAAACAGTCAGAGTTTTAAAAATGATACTTGATGGATTGGAGGTGCAACTAAACCGCATAAGACATTAACAGGTGTGTGACAGAGACAGGAAGTGCAGAGGAGTCAAATTGGATCTTGTTGGTATGAACTGTTGTTTCAATACCTCACTTGCACTCACTAGTCACGTGCAATAAGATAGGTCAACGTGTGGTGGGCCCAGGCAAAGAATATCCATGTGGAGGGTGCCGACTGTTAATGTATGATAGTGTTCGCTCTTTATGTGGCATACAAAACATGGCACAAAGATGCATTCTTTGTGCCCAAAACAATAAAACTGACAACGAAGATTTGGGCCATTATGCTATGCATCAAAAAGCGTACCTGTCCCATTGGGGTAGCATCTTACACATCTGGTCTGATATTTCAACGAAGATTCCCTTCTTTGCTCAGGTTGGGACATGTTGCGCAAGTCATAGACATTCACGTGCCTGCCTGCGGTTGCGACAACTAGTCTATGTCCAACCAGAGAAAGCGAATAAACACGTTCTGGTTGTGGATATGCTCCAACAAGTGTGTAATCCGGTCCACTAGCACCCCGAGGGTCCCAGCATTTCAGCGTTTTATCCCAGCTGCCAGTAATCACTTGACCTACAACAATAGAAACATAATCCGTACTTATGAGCCTACGCTCAAAATCTTTTTGTTAACAATTCAATGCAGTGGGCTTAATAATTCACTACAATGGAAGGACATGACAGAAGCATGGTGTTGAACATGGCAAGAAAAAAAAAAAGAGGGAGAGAGCAACATGACTAGACCAATGTAAATAGTTTTACTTCGCATGCCCCCTAAAGAATACATAACAACTGCACTTATCATGATGTTAATGGCAAAAAGAATCTGCTATGTGCCAGAAAGAAAGAATAGCTGAACAAAATAACACTGACTGTCACATAGATGAATCAGATATCTACTGACAAGTGTGAGCATGAAAATAAATGAATATTTATTATTTTATTTATATTTTAATTACCTTTCTCTTTTATCTCTATGAGCCTATGCTCATTCCAAGTACAACCCAAGTATAAGCAGACAACCTCAATATTTCGCAGAAATTTGCAATATACAGTTAATAAAGGGGTCAGAGAGGAAGCGTGAAATATGCATAAATATTTTTGGGTTATGCCATTGTTTCACTCTTCCGAAAGACAACCAAATTTATGAACTTGTCACTCAAAACACCAGCATAATTTTTACTCGCAGAAAAATTGCCTGTCAGTCTATGTGAAGAACAATTACTTTTTTCGGAAAAAGGAATGATTCCCAGCGTGTGAGTCTTTGAGTGTACTGTAAATACACTCTAAGGAAAGAATGATAGGAAGGAAATAGGCTATCCGATAGTAGCATACTTGTGAGTAAATCCGGACGAACGTTCCGAGCATTGGTGTATGCAAATACAGTGCGCATCTACTTCTTAGAAAGTGAAATCCTCATCTTATATTAATTTCCATGTCGAAGAAAAGATGGAACATATCATGGATCAAAATTTATAATTCAAAGTAGTAAACCTTCTGAGATGAAGTATGTCTAAGAAAAGCATGAAGAGCCCATATGGACATGGATGTCAGACAGCAGAGAGATGCATTTTTTTCACATAAATCAATGGTAACATATATTGCATTTCAATTGTTAAATTTCAAGTAAAACATGTACTTGCAACTAACTAATCAGTGACCGTCTTAAACCTTAAAAACATGCAACACAACGTGTGTTGATTTCAAATAAATAAACAAATATATAAGCAATTAAAGAAAAAACCTGTCGCATATGAGTACTCCACGCAACGCACAGGAGCAGCATGCTTTCCCAAGACATCTTCCTTTCCAGTGCTGAAAACATACCTGAAATTTCACCAAAAAATAAAATTATGGAGTCCGAAATATTTCAAATAGTCACGTCGAAATAATTAGGAAATATGTAAACCTTTGAAAGGCTTATCTGTGCGAAAATGACCAATCTTAGAATAAACTACGCCTAGGAATCATGAAAAAACAAAGTTAACACATAGAAGCCAGAATTAGTCACCTCAACATAAGAAACTGTGATCTTATTTGGATTCAGAAACTCATGTTTTGACTTGCAAACGAAACTGGTGATATGCTTTCTCCACAATGAATACATTACGCACCCCTAACACCATGATAAAATTAAATATTTATCCTATGGAGAAATTTTTATTCTGAGATTAGTCAAGGATTTGATAACTTAAAAATCATTTCATTGAGGAGGAATATTAAATATTTTCCATGTTGATCCATCTGGTTTATTTGAAACAATCTCTAACTTAGAGAATCAGAAGGTATCAGACAAGTTTCAATACAGCATGTCACAAGGTCCATGTTTCCTTTTGGAGAATTCAAAGAAAGGAGTTGACGAGTTTTATTAACAAACTTTCTTTCTTTCCATTTTGATTCCCGACGTACACTAGGATTGCCCCGAAAGGTGATTGCTATGGTAGATCTTACACCAGAGCTTCCGGATAAATGAAAATCAACCTTCATGGTAGGGGCAAAAACAATGGATGGCTTTCAGAAATAGTATAAACCTTCATGACTGCAGTTCCTTCTGATTACCATACTAGAAATCCTTCATGATTACCAGTTTGTATCCTAAAAAACTAGCTCAACAATCAAATTTAATATTGTTGTAACAGAAATCAGCAAGCTTTTCGTCAGGTTCAAAATGCACGAAGACATATTTCTTTTCCATTTATAGATTTCCAAATAATTTATACCATTCCCAAAGAATCCCAATTATTTTGTTTATTTTTTTCAAGCATACTTCTTCGTAGGTAACATAAAGTGTTTCATGAGAGTATATGCAGGCAGATTGTTGAATAAAAGTATTACATTGGTGCTTCATTTCTGTTTGTAGTTTAGATGAACGAAACATCGTCATCACAGACCTTTCCCGTCGTTAGACCATAAAGCAGTGGAAGCTTTTCTCAAGATATAACTTTCCATACCAGACACTTGCTTCAATAGACGTTACACATCTGCCCTTCCCATGGTTAACACTAAATCATACAAGGATAGAAAAACATGGTATGTGAAGACCGTAGGCGCACACAAGACCTTATCCATAAGTAAAACAGACAACTGCAAACCTAAACCCCAGCGGATGAAGAACTGGGGAACCAAAGCAAAGTAGCGCAACAAAGAACTATTTTTTTTTGAGAATTAATGAAATCCGTCCGCACCTCCGGACAAGGTGATCCGCACATGCACTAAACCCGGAGGTGTCATCGTGGAAGCAGCAATCCAGAACAGGACCACCATGCTTGAACTCTCCTTTCAGCACATTAGCACTTGCGTCGTAGAGTCGAACGCTCTGATCTCACACAGAACATCGGGAATCCAACCCGTGGACACAAAAAATAGTCGATCAGTTAGTGCTCAAACCCTAGAGATGTACGGATGGAAGACGAAGCAAACCGGGGAGGCCGCGATTACCTTGTCCCAGGAAGAAACGAGCAGATGATCGCTGTGGTTAGAGAACCGAATGTTGGAAATTCCGTCCGACGGCGGATTTGAAAGCTCCCGCCCCGGCGCCGGAGGAGGCGCGGCCCCGCCACTCATTTCCTTCACCGTGTAGCTTGCCCCAGACCGGGAGGAGAGAACAGCTCGAGGAGAGAGACCTTGCGATCACAGAGAGGAGTACGGAAGAGGCCACCCTTGGAACCCGGGGAGACGAGGAACCTTCAAATGGCTGCAGATGGGGGGAAAGGAGACGGGCGGCCTTTTCAGTTCGAAGCTGACAATTTAAATTGTCACAGAAGAGACGACAGATGGGGAGCCCAGATCGAAAATCATAAGGTACATATATGCAAATAAAATATTACAATGCCTATTGACATTCTATATAATAAGTTGAGGACTTTTTGTACTATTACCTGTTCGAAATGCCTAACAACACGATCTCTCTCTCTTGCTCTTGATGTAAAATGGAGTATAAAACTAATACTAAATTATCAGATGTCCTGAATATACCAACTGTTTGGCCCCACCCACTAACGACGTAGCCACGCTTGAGCCGATCACACCCAATCTGAACTAAGCCACCCGAACCCCGACATGTTCGTAGAGAGAGAGAGAGAGAGAGAGACAGAGACAGAGAGAGAGGAGCGTTGGGCCCGGCCTGGCCAGCCTATTTAGCACACAAAGGTGACGGTCAAACTTACATCAAATCTCACCTAAAAGCTCTGGAAAAATCCCAAGAAGTGACCATGCTTTTTCACATCGTTCTCAGCTCCCGGTCCATTTAACACCCAAAGTCTGACTATACACGTCAATCAAATATACCCTCCCCACACCCCCCCCCCTCTCTCTATCTCTCTATCTCTCTCTCTCTGTCTCGAGCTCTGTCGAAGAAAGGGATTCCTTTGGGGAAGTTCAGCAGAAGCAGTGCCAAAGCATGTGTGATTAAGAGCCCGGCCACGTGGAGCTTCCTCATGTATGGTCTTCATCTCGAGAATGGTTGGCTATCTCCACCTGGCTGTCCAGCGGCATGTACTGGGCCATAATGGCTCTGATCTCCGAGTCCATGTAGGACTGAATCAAATAAAGCCCGAAAAGGGGATATTAGAATAATCCCACATACATAATAATGGAAATAAATCAGCCCAGATTCGTAAATACTTACTCTTAATCTGTACTTATACACCATATATGCGCCCGCAGCAGCGATAGCCAGTCCGATCAAGATGACCCAGACAGCTACCCAGGTGGTGTTTGACTGGATCGCCCTCTTCGCTGTTCATCAGACCATGGGAGGGAGTCAACGATTGGGGATTATAAGAAAAATCCGAAATTAGGAATTGAGGATGATCACCAATGCAGGCATCATGATCTCTGATGTACAAGAGATCCCCACTGCAGGAGCAATCGTAGCTGCCCCAGGTGTTTCTGCAGCTGCATTCGGAGCACTGGCAGGCCTTCTTATCTTTACATTCATTCACATCTGGAAGATCAAAAAACAGAAAAGAAAAGAGGGATTTAAGCTCAGATTCACAAACAGTGGGTGTGAACAAGAAGAGATTTCTGCATTCATGCTCGAATGATTTGTAGAAGATCAGCTCAGCGAGCCTGAAGAAAATGGCATTTCACCTTCACAGCTGTTGACGCCATCGCCTGTGAACCCAGCGGGGCACCGGCATTTGGTTTCTCCCCACTCCTGCAAATAGTAAAAGTTGGGGCGGATGATCCACACCATGTTCTTGAAAATTGCAAAAATTGCCCCCAGAATAGAATAATTCTCTCATCGAGATCAAGTTTGATCGCATGATCTTTAAATGTGTGATCTAGAAGTGCTAATAGAACATTGATATTATATGCATCTGTATAGTTGTATATTAAACTCAAAAAATCTTATACAACCCATTAAAAAAGATGTCCCCAGAATAATTCTTATCAGTTGACTCCGTACAAAGAAACGTTGACTCTTTAGATATATATCTTTGTGTGATTATACATAAATTTTTCTGACCCATAAAGAAATTTGTCTCCAAGATAGTAGTTTTTGTCAGTGCTAGTGAGTTGGTAGCAAATAGATGACGGGATCTGTCTTCTAAGTAGTAAGAAAAGTGGGTAGTATGGACAAGTATAATGATAAGAAAAAGCACCAACCATGCAAGCGGAGAAGGTTAGACCCTCTCGAGAATTATGCCAGCAACCTCCATTGTTTATCAGGCACCGTCCAGGCCCACGAGCTGCAGATGGAATGAGTCAAAGAAGATCATTTTCAGTTGCTTATATTCCAACAATGTGTATAAACCCATATCTCAATCTTGGAACAAAGGCTGCCCTAAGAATAAAAGAATAAGGCTCATCTTTCTCTTGGTAATAACACTGCCTCAGAGGCTCAGAAGTCTCTGACAATGAGAACCGAGAGAAGGCCGTAGGCACATCAAGCGCATTATAGTTTGGACTGTGGGCTGTGCTAAGGTTTGACAAACAGAGAGAGGGGGAGAGAGAGAGAGAGAGATATTAAAAGTCAACGCCCATCCATTGTGTTTCAGGGCAAGACATATCTACATTAATTTATATGCACTACCATGGGCCTGCCACCAAACTTATGAAGGTAAGGTGGCCAAATAAACTCTCAATAAACTCTCGTTTTGTTCTATCGGACAATAAATCGGCGGTCAATAGGGCATCAGCAAATTCTAGTTCACTTTAGTCTAGATTAACAGTAGGAATAGTAGAATCCCATTTTGCTTCTTCCCTACTTATAATTGTCTCTCAGTGCACTTTTGAAGGAGTTTTAAGACGTGTTTTACCAGTAGACAGAGCAAAAGGTTTACCTTCACAAGAGGTATAACCATCTCCATGAAACTGCACACCTTGGACGAGGGGACATTCACAAACTCTTCCACGAAACGTATCCTGACCAAAACGTATAAAGAATAATTAAAAAAACGAAAAACCACTGGTGCATTGATCCTAAAACGTTTTGGTTTCAGTTCACCTTGCATGCAGTAATGTTAGAAGCTTTATCCTGCCAGCAACCCCCATTATTGCTTAAACATTCATTCGTCTCTATATCTGGATGAATATTATATAGCTGAATTAGAAATTATGGCCTTTAATATGAACTGGAAGAGAGGGTTCCATGGACGTTTTGAAAACCATACAAATCAAACAACTCACCGTTACTTAGGCAAACAGCAGGTTCTGTAGTTTCCTCAAAACCAGAACAAACAGCCTTCAAAACAGCACTTTTCTCCAATTTCCCTGCACGTATGTATGTTAGCTTGCCTTCTATACGAAGTCACAAGAAGGGAATGGTGTCATTGGCCAACCTCGATATTGTCGACTATTGATAACAAGTGTAGGAAGTATTGTAACATCACCCCTGGAACCCTTCCCAACCTATATCAAGAAAATTCTGTCACTCGCACAGATCCAAACACAATTAAACGTTTTAAGTGAAATGCCTTATACTAAGAATATTGCATTGTACTATCGAAGAGGCTTATGCTTTGAGTATGAACCCACCATGAAGATATATTATATATATGCCACGTCAGATGGATCCGGAAAAATGCAAAGCAACAAAGAAAATCCCTCCTCCTTCCTCAAGGGGGTTAAAAAAAAAAGTATTGGGAGTAGCATCACTCTACAAATTAATCACATGAGACAGACGAACAACAAGGTGTTTTAAACGTCCCCAATAAAACTGATGCATAAATTCAAGAAATGCTCGAATTCAAATAGAAGTTATTCAGTAAGCATGAAAGTGGAAACTAATGCCTCGTAGCATACACCTATGAAAGACTCCATCCACAGTATCTATTTATACATCTAAACATATATAGACCATATATAGCCAGCCTTTGAGAACAGATATCGTCCGGTGCTTCTTTCATTGTCCATGGTTCAACGAGCAGAAGGGGGAAAATCTGCAAGGTCTAATCACCTGAGCATCTTGTTCTTCTTTCAGAACTTGATTTTCAGAGTCAGCGTCTGTATCACCCATACAGTTTTTAATCTTTCTGGCATCAAGCCCTGCCCAACAGAAGCATTAGAGAAGAATCCATTGACCGTCATCCAAGAAGTGTGCCAAAATAAAGAAAATTCTATCACAGGACGCAAGTTAATTTTAGGTGCTTGCTAAGAATATTTTCATAGAATAAAATATAGCATAGTCCACAATATTGTTTCCAATATAAATAGCATAGGCCACCATGTTGATTTAACATTTCAATACATAGTGATACTGATTCAAACTTTTCAATCAATGTTTCCACAAGTAGTAGAGCTTAACCTATAAGATCAAATATGAAAGTATCATATCACATGCATGTTCAATGTTGCACAGTAGCAATACGTATAGTACTTTCCAAAAGTGGCAGCACAAGTAGACTAAGTCGGCTTGGAGACAACTTCAAGTATCTTCCTAGTCAGAAATAAGACTAACAGTTAAAAGATGGGGTTTCTTTCGCGAAATAAAAGAATTCACGAATATCACTGAAATTGGATCCTCCTGTTACCAACTCGATTGAAAATAGTAGCAGACCATGATTCAACCAAGGCAAATGCCTTCCTTGGCAAATAATATTTGAAAAAAACATTTACATGGTACATATAGCCGACATGCCAGTGTCACATTATACATGTTCCAGAGTGACAATCCAAGTAAATCTGAAATAATGTCCAAACATGCATTTGTTTTCAGCCATGACATTCAAAACACAATTCAACTTACCCAGGGACTTGATAACATTCCCAGCACAGTCCTCAGTGTATTTTTTCTCCTTCATAGGGCATCTGATATGAAAGTCAGTGACATAATCCCACCACAGCCAGGGTCTTTTACTCTCATTTGCAACCCTAAACACACACAACTGCCTTAAGTTCTCAATAACTACATCCTTCCCATCATAACCTCTGCTAAAATCCTGTTCCGGGTCAGGCGCACAGTATCTACCGTTATTTATACATTGCGACCTGCACTGCTTACTGGCAATGAATGACTGTGGGCAATACCAAGTTATGTAATGAGGTGTAAATTGACTATAACCACCTTGTTCAAGTATCTGTGCTGCACCCTTAAATTCTTTCACGAATTCCATCAACATATCACATTTAGGTCCACATTCATCATTGCTACTAGTCCATAACTCATACTCCACACGATTGTCAGGGTGAGGAACAGCTTCCCTCCAGTCAAGGTTCACATTAACCATTTCGCCATTTTGATATGCCTTTTTTAATTGCCCACCAAATGCTTTGTCAATAAGTGCAGACGGAATCGTTATATTTTGAATAAAGGTTGCAGCATCAGTATCTTCTCGAGGCAAATCCATGGTTATCAATGGTTCGTCAGTGTTGTCAACCACAAGCACTGCTGATGCGCCAGCATTCTGTGCATTCCAAACCTTTTTAGCAAAAAAGCAACCTGTAAAAACACAGAAGGTAGACCAATTAAGTAAAAGATTACAAGTGATAAGCTAATCAACATCTTCGTAGGAATCATAACATCCATAAAAGAATCTATTTATCAGTAAAAATAGGAAACACAATTGGCCACCACACAAGGCATAAAAGTTGACTTAAGGGATCTGATTCCTAGAGAGAACTCCTAATACTATGTAACTTGAAAACTATAGGTGTATGCAAAACCGTGGGGAAGAGCTGGTGAATAGACATGAAAGGAATTTGATTGAACCCATTTAGCTAGTGAAACGCTAGAACAGAAACGTAGGTGTCCTCGGGTTTGGCCATGTTCATGGTCATGATTTTTATATATTTTCTAAATATTCCATTAATGGCATCTAATAGCTACATGAAATAGGCTTATACCTCACGAAAGAGCTGCATTCATGAGCGGAGATAAGGGAAATCTATTCTTTTAAAAAAAAAATAGTGGTTCAAATAGACTGAAGAATACTAGATGAGACAAGATCGTTTCATATTCAAAGAACTCACACTTGGCATGCCTGACTTTAAGCGAACTGGATTTGAGCAAAGTGAAGTCTGGCTCATCTAATATTCATAGAATTGAATTTCATCTTGCATCAGGCCCTATCATTAAATGAACTGAGCTTAAACTCAGGCTGGACTGGCTTTTATACACGGATTTTAGGAGCCCGCAATCCAGATTCATGCTTTACAACAATGACACTTTCAGTGTGACATCGCACTGGATGACGTTAAGCTAATTCAATGGAGTGATTAAAGCAATTTTGAAACCCTTCATACTTCATACAAGAAAAGGAAAATGAAAATCAAGAGAAATGTCTTGAAGATTTTCTTCACTTCCAAGACTTTACAGAGAATAATGTCAGACGTGCACATGAAACAGGGAAAAACTAATCACTAATTTGGAAGAGGATAGTGGAGCCTCCAAAATACAAATATAGATTGAAGAAGAAATCCTACTTCATTATTGGTGGAGGATACACCAAAGATTAATGGAAGCAATATATATCCATATCTCGATGAAGACACTCCAAAAGAATACAAAAAGCTAAGGGAGACTTTTACACAGAACAAGGGAGAAAAAAAGCATGGGAATCAATGAAAATTCTAGAATACTGACTTCCAAGTTTTACATTCCAAGAAGATATCTTCTTTACAGTGACGACGATTTCTAGCACAACTCACTTACCAATTGCCCGAAAGTTTTACCGATTGAGGCATGTTAGTTATAACGCTTTTTTGCGACATAAAACCTGTCCCACAACTTTAAAGGGTCACCATTCTAAAATTTCTTCTGTGACTTAAAGCTTCCAAGGTCTAAAACTTAACAGATTTCATGCAATGATCAGTGTATAACCCTGTGTCCGTCATGAATAATAGCCTCAAGAATTGGAGTAACATGATAGCCATAAAATACCAGAGGACAAAAAAGCTTGGATACCGATTAGCATAATAAGTTACTGCCAGGTTTAATACTAGAAAATTGATATTAAAAAAATATCAACACTACTGCGGTCCCACAGAAAATTAAATAGAAGGTGTGCCTCATGGTGGTACAGGATTCTTTTCAGGAGCGTCACTGGATGGAAGTATAATGATGATTTTTTCACTACCGAGTTTATTTTGGAGTCAAATGGTTGCAATTTTAGAAACATTTATAATATGAAGCTGCAAGTGTACCATGGTTACCCGTGCCCCAGTCATGACCGCAGCTTTAAAGATCAAAACAGTATGGGTAACTAACTCTTTGGATCGGACGACGGATTACCCTTATGAGAAAAAAACTAATCCACTACGATCTGTAACTTTATATGAATAAGGGAAAAAAATGGCGCCAAGTGCACGGGCGATCAGTCGTCGAAAAAAGTTGGGATAAACAAATGAGACAAGGAAGAACCCCGTTACCTCCACGATCTACGACCACAAAGTAGGGGAGGCCGCCTATTTTGGCCCGGAATGATTCGGAGAATGCTTCACAGCCATCGTTGTTCTGCTTGGGATACACTATGGTACCGGCCATGCTACCACCGTACTGGGGGATCCCGAAGTTGGCGATGGCGCTGTCGTGCTTCCCCCGCAGTTCATTGGGCGAAGTCACCATCAAGCTGTTCTTCTCCACCACGAACCGTCCAGAGACCATGTCACCGATAAGGGCCAGCCCTAGCCATGCCGCGACGAGCCCTCGGAGGACCAACCTCCTACCCGATCCCCACATCTCCGCCGTTACCTCACCGGCGCCCCACCTCCCCAGATCCCGATCCTGTCGAAGAGATCTGCTACAGCGAACGAATGACCGCGAAGCTCGTCGAAAGCAGAGTGGAGACGGCCTTCTTCAGCAGCTCGATGGAGGGTGTTGTGAAGTGGAACTGCCGCTCTGCGCCCCACTGCATCCGCACGTCTACCAGATCTTAATTTCTTGTTGACGAAAAAAAAAGAGAAGAGCTTCCTGTTGTCGGTTTGATTGTTGATGTTAAACTATCGGAATTGTCCATATAAAAATAGATACTTTATTATATTACCTATTAACATTTTTTATTTCAAAAAGTCCTTTTTTACTATTTTTAGCCCAAACTCCAACTGTTACTGTTTTTTTTCCTGTTCATATATAAAAAATTAAATAAATAATATTAAATATCGACAGACCCTTTTCTATGGTTTATGACAACAATTTATATATAGCGGAGGCGCAATATGAACGTAAATGATTTAAAAGGACTAAAACGCAATACATATAAATTTGCGGGAAATAGTTTAACGATTGAAATATTTTGCGAGTGATACGAGAAAATATCCCTATCTACTTCAATTATGGACGCCGTGAAAAATATCGCGTACAGTTGGAAACGTTTTTAAGGGAATTAAATAAAGTCATGTAATAATTACGCGCGCTGTGCACGTGATTCGTACATAATTTAATACACTTCTCGAAGGAGTCCTAGAGCCCAGTAATGCCGGCCCGGCCCATTTTGTGGGGTGGGTCCCACGCCAGCCCATTAAGACGCTTCTAGTAGCCCCCAGTGAAAGCGCTCCTGGCTTCGCGGGTTCCGCCCCTCGCGACGGCGGGCAAAAGCGTGGGCTCCATCGGTAGTTTCGGCATCTCTACAGGGTCGATAGCGGAAGCAGGGGGCGGTGGTGACTTCGTCAATCTCAGGGGGATCCGGTAGTCTGGAAAGGGAGATTCCACGCGTACTGCGGCGATCGCCTGGAGGGATCAGTCGCGGGAGGAGGTTACTGCGGCGGTCAGGTAGGGATCCTTTTATATGAGTTAATGGCCTATGGGGTGACCATGGATGCCGTAGAAAACAACCCTGTTGACTAAAAGCATCTGGGGAAACAGGAGACAGTCATATGTTCGAGGACCTGTTGTGGTGTGTTTGAATGATAGAAGGTTTTTGTTTAATCGGTTCAGTTGAGAATTTTCATGGATTCGAGTTTGATACCAGGAAAGAGATTCTACTGGAGTACGAACGAAAGTCTAAAACCCTATTCCATCAAATGGGTGACAGGTTAAGATTTCAATGCCCGAGTCGAGAGCTTTGGCAGAGGCCAATTATTTTGTCTGACTGGTGTGATACCCTGGAGTTTTCCTGTTCTTAGCCAAATGCTAAATCAGAGGGCGTTGACGACTGATTATCATCCATTAGACGATTTCGAAGAGAACGAGTATAAACATTAAATCAAAGCCACAGTGCCTGATCTTTTTCCTTGCATCACTTTTTCATATTGCTGTGTCATCCTTAGGAATATGGCCGGTCGAGAGTAGAACCAACTTATCAAAACTATGCGGGACGCTGAGCAGCCTCCGGTTTTATATTACGTTCTTATAACCATGTTTTGTCCTTACTCGATTGTTTCTTAGGGTGCTTTTGATTATTTTTTTTCATCTTTATTGTCGTCCATCTTATAGCATTCCTTCATGCTTGCATCAACTCAAAGTTGTGCTTCTTTAACCTCTGTATCAATCTATCAACAAAGAGGGGGCTGAAAAGAAAAACTTTTCGAAATAGCCGGTCAGTCCTGTTGTTACCCCAGAATTCTTTTGACACCAAGTTAGCAGTACGGTCAAATTAGCACCGAATATCTGGCACCCGATAGTTTCCTGAACGTGTGAACTATTTCTTATTTGGCTGGCTATGGTTGAAATACATGACACATTCTGTCGCTCATTTAATTCATTTTGGCTAAAAAAAATTAGTCGGAGTACATTGAACGCTTGGAACCCGTTTGTATTGGCTAGTCCCTTCATCATTGAATATAAAACACAGATATATTCTGGTCGCCGAGCAGTTTTTTCTCACCATGGCCTATAGATTCCATTTTTCCTCCCTGTTGATGTATGGAGTATTTTTCTCTTAGTAGTTAGCTCATTCCCTTTTTCTGGGGAAAATATGTGAGGTGGGTATAAGTGAATTTTTTCCTGTGCGCATGTTTCTCTAGCTTCCTTGTACACAAAAGAGTGGCTTCTCTCTTACAATCCATACCTCTTTCAATCATAGCTCTACTATATCCACAGGTTTGGGAATTACCAGAAATGTAGAATCATCTCTCTCTCTCTCTCTCTCTCTCTCTCTCTCTCTCTCTCTCTCTCTCTCTCTCTCTCTCTCTCTTTCGATATAGATCTATATATATATATATATGTATATAGATAAATATATCTGTGTTTATATGTTCTTTGGTTTTTTCTCTTATTAACCTGCTCCTTTGGTCATTGATGGGCTGGCCTATTTGAGATTGCTAATGTTGATGCTGCATGCCTTTTTGATATCTTGGAGATTTTTTCTTCTCAGATTTCCAAAATTGATCGCTTCTCTTGCTATTTCTAGGGAACTACCTACATTCTACATGGATCCCAAACACTCCACCGAAATCTTCAAGTGAGTTCTGTGCATCCAATTTACTCTTGAGTTAATGGGTATTTTACTTGACCTTTATTTTTCCCTGATTGTATCGTTGATCTTCACATGGAGGCTCCTGGAGAATCAACAAGAAATCCTCATGGAAGCTTACAGGTCCCTGTCCCTTGAGCTGCATACTCTTCAGGTTACTAAACCTAGCTTTCCTTCTTTCGGTATATAAATTTAGGGTAATTTGCGGGCCTTCATGGTAGCTTTCCTAATTTTTAATACCCGTTTACTGGTAATCTGTGGGCATCATGGTATTTCTCTTGTTTAAATAGGTGGAAGAGGAGATGCTGATGCGTAAATTCTATGAATTCATGTCTGCAAAAGGCTTAATCAAGAAGGTATGGCACGCTTATTTCATCTTCAAACATGAGTGTTCTAGGTGGGTTTCCCATAATGGCAGATGGGGAGAAGTTGGCTTTCAGGAGGCCGGAATTGGGCTTGATAAACCTGGCCCGAATCAGGTCATCTTTTACATGGTCAACCTCTGAGCATCCGTAGAACTCTCTCTCTCCCTCGCTCCGTCTCTCTCTCTCTCTCTCTCTCTCTCTCTCTCTCTCTCTCTGAGACATGTGCGCGGAGCTTCATAAGTGTCCTACCTAGTCTGCTCCATTTTCTGGGTTTTTTTCTATAGGGTTGGGCCTGGTCTAGGCTTTCTAAAACATGACCGTGCGTAGGCTGAATTTGGCAGGGCACTGGTCTCATTGACAATCCCTAAATATATTTCTTCTTTCCCCTTATAGTAACTTAAATGCATAGATATATTTATGTGTGTATCCCGTTATTCTTTCAGGGAAAAAAGGAAAACGATTTGTACACTGAAGATTCTAGTCCGTCTGAGGCTCAATGAGTGGAGGGTTCAAGCTGCTCTACTCTGTGCATCCATCCAGCAGCCATTTGTTGCCCCATGCTCTCTATCTCTCTCTCTCTCTCTCTCTCTCTCTCTCTCTCTCTCTCTCTCTCTCTCTCTCTCTCTCTCTCTCTCTCTCTCTCTCTCTCTCTCTCTCTCTTACTCTCTCTCTCTACAACACGAAATGCATTGCCTTTTCTGATGGGTAAATGTAGATTCAAGTGTTTGATATATGTCCATAACGTTCATAGGGCATGGCTATGTTGCTATATGCTCTGGGCATTTTGGGTTGTTGGGAGGGAGAGAGAGAGAGAGAGAGAGATAAGTGGGTTGTACATGATATGTTTCTTAGTGGAAGCCTATTACAGAAATCAGGATGGGCCAGTTACACTATTGTATCTGGCCCGTTAACACGTCGGCGAGAAGCCTTCGTTGTGCGGCCCATTAAGAGACGATTCTATCGCACTGCGATGTCTTCAGAAGGTCACCGTTCTGCAACGGCGGGGTCTCCTGGGATAGTCCGGCCAATTGCCACGTAGGAAATTTTAAGATGATCCCTCAGATGAGTATTAGCTTAAGCTACTCCCGTCCTTCACTCTCCGATTCCTCGTCGGTAGCGCTTATACTGCTCTCCAAGGCGAAGGCCGCTCGGTCCACGTGCTTCAGCAGGAGGCTGTATATCTTCTTCCTCACTCTCTGGCATGCCTCGGATTTCTCGCTCTCCGTGGGGGTTTCCCTGGAGGATTCCCTCAGGGGGAACGGCTCTCGGCAGGCCATCGTTTCCAGCCACTCATCTACCTTCTTGATCTGCAGCAGAAGACTGGCGATCTGGTTCTCGGAGGTGATGGCCGTGGTCTCGCTGAGAATCCCGTCTAGGAACTTGTCGATGTAGTTCAGAAACCATCTGTTGCATTCCGCCTGGAGGGAGCCGGCGAGCTCCGCAGCGGCGAGGGAACCGGCACCTTTCAGCCACAGGTCGCAGTTCAGCCTCTGCTTGGAGCGCGCGAAGGCGCTCCAGATCCTTGCAGTTGTTTCGGAATCGGCGTAGGGATTTTGCAGCGGAGGCGGCGGGGCGTTGTCCGACGTCATTGCCGCCCTGATCCATGAGATCGCGTGTTTTCTGTGTTCAGCCTGCATCTTCATCGCATCCTTGGCGGAGAGTGAAGCGATTACGTCAGAATTGGACGTTCTGGGTGTCATCTTTGCCAGGGATTGAACCACGGATCTCGCCTGCTGGACTTCGTCCAAGAAGTTCAGGAACCTGTCGACGACCACGTGCGAGCCGTCTTCGTTCTGGTGCTGGAGCTCTGGATATTTACTGGAGGCATCGCAATCAAGATCGGAGCAAAAAATCAAACAGTGATCTCGTTAAATTGTGTTTTACTTACACCAGGCAGCGGATCAATCTCTCTGAAGCCGTAGCCTCTTGCAGAGCTTCCACGGCGGTGAGGATCGTCTGATCTCTGTGTCTGAGAACTTCCTGCAACGGGACAACGTGAATGTAAACGAGATGAGATGGAGGAAATTTGGAGGATGAGGATAGAAAAGAGAAGATTTCATCACAGATACCTTCCCTAACTTCATCAGGTTCGATGGGAGAGACGCAGGTAAGACGCTTCCCTCTCCTACGAGAAAATAAGTCTCTCTCCAGGGCTTCTGCTCTCGGGTGCTGCGAGGGATATGCGCTACACATCCGGCGTCCCTTCTTCCCGCCGGAATGTGATCTGAACTATAGTCCTTATGTTGCTGGAGACCTCGCGGAATGAATCTGTCACTCGCGGCTGAGATCTGGTTGCGGGGAATCGGCGGCGGGGCGCGCCGGTGATCCTTAATCCTGGTGCTGGGGTCCCAGCTCCTCCGCAGCGTCCTGGGCCTCGAGACCGAGAACGACGCCGATGACCTCGAGCTGTCTGAGTCGTCGCTCTCCTCGTGGACGCAGGTCACGCTGACCTTGGCCAGCTCCCTCAAGGTCTCCGAGCTTGTAGCATCGATCGTGTACCTCCTCGAGAGCCCCTTCTCCGGCGAGGTAGGCATTGATCTGCTTGGCTTGTTCTCCTTCATCCCGTTCCTCCCCCAGTCCTTTCTCCTCTTCGAGGCGATCACGGAGCGCGGCTTCTTCCTCGCACCCGACGACGGCGGGCTGCCGCCCAGGGAGAGCACCGCCGCGGGACGGGAAGCAGTGGACTCGGCATTGGTGCTGGCAGAAACAAGATCGGACGGATTACCGAGGCAGGGGTGGCGGCCGGGGAGAGGCCGGACACCGCGAAGGACGGGGACAGGGGATGCACGCTCGAGGCTACGGACGTGGATGAACTGGCCGAGCTGGAGCTCGTCGCTGAGGATGAGATCGTCCTGCTCCTGCGGGAGGGCGGCGTAGATGGCGTGGGAGGAGTCGGAGACCTTCAGGTAAAACCCCCGGTCGGGGAAGAGGCTCGTTCCTCCGATGGCGGGAACTATCCCCATCACCTGCAACAGCGCCGCCGGCCGGTCGGTGTGGCTTTCGTCGGAGTTGGAGCGCCAGGGAGCGCTCTCCTCGTCAGAGGATTCATTCTCCTGGAGCAGCTTCACGAGCACCCCCGGGCTAAGGGACACCGCCATGGGTAAGGCCAGAGCTCTTCCTCCCCAACCGACAATCCCTCGTCCGTGATGAGCCCTCCCCTCGCTTTCCCCATGGCGGGAAGAGAGAGAGAGAGAGAGAGAGATAGCCTTGACCAGTTCCTGACGGCCTACTCCGGGACGGGAGGAGCGGAGGAGGAAGCCTGGATGGGAGGTGCCCTGGATGCCCCGATTTGGCTAGGAGCGGTGTGGGCGCTCTGCATCGTGAGAGAAGAGGTAGGTGGGGCTAACTTTGGGCATCAAAACTAAGCCTAAAAAAACACATGTAGGATATCTAACCCATCTTCGTTGGTGTAGAAAATAATAAGTAAAATAATAATAATAGTATTATTTATTAAAACATTTCTTCTGTATTAGCAGCTGCTCCCTTTGATAATAAATTATGTCTTTCGGGCTACTCCACAACAAAATGACTACCAACGGGTTATCTATGTCTTTTACATTCCCATTATTAGTTGATGGCCACCCTTAATATTCTCCTTTCACGTGGAAGCCCAATCTTAGACTTTACATCCCACCATTAACGTCACAATTTTTTTATTCAATTTTGAACCTAATTAAGAACAACTTAAGCATAATGAGATTGTCAATCACATCTCTATTTTATCCATTGAAGAGCACATGATGTGCTCGTTCATGTGGAAGCTTGCCTCACATCTCTAATCATCAAGAGCTCCAGCATAGAAGTCAATTCTCTACCACTTAGGCTTTCCTTCTTACCTTTACATGGACAACAAAATAGTCAATTGTACCCTTGTTTCACCTCCAGCATCACTGAAGAAGGTTCTTAGTAGGGCCTTAGATATGCCTAGGGAAAGAACATCTTGTCTAGTTGAGGTAGAGGCAGCAAAACCAGCCCTCTCCTATTCTTCCCTTCTTCTTCTATGTATTCCAAGATTTGGAATAGAAGTCATGACGTTGTTTCAATTTCTTTTGTTCATGATTCTAGGATGCCTGTTAGTACTAAGGAAAGGTTAAGCTACTTAGGCTTATTATCGAATGTCTAAGGTAACACATGAACAATTGTCAACAAATAGTCAAATTGGGTTCCCATGTGACATTGATATCAAAGCAAAAATATTTTACAACTAAGTGACATCTAATGTCTACAAAGGGTTGAGAGCAGGACATGTTGATTGGTCACATAGAGAAGAAGGTTTCTACATTGGAGAATAAATTTCAAGTCCATGGTGACTAGATCCTTATTTTTGAAAAATATGTGAACATAGTAAGAATTCTATCAACATAGATGAGGGTAAAGGCATTAGATGAACAAAGCTAGAGTCGATGAGCTGCATGAGAGTTAATTTATATGACATTGGTGAAATATATGATGGCCACATTGCTCTTTACAAATGACATTAAGCAATGAAATATTTAAAAGCCCAAAGTGTATGTAACAACCTCAATACATAAGGGTTGAAAAACTTAATGTGAGATAAGAAGTAATACTTCCAAGCTAACCTCACTACAAAAAAAGAAAATGTCACATTAGCTAATATGTATTTGACAATGGATAAAGCTCTAGCAAAGAACAAGTTTTACATTCCTCATAGAACAATTTTATCTAGGAGCTACAAGAGTAGTTCTAACACATCAACACTGAACTAATGGCACAAATGTCCCTTTAGCAGCTCCATCATATGAGGATAATACAAGATAATGTGAAGAAGTTATAGTCTATCATCATAAACATTAAGAATATGTTTGAGGATAATAACCTTCCAACATTTTGACCATGTTGCAGCCATGGATGTAGATAGAAGCTGAGCACTAGACATCATGGAGGGTCTTCCATGGGTGACAACAACAAGGCTAAAAGTGTTAGTTGTTAAGATATGATACCTATCAAGAGTAAAAGAGTACCTAAGACCACTACATCACCTAGGTATGGTTAGTTAGCCAAGAATGATTGATACACATGAGGAAGTCTTCACTTGAAGAGGAATTGTCCAAAAAGATTGTCAAGTACACTAAGCAACAATAAATGAGGTACTCAATCTTAGTCATTTATTGATATTGGACATGATGTAGCAACATACTAAGATGAGATGGATCAAATAATTTATGCTGATCTTTGCAGATGCCAACATCATGTTAGACCACACTCGAAATGGTTACCCACATCTCTCTCTTAAAGAGGGAGACAATATAAATAGACTTGACATTATAAGGAACCATCAAAAGTAAGACCATCAACATGGAGTCACAAACCTCTATTAACATTTCAAGTGGCATCTTACTAAAGATTGGAGCATGGCAGGGCAAGGGAGACTTGTATTCTACATGGACAACTTTGATGTCATGCTTGGTATGAACTTTTTTGTTAGAGGGGATATTCCTCAACTTGCTCACTTTTCTTCTTGCAAGTGAGTTAAGTTATTGCTTCATTTCAGGAGTACAAAAAATCAAGATAAGGCTTTAAGATGTTGTTGATACTCCAACTTAGAGACGAATTCAAGAAGTACAAGTATACTTTTTTTATTACTCTCTTGTACTTAGATGAGGGAGTTTTGCTCAAGTAGAAAACTAGTGGTAGTGAATCAAAGATGCTCACAATTAGAGTGTGGTTGACATACAAAACACTAATAGGAGAGGTGTACAATACAGCACAAGTGGACATAAGTGTCAAGGTGATTAGTATAACATGAGTGTCCACACATGTTGACGTGTGGTGCATGGGCACATGTGAGGTTACTATACATGCCTTAGTAATGGTACACACAATGTGTATAGAGGCAAATGGTGGTAGTGTGCATAGTAGGAGATGTTGATGCACTAGAATGACATTTTGCACGAGCCACACATGTCATGTTAGACGTATTATCTCATCATTTGCCACCCCAATAAGAAGTTGACAATGATATTGATTTCATGTTAAACATGTGGCTATTTGCATGTGCACCTCACAAGAGGTCCCCAAGTTACTTAGAGGAGTAGTAAAAAAAATTAAATGAGTCATTGTAGGTAGGGCACATTCAAGCCTCTAAGACACATATGGTAGATTATTCATCATTCAAAAAAATAAAAATAAAAATTTTCAAATGTGTGTGAACTACTAAGTTTTGAACAAGATCATGATGAAGAATACATACCTGATGTCAAACACTATAGAACTCTTTGATCAATTGGGTGGCATTATGTAATTCTCTAAGATGGACTTGAAGTTTAAGTACCATCAAGTTTGAATCAATGAGGAAAACATGTTAAATACCATGTGTGTGACACAATATAGATCTTTCAATAAGTACCATCAAGTTACGATGATATCATTTTGGCTCACCAGTGTATGGATTACATTCTGCATGTTCATGAGTATGATCTTTCAAGAATTCTTTAACATATTTATTATGATATACTTGGATGATATTTTTTATTTATAGCCCAAATTTATAACACTTATAAATAGTGCTAGAGAAGTTGAAGTAGCACAAATTTTGTCTCAACACAATCAAATGTAAATTTGCCTTGAATGAGGTAGTATTTCATGGCCATGTGGTGAGACAAGATGATGTGTAGAAGTAAAGATCTCAACAATCAAAAATTGACCGGCACCTACCCACATCTCATAACTCAAGTCATTTACTGGCCCAGCTATGATTATAAGTTCATTAGTGGCTACTCTAAGTTGATGATGCCCTAGTTGACTTGTTGAAGAAGGGACTGTGTTAGGAGTAGTTTGAATTGGTCTAAAAAACATTTAAGGTACTGAAGAAGGTGATTACTATAGTGAGACTATGATGCAGTTGTCAAACTTCAATGTGCCTTTTGAGGTGTTCACAGGTACCTCTAATATCACAACTAGTACATATTAATGTACAATAGTCATCTAATTATTTTTGAGAGCAAAAAGGTGGCAACACAAAGTAGTAAAACTCCACATGTGAGAAGGAGTTGACCAAGGTGGTGTATTGTCTCTGAATTTATAGATATTATTTTTTGAAAGGATGTTTCATGGTTTGTGTAGACAACATGACCACAAGTTTCTTTAAGTCACAAATATAATTTCATTCTCAAGTAAATATTAGAAAATGTTAATGAGGTGATTGATGCACTTAACTAAAAAGAGCACAAGGAAAGTCTCGTGATAAGTTTGGTGATACAAGGTACTACATTGAAAGAGATTCATGTCACAACCTCTAAAGATGAGGAGCCAAAGCACTTGATATAGTGTGTGACAGATAGGACAACACATCACTTATGGACAAAAGGAAGTGTGTTGTATATGTGCAGGCAATAGTTAGTCATGTCGTGTGTTGACAGGTTATAATGATATCTAATATGATAATCACATAACATCTTATACACAAAGCACCCAAGACATTGACTGATATTAATATCATTAGTAGATGACTACTACTAGTCGCACAAGAATTATGACCTAGAGATATATGTTTTATTCCTATCTTATTTGTTAACAGCAAAAGATTGAAACATTTGCCCCCTTAGCTAAACTTGGGAGTTTATTTTTATAGACTTTATCATTAGTTTATTTAAGATTTAAGAGAATGATTCTACCTTCTCTTATGAACAATCACTTACGAATGGTCAATTGGGTGGCCACATGACACCTTGACCTTGTGTAGCCCTTTTTTCTATGTCCATTTTACCCCTTGTAGGGCTTCAACCAAAACCCAGACCTAGCTAAGCTCTAGAAAAGTTGGGGTGGCTTACCAACCTGAGCTTGGTCCTCTGTAAGTCCTCATCTCCTCTTATGTCAGCTAACCTTGGGACAATCTTTTGGGTTGAGACAAGACGGGTTGGTTCCTATCAAAAAGCTTGTTTTTTTTTTGGCCTAGACGATGGGGAGTCCAAGTTTAATCTTTCTTTTCCGTGCATGATTTTAATGGTTACCACTTGCCCATCTTTCCGGGCCCACCCCCCACCTCAATGAGCCTCAACGAATGATGTATCCGTTGAGAAGATTCAGTGATGTGTGTCAGTGAGGAAACCGAAACAAGAGGTGAGACCACCAGCACCACCATTTTGCCGACACTTGTAAAGTCAACTGCTCAGTCTAGTCAACTATAGAGGGGAGGGTGAGCAGAACTTGGAGCTAACAAATTAGGCAAAGGGGAGGCCCACGCTGGCAGCTGGGAAATACAGAAGCCAACTCGGCGGGTTTAGTTGCCTGAGTTAAGTAAAAATAAATTAAACCCAGTAAAAAAAAGAGGGGCCTTGACCGATCTTCACTTGGAGCTCACGGGGATGAATTTGATGGCGGCGGCCACGGGCATGCCCAAGAAGCCAATCGCCACGCAGATGAACCACTGCACGAGGGAGAGGGGTGTCGTGTTGGCGAAGTCTCCGAGGAACTGGACGATCAGGACCTGGAAGATGGCCGTGAAGGAGAGGACGCCCACGAACACGTAGTTCTTCAGGATGCCCCGGAAGACGTCAATCTTCTCCATTTCTCTGGAGCTGATCTCGTTGAAGACCTGAACAGGAGGAGAAGAAGAAGATTCACGAGTTCAGTTGGCAAAAAGGAATGATGGAGATGGCATAAAACATCATTCCAGATAACCGAAATCGACATGGCGGGATGCAAAAACAGAGAAGAAGAGGGGGGCCCTGATAGAGGGTCCCTTCCTCTGCTGATTCCCTCATGTTTTCTGACTTCTCTCCGACCAATTCAGATCTGTTCGTGGGAGATGAACATGCCTAAAAAGTCTTGGGCATAACCATTTCAGGAAGACTTTCTCTCCAATTCCAGTCTTTAATGCAAATTTCATGGGGGGAAAAAAAAAGAGAGAGAAAAGACAAATGGGTGTGGATAAAATGATTTATACTAGTATTTATATACCCTTTTTTGATTTATTAAACCTGTTCCATTGTCAGTCACTCCAATATACCAGTCTGGATTCTGGGCCAATACCCTATAAAAAGCCCGGAGATGACCCAGATGAGGACCAGGCAAGTCTAATTCAGACCTATTTTTCTTTCCTGTGTTAACCTTGATGATGCCCAAGCCCAGAAAGAACTGGGCTTTGCTGGGCTGGGCATCTACCTTTCATAGCTCGTTGATAACCCTAATAATCACACCGACACGAAATAAAAAAAGGCGATCTCCAGAAAATTTTCAGTCGATTAGACCAAAAGGAAGGATCGGAGGGGTACCTGGCAGAAGACGAAGGAGTTGAATATAATTGTATTCAGTGTGAGATCTGCGTGGGGGCCAGACAGGGTGAGCACCCTCTTCCCTTCTGTCTGAAGATACCAGATGACTATAAACTGATAGAACGATTGCCCCAGGATGTTTCTCCACATGACATTGCTGATGAAGTTCCCTCCCCTTCCGACGGGGGTTCTTTTCATTAGGTCCTTATGAGGGGGCTCAGTGGCCAGAGCAAGGGCCCCAAGGGTGTCCATGATCATGTTGACCCAGAGCAATTGGACCGCAGTGAGTGGAGTGCGCCCTAAACCACAGAAAACACCGTCAAGTGTTGTGAGCCTCAGCATGGCTGTTGTTGAAAGGAAAAAAAATATTCTGAAGTGAGGGTAACGCAAGAAACAAGTGTTTTTGAGGTGGGCATAAAACAAGATATGGGGGATGAAAATGAACGTAATCTCATTTTGGAAGTGGTGTTAACACAGTTATGGGGGATGAGAGATGGATAAAATCTATTTATGGAAATGGATCTAAGAAGAAATTGGAGAGAAAACATAAGCATGATATATTTTCCAGGAATGGGTACTGGAACAATTTGGGGAAAAAAATAGCAATTAGAAGAGCCAAGCCATTTTTGGCAAGATGATCCCATTATTTAACATGATGTGGGAAAAGAAACTCAAACAAAAAGCCGATAGGTACTACCTATAAGGTTTCCTCTCCTCTATTATGTTCAAATAGAGAAAACCATTGTGCATACCTGTCAGGCATGCTGAGGAGAAGTTGACAATTAGGGCAACCACATTAACAGTGAGTTGAAACTGCACAAATTTCTGAATGTTGATGTAAACAGAACGCCCCCACTTTGCCACGGTAACGATGGTAGAGAAGTTGTCATCCAAAATGATGACATCAGCGCTTTCTTTTGCGACCTGTGCGAAGTAGTAATGTCAGCGTGCGTGGGTGGTAATCAATTTTCAAGGCCAGGAACAGATTGAAGGATAGTGTGATCAGTAACGAAAAGGTGTACCTCGGTTCCCGCAATACCCATTGCCAGCCCAATATCCGCTTCATGAAGCGCTGGAGCGTCGTTGGTGCCATCACCAGTCACAGCAACAACTTCCTTGAACATGGTTCTCAGATGCTTCACCAACATATGCTTGTCTAATGGCGAAGATCTGGCCATGACCTGGAATAAGGAGAGAATATGGATATCTATCAGTTCTAGACGCTGGAAAATGGCCAGGAAAAGAGATGGGTCAGAAGATTTACTTGAATTTTTGGAATCAGGTCCATCATCTCCTCAAGAGACTTCTCTCGAAACTCTGGGCCTTCAATGGCTATGCCCTCGTCAGTGAGGATGCCGCATTCTCTAGCAATCGCCTTTGCAGTGGTTATATTGTCTCCAGTGACCATCCTGACGGTTATCCCAGCTGACCTACAGACTGCAACAGACTCCTTCACACCCGGGCGGACCGGATCTTTTATGCCCACAATTCCAATGCAAGTACCTTCCTTGGTAGGAATATCTTCTTTGGGGGAATATCCGTCATCTACTTCCATATAAGCGAGACACAGGGTCCGAAGGGCTTCACTGGCGAAGCTCTCTATTGTACCCTCCAGATGGCTCCTTGTTGCTTCATCCAAGGGGATGACGTCGCCAGCAGAGTCCAGAACCTTGTCACACATGCCGAGCACAATCTCCGAAGCCCCCTTGCAATGGGCGCGGAGCCCCCCTCCGGGGAGCTCTATCACGACGGCCATTCTCTTCTTCGCAGAATTGAAAGGCTCGACCTTGACCAGCTTAGCTTCCCGACTCTCGGCCGAGAAATCCCCTCCGAGAGATAAACCGAACTCGAGTAGGGCAGTTTCGGTCGGCGTTCCAAGGATCTCAATGCTTCCATCTCTCCTTGAGCAGACCTCCCCGCCCGTGTTGCAAAATATAGATTGCAGAAGAATCTTAACAGCAGCATCTGGAATCTGGGAGCACAGATTCAGAGCCTGTTTTGTGTCGCCGACGTCCTCTGTCTTTCCGCAGATGCAAGCTTTCACAACAGACATGTGGTTGGTAGTCAGCGTCCCAGTCTTGTCGCTGCAGATGCTCGTGGAGGATCCCATCGTCTCACAGGCCGCGAGGTGGCGGACCAGCGCTTTGTCGTTCATCATCTTCTTCATGGCGAAGGCGAGGCTCAGTGTGACAGCCAAGGGCAGCCCCTCGGGGACGGCGACCACCACGATGGTGACCGCCACGGCGAAGTACTCCAACATCTTCAGGGCGTCGTCTCCGGTCCAGCTCAGGTAGGAGCCATCGTTAAACTTCCGGGTGAGAAGGCCTTGTGCGAGCACCGCAAATGTCACGACGGCGAAAAACAGACCGATCTTCCCGATTATGGTGGCAACTCCGTTCAATTTTACCTGCAGAGGGGTCTCGTCGTCCCCACCTTCGCTGAGAGTGGCCATGAGCTTGCCCCACTGGGTCCTCATCCCAACTGTCGTCACTATCATCCTGCAAGACCCATCTTGGACCTTGGTTCCTGACAGGAGGAAGGGATTTTCCTCGTTGACCCCCACCGGTTCGCTCTCTCCTGTCAAGCTTGACTCATTGATCAGGAGAGAGAACCCGGACACGAATAATCCATCAGCAGGAACTTGGTCACCGATTCCCAGGTGGACGATGTCTCCGGGAAGAAGCTCGTATATCGACATATTTTGCCTGTCCCCATTTCTCCACACTTGCATGGAGATCTTCTTCTTCTCCTTGTCCAAATCTTTGAACTGCAAGGACTGCCTGTAATCGCTGATGGCTGTGACGAAGACGACCAAGAGGATGCTCGCCACAATTCCGAGGCCATCGTGGGCGCCCTTCGGCCATCCTTCCATGGTGATCCCGACAACGAGGGACACGAGGGCGCACACCCCGAGAATCATCAGAGTCATGTCGTGAAGGGCTTCCCAGACGAACAGCCAGAAACTCCGGGGCTGGCTCTCTGTGAATTTGTTGATCCCATAAATCTCCTGCCTCCGCTTCAGCTTGTCTGCTGAATCGTTGATCCCCTCGGAGGTCGAAGTAGATAGCTTGGTTGCTATGCCCTCCACCCCCCCATGGGCCTTCAGTTTCTTCAAATCATGCTTCTCGACAATTGATCCCAGTTCTTCTGCACAGATCTGAAAGCCTTCTGCCCTAACTTCCTCCGGCACCACATATTCGCTAGACGGAGAAATGCCTTGATGGAGAAACAATAGGAATTTAGAATGGGAATTGGATACGTATCGCTCGACAAATCAGTGGTTACATCCCAGAGCAAGAGCAGATACAATTTAGATCTCTACCTTGTATAAACTGGAGCGCAGCCTTTGAGACAAGAACAGCGATTCTCAACTTCTCCTGCAAACAGCGGGGAAGAGGAAGTCAGTCTGAAGAAATGCAAAATGTCCAAGGCTGATGAATCTTTGGATCCGTGAAATCAATCAAACCTAGCCTGCTTGTATTTAGCAGGACATTTCGTTGTCGAGGTGATCGAACGAGGGATAGAATACCGACCAGATCCAATGAAAGAGGAGAACCAGAGGAGAGAGCAAGAAAGGGATCCCCGGTGGAAGAGACTAACGTGATTAGTGCGTTTCATGGCCGCAGCCTCCCAGCGCTTGGAGAGGTTGGCGGTGAAACGAAACCGTCGCTTGGGATTCTTGACGACGCCGCAGAGGTTCCGCCATCGCTGGAGAGCCTCCTCCGACGTGTTCTTCGACTTCACCCCTCCGAAATTCTGATTCAGGTAGTTCTCCATCGCCTCCCTTCTCCCAGCAGAACAAGCAACTCCAACAGCACCACCTCTTCACAAATACCCCGCCTCCAGCGGCATTCAAAGCCCGACCCTCCGCGTGAATCCGCGGAAAGTGCGTGTTAAAGCCCGATTCTCGAGGTCAAGAACTGCAGCAACAAACAGAAGCTTCCCTCCAGCGGCGACGAAGTCGCTTGGTGGGGAGGGCGCCTTTTCTGGCCTTCCTTTCCTCTCTCCTTCTGCCTACTCCCTTCCCATCTTCCGATCACCTTCCGGGCGACACAGAAAAGAGAGAGAGAGAGCGAAAGAGAAGAGAGACGATGAAAGTGGGGTAGAGGAGAACTGATCCGGAATTAGTTAAGTATGATCGGAGGACGAGGGAGGGGGGGGGGGACCGCTCCGTGGTGCTTTGTCGGACGAGATCGGCCGCCGGAAACGGAGAAGGTCGTCGACCAGAGACGGCAAGACAGAGGAGAAAGCCATAATGATATTGCCACCACCTCCGCCCGGCCGGTTCTTGGCCTCCCATGTTACCGGCCGATTTTCCCACGTGCCACGGGGTGAGGGAGAGAGAGAGGCGTTGAAAAGTTTGGTTTCTGCCCGGGCCCACATTTTACTGGGCCGCTTTCCCCACGTGCGACGTTGAAGTCAGAGAGAGCGCCAATGCAGCCGAAGAAGAAAGGGGTGGAAATATAATTACTATAAAATTACCTGAAGGACAGTTTTTTAAAAAACCCTCGCATCACGAAAAAACGAAAAATCCCCACCATTGATCGTGGTCCCCATGTAGACGCTTGATTATATATATTATTTTATATGCCCATCACGACATAACGCGTGATATGCCGTCGTATTATTTTATATTAATATTTTTACTATTTAACTATTAAGTCAGTAATGATTATAGATATTAGTCAGCATTGGACGTTCAGGTGTCAAACTGTAGTGTACATATTAACATATTTAAATATTAATTATACTAAAAAAACACCCTAAAAAACTCTCCGGTGCAGAGGGCTCCTCAAGACGGACGGTCAACGTTTCATCGGCGGCGGCGGAGTGTTTTTCCAAAAGATGGTGGGCCCCACAGCGGTTTTCAAAACAGACGAAACTCGACCACTGACTTTGACCGATCATTGAATCTATTTTGTAATTTACCCTAAACAAATGTGTACTAGTTATGTATATACCCACCGGCAAGCTTTTCAACCTCTTCTAGACGTGAGGTTCATAAGCTTTGACTTGTTGCGAGTCAAAGCACGAAGCCAATCTTTTTCTAGGGCCGAGACTCGGTCAACTATCTCAAGCTTACCATCACCATTGACCAACGATTCTCCCGCCGCGAACGTCTTCAATCTCCGAAGGCCGAGTCGCTCCACGTTACACACACCAGCGGTTCCAGCAAAAGAATCCCGGATGAGCTTCTAAGGATACAAATATACCGATTATTTTCGCTATATGAAAATAAAATAAATATCAACACCTAGACCTAGTTTTTTTTCCTAAATTGGAGATCCAAGATCGTCTGAAAAAAATGAAGAAGAAACTGATAGGGCAAGAGGGTCAAACGCGAAGCTCATCGTAGCTGGGGCTGGACTGGATCAAAAGGTCTGGAAGAGTTATCCTTCTCACACAGTAATCTAGATTGATCCTGGGCTTCATAAGAGTCCAGATTGGAACCAGTTTTCCTCGCTGTTCTTCAGAATTGGGTTCAATCCAGATCTGCCCAAAGGTACCCGAGCTCTACAAAATAAGGCAGGGCATGATTTCGCTGCACCTGGAAGATCGGAAGAACATATCGAAAAGTGTGGCCACATGATATGAAGAAAAATATAGTATCACACGAAATTTTACAATGCATGGTTTAGTGCCTGGTTTTGTTCTAAAATTAGGGTTTTCTTCATGCCTGGTCTCCTCACGGTCCCCTCAGTTTGATCAGAGACTGCTTGTCTACGGGACCCTACGAGCATACGTTCACTGCAGAACGAATAATTTAACGAAATGCCACCTTCACCTGGATCCATACATGGAGTGGCATTGACCTCACGATTTTAGTAGGTAGTGGACGATGGCAACCGGCTCTTTTCTCCCGCCAAACATGACATTCAAGCCTGACTGACTTCCAGAGCCATCCACCCGGCTGTCACATCCCGCAGAATTAAGGGAGAGGGATAGATGATACCATTCGTGATCTGCGCGATCGAGAAGAACAGAGATCGGAGCAGGCACCTGTGCATATCCGACGGATCGAGCCGTGGCCTGGTCGATTCACGGCTCGCCCGGGTTCCCCATGGACGGAGACAGAAAGCTCTTCCTACCACCGGAGATACAGATCAGAGCTCCAACCACACTAGAAATCCAAATGCCGCGGCGGCAATCACACTCCCACATCGCTGGATCAGCAGCAGCAAAGGGCGAAGAAGGAAGGGCCTCCTTCCCACCACTGGAGAACCAGATCCGAGATCCAACTGGGGCTACATCGGCCCGTCCTCGTCTGGTCACTACCACAGAGCTCTTGAGCCATCCCGGAGCCACGAGGATGACAATGCGCCGCCTCCTGCCGCAACCGGGGGCTGGAGGAGGAGGACGACGGAGGGTGCTGCGAAGAACTCCATCGATCCTCCCTCGAACGCCCTGCCACGCCTCCCCCCCACGTCTCGCTCTTCACTGTACAACAATTTTTTTCTCCCGCGCTCACGACCCTGAAAAAAACGCCAATATAAATCAATACATTTACATTTCTATTTTTTATTAAAATCTCCATTAAAAAATAATGAAACCAAATGATTAACGTGCGCCGCAGGTGCAACTTTGCGTTTCTTTGTTCTTCTGATTTCCTCCAAACTAATGGCTACTCTGATCACACCGGTGGCATCGATCCAATGGGTTCAGGTTAATATGCGCCGCAGATGCAGGTTTTGCCTTTTTTTTTCATTTTGATTTTTTTCCAAAGTAATGGAAATATATTTAATAAATGTGTAGATATAACGAGCCGCAGGTACCATGTTATCTGTCTGAAGTGTTTGGGAGTGATTTGGTTCGTGTGGTGAGTTTGGAATCGATTTTGACGTGTAGAGGAGAGTGATGGGCGGATTTTGACTGAATTTTCATTTTTATTTTACGTTTATCATGAAATTATCTTGGCCGCAATGAGTTCGTCATCGCACGTGTGAACCATGGGGCGTTGGGCGGTGAGAATTTCTTATGATCACCATCGCGAGTTCGTGGTGCCCGTCTTTGAAGGGATCGGTCGACGGCGTCTGAGTTCGCCCCATTTCCAGGAGTCGAAACAGCGTCTCTTCCCTTCGTTCGCCTTCTCCCTCTCGTAGCAGCCATGAGGGGCCCGGGTCTGTTCTCCGAGATCGGGAAGAAGGGAAAAGGTCGGAACTTGGCACATTTATCTCCTCCGTCGTCATTCTCCTGTTTTTTGTAATCTAGGTTACGTTTTGATCCTTTTCCGCCGGGTAATGATTTCAGATCTGCTGGGAAAGGACTACACCTATGATCAGAAGATCACTTTCTCGAGCCGCACCGAGACTGGAGTGGTATTGACGCTCTAGCCAATTTGCTGCCTTTTTTTTTTTGAAGATTTTCATTTTTTTGTATTTCTTGATTCGATGGTGCCAGAGGCTTTTATATTTCTTATGGAGTTGAGTGCCGAGTATTATCACGGTTTTTTTGATCGAGGGGTTTTAGTTCCCTACGGCCATGCTATGAATATTTGATTCAGTCGAGTCCTCGCGGCAAATGGTCCCATTTTGTTTCGGTGGATTAATAATCGACTTCATTTAATCTTTTTGACGCTGTAATGTATAACTTAGTTTCTTTTAAGATTGACTTTTGGTCATTTCGAGAACTTATATTCGCATGGCTTACTTTATAGAGCAAAATCTTGTTCTAGTTTAAAACGAGCAGTTGAAAATTTATATTTTTATTAATATTGTGTTATTCTCCTTGTATTATGCAAGTCTTTTGCGGCATTCTTTCTTTCTCTCCAATTATCTTTAGCATCCTCTATGCGTACTGTTGGATAATTTTTAGGACATCAGTCAATTTATTGTTTAAGCAAATTCGAAGTCTTCATGCGCCTGCTAGGTATCTTGTATAATGTTTCTAAACTATTTCACTTTTCCCTCTTTATTTATCCACTAAATTCTTTGGTACAGTTCAGGTGTCAATATTCGTATTTTATGTCCCTTATGAAGATACGATTATGTCTTGTATTAGTTTTGATGGACAAGTTAGACTTTTTATGAGAAAAGATTCTTTGAAATAATAGTCTTTTCACGAGGATAGGAATTTCAGTAACACACTAGCTTGAAATTTTGCCGATTCAGAGTTTCTTGATACAACACGGGTAATAATTTGAAGGCAAGGTTGACTAGCCTACATATTTGAGCTATGGTCCTGTATACGAGACCTTCCTAGCTGATGAGTAAAGTACTTGCTGCTCGGTTATAATTCACCCTGGCTAAGCCAGTGGGACTCTTGACAGCATATTTGTTTGTTTTGTATATATTTGATGTCGTTTGGTTATCTCGGTGGGAACTAACAGTTTATTATTTCTAGCTATAGGGTTTAACAGCGCATTTAAATGTCAAGTTGAAACAGTGGCTTAAGAAAGTTTGAATTGATCACAAATTAATAGTGTTTGACGGCGTCTGCGTGCCAAGTTGAAACTTGCATCAACTCCTATTATGGCGTCTTAAGAAAGCAATCATACTTTGTAGGAATAAAGTGGAAAGCCTAATACGTTTCACAGAAAATGGTTTCCATGAATTTGCAGTGAAATAAATCTTTAATTACTGTAGCTATGTTTTTTTTTGTCACTATTCCTCTTTATTTTATGATGAATATCATTCAGCAACTTTTTAAATGAAGATCTGGTGCGTCTCATGTTGAACTGAAAAGAATAGAAAAAGCAACGACATCTATAAGTCATTAGATGCATATCTTTTGCTCGAGTTTGCTGAGTTTAACGACATCTATTAATATTTCATTTACATTTTTCTCATTAAGCGAAAAAATGAAAGTAGTACGTGGTCCCTAATCACTAAGTGTCATCTTTTTATGTTTTTTTTTTTGGTGACACTAGTCTTAGTTTTTCACTTTATTAGTAAGATATATGTGTGCCCTATTTGTCAGGTGGTAGATATAAGCTAAAGCTGTCATACTGAAGGTGTTTCATACGATTATTATCAAAACTACGAGTGGACTTTTATATCATACTGTTCTAGTCCGGGAAGGCCTTTCTTTTTAAAATTTCAAGTGCTTTCTTTCACATTGCTTCCTGTGCTTAAATATGGGTGCATGTGTCTTCAATACTCCCTAAGTAAGGTGCGGGCTAGTATATACCACGAAGCCAAGTTATCTTTTACTTAGTTTACGAGCTCAGTCTGACCTTTTTTGAATCTGTGTGATCTCCTAGCAGTGATTCATGCCGAGATGAACTGATTCAGCCTATTGATGGTAGGATTGAGCCACTTGAAAAACCGCGAGTGACTCATTCTGTCATGTTCTGATTTTACCTGACTTGCAATTGGCTTGGGCTGACTGGATGCATGCCTTTTCGAACCAATCACATATCTGGAGTATCAGATCTGTAGCATCCTAGTACGTTTTCTTGTTCGAGTCAGATTGTTACAGTCCAGTACAACTGTTTTCAAGCGTACTGGGTCAGTAACTGAGTCCAAGTTTTCTAACTTTTCTAGTCCCATGACTGAAAAAGCAGGCCAAATCTGGTTAGAGTCCGCTGTTCAATTTATCCAGACCAAATTGACTGAGCCATCTGATCGCAATCCTTAACTGCAGTAACTGTGGAGCAACTTTGAGCCTGCTCGGATCTGCTTTGTTGTTCATATCCACCTCTTCAATATGCCAGTCTCTCCCTGCTCTTCAGCTACTCACAGATGTTCACCTGGTCTCTTCCTCGTGCCATCTGCTGCTCAATGCTTTTAGGATGCTTGATACTTACTTCCTTACTTGAGCATTTGATCTGCTTCAATTGTTCAATGGATATTCTCCAATAACAGTGGTTAGGGAAGCCAAGAGAAGCCTTGTCCTTATTCTTTTAATCATTTTATTAGATGAAAACTAATTTATTTCTTGTCAGGATTGTTTAATCTGAATTATTGTGAAGCCAACGCATATTAACAGCAGTATCATGTTTTCTTAAGGTTTTAATCGTTCTAGTCTTCTAGATTATGAAAAGTTTGTTCCAAGTAAGGTCTTTCAGGAGGAAGTCTCTATCATGAAGATCATTTATATGGGTTGGACTGCGATTGTTTTTGTTACGAATGAGAGAGATCGAAGGAGAGAGAGAGAGAGAGAGAGGGACCTAGGAGACTTGACGACTTAAAATCTAGTCGACAGACATATGGGTCGATATGGCCATGATCTATATTGGCCAATACAGCCTAGATGCAATAATATATATAGTATTCAACAGCCCTGCCTCAAGCTAGATCATATTTTTCATATGCACCTAACTTGTTAAATGGAAATTGCACCTTGTGACCATTTAGAGACCTAGTGAATAACTCTGCAAGTTGTTATGTGGAGCTAACATGGACTGTGGTGATGAGTGGCGCTTGGATCTTCTCTCTAATGAAGTGACAATCAACTTCAATGTGTTTTGTCTTCTCATGGAACACATGATTAGAGGAAATATGGATCACCACACGTTTGTTGCATTTGAGCTCTATAGGACCTTCATGATGAAAGCCAATTCTTCAAGATAATGTCCGACTCGTATCAATTCACATGTAGTGTGTGTCATTGCCCTGTATTTTGGTTCAACGCTTGATTGTGAGACCACATATTGTTTCTTACTTCTCCAAGAAATAAAATTACCGCCTAGAAATAAAATCTGGATCTCTTATCCAGATTGCAACTTGCCCAATTAACATATGAAAAACCCTGCATTATGAGATGACTGTTTTCTTGCATAGTAGTCCTCTACTAGGATTATTCTTGAGATACCTCGATATCAGCATGACTCCATCAAGATGTTTGGTGTGTGATCGTTCCATGAATTGATGCACCACACTTAGTAGTGAATGAGATATCTAATTGAGTAATAGTCAAATAATTTAATTTAGCAACTAAGTGTTTATACCTCCCTAGATCCTCTAACATCTCATCTTCATCAATTGATAACTTTAAGTTAGGGTCTATGAGAGTGGTAGTTGTCCTTGTACCTAACATTCCTATCTCTGAAAGAAAATCAAGGGCATATTTTCATTGGTTGATTGCAATCGTTTCATTGGATTGAGTGATCTCAGTCCCAAGTAAATATTTGAGATTACCAAGGTCCTTGGTTGCAAATTGCCCTTGTAAAAACTCCCTTAGTTGAGAGATATTTGCATGATCATCTCCAGTAATAATGATGCCATCAACATATACAATCAACAAAATATGAGCAATAGAAGAATGTCTATCAAAGATAGAATGATGAACCTCGCATCTGTAAAATAATATTATTGAATTGACTAAATCATAGATAATTTTTGTAGGCAACATACCAAACTGAACTCTCTCCCTCCCCCCCCAACACACACCAACCAACAAATATTTCCAGTAACAACGATGTCATCAACATATACAATCAACAAAATAGGAGCAATAGAATAATGTATATCATAGAGAATTTCTGTAGGCGACAGACCAAGCTGAACTCCAACCCCCCACTGCTGAGCAACAAAATCTATTAATTGTTCCATATAAATCTCCTCCTATAAGTCACCATAAATGAACACATTCTTGATATCTAGTGAATGTAGAGGCCAAGAAAATTAGGCAGCCAATACCAGGAAGATTTGTACTGAAGTAATTTGTCAACTTGAGATAATGTCTCAACATAGTCTCCACCACATACTTGGGTGAAGCCTTTTGCCACCAAACAGGCTTTATATCAATTCAGAGAACCATCTAGACCAACTTTAACATTGAATACCCATTTACACATCAATGGATTTACCAGACAATCGTTGAACCAAACATCGTCCCATTTTGCTTAAGGGTAGTCATCTCTTCTGCTAAAGCTGCATGTCACCCAAGATGGGCAAGTGCCTCTTAAACATTTTTAGGGATATGTATATCTATAATAGGGATGAAACAAAGACATAATATGTTTGAGACTAGTGAGTATAAAAGATAAAGCTAGACGTTCGGTGAAGGGTACACAACCTTTTCTCCTTTCGGAGAGAAATTGAAAGATCCAAGTTACATGTAGCAAAGCCATTTTCTATTAGATCGTCAAATGTAGATGAGATTGATTGTGGATCAAGCACTTCAAGAGCTGTTGGGCAAGTTTGGAGAACTCTTTGTCATGTATATACTTGTGTGATGGCGGTTGACTAGTAGACAGCATGACTAGTAGACTCAACAAGACTATCACCTATTGGATGATCAATGGTAGAGATTGACTCAATAACAATTAGTAGAGGTAATGATTCTTCCAATGATGCACTAGATGTAGGATCATCAAAAAAAGATGTACCTTCAGAGAATGTAACATCTATTGAGATAATGTGACAACTAAGTGATTGGCTATAATACTTATATCGTTTTTGAACATGAGAGTATCCTAAGATGTACTTTGTAGATTTAAGACCAAGTTTATCTAGACCAACTTCTATTTTTTGAACAAAACAAACATCCAATATATTTTATGTGGAACACTATACAATGGCTCTCTCAAGTGAAGGACCAAGTAAAAGATCTTATTATCTAAAATAGAGGATAGCATGTGGTTAATTAGATAAGTGGCTGTGAGTACAATAACTCTCCAAAATTTGATAGAAACATGTACGTGTAAAAGAAGCGTACAAACAATTTCAACAATGTGTCTTTCTTTACTCTCATTGACTCCATTTTGTTGAGGGGTGTGAGAACATGATGACTGATGGATTATCCCATTGTAGGTTAAGTAATGCGTAAAAGGAGAACTAAAATATTCTTTTGTGTTGTCAAAATGTAGTATATAGATGTTTTTGCCGAATTATTTTTTTATTTCAACACAGAATTAACAAAAAAAATAGAAAATAAGCCAGATATATCTTTCATGGGATATGACCATGTAACACAAGAGTGATCATTAATAAAAATAACAAATATCTAAACCTAAAATATGGATGTGATCTGACTCGAACCTTATACATATGGATGAACGAAGTCAAAGATTGACCTCACTTGCTTTTGAATATGTGATGTAAAGTCGAAACATAGTGTTTACCCAGCTGACAAGACTCACACTCTAAGTTGTCTAGACCCATAAGATTGGGAGTTCAATAACTTGAGCATCCCAAGAAACAAATGACACAACCAGCTATTTATTTGAAGAGATGAAACAGCAACACACGTGACAGGAGAGACTTTATCCAAATAGTATAGTCCTTGGTGCTCATATGCTTCACCAATCTTCCTCCACGTTTGATGGTTCAGTAGAGAATGTCTCTACTACAGGTAACTTGGATCTTCCCATTGCTCTCTGAAAGAGAAAAGGTTGTGCACCCTTCACCCCACGTCTAGCTTCATCTCATATACTCATAGTAGTTGGTACCTTGAAAGTGTATTGATACCTAATTATCTTGTCTGCCATACAATGCTATCAAGGTTCATTTTTAATTGGTGAGCACCATGTTTACTTTCCCAGGAGATTGTTAACCTGATTCATTGCTTGAACTTGGAGCCATGGATGTTTAGAAATATCCTAACGACGTAGTGTTTGACAAGCAAGAAACCCTTCTGGTTTTCTGCTGATTGCATAAAATTATATCTAACCAAAGGGCTTCCTTGGGGCGAGCTAGAAGGAACAGAGATTCATGATCATGCAGTTTTTTGCGGATATTTTCCTTGTAATACATTACAGAGTTTTCATGGTGTCTCGATGAAAGGCAACACAATGTATCGAATGAAACTATGTTTGGGTAATGAAAAGAGGGACTATGATATGGACATGATCATAGAAGAAAAAAAACCTTATAGTTCAAATCCCCCCCCCCCCTTATTTTCTGCGTTCTTTCCCAAAAACTTATTCTCTCCGCTGGAATAGTTTTATTCACCAAACAACTTGAATGGTAATCATGAATTGATTATTCATGATGCAACTCATACATTAATGCATCTCCATATAAACAGAATTTTATCTCTTTACCTTTCATAGGAGGATCTAATCATCTCGAGCTTCATTTCCAAAACCAGGGCCTCACGACTAATGCAGTGAAGAAGGGTGGGCTCTACATCGGTGACATTGCATCGCAGTACAAGTACAAGAACACGACCTTTGATGTGAAAGTGGATACGGAGTCAAATGTGAGGGTTCTGATTCTCCTTTTCCGTCTCTCATTTCATAAACCAGCCGAGATCTTCTTCCCTTAGAACAGTTCCCACTTCTGTTCTGAAACAGGTCTCATCGACTGTGACTCTGGAGGAGTTTCTTCCTTTCACGAAAGCAGTTGGCACCTTCAAGCTACCTGACTACAGCTCGGGCAAGGTACATATGGTTCATGAATCGGTTTACTTCCATATGGGAGTTAATGATCGTCTCAAACCCCCACCATCGTCCTCCTCTGTGTTCAGCTGGAGGTGCAGTACTTCCATGACCATGCTAGTGTCGCTGGAGCTGTTGGCCTGAAGCAGTCTCCCACCGTTGACCTCTCCGCCACTGTCGGTGCCCATGGGATCGCCTTCGGAGCTGAGGCGGGCTTCGACACCAGCTCGGGAACCTTCACCAAGTACAATGCCGGCCTCAGCCTGAAGAAGCCCGACTACATTGTCTCAATTCTTCTGTAAGTCAACTATTCGATCCTGCCACCGCTCTATTGTGGACTACATTGAGCCCACCGATGGTCCTCCATCCTTTCCAGGGCTGACAAGGGAGACACCCTGAGGGCCTCCTACGTCCACCACCTTGATGGGAAGCAGAAGAGCGCGGCGGTGGCGGAGATCACCCGCAAGTTCTCCACCAACGAGAACACTCTGACCGTCGGCAGCCTGTATGAGCTGGATTCCCTCACCTCAGTGAAGACGAAGCTCAACAATGGCGGCAAATTCGGGGCCCTTCTCCAGCACCAGCTCAGGCCCAACAACGTTCTGACCATCAGTGGAGAATTCGACACCAAGGCCCTCGACAAGAAGCCCAGGTTCGGCCTAGCTCTCGCCCTCAAACCCTGAGACCCTGTGTGGGCCCTACACACACACCCCCCCCTCCCCTTCCTTGCCATTTTGGGTTTCATGGGGAAAACAATAGTCAATAATTTACCAAGTTTTGGACGAGATTGCCCTAGGTTTTGGACCTATTTCGGATTGGTTGACCCAGCTGGGCTGGCGTCTGGGCTGATCCAGCGTTCTTTTCGAGCTGTTGTTCTTTGACCTCCTGAGATTCACTTTTTATTGGGCCTGGTAATTGACTTTTTAGTGTTCCTGTTGTCCTGGGCTGATAAATGGGCCGGAGTTAAATTCTAGGCCCGGCCCGATTGTTTCATGCATTGGATGGATGCGTGCTATTATTCTTCGAAATATTTTATGTGGTCTGCCACCGAATGGGGGTGTCCTGGTAATTGTACATATAAATTTAGCTATTTGTTGTGCTTTTTAATTCAATTCAATGGGTGGCGTGGATTTAAAGGCTCGGCCCGATTTTTTCCTATAAATAGATGCAACTTTTTCGGATATTTTCGAGAATTTTGGGTTTGGAAAAACTGGGTTTTTTTTATGGAATCATATTTATCGCATTTTCAGACTTATTAATCCGACTGGGTGAGCTGATCCTACGAGGCCACGATCCCACCATCTCGTGAGGATGAAAGTGCCTTTTATAGCAAAAGCCCTCCAGGAAAAAGGTAAACGTGCGCAGGGACTTTTCGAAAAATACTGCCGACCTCCACGTCGGACATCCCTTTAGTCGGCACTAACGGCCTCCACGTCGGACTCCACGAGCCCATGAGGTGAACCTGATCGGGCCGCACCGGGCTACCCTCCCGTATTGTATATATATTTTTAAAAATACTAATATTTGGAAATATGATATATATTTAACATTTAAATACATTAAAATCTTCGGAAATATGATATATATTTAAAATTTAAAAATAATAGTATTTTTATATATGTTAAATATGATATATTTACATTTATTTATAAACATTTATGGATATGTCTGAGCTGGCAGTCAGGTGAGAACCCACAGAGCCGGCTCGAGTTTGAATCTGGATCGGAACCTAGAATCCCCGACATTCGAATCAAACGACCCCCGCTTCCTACACTGAGCGTCGCTTTTTTTCTTTATTCCTCGTTTAAAATATTCTTAAAAATAGGCACGTGATGGCCTCCTCGTCTGGAATCCACTACCAGCTCTCCCTCCCTCGTCAACCTCTTTTCGAAGCTCTCTCTCTCTCTCTCTCTCTCTCTCTCTCTCTCTCCACCGTCTCTCTCTCTCCTCTCTCTGTCTTTCACCTCTGGAAGGGAATTAATGGCGTCACCAGCGTCCTAGCATCCTAGTAACTGCCGACCGCCCAAAGCGCCTGCTCGCCTCCGACGAGCGCCCATTATAAATCATGCCGGCGCCCATTGCGGGGGGGCCGTTGTGCCCTCCTCTCTTCTCCTCCCACCATGCGGCTGCCTCGTTCCGGATGCTGCTCCAGCGGCGGTGCGGGCGGGAGAGGGGCCATGGCGGATGCGGTGGGATCGGCTCTGAGGGGACGGCTATGGAGCTCTGCGCGACGGCATCCGGGAGATAAGACCAGCTTCCTCCGGCGTGGAGCACTGCGGGACGGCGCCGGGATCACGACTGTGAGTGCGGGGAGGAGAGGGGTGGCGATGAGGTCGGAGGCATTTCGGCTGACCATGGCGGCGGAGGGCTCGAGGGGCTGGGAGGAGGCCAATGCTGGAGGAGGAGGGAGGCCCTCCCGGTTGGCTCCGGTGGTCGGCGAATATGGCTGCGCCGACGGTGGTTCCTCCGGGAAGGCTACATCTGGTTTCCTCTTCTCTCTCTGCCGAGTTGACGTCCGCATTTTCGTGACATTACGTTTCTCCACGATGAAACTTTGTGCTAGGTTACGGCAGAATTCTCTTCCCGTTCCAATCGGTTGTTGGTGTTAATGTGATGATATTTTCTGATGATGGCGGTTTCTCTTCGCTTGATATGGTTCGAAGTTTCTCGTCTGCTACTGATTTCTCAATGTAATTAGGGTTCTTTATCTCCGACTGACTCCGTTCTACTACGTCTACGCAGGAATGAATCATCGCCCGGTGTCGACTGTCGGAAAATCGACGAACATTGCGTGGCACGAATGCCCGGTTGGGCGGCTCGATCGGCAGAAGCTACTTGGGCAGAAAGGATGCGTCATATGGATCACAGGTCTCAGTGGTTCAGGTCAGCAATGAACACCGAATCGTCTTTCATCTTCCGCTACTGCATCTACATTCTCCGTGCTCGTCTTGAGATCACTACCCAGGGGCCTTCCGCACACTCGACTAATTTCTCAGCCGCTCGTAATCGTTCTTCACCCCCTCTCGACTGCTTTTTTGGAAGATTTTCCCCCTGTAATCTTCCTTCCCTTCATGTTATTCTTCCGCAGGTAAAAGCACGCTGGCCTGCGCTCTAAGCCGAGAGCTGTACTCCAGAGGATGTCTATCTTATGTTCTCGATGGAGATAATGTCAGACATGGGCTGAACAAAGACCTTAGCTTCAAACCAGAAGACCGGGCAGAAAATATCCGCAGGATCGGTAAGTGCTTGGCTGACATGAACTTTGACCAATCTATGAGGAACACCACGACCTGGTTTATCGTCTTTATATAGTAATTCTGTGCTCTTTGCTCAGTTCATGCTATAGATATTAAGGCTACCGGCGGGCTGAGCTCCAGGACTTACCAGAGGAAAGCCCGCCGCCACCTGTAGCTGAGATAGATATGATGGATAGATGTTCCGAGGGCTTTGAGGACAGAGAAAGAAAGCCTGGAATATGGGCTCTGGGCTGCACCTTTATGAGGCCAGGGCCCTTCTACATGAACTTAATTTATCTTGGAGGGAGGAGAGGGAGAGGGAGAGGGAGAGGGGAGAGAGAGAGAGAGAGAGAGAGAGAGAGCAGGAATGATGTTCCCAGGGCTTGGAAAAAAGCCTGGAAAATGGGCTCTGGACTGCACCTTTATGAGCCCAGGGTCATCTACATGAACTTATCTTAGAGGGAGAGAGGGGGAGAGAGAGAGAGAGCAGGAATGATGGGCTGCCCGGAAAGGGACTGGAACGGGTTTTCTTATCACCTTGAATTAATATGATGTGAACAAATTAATGAAGGTAAGCAATTCAATGGCTGGAACTGATGAGTTATTCCTAATTTTCTGCCCCATCTCGCCCCAGGAGAAGTGGCAAAGCTCTTTGCAGATGCTGGTATTATCTGCATTGCTAGCTTGATTTCTCCTTACAGAAGGGACCGAGATGCTTGCCGCGCCCTGCTGCCCGAGGATACCTTTATTGAGGTCATTGCTTCTGTCAACCTCTCTCATAGTAGATGAACCCATATGAGCGTCATTTTTTCAATTATTTATAGATCATAAATTGTTCTTATTTCTATTTTTCCACCGCCTATTTTTATGCATTTCTTGAGATTTTTCACGTGTAAATTATCTTATTTTTTATCCATACTGATACGCTAAGAAAGTATAAATTATCCCTGGTTTCTCCTTATATATATATATAGTTTTTTCAAATTTTTCATGAAGAAATGGGCCTTTTTATAAAAAAAATCCATCCCAGGTTTTTATGAACATGCCACTGGAAGTGTGTGAAGCCAGAGATGTAAAGGGCCTCTACAAGCTCGCACGTGCGGGGAAGATCAAAGGTAAAAAATAGTAATTATGCTGGTTTATTTAAGCAGATGAATTCCTGCGATCTAGTGACTGTAAATTTCTCATACTTACTCATTCATAACCCGTTAGAAGCAGATAAAAAGCACCAAAATGGGAATGAGATCCTTTTTTTTTCCTGATTATATATTCTGAATTGAATTTTAAAAAAACGGGTTCATCGTTACCGAATTTGGAAAAAAAAAAAGAGCTTGGTCGTGTTGAAGCTGTGGAAGGTTATTTAGAAAATCAGTAAAGAGAGGTGATGTGATAGTGGGTCTGTGTTCATTTTTGCTAATTGTAGAAAAAAATTCTCCAGGGTTTACGGGGATAGATGACCCATACGAGCCGCCCTCCAACTGTGAGGTGAGTAAATCTGTTCTTTACTCTCCTACTGTTGATCTCCCTTCTGTGCATTTGAGAGAGAGAAAGAGAGATCTAGATAGATAGATAGAGAGAGAGAGAGAGAGAGAGAGAGAGAGAGAGAGAGAGGTGAAGTATAAGAATGTGGCCAGACTAGAGATCTACACCTAACCCGATAAAAATTGTTCCGTCCTCTCATCTAATTCTCTCTCTCTCTTTCTCTCTCTTTCTCTCTCTCTCTCGCGCGCGCGCGCTCCATTTTCTCTCTCATCCTCCTCCAGATATTAATACAACAGAAGGACGGGCTTTGCCCCTCACCCGCAGCCATGGCTGACCAAGTCATCCTCTACCTGGACCGGAATGGGTTCCTACAGGGATAGGCTGGTGCTGCTACACAGGATCTGACTCTCTCCCGGCCGTCCTATGCTTCATCGACCGTCAGAAGGACCGGCCGTCTGTCTGTTTAATGCATCTAGTTATCTCTCTCTAAACACATCCCCAGCCCACTCTCTCTTCCCACCCGTTGGATGATCGGCTGGGCAACTGTGAAAGAGAGTAGCGGGCCGGGCCCAGATGGTCAACGGTCTCACTTGACCCGACAATCTCTCCATGCTGGATGCCTGTGAAGCACCTAGCCGGGCCTCCATATGTATCTATTCTAGAGAGAGAGAATGCCAGGCTGCTTTTGACTCTGAACTGGGTTGCTGGTGTCGACTCTGACGGAGCTGCGTTGACCCTGAATGCCAAGACTGGGATTACAAGTCAAAGTTTGCGAAAAATTTACATCATAAACTAAACATTTACGGCCGTGTATTGTCGTCTCTCACCTCCTCCCCCGGGGCTAGAGAAGAAAGGAGAGAGTGCGCACGCCGATATGAATAGGGCTACTTTGTGTTGACACTGACGAGCTGCGTTGACCTTGAATGTCATGGCCTGGGCCAATTAGTCAAAGTTTGAGAAAAAATTACGTCACGAACTAACGTTTGCGTACACGGATATGAACTGGGTTATTTGTCTCAACTCTGACGGAGCTGCGTTGACTTTGAATGCCAAGGCTGCGCTTACAAGTCAAAGTTTGCGAAAATTTACACCATGAGCTAATCATTTACGGCCGTGTATCGTCTTCCGTCACCCTCTCCTCCCCGGTCGAGGTGACGGCAGGACCTCTGCGGGGCCCACCCTCTTCTCCTGATCCACCACCGCCGCCTTGTAGTGTCCGCCACCGCCGACGCCGCCGAGTCTTCTGTCGTTCATCCTCGTTCCGTACTCCTTCACAGGCTTCCTCCTCTCGCCGGCGGCCGTCACGGCGGGCGGCGCCACGTACCACCACGCGGCGGTACAGCAGATGGCCAACACCCTCCCCGACATAGCCAGGCAGAGCAGAATCATCACCGCCACCGCCGACCAGTAGTAGCACGAATCCCTCCACCGGACCGCCGCCAGGAATCCTCCACAACCGCCGTTCCCCGCCGTCCCACGGGGGGCCACGGCAACCACCTCGCCGCCACCCCCCGGCAGCGCCGAACCTTTCTCCCCAGTCTCCGCGGCGTCGCAGCCCTTCTGCGTCGGCGGCGGCGGAGGAGGGCGGCGCCTGACGACGATGGGCACCCAGTCCTGGGAATTGGAGTACATGAATCTGACGAAGGAGACCCCCTGCTCACCGGCCATCGCCATTATTTTCTCCCTTCTGACCTCCAGCTCGGCTAAGACCATGGTGAACTGCTCGAGCCCTCTGCCGGCGTAGGGGTTTCCGCCGCCGTGCCGCCGCCGCGTGGGCTTCTTGCCGGGCGGCGGCCACAGATCGTCCTCCTCCTCGTGAGAGAAGCTTCCAGCGCCGCAAAACCTCGCCATGGCGACTGACTCAATCTGCCGACGGAGGGCGCCGCCCCCTGAGGAGAGATTTAAAAGGGGCCTCCTCCAATTGCTCTCTCTCTCTCTCTCTCTCTCTCTCTCTCTCTCTCTCTCTCTCTCTCTGTCTTTCCGTGAATGTCCCGGAGGGAGGACTCGGTGTGAAGGGAGGGAAGTCAAACGTAGACCAGAACCACGGGGAAAACGGGGGTCATGGAAGCTTCTATCTGCGGTAATAACGTTGACTTTGAATAATACGCGGGTAAGAGAAGGAGAGCTTGCCGTGTAGGATGAGCTGCGAGGGTCGTTGTATCTCTAGACCCACAGCATTGAATGCTGGAACCATCATAAATTAAGACTTACCGAAATCTGTATTGTCAAAAAAAATTAAACCACGGGGGAAAGTCAAACGGAATCGATGGTCGACGATTTGATGGGCTCCCACTCGAAGAACGAGTGCCTGTTTCTCAGATCTTCAATGGCCGCTCGGGCTCGCAGGGGATAATAATAATACTTATAATGATGATGACGATGACGATAATAATAAGCGGCCCGGATTTATTGACTATGTCAGTCGACCGGTGCCGGCGGAGGAACGCCTGGGCGGCTCTTGGGCCATCCTCCGCTGATTACGGTCCGGCGACGTCCAGCTTGACCAACTTGGCCCCGATTTGGGGATGAGAGAGAGAGAGAGAGAGAGAGAGAGAGAGAGAGAGCCATTGCAATGCAAGGAAGAAGCTAGATTTTACCCATAATAAAGTATGATCATTTCCACGTTTCATGATCTAGGGGAATTAAAAAAAGAGCATTTAATTTGAATAAAAAATATTCTCCCTGGATGAGTTAGGTGGGCCCAAAGTCTAGCCTAATATCCATCTCTAACCAGAAAGTCAAACCAGGGTAATACATATACATGTGAAAGTCCAGAAGCTTGGTTGAAGGCTGGATAGAAATTCACGGCATTTCCTCATGAATGTTTTAATATGGGCTTTTATTGGGCCGTTGACTTCTTTCAATTATTATAAAGGACGTCTAGGATTTGTGTTAAGATTGACTTAGTCAGGCCCATTTATCTTGAAACCCATTGGCATTGTAAGCACTCAGAAACTAAAGTGTTCAAAGAACTGAAGGGAGTGTAGGGTGGAATGGACTACCAAACATCTCCACATTGTTGATATTTTTTAAGTATCATGGGAAGGAAAATTAAAATTACTTAGGTAAAGAATATAAGTTTGCATCATCATAATTTTTAATAATAAACTGATATACATCATAATTAAAATGAAATCGATATATTTCTTTTAAATGGAAATTTAGAAGTCATGCAATAGTGGTAAAACGAACATGAATATGACATAGATACACTATTTGGTGGCCACTAGACTGACCATTAGATTAGTCAAGCATGATAGTTATTGGCTTGGATTTTAAAAAAAGGAAAACCATATAAATATAACTGAATTTATGCAGCTATGTAATTATGTTTATTTAATGAGGATTGAAAAAAATAAGACAACATATTCTCATCTCTCAATAGCTCAACTTTTTAGTCTTATTCTTTTCCATGATGATTTCTTGTATATAGGCCTTGGATTCAGAGAAGGTATATGAGATAAAAGTTGTGGAGATGAGTGAACCCATATTTATAAAACAGGTTGAATATTCTCAATGAATCATTTTATAGAAACCCTCAATTTTTAAATTATCCTATTTAAGAGGTATACATCCCCTCATTTTCTGAGATGAAATGACAAGCAAAGAGGTATAGTGTGTGTTTTGTGTTCAAATGATGAAGAGCAACAACTTGGAGGGTGGGTCAACTTTGGATTTGCAAGAGTTGTGATTCTAAGTTTTATCGTCTAGTTGATAATAGAACTCTCATAGAATCTTGAGAATATATTTCTTTGTAATCCAAAGAAAAAATGTTACGTCGAATTATGGTGACCTCAAGGCAAGAATTATAGTGATAATCATTCTCACTATGATGAATTATGAAGGATTATGTTAATGCATTATTCAAACATTCACACTTTTGCATACAAAGATCAAGTTAGCTACAAGTAAAAGAATATAATTATCATTTATAGAGAGGGGAACCAGATGGTAGCAATGACTCAAAGGTTGACCCAAAATACCATTAGCTGGACTAAAGCAACGACATGAATAGTCAGCTCATGTCAACATAATTACAACTGGGTTAGAAGTGGTCACAGACCCTATTGCGATAAAAGACCCAACTACCCATAAAGAGGTAGACCTTAGCACAAGAGAAAAGGAATAAAAATTGTCAAGCATAGCCTCCCCATGAAGAGAGAAGGAAAATTGTCATCTCTAATTGACTACCTTATTATCCCCCTTATGTCTTTATTGTTCCCCATGTAATATGTTCTTTCCTTCCATTCTATTAGTCACCTCCTCTCTTGCCCTGTCCCGAACTATCGATGTCTTGTAAGACTTTGTTTGCAAAAGTTTATTTATTGATAGTGAAGATCATTACAATTATTCTTCACAAGCTATTTCGCCCTAGTAATTTTGGAATGCATCAACTAATATTAAAGCCACTAGCCTTGATTTCTTATGAGGTCAAAATCGACCGATCCTAAATAAGAAATCTTAGAAAAAGAAATGAAGGAAGTCCATCACAATATCTTACAAGAGCAGACAGACAAAGAGCTTGTTTTCGATAGTAATTGAAAATTGAACAAATTGAGTTACGAGTGGAGGTTAAAAATGATTAAGCAAGTTTTGACAACAACTCGGGATGTTGACCCAACTCATAAAGAGGCTACTACACCAGAAGAGCATAAACAATAGGTAAAAACTTTGACCCAATTTGTCAAAGGAAATGGAGATTGTACATCCCAACAAGTGATAATCCTAACTAGAGCACTGAAGACCATAGTATATGATGATAACTTCCACGCACACCCATCACATCCTTTTTGAATTGGCCATAGTAAAGGCAGCCATTAACTAATTCCGAGGGAATTTTAAGCCCAATAAAAGTAGTTGGAGCTGCCAATGTTCAATGGAATGAACCCAAAAAGGTGGGCACTTTGTGCAAAATTGTACTTTATCACTTACAAGTTAATGTGTCCAAAGAGATTGATGGAGTTAAACCTTAGCCTTGATGAACATACTCTCCTTTTGTTCTAATGGGTATGTGACATGAGGCCTTTCCAATGTTGAAAAGAGTTTAAGGAGCAGTTTTTGACTGGATTCAACTCTTTGTAGTCTAATATTTGGTGCAAGTAGTTTTTGGACTTTGTCTAATGTGGGATCGTTGACAAATATATGTAAGAATTCCACATGACGTTAGAGGGAATGCAATATGCCTAGAAGACATCCTCGAAGAGGCCTTCTTGAAAGGGTTACAGCAACACATCTAAGCTAAAGTATGCACAATAAATTCATGAGAGTTACAAGACATTATGCAAGTGGCCCAAAGGGTTGAATTGAAAATCAACACTAGGAAGAATTGAGAATAGTAAGGCAAGAATTCTAAGGTTGACATAACCTAAGAACCTAGACATTAAACTAATGTGGCAATGGTCCACATGAGTCAACATTTTTTTAAGAACGGATGGTGAGCCTTGTGGTCCTCCAACACCCACACTAGTTGTCTCTAGTGGTGCAAGGAAGAGGGTCAAATTGTCTAAGGTAAAAATATAGGTCGACAACTACAAGGCCTATGTTTTTACTATAGTGAGAAGTACTTCTCAAGACACTACTGCAAGATAGAAATACATATCTTATTCACATCTAAGGAATCTAATTATCTATTGATGGCTCTATAAGAAAAAGAAGTGGATGTAGAGGTTATAAATGAAGAAGGGTTGCTCTAGAATATGACAATTTTGTTGCACATGATGTTAGGCCATGCACCTAGCAAAGTGTTGAAGTTTCAATGAGTCATCAAAGACTAGCCAATGATAGTTATCATAGATATAGTAGCCACCCCTAATTTCCTACACCGCCTCATAGAAAAAAATTACCTTCTGGTCACCACCACCTCAAGCTATCAAGTAATGATAGGAATGGGCAATAGGTGAGCAGAAGTAAGCTATGTCAAGATGTCCCTTGACCACTATCAATGTCATCCTGAACTCTAGAAGATGATAAGTTGAAAAATTTAGAAGTTGATTTGGAACAATAGACAACATCTTTCAAGATAAGCATGGAGACCATCATCTTGACAGCAAATCTTCTAAAGTAGCTGGCCAAAATAAATCTCAAGGTCAAATTCGCCCAAGAGAAGCCTACTTCAGATTGTGCCAACTCACCAAGACATAATTCAAAGCCCCCATGCAACAGCAAATGTAGATCCAATTTCTCAAGGTCTTCGGAGAAAACAAAGGTCTCACTCCTTGTAGAGAGAGAGATTAACCATCGAATCCCTCTGGAACCAAGCACTAAGTCAGTAAATATGTACCTCTTTTAATACCCATATGATCAAAGGATAAATCTCGAGAAGTTGATCCACAAGATGTTAGAGGTCAAGATTTTTCAATACTCACATAACACTTTTTCCAACCCTACCTTGTTGGTTTGGAAGAAATGGGACATGACAATTTTGCATGGACTACCGCACACTGAACAAGGTAACTATTCTCAATCATTTTCTAATTCTAGTCGTTGAAAAAAGTTGTCAGATAAACTTCATGGTTCCCAAGTCTTTTCGAAGCTCAATCTAAGAGCAAGATATCATCAAATTCATGATCAATTGGCAAACATCCCTAAGATAATATTTCACACAAGGGGTATTACGAATTCATTGTAATATCATTCGGCCTCTCTAATGCACCATCAACATTCTAGGCATTTATGAATCAGTTTTTTGAAAAGTATATGTGGAAATTCATCCTCATATTTTTTGACGGCATTCTTATCTATTGCATGACTCATCAAGACCATTAGGAGCAACTTATATATGTTTCTACACTCTTAAGATATCATCAATTGCATACCAATCTAAAAAAGTGTTCATTTGCCCAAGTAAGGATCTCTTACTTAGGGCACTAGGTCTTGATAGACAAAGTGGGCATCTAGAAGTAGCAAGCTCCACTCAACTTGCGAGAATTAAGGAGATTCTTGAGACTATCAAGATACTCTACCAATTTGTCAAGAATTACAACACAATTATTGTTGCACTAATTAGGGTTATCTAAGTGAGAGCCATTTGTTTGGGGAATTGAGGCAGAGGTCGTATTCCAATAACTCGAAGACGTCCTCTCACCTGCTCTAATGGCCACCCTTCTAAATTTCAATCAGACGTTTAACTAGAGGTAGATGGATCCGGCAGTGGAGTCAGGGCCATCATGATGCAGTAGAGGTGACCAATTGCGCTCCTTAGCCAAGCTCTATCATCTATGGAGAAGCTTAAGGTAGTTAATGAATGCAAGCTAATCACCATCATCTTGACAAATCTTCAGGTGAAAACAATATACAATGAGCTTACGATACATCACCTTCACATATTAGTGAAGTCTGAAATTTATATTTAAACAACAAAAAATTCTATTAGAATATCAAAGTGACTTTAATATAAAGGCTAGGAGCAAGAACCAAGCAGCTGATGCATTGTCACGAGCTCTAGTGTCACACTCTCTCATTGACTTGAATCAAATCACATAAGAAAATAAGAAGTACCTAAGGCTCGCAACCATCATCAACTAATTATCAGAGCAGCAGGGGAAAAAAATCTACATTACTCACTACGCCATGGACAACTGTTGTACAAGTGGCAAGTGGTAATCTCGAAAAATTCTCAACTAATTTCCTGAATTCTACAAGAGTTCTATTGTTCACCAGCAGGAGGTCACTGCGTAATCTAAAGAACATACCTTCAGATCCTTCATAATTTATATTGGAAGGGAATGAAGAGGAAGATCAAGGAGTTCGTGGCCAATTGTCTGGTCTATCAGTAGAATAAGACCGACTCCTTAGCACCCACTGGGTTGCTTCAACCACTGCTGGTCTTAGAACGAATTTGGACAAATCTCACCCTTGACTTCATTGAAAGGCTACCCCACCCCAATGGGTTTAATGCCATATTGGTCGTGGTGGACAAGTTAAGCAAAGTATCCACATTTCATTCCTCTAAACTACCTACTTATATCAAGGGAGGTGGCCCTTGTATTTGTTAAAGAGTTCATCTAATTACATGGGTTTTCAGAGTCCATCATCTCTAATAGGGATCAAATATTTATGAGTCCGTTCAGGAGAGAGTTATTCAAGCTTTCTGGCACCTCTCTGCGGTGGACCAACTCTTACCACCACCCATAGACATACGGACAGTCATAGGTAGTCAATTGGAGCTTAGAAACTTACATTTGTCATTTTGCAAGAGATTGGCCGCACCAATGGAACAACTAGCTGACGTGGGCAGAACTCTGGTTCAATACCAAGTTCAACGCATTCATCAGAACCTCTATGTTCAAGGTCATGTATGGACGCGATCCCCAAACCTTGCTATGTTACAAACCAGGAGCAGCGGCCACGACAAATTTAGACCCAACTACTCAGGAGCGGGATGAGCCTTAGAACAGCTGAAGCATTATCTGACTCAGTGTCATAGACAAGGATGAAGTAGTGTGCTAACAACCAGAGGCATGACCAAGAATTTCAACTAGAAGATCTCATCTACCTTCAACTGCAACCCTACATGCAACAAGCGTTGGCCTGATGACCCTACAAAAAAACTTGTCCCTTGATTCTTTGCCCATCTCAGGTCCCCGAGCGAATTGGCTCGTAGAGCCCTATGAAGTTTTGGCTGTCCAACGTGGGGCCATAGGTCCGGAAGTCCTCATCAGTTGAAAAGAGCTTCCCTATTCGGAGGCTACGTGAAAGACCACACAACGAAGCCAATTTCCAAAGTTCCACCTTGACGACAAGGTGAATCTCTTAAGGGGGAGTATTGTTGAGGAACTTATTGATAGTGAAGATCATATTAGTTATTCTTCACAAGCTGTTTCACCCCATTAATTTGGGAACGCATCAGATTCATGAGAATACAATCGATCAAATGACTAAAAAAATGAAAAAGATTTACACTTTCACATGGAGTCAACCTAAGAAATGCGTCAAATTTCTGTACATAGAAGGCCTGGGAGGATATTATGAACAAGAACCATTACATGGAGGCTCCACAGTATCAAGAAGGCATCCATTTACAGCAATGTGCTTCAAATCAATAATATGACCATTTCGGAGAAACCCAAATCCAAAGGTCCCAGTGTTATATTCCCATACCCTACCCTCTACATTCTTAGGATTTACAGATGAGCCAGATGAATCTGGAACGACCAAATCATAACTACAGGTTATACAGAGGACGCGTGAGATAACTCCTGCTGAGCCAATGCAATTTGTAGAGAGGGGCTGGATGTGTTCCCTCCCATCATAGATATCCTCTTCTTCTTTGGAGAAAGGGTGCTCAAGAAATGGCATGTTTGAGGTCCAGAACACAGGAGAATAACCAGAGAAAGGTTCAGAAGCATCACCAACCTTTCGGCAAGCTATACCTCCCACATCATCGTACGTAATGAGATAGAAGTCCAAGTTCATGTTCTCACAGATCCCCTGAGATAGGAAATCTGGTTCACTTCGAAATGCTCGAGAAAAGGGACTACGATCGAGCTGATCTTCATATTATTGAGATTATTGAAGTTAAAGAAAAAGGAGACATCAGAAGAAGAGGGAGAGCTAATACCTTCCAAAGGCCCTGGAGAGGTCGCGTTGGAGTGGGATAACAATCGGATATCCTCACAAAGTGCTCAGCCTCCCATCTCCTCCTCCCGAGGCGGTCCTTTCCTCTTTTCTTCTTCTGCTTCCTGAAAGATTTGTCTCCACAGGGGCTGATCCGGTTGGCGAAGTATTGATATATCTCCGCCATGAGTCTCTCAGGAGGCGAAGACGCCTCTAGGCTGGTTAAATCATCACAACTCCCGAATTCGTCAATTATGTGAGCACCGGCATATTGTCCCCGGTTCTCGTCCACCACAAAATGGTTCTCCCCCATGAAACAAACCGTCACGGGAACCAAATCCGAATCAGAGAAACCAGATCCCGATGCCGGTTTCTTGAGGCAACCTGACGATTCGAGTCTGCAAGAGGGATGGACGAAGCTCACCGGATCGCCACGCGGCGAGAGGCTCATCCAGAGGAACGGAATCTTGACCACGTCATAGCTCCCGGGCTCCGATGAAGGGGAGACCCTGGATCCGGTGATGAAGGACGATCCCCACTCGAAGAAGACGAGCGGCGGTGTCCCGTCGTCCCCTCGGCCAATCCGCCGCCAGAAGCCGATCAGATTCTCCCACCGATCCAACACCTTGTACAGAAGGGGGAACCGGACGCTTCCGCCATCACCGCCCCAACACCGGATCAGAGTCTTGGACCCCCATCGGCGATCACACATGGCGAACCACAGCCTTTCCTCTCCGCAGAGGGTGGCGAATCGCCGGGAGGTGCACGCGAAGACCGCGATATCGGCGGGCCGGAGGAAGGAGAGTATGCACATCTGCACATCCTCCGGGAACTCCGAGAACGCCACTGGCGATTGAGAGCCCCCTAGCGGCTCCATTTCCCGCCCAGCTCGATATCCGACGGACTGCACCAGAGACAGAGATGTCGAATGGCGGCGGTCGCTCGAGCGGAGCGCCGCGCCCGTGGCCAGAAACGAAGGTCGGGATAGCGAAGAAGAAGAAGAAGATCGGGGAAGAACCGTTGAAAGAAATAACAGGGAGTTACCCTCCGATTCACAGACATCTCGTCCGTTGAATTAAAGCCACACTGAATGGACGGCATCGCAAGCTTGAACTTCACTGTTGCACAGCCGTCCGATCAGAGGAGCATTAAAGTGGTGTATGCTATTTTAATGGGCCGGGCCGGGCCGAGTCTGGAGAATAAGCCCCCAACTGGACTCGAGGCGGACCCTAAAGGCCTAGTCCCGGCCAGACGAGGGCTTTTCTGCCACGTGGAGAGCCACCCATAGCCCACGCTGCCTTCAGAGCCAAGCACGAAGCCCAGTAATATTAATGGGCCACGGATTCGGTGGCCCAGCGGCATAAATTATTAAAAATACGAACAAAAAAGACCCAAGTTACAGAAAATAGCTATTTTAATCTCAGTTTCTCATGACTCTCCCGACCTTGGCCCGACCCCATTTTGGGAATATCCACCCCAAGTCCCCGTTGACTAAGTATTCTGAATTTTCTGACCCGATTCAATAAATTATATGGCAGACGCTTCACAAAATTACACATTTGTACCCGGATCCAGATGAAAATAACAGCCAATATTAATATACAAAAAAACAAAACTGGAGGTTGGGGGAATAATTGACGGGTAGTTACAGAAGAGGTGGGAAGTGAATTGACCAGTCAACGAGACAGGCGTACCAACCTAGCTTGCTGGTGTGGAAACTTGCGGGACAATGTAGTCCCTTGTCAGCTCTGCGGCAAGGACGAGGAGCTCCACCATCTCGGATCCGACGGCTGCGGTGGGATCCACCTCCTCGCTTCTGGATGCCTCCGCAAGAACGGTAGGCTGCGAGTCCTCCACGACGGCGGACCAGCTGATGGGGAGGGCGCTTCTGAGGACCATCTTAACGCTGTCCGCTTCACGAAGTATCCCGTCCAACGCCACGGCTAGGCTCTCCTCCGCAGGAGCAGCAGACCTGGCTTCGTCTATGACCTGAAACATTGAGGGGCCTTTATCAAATTATAGGGCTATGGAGGCCCAGCCCAATATTTCTTAAAGTGATGGGAGAAGAATGACCTTCAGGAGAGAGAGACGAAGCCTGCAGATGGAAGAAGCGAGTTGGTCAACGTTGGCGATGCCCTCCCGGAGAGCTGCATTCTCCGCCTTCAATCTGAGGTTTATATATATAAAAAAAAAATTTCAAATATTAACGATCAAATTACAAAAATCTCTTTTATGGGCAAGCATGAAGATCTTATGAACAGGGACCTGGTCAAATCCAGAGAGTGGTCGGTCTTCTGGTGGGAGGGATCACTTCCGTCCGCCATAGTAGTAAGACCAGCTTCACTTTGACGGTCACTTCTCCCCACCCAGCGTCCGAGATATGTTCTCTTCAGGAGGTTCTTCAGCCTCTCCCCTCGCTCTTGGACAGCGAAGTCCTTGGTGCCGCCGCCACTGTTCCTGGAAGGTTGACCGGAAAGTCAAAGGCTTAAGAATTTCTGTGGAAAAGGGTCCAGGCTGGATGTCTGAAGGAAATATCATGACAGGAGATTTCCATAAATGGGAATGGGATGAGATGGATTTTTGGTAAAAAAGGTGAGGCCCATACACTTGAAGAAGATGGTATTCTTGCTTCAGCTGGGCCAAACTGACCAGAGCCTGCACTTTCTCACTGGTGACCTGAACAGCGTGGTGGGAAAAAAGAAAAGAAAAGATTAACTGCTCGATATATTAATTTATAGGAAGAAAATCCAAGAACCAATCTAGGACCAATTTAATTGGTTAAAAAATAATATGTTAAGAAAGTCAACGGAAGTAATCTTCCAGGGGTAAATATTAAACGACGCATAAATGAAGCAATCAAGAACATAGTGTAAATCGGGACCGACTTAGATGTCCAAATAAGGAAATTCACAACACTTGAGTACCTTTTATTGCCACCGAAATTGGCAATTAACACGATTTTTAATCGAAAAGTCAACGATAACTACATATTGACAACGCTAAGAAACAGCATATTACCTGAACGAGACTCCTTTGAAGATCCTCTATTCTCTTCTGAAGAGCCACATTCAAATCTCTTTCTAGTAGATGCCTCTCTTCCTCCTGTGACAAGAGCAACAGCGTCTCAACCTGGAAAGAAGTGTTCTTCAGTTCTCGAGAACTATGTATCATCTGAATTCAGAAATGTGATTGATCACTTGGAAAGAAAGGAGAACCTTCTCTCTCAATACTTGGGCCAGGACATCCGACGAGCACTCTCTGTAAATGGAAATGTCGTGTACACTGGGATCCTCCTCCTGAAAAGTCAACGGATATGCTTCAGCTGACTTGGAATAATAGGAAATATTCACGCGGATCAAAATGCAAAACTCCAATTATCTCCTGAAAGAAGAAGAAAAAAAAAAGGACCTTCTCTTTCTCTGCTTGTGCCAGGACGTCTGACGAGCTGGGTTCAGTGGGATCCACCTAGGTGGTCAACGGATTGGCTTCAGTTGATGACGAATAATAAGCAGTATAATCAACTACATCTTACGAAAAATAATAAGCTCTGTGATCTACTGAAAATATGAACTCCTCGAGTTTTAAGCGCTTCCATTGAAACAAGATTCTGACACGGCAAAGAAATAAAGATCTATGATCATGGTCTAAGGCAGATCGGATAAGAAATAGAGCAACTACGAAACCCTAGAGTATGGAACAATTAATCATAAATACATAATGACATTATATCATAGGAAATCAGTAAACGAATATATACCAAATTAATCCACACAGAGTTGACTTATTGAAGCCAACAAGCATCCTTTCTTTATACCTTCAGAAATATATTTACACAAAACACTATTAGAACTAAGCAGTAGGTTTATTTTTCTTACACCAAATCGTCCGCCGTGCAATTTTCTGGATGATCAACTATTGTGCATAAATACACATTATTTTTAAATGAGGAAGCTTGATTGATAGCTTCCTTTGCTCAGCTTTGGTTGACAGACGCAGATTTCATATTTAAGGAAAACTTGAAAGATATAACCCGATTTTGATGTAAGAACATCAAAATGATAAGCATTAAGATTAGTAAGTTGGACCATTAATAAGCACTTCAAAGTAGGCAACTCTTCATCCATGATAACTAGGGTGGTGTTATTCATCATAACCTTAATAAGCGCCATGCTTAAGGATGTTGATTTATGAAGGGGCGTGAACATGGGAGTTCCTCATGTTGATGCAAAAGGAAGCCAGATGAACATGAGAAGGATATATATATATATATATATATATGGTTGGGCCTCCTCATGAATGCACCAGAATAAAATCAATAAAACACCGTCTGAGATTGATGAAGAAGAGGTATCGTTCCCTTCCAGAAAATTTTAACCAGTCACCAGCATTTTGATAAGCTTGTCGTTCATAGAACTCCCACAACAAGCATTTAGAGTGAAGAAACCCAAAAAAAATACAGTAGGAAAACATATTGATGCAGCCAATCTAAATTTACGAGTGACCCACCAAATCAGAGATGTTGACTTTTCTAAATGGCACTTTTAGCCTCTGTCAAATAACTTGGTAAATCCAAAAAAAATAACATAATCTTCATATGGTCTTCATGTCAGAATAAGTTAATTATCGTGAAAAATGAAAATTATGATGCACTTATTACGCAAACCTTAACCATAACATTGTAATCGGCATCACTGGTAATATCTGCAGTTCCTTCTTCAGAGTTGTTACACTTTTCTTCTGCAGTAGGAACCAGAGATTCCAGATCATTTTTCATGTGAACCAGCCTCATTTCTTCTTGTAGCTCAACAAGGATGGACCTCATCTCAATACTTTCTTCTTCTAGAATAGTCATGATTGAACATCTCTGTTGGTTAAGAAATTCACGTAACGTTGATAAAGAATGCCTGAACTTGTCCTCGGCCTGAACCTACAAGTGATGTTGACATTTTGTGATACAAAAATTGAGTTGGGACAAACTTACGTAGACTTAACAGTCCAATAACTCACTTGCTTCTTTTCCAAACTACGGACCCTTCCTCGTAAATATCGTTCAATGTCCATGCCCTGAGAAAACACGTGCCTTAGTCACATGAGGAAAAAGCAGGTAAGAAGTCAAACATCAGCATTTAGCCAACGCCAACCATTCTCATTTTCTTTTGTAGACTGTCAACAGATTCTCTAAGTGTCGCTACCTGCTCCTCTAATGAAGCCTGTATGAAACGAGAAAGTCAACAATTGTAAGGAGACAAGCAAAGATCGTTTCCAGATAAGATTTACTGCATGTCCAACTGTCCATACACTATCAGATCTAACATTGAACAATTGTATTTTACAAGTAAGTCGGAGAGTCAAACTTGGATAGCAGAGAAGTATCTCGGAACCACAATTTCATTTTGAGCACCCAGATGGATTCCATAAATATGCACCGAATTAAACATAATACCGAAGTTTAGGGGAAATAATCTATATCTCCTGCGAAATGAGGACTAATGGCGATGACGAGAGGATTTGATTTTCATAAAGAATGTAACATATTTGATTTCTCAACGGTTGTTCATCTTGTATTTTGACGTTAAGAGGCCAACAATGGATATTTCTGATGCCGTGATCTTCCATAGGTAATAATCCATTTATCCCGAAGATACCACCATTGCCAACCATGAACGAAGTTTTCCCCCATTTCAGTTATGTAGGTAATAGAATTTTGTTTGCTCATTCTAAACCTCTATCTCACCACTAGGTAAGCCCACAACACCCAATCAGTTTTTTTCAAAAACTGGAAAGCAGCCAAACCTATCTTCCTCCAATTTCCACACGTAACTGAAGCATGCGGTCCACCAAACGGACCATTCAACCTAGACCAGGATCTTCAATCAAGATGAAAATGGTCAATTACTTAACAAATAGATTTGATTGTTTATTTACCAAGCTTAAACAGAATCAGACATTCTAATTGAGACCAACCAAAATAAATAGGAATTAGTCATTTGGGGGTTCTCAATACAGTACACCTTTTTTCGTTGTAGCTTGTGTAGCACTAGTCATTCAGAATCGTTGTTTTTCTGTAATTGGTGCAGAAAAAAGTGTGTATCCTTCAAGGCTGTATGTTTTGTGAGCAATCAATGTCATGTTTTTCCATTTTGTGAAGGAATCCTTGCCAATTAAAAATATCCTGTCGTGAAAAATATCCATACTCACACTGGTTTTATTTGAAAGCCTGGATGCAAATTTTGACAAAGGAACATAAGCCCACAGCCCAATGCATCAACTAGAGTAGAAAACAAAACATTCGAATAACGCTCCCACACCCCAATGAATCAACTCAAGAGAAACCCCTTTGAGGATGAATTGCCATTTACTTTTCAATTCCAGATATGCACATAGGACCCCTCCTTTGTTCAGTGTACTCATCACTGAAGAAAAAAACACTACATAGCAGATGAACATGACAACTGCTTCAATTACCTTGTACAACTGATTTGAAGGCTTTAATAAGATTCAAAAATCATTCCCATCTCCAAAAGAGAAACATCGAAGGCACTGATTATGTTTCTGCATACCACAGGGGTTTATGCAAGTCTCTGGAGGTTCGATTAGTTGTGCGCAAATTATTTGAAGTAAATGCTAGAGAAACTATGGAAAATGTTAAGCACCAAAAAAGTGTAGCCGCGGAGGAGACCAAAGCTTCGTGGCTGCCATTTACCCCCACAGTATCCCAATGACGGGAGTCCAACTCCATTTCTATGGCTTGAATCTCCATTATGTATTTGACAACCATCAGAATGGAAAAAGCCAGGGCTATATGGTACAGGCACGGAAGATGATTCATCCTCCAACCAAAAAAAGTCAGCATTATAATGATTTCTTCCATCTCTCCTGAGCTCTGGCATCATGTGCCTCCAGAATCCAGTTTAAATGAAATTATTCATAAAATATTCAATTTTCCCCACCATCTTGAAACCAATTGAATAAGTCGCATAGAAACTAGATTATTCCAAAAAACATGAATAAACCGCGCCATATATATCAAAGGATTGAATTCAGAGGTCTTATAATATTATAAAACAGAACAAGGAATGCAAGAGCACGAAATTTACAATATAATTTGAGTGGCCATGTTTTCCATTGCTGCCGAAGATCCAGATTTCTGAAGGATCATTCAGAAGGGTTGAACATTTAACTTCCAAAGGTTTAGAATCGGAGCACCCCGTAGCACTTTCTCTTATCTCAGAAAACTTAGAAATAACCTGAAATTACATAGACAATCGTGCAATAAATTAAACTAAAAATTAATCATATCAACGACATAAACATATAAATTTGATTCACAGCATCAAAGACAGATGTAACATTTGTGTGTCCAAATATACATTCCACGCTCTAAATCTAAACCTTTAAATAGCACATGAACAAATCAAATTCAAATGAGAAAACCCATTTATTTTTGGAGATTGATGATGCGCTTAACTCTTTTAACTCTTAACTCTTAATTCTTAACTCTTTTATTTTTAAACTGCACACAGAGGCAAAGTAAAAAGATTGAAATTCTTTCATGTATATGCATATATGCGATATGTCTTCACCTAACTGCATAAGAAGATGATAGACTAAAAGACAACTTACCAGAATTAGGTTATCCCATTCATCTTCTCAATCACAGATACCAGATAAATTTAATCAAGCATCGTAATTTTGCATACATACATACAATTTTAACAACAAAACTACACGACAATGAATTAGGCACATGCATCGATCGTACTTTAAAAATGTCAAGGCAAAAGGGTTGCGTGCTACCTCCTCAAAGATTTTGTTTTGCTCTTTTAATTTTTCCATTTCCACTTGTAGAGTGGAATTCAATTTCTTTTCACCATCGTAGCTTGACTGAAGTTCTTGCAACCTGCCATAGATGAAATGCTAAAATAGACAAACAAGCTTTCATTGCAAAATACTGTAGAATAATCTGCACCCCAATTACAAGGTAAAACCAGATGTACATGGCACATATCGATACTAAGCAAAACTGAAGAAGATATCCAAAAAATACATTCAGGAAAATTATCTCTATTAAAAAAGAATACTATAGACGGAATATGATTATTCCTTCTATTTCAAAACAAAGGGAACTTCTCATAGAGAGGGGTTTCCTTTGAAGTAATGACCAAACAATCCACCTACTTCATGACATTCTATTAAGGACTCTTAACAGATGACTACCTCAAAAATCTGATTTTTATGATTTTTTTCTGGGTATAGATTCAAAGGTTTAAGAAGCCCCCAACAAAACTAGATGATTCCTAGAAAGTTAACTGGTTCTCAGAATTTTTCATGCAGTCGTCAAAACAAGAATCCAACTGCCTGTCTATATTTTTACGTTGAGATGTTAAACTTCTGAAAACGGAATCTTTGTAATATTTCAAGGGTAAAATTTGAAGTTTCAATGCCTATAGAATTACAAATGTTAATGCACAACAAAAAATTGTGTAAAATAAATCTTCAGAATTCAAGCGTGAGCTTTATCCCCAACAAATACCTGTTCCCATAGTCGCACAGTTTTTCTGAGAGTGTCTCCCATTGTTCCTTCGCCTTCTCAGCCTGTAATAACGTTCCACAAAGGATACCGCAGTGATTAAGCATTCTTCATAAAATGAAATATGCATCAGAAAATTAGGATGAGTACATTTTAAACTCGAACCTCAATTATAGAGCTATCCCTCTCAGCAAATGCAGAAGCAACACAGCTCTGGAAGAATTTAATCTGTTTCTCTACTTCCATATTCTAGAGGCAAAAAAAAAATTCGGATTCATTGGGGACTTCTTATAAAGAATCAAAACCAACAGCCCACAAAAACAAAAGCCCATGACAACAGTTTATTAACTAGATTGGAGAGTAAAACGGTTTCAAACTTATAATTCGAAGTCAGATATAACATAAAGCACAACAACATGTTCGACACAGTAAAAAGCATATCATAAAATGATAATCTAGTTTAGCAGTCTCTGAATCATAAATTACGAAATAAGAAATTATCGGACTTATCTGACAAGTTAAACAGTGGGAAGAGTCTAGAAATGGTGAGCATGATAGTATTAATGACATCCCCTTAGGTTCTTCTCCCCAATGACAACTATTTTTGGTCGAAAAATATATTCCAGCAGAAAAATAAATTGACAGCAGTAAATTTCCAAATCAATGGTATCACAGAGAAAAGCCAAAAAAACCTCAAAAATAACGGCAAACATTCTCAAAATATGAATGATTTAAGGCAAAAAAAATCACTTTCCTTTTTATGTGTAATGCATTTCTCTCCCCTCCCCTTTAAACATTACACGACCAATAATTCATGACTGTAAAAATAAGTAATAACGTTTTATAACAAGCTAAATACTAGTCAATAGAACTTAGAAATGGAGTCAATGCATTCATTTATTTCATCAGGTAGATAAATACACACCTTTGAGACTGCTGCAGCATGCAAGTCTGCGAGCTGGCCCTGAAAATATCCAAACCAAATCAGAATATTGGAGTTAAGGACAGAAAAATAGCAAGAATCAATAGAAACTCAAAAAATATGGAGGTACTTTGATCCGGTAAGCTTCTGAAAGCTCCTCCTGAAGATTTTTATTGTCTCTGACACACGCTGCTAACTTCTTCCTTAGGTTCTCATTCTCCTCCTCCGAACCTGCTGTCCTGGTCGGGCTTTAATTTGACTATGTAGCAACCTCATCTCGTAGACAGAGAAATCACCTGGCAAATGAACTAGAGACTAAAGACAAATGGAAGCAGGATCGACAAACCTCTGAAAATGCATCCGCGTGGCAGCAGAAAGATAACTTGGACCAGCTTGCTGCAAACACATTCGTTCAACATCTTTCTGTAGATCATCACGTTCTGCAGTAATAACATTGTTAGCCAAACTTTGGAACTTGTGGCCTGTCAAAAACTTTTTGAAAGTTGACGATATAGAGTCCGGCATTCTATATTTCCAATCAGTGGCATGAAAGTAAGCATTTCCGAAATATTCAAAATTACCCTTAGGAGGATGACGGTAAGATGGAACCTACATGATAAAATAAATCAGGGAACGACATAACAGTCCTTACCATCACCCTGAGAAGGAACAACCATCTACTATATGGCCGTTACTGTATGTATCTAAGCAATGAACATTATCAGGTTTCCACGAAATTATGATAACATTTTGTCTTCAATAACACGCGACACTCTATAAAACAGACACTAGAGTACCTCTTAAACAGCTGACTTCGGGGATTAACGGCTGTACTGCCAACTATGGCGAGCCTCAATCCGAATCTCGATTTAGTGAAAAAGTCCCACTCTCCAAGATAACGAATCAGAAAAATCGCAGAGAAAGAAAAAGATAAACTGCCGTAGCCTATGGGTGATGTGGGCTGGTGGCAAAATATGTCAAGAACAAGGCGACATCATATTCCAACATTAGATCAAGAATAGAACGACTTAGATGTTATGGCATACCGCGCTCCAATTGTTTGATACGAAGACTTAAAAATTCGTCGTCGTTTCCCATCTCGTCCATTTCTGGCACATAGAAAACAAGATCAAGCGTCTGAAATGTGCGACAAACGGGGAAGAATGGAGCGAGACTACTGTTTTCTTGCCACGTTCAATAACTAATGAGCGATTGATTGAATGCAAACAATCAACTGAGGAGAAATTAGGACTTCAATCCATCACGAAGACGGCCTTAACTGGCCAGGGGATCACCTGGAGTAAAAACGGGAAATACTTCAATCGCTGCTTCTCGATCGATACAACCAGCGGTCGACCACAGAGATCCGTCCTCGTGATTGACTGAGAAGTACCAGGCGCGAGAATGGAGAAGATTTATAGGCTCGCGCAGAAGCGAGAACCCCCTCTCCTCCTCACGGCCGGTGCCCGTCTTTCCTTCACGAAGCGGTGGAAGCTATATTATTCGACATATTTTTTTGCTGGCACACTACTAATTAACTTCATCTTAAAAAAATGATAAATTAATTAAAAATAACTTATATACGTTACAAATTTGGAAACCTCGATTTCGAAAAAACCCATAAAATTATACCTTTTGATTTCATACCCAATTCCGAAAAAATGAGCAAGATCAAACCATTGAGGATCCATCTCTCTCTCTCTAGCGGCCAAACCCGATGGCCAAAAGAGAAAAAAGCGTAAGGATACGAAGGAAATAGTATGAAAGGTTTAAAGGTTTTATAAAATAACTATAATGTTAAGGTTGTCAACGCAAAGGCATCGTGTCTATAAATATTTCGGGGCACCCTCAAGGCCGGCCAGAAGAAATGGCGACTCATCTACGACGGCAAGTCCTTTCGCTGCCTCATTTGGTTCGTCTCTCGTCATCCGAGATCTCCGGATCGCGATCTCTCTCCACTGATGCCGTGGTGGAGCTCAAATCTGGCGACATCGGAATGGTTTCCGGTATTCCACAGGAACACCTCCGGCGAAAGGTACATCTTCTGGAGGGAGATCAATATTGTAACTGTTAGCTTATTATGTAATTTAATCCACGCGTTTGATTTTTATTTTTTAAAATCAGTTCGAGTTTATGTGCAATCGATTCTCAATTATGTGTCTTCTACTACTTTCCGTGTCTGATTAAGTTGGACGCAGAAAGAGAAGGAAACCATCAGTTTAGACTGTTTTCTCCCTTTGTGCAGAAATCGATGCCTGTTGGATTTAGAAATATTATTTTCCCATCGTTCCCATCCCCACCACGCCTCCCCTACACTTCTCCTTTGCATTTCGAAATAAAAATGTGTGGTGATACATTCTGGGCCATGGAAGGACCACGGTATCCTTGAGTCCAGACATGTGCACCGCTCGTACCTAGACGCATTAACAACGATTTCATTGCTCCAATGATAGACGGTAGTCTACCTGCCATAACCAAAGGATCAGTGCCGTCAATGCCCTTGGTCCAGCTACCAGACATTTCACCCACGGACGTTGGTTATAAGGGGAGTCTTGTGTGTTTTCGATTGAAGGCGCGTGCTGCTGATAAGTTTCAAGGAAAACCATATTGAGTCGTACCTCAAATTTGACATGTTTCTTAGGTAAATTACTTATTATCCGCTGCAATATCTTGAGAAAGGCCTGAAATTGAACCTTCCTTTGTTCCGCTCAAACTGTATTCGTCAGGTTGTTATATATTCACCAGCTCGAACTGCAACTCAGCAAGGTTCTGGGAAAGTTGGCGGGTGGAAGATAAATTTTATGTCAACGCACAAGTAAGTTCTGCTGATGCAGGTTTCGCCTGTCTTTTTGTTTCATAGGTCAAGAAAGATGACATACGTTTTATCTCAAATTCTTTGTGGTATTATAGTGGTTATCTAGTCAGCTCATTTTGATTCAAAACATGTGATCCAGGCCCCTTTTTTTAAAGCTGACATGTAATTTAGTGGTAGATTCTTTGTCATATGATATGTACTAAGAGACTGCGAGGGTCTCCGTTTTGACATGTAATTTAGTGTCAGATTCTTTGTCACATAAAATCTACTCAGATAATGTAAGGGTCTTCGTTCTGACATGTGGAACAACATTGGCCAAAATATCTAAAGAAAAACTCTGGTTCAAACATCTATAAATTCTTTCTGTGTAAGAGAAAAACTCTAAATTCAGTACATATTGTATTGAATTGATATCATTGTCCTATTTTTTTTATTATATGTTATGCCTGGTTTGTGTGGTAGTATTGATACACGCACGTAAAAAACACACTTTGATGTAAATTGTATCTATCTGACAAAATTTATCCAGTTGACCGAACTTCACACTGTGATATTGCCAGATTGAAAACAGAAAATGGATGGGTAAATATCCTTTTTTGTCACGTTTTTGGATTGATGTTTGAACCATATTCAATTATTTTCCAAACATAGTATTGATAAGACTAAATAATATGGTATTTTTTCTAGGTGCCGGAGTTTTATATTTTATTGTGAAGTGGATTGCACTTATGGTTGCTAGTGTTATTAGCTAAAGAGCTCAGTCCTGACTTCATTGGTACAACTAGGCGGAAATATCAAAGTTATTATTACTAATGGTCTCATAGTCTGCAAGATAACGCTTATATTTTTTTATTTTTGACATCTAAAAAGGGCATTGTATTTCTTGACATGCTAGCTGAAAAACTGCTACGATTTATGGGTTTCATCCTTTCAAACGTTTTGCACCTTAGGTGGGAGAATCCATTGATGGGCTGGACATCAACTGGGGACCCATATGCCAATGTGGGAGATGCAGGGCTCAGTTTTAACAGTTCTGAGGCAGCAGCATCATTTGCTGAGAAGCATGGTTGGGACTATGTTGTATGTATTTCTCAATTTTCAGATGCTTTATTTCTATTTTTACTTCGTTCGGAGTCGTTGGTTGAGAAACCCCCTACTATTACCTCCATAATGTTATCTAATGTATGAGTATTATTAGTTTGATCCTAATTGATCTAATATCAGAACGAGCACTATCTACTTGCAGAAACATAAAAGGAGAAGGAATGATTACATTAACTAAGCTGAAACTGAAAAGAAAGACATGCTGTTGTATATCTGTTTCTAGCTCGATATAGCTGAGTAGGGGAATATTTGCTTCTGCTAGTCATCGTATATATCCAGAGAAAGTTTGATGATAAAATTATGATCTTGAAGATGCATCTATTATCAGTGGATGGTTCATGTTTATATGATGGTTGGGGTCTTGTAAATGTGACTTGAGAGGGTGATATTATCAAGTTTGATAGTGACTCCTTTTTATCCACCTGCGTTTTCTCTTTCTGACAAAGAAATTCAGGCAAGATGCATCGAACCATATCCAAATGAACCAAATTAACCTTTCCAAGCGTAAGCAAACATCAATATCTGCATCCCATTAATAGTTTTTAAGTTAGGACGTGTATCTACATTACTTCTCTTGGCATATTGAACTTACGACTCATTTCTTAAGGGAAAAAAAAAATAATAGTAGACACTTCTGCTTGTTAAGTGTTGAAAAATGTGATCTAAAAACAGAATAGCTTCAGAAGAAATGGCAATACATGCAAAGGTCGCACCAAGATTAGCTCTACAACTGGTCCTCAGTAGCTTCTGTTCCAAATCCTAGTTTAATTGGGAGCTGGGAAGTTCCGGTCAGCGAGGGCGAGTTAACATCAGAAAAACCAGCCACACAGGATTTGTGTCTGGTTTTGCATGATTCGTCACTCTGGGATGCACCCTCTGCAAATAATTACTCTTAAAATGGGAGGCAATAAGTGGTAATGTGGTTTAATTTTGACTTATGGAGCTTAATAATTACCACATTTGTTTTAACATTTTCCATTGACATAAACCCTAATCATAGGTTTAAACATCTTATGTCCTCTGTTACTGCCTCACACCCTCAACTCTCCTTACTGTTCGTGGTCATGCCTTTCAGTCTTCTGATGATTTTCTGGCTAAGTTAATCAACATGTTAGATAGCCTGTTGTTCTTTGTTCTTTCTGTCTCGTCTAATACAGAAAAAATATGCATTCCTGCAGATTTCCTCCTGACTTTCTGATTCTATATGCAGGTGAAGAAGCGTCACACGCCAGTTTTGAAGGTTCGTTGACGTTTTTAATTGATTGCATGCTAGGGTTCTACATTGGGCACCGTTTGCTAAAACCTTGATCCCTATCTGTTGAGACTCAAAACGGTGAGGATCATTTGGTCAGTTTTCTGGGTGTATTTGGCGTATGTCCATCAGGTTGTCAATGGGCTGAGTTGAGCTGGTGCATCTTTTACCGGACCCACATCTACTCTGTCCCCAGATATAACATAGACAGTTTGATCGGTAGAGAGAGAGAGAGAGAGAGAGGAGGTGTTGAAAATTTTGACTGAGGTTCCCAATGGTCCGAGTAATCACAGAACTTGGATCCCCAGTTTTCTTAGTTTAGACTTTAAATTGAAGCCCATCAACAAAAATAGGATCCAGAAGTCCACATGACAGCCTCTCTCTCTCTCTCTCTCTCTCTCTCTCTCTCTCTCTCTTACATATAGGGGCATACCCTGGGTCGGGTGGGCCTACTGGGCCAGGACCAAGTTCTATATGGGCCTAAACAGGAGCCAATTTCCAGGCTTCTCTTTGGGCCAGGTTCAGATCCACTCTTGTAAAAGACGGGCCTATTGAGTCCCCTGGTTGTAATAAAGTCAACCATTCGATGATCCTAATGACTGTTCTCTCTTGGGTTTATTTCTTTAATTATTTTTTAAGATTTAACTCTGTCTAGTTCCATGCAGCCGAAGGCCTACGCTGACAATTTCAAGTGGAAGGGACCTCCAAGATCTGAGGAAGAATAGGAAATCTCTCACGATGGGGTCTTATCTCCTCCCATGTGAGTCCCTGGAAGCACCTGTTGTTTGGTAATGAGCAAATATAAGGTTGAAAATGATCGACTCTGTCCTGGGGGGTTTTGTCTTAAAGGGCATCAACAGGCAGGGTAAGCCTACAGTTTGGCCTACCCGGCCCGGCCCAAGAACTGTGCATGTTCTATGGTCACCCACATGTCGGCATATCTCTCTCTCTCTCTCTCTCTCTCTCTCTCTCTCTCTCTCTCTCTCTCTCTCTCCCTAGTGGGTCATTATTTTCTTTTTGGGCTGATTTCTATTTTGGCTGGCCTTTGAGAGAAGCCCAGAAAAAACCCTAAGCTTGTCTGTCACGTAGTTGTCAACCTAGTGCATGGTTGCATGCTCCAACATGTGCCGGCCTCAATCGTCCTTGGCAATACCAAGCAGCCTTCAGAAAGGTTGTGTATTCTTCTCAATAAAGAGTACACTTGATGCATATAGGTCAATATGAGATAGCTTTACAATGTGGGAACACTAGGGATGATGTTTTCACCACCCTTTATGATTGGGGACTTGGTTGATTCTTTGTTGATATTAACTTAATAATGCAAACCCCAAAGGTAGGCCCTGCCAAAAAGGTATAAAGATGACTTCATCACCGTAATGGATAATTAATCAACAAAGGAACTCTAGTTGAAGCTAGACCCCAAATTATTACCACTTTACCTCAATGCTTGATCATTGACTAGTGATTGTGTTGTTGACCCTGTTGACTCATGACTAGTTCAGACCAGCAAGATGGGTCAGCACAGAAGACTAAGTGGTCCAACATAGTTTCAACTAGAATGATAGATTGACTCAAACTAGGTAATCTATCTAGTTTGGTCAAAGCATAAGTGGAACCAATTCAAGCCTACAATTCACAATATCATAAATCAGGTGAAGTTTAACCCTAATTAGGGTAGAGTAAACAATGGTTGAGTGAAAGACCAAGAAGGGGGAGTGAAGGATGGGCAATAGAGTGGATGGTGGTAATGTCAAATGTTGGGAGCAATTGATGATGGCTCTAACACCCCCCTCCTTGTCATAGTAGATAGTTGACCCTGTGAAGATAAGTAATCCTAATCTCATACAAGGACTACAATGGCATTTATAAGTGTTCATAAATTAAAAAAAAGGAAATAAAAATATTAATAAAAAATAAAAAATCTCAATCTTTACTCAAATTGTGGTCACTCAACATATTTTTGACGTCATAAATTTCTTGATATACTTCCAATGAGTGAAATTACTGCTTAGTGCTTTCACAAATCCTCACAATGTGTCCACAAGGGTTCGTCTAATCCTCTTCTATCTTCGGTTAGCACTCAATAAGCTTTCCTTAATCACTAAACTCAATTTGAACATGTTCATCCAATAAACTTGGACGTTTTGCTCACTATTAAGGATTACAAAGAGGTTTATAAATAATTTAAATTCTGATAAGGTTTGAAATTAGAAATATAACGTTTTTTCAAAATTGGCTGATAATTGGACCTGACAGAATATGTTGGTGCCGCTGAAAGCTGTCCTTGCGCCGCCATCTTTAATCCACCCCCTCTCTCTCTCTCTCTCTCTCTCTCTCTCTCTCTCTCTCTCTCTCTCTCTCTCTCTAAATCGTCGATGATATCGAAGACAGTCGCAGGCTTCTACGTTCCCCGTCTCCTCCCTGCTTGTGCTGATTCCGTGGCTTCTGATTTCCAGTTGTAGGGCTATCCTTCTTGCTGATGACGACGGCGGCGGCGGCGGCTAGTACTAGTCCGCAGATATCTCCAGCATGCTGCGGGGGAATATCGAGCTCGTCAAGCGGAGTTCGCAGTTTTGTTACTTTGCGGAATCGTCGGTTGAATCTGGGAAACTGTTTCTCCCGCAGGAGAGTTCTCGCTGTAAGTTGCCGCTTCGAGCAAGAAGCCAGCAGTGCGAGAGTCGCTTGCAGCCTGCCTCCGGGGAGGGAGGACGAGCAATTTGTTCAGTGGTTCCGGCAGGCTTGGCCTTACATTAGAGGGCACCGTGGGAGCACCGTCGCCGTCGTGATCTCCTGTGAAATCGTCGCAAGTCCTCACCTGGACAGCATCCTTCAGGTATGTCTCCTTCTTGTCGTACGTCCAATCGAGTGATTATCGTATTTGCTGCTGACCACTCTGCGTGCCTAGAGGGATTAAAGTAGTCAAGATCGATCCCTCAGCTTTAGTTACAATAATATAAGTTCTTCCATTAGAAAAAGATTTTGAGAATCTCTCTGAGTCGCAGTGCCTTTTTTATTTGTTGGAATAGCATTGTAAACAGTCACTTCTCTCAGAGAAAAGCCTCAGAACGCATCCTTCACCAGTGATTGCTTATGTTGGTGTGTTCGTTTGCAGGATATCTCGCTCCTTCATGGTTTGGGGATCAAGTTTGTTCTTGCTCCCGGCACTCAGATGCAAATTGATAAGCTCTTGGAAGAGAGAGGTGATAGGATTGATGCAATGCACTCTCGTTCATGACGTCTACCTTCACGGGTTTCCAGGATTCTCCACTTTGATTTTTTCCAAACATTGATTTACACAGCGTAGCTTTTGAATTGCTACGAACGATGTACAATTCCTCTTCAAATGCCTTTGCATTATATATGATATTACTTTGCTAGGGACTGGTTTCTGTGTTACCCTGCTTGATGATTTATATAGCCACATGGATGTCTCTCAGATTGTTGTCCAGATGTACAAAAACAGCAGTAGACGAGCCTAAAAGCGTATGACTACTTACTGCTAAAGATTAATTTGCTGCAAGCTCAACTTAACCTAGAGCATCCTTCTATATTTTTTATGACGAACATATAAAATGGAATATCTTAATGATACATGGATATAAATGTTAAGGCATTAAATAAGTTTTCTATCACAAAAACTAGAAGAACTTTAAATTTGGCATAGAAAGTCGTAATGTACTGTTGGTAACCATATAAACATGGTCTATGTTCATCTATACAGCAATATTTATACTGTTTGTTTTGTGTGCTCATTTATTGTATGGAGATATCTAACTTTGGTGTATACATTATTATTCTAGGAAGCAAGCCAAAGTATGCTGGTCGTTATCGAATAACTGATCCTGATTCTCTGGAGGCTGCAATGGAAGCATCGGGTAAAATTAGACTTACAATAGAGGCAAAGCTTTCTCCAGGGCCCCCAATGTTGAACCTTCGTCGACATGGTGATAATAGCCGTTGGCATGAACTTGGCGTTTGTGTTGCCAGTGGCAACTTTCTTGCAGCCAAGGTCAAATGGTGAATGCTTTTTATTTTATTTAATTTGTGCAGAAAACCATCACAAAATTTTCATTATTTTATTTATCAATTTAGATGCTGTATTCTGTCAATTCATGGTGTTCATGATTGGTAATTCCAGTGCACAAGGTTATCTTGGGAATTCTTAAGAGATAAAACTTTCTAAAATAACCTCGTCAAGGAAGAAATTAAAATATTTTATGGTTAATTCTTGTTCAAATTGTGTATATTGCGTGAAAATACTAAAGCCCACTAAACATAACCAGCAGAGCTTGCGGATTCACTAAAACCTAACTTTGCTTGTTCTGGAGATGATGACGACTAGATATAATAGCATCCTTTCAGATCACAGGCATATTACTTTTGACCATTTACCTTAACAGTTCCCCTGTTTCTTGAAGAACTTCTCTAGGATTACTTTCAAAGTTGTCATTTTGTGTTGCATGCGCCAAGAAAAATGAACAGAGAGAAGGTCCAAAAAAGGGAAATTAACAGACAAGAGATGTAGGTTGCAGAATCTTATGGAGTGTGCTTAGGTTATTGTGTTGCAATGCAATTTACAGAGAAATAAAATAGTTGTGTGGACTACTAAGTTGTATGAAGGAAATATTGTAGTTATAGCTTTTAATGGGATGACAATTTTTTTGAGGCAATTTATGAGGGATATAATGGTAACTTAGAATAAAAAAGTTGACTGTTAAGTTATTGGTGTGCTTGCATTATCGTGTTGTAATAGGATTTACAGAGTAATAAAACGGTTACTATTGACTAAGCTGCAGAAAGTAGACCTTGTGGTTAGGACTGTCGGTGGAATTGTGACTTTACAAGAACAATTAATAATGGAGATAATCGTACCCTAGAATAATAAGTTTCCCCAAGTTCCCTTGAGGTACGCATGAGAGGAAAGGGAACTTTTTTTCGTGAGTTTACTTGTCAGCCATAGAATTTAGGAGATCCGAATGGAATTGGGGAAAGGATAATCTTTGTGCTGGGCCGTTAATTTCGAACAGCTGGGCATGATGAAGGAAAATGTCTTTCTCTTCTGATTAATATATAGTACAATGTCTTCAGTTTTTCATATGGTATTTTACTGCTCAGTTGATTTATATAAGGAATTATTTCTTCCATTCTAATGTGTGAACATATTTGGCGTTGAGTGTGAAAATCTACCAGGGAAATACGCCCTTTTAGAACGACTTTTTAACACGTATGGCGATTTAAATACTTTTTTTTCCTCAAGTCATCTTGGGTTTTCCTTATCATATGTTGCCTTGTTTTCGCTTGGATAACCTTCATATCTAATTTCCTTTTGTGAATATGAAGTTAGCTCTTAGCCTTCAGTCCATTGTGCCAATAAATGGATTATAGTTTTTGTATAGTTGATATTGTAACTTATTTTTTATTTTCTCTCCCTATTGACAGAGAAGAGGAGTAGTTGAAGGTGTCGATTATGGAGCAACCGGTGAAGTGAAGAAAATAGATGTTTCTAGAATTAGAGAGAGACTCGACAAGGACTGCATAGTTATGATGAGCAATCTTGGGTACTCAAGCTCAGGCGAAGTTTTAAATTGCAAGTATGCCAGTTAACTACAATTCCGTTAGCATTCATTCATCAATTTCTTTCACAAAGGAGTTGAATATATTACCATTTACCATTCAGGCGTATATTAAATACAATATCAATATCTTCCCTTTAGTGCATCTCTTCCTGTAGTGTAAGCATTCATTCCCTTTACAGGAGGGTCGTTATCCATCCTATCCATATACGATGACATAGATGATGTCACTGGATACCTCTCCCTTCAGAACAGCCTTTCATGTTCGGCAAAAAAAAAACACTTCTTGCTGAAGGCTTTATCAATCGTCCCTTTCATTTCCCTGCTCAGAGTTTCCCATGTGTTGTATCTTGTGATGAGTGAGTGCACTTATTCTGGCTTTTATGCTCGTGGTTTTCTTTGAATAGCTAACGTGCAGAGGGGAAAATCTTCAGCTATCCCATTTTTACAGTTTGGCATGCAATTCATATCAGAGACCTCCACTTTTATACCATACCTTAATCATATGTTTTTTGTTTGACTCATAATTTTCGTTCTATAACTAATTTCCTTTTCAGCACGTATGAAGTTGCAACAGCGTGTGCCTTGGCCATTGAGGCAGATAAACTTATTTGCATAGTTGATGGTCCAATTCTTGACGAACATGGCCGGTTTACACGGTTTTTGACCCTTAAAGATGCTGACCTGCTGTTAAGAAAGCGGGTCAAGCAGAGTGACGTAGCTGCAAATTATGTGAAGGCTGTAGGTGACGATGATGTGTGCCATCCAGGATTTCATGAGCCAAATGAAAGTGGTAACGTCACGAGGAATGAAAGGGACATCAGCATTGTAGCATTTAATAATGGTGTTGGCTTCGAGAATGGGAATGGACTTTGGCCTGGAGAGCAGGGTTTTGCAATAGGAGGCAAAGAGAGGATGAACAGATCAAATGGCTACCTTTCAGAACTGGCTGCTGCAGCCTACGTATGCAGAGTAAGTAAACAATATCTTTTCTAGCCCTTTGATTCTATGGTCAAAAGTGGAGCAGCTTAACCTCATTAATGAGAATATGTTGGGTAAATTAGACGTCTATTAACGTTCAGCATCCAGTTAATGTTCGTCTGTTTGAGGGAAAATCCATCAATCCTAAACTTCATCCAATGTAAGACCTTATAGTCGTCATGCCATCTTCATATAATCAGTCTTTGAGCATTTATCCAGACATTTTTGTTAATTTTGATGTGAAGAGAGTGGTTTCTAAAATTTTGACCAAAAAAACTCATTATTTATAACATCACTTCGCCTAGGCTACGAAGAAACTGTTCATAACATAAAACAGGAAGAACGGGAGATGGAGGGACTCGGAAATTCCGAAAGCTTGCTTGTCCTTGGCTATGGATCCTACCTTCGAATGATTGGGAATAGCATTCATCGCTTCAAATCCTTATTTATCTGTCTTCACATCTGCCCACCTTTTTCTTACTTATCTCAAGTTCGGTTCTCATTTTGCTTTCTGACAGGGTGGTGTAAAAAGGGTTCATCTGATAGATGGCACCATCGGCGGAGCCTTGTTGTTGGAGCTGTTCACGAGGGATGGAGTGGGCACAATGATAGCTAGGTATGTGGTGCTAGAAAAGGACCGGCAGGTTTTCATGCTTTCACTTTACTGTTCTTTTATGGGTCAATTCATATTCTGAATGCTGGATTTCTTTCCGCTTTTCCCCCATTTTTTTCTCAATTTAGAGGTAGAAGATGATCACCATCTTCTCCCAGGGGTGGAATTTCTCTGATCATTTTAAGAATACAGAAGATTATATAGTCGTACTTTTTCTCTGGAGATCTGCAGTGCATCTCAAATTCCCATTGCTACTTCTTCTTCAGTGATGTTTACGAAGGAACTCGGATGGCTAGAGAAACAGACGTGCCTGGCATGAGAGAGATAATCCAACCTCTAGAAGAAAGCGGTGCATTGATCCGAAGGACCAATGAACAGGTTTCCAGTTTAATCTCTCTCTCTCTCTCGGTATTTATTGTAGATAATTTTAATTAATCACCATTTATGGTATTTTTTTTCTTTTGCTTTCCTGTCAGTTACTTGAGGAAATAGACAACTTTGTTGTTGTCGAGAGAGATGGCTCGATCATTGCATGCGCTGCCCTCTTTCCCTTCTTCAAGGATCGCTGTGCAGAGGTCGCCGCAATCGCTGTGTCTCCTGAATGCCGCGGACATGGACAAGGCGACAGGTTACTAGGTCTGTGGGTTTTTTTTGCAAAATTTCACACACATACACAAACACAAACACATAATGAATGTATATATATATATATATATATATATATATACAGATAAGTATATATGTAATGAATATTTGCAGATTACATTGAAAAGTGGGCATTGTCCCTGGGACTGGAGAAGCTATTTCTATTGACTACTCGTGCTGCAGATTGGTGAGTGTTTCTTGATCTTGCCTTGTTGTTCTTCTTAATTTGCCTTCTTATTAGTTGCATTTTCCGCAGTTTATTTCTAATCACTGAGAGTTTATTCTGATTGCTGAAAATATTTTTAAATATTTTTAGTACGATCATTTTTATGTTTTTCCTGGAGAAATCTTTGCTTCCGATCTTTATGTTGATCCTTTTTTTTCTTTTTTTTTGGATTGGATTAAATCGACTGAAGGAAGTCTGCTGATTTCTAGAGGGTTGAACCAATAGTATGGCTATATTTTTTAATATAGCACTTGAATATGGTCCATTTTTTTGTTTTCCTAAAGAAATGGTTGAATAGATGGCTGGGATTTGGATCTTTATGTCGATCAACGGTTTTGACAAATTTTTTAATTGGATTAAATGGACAAAATATAATGCTTCATCAGTAATAAGACTACAGATTTTTAATTTTTATAGATTTTCCCCGAATAAAACATTGGTTATATAGCTGGGATTTGGATCCTGAGGGCGACCAAATAGCTGTTTTTTTTGTACAAATAATGGATTAAATGATTTTCTGAAAATCATAAGCTGATTAAACGTCGATGCTTCACCTTCATCATGTTGCTCTGTAAAAGCCCTATGATCTTGGCCGTCCATTGATTTCCTTTGAACCATTGGGATTCATTAGATCAGACAGTAAATTCTGGATTATGATTTATTTAATAATAAGTTTAAATACCCCTTACCATTGTGATTCTGTGTACTCCCTGCGATCTTTCCCACCATCCAATGCTTCAGCTCAAATGAAGGCTCTTCAACTGGAATGGGCGGGCTTAAAAGGCCTTAGCCCGGCCCGCCCCGTGAGAAAAGCCCGACAATACTCACCCCGGGCCCAGCCTTCTGAATTCACCTATCCAAGAGAGAGAGAGAAAGAGAGGGAGGGGGAGAGAGAGAGATGGCATCGAGAACACGCTTTTGGGGAATTAATGGAATTTTTATTTTTATTTATATTCATATTTGGATCACGAAAAAAAAATCCCTTTTCTTTGTGAAGGTTTGTGCGACGCGGCTTCTCCGAGTGCTCGATTGACTCGCTTCCCGAGGAGAGGAGGAACAAGATCAACATCTCCCGTGGCTCCAAGTACTACATCAAGACTCTCCAGCCCGAGGCCGGCGGGATCACCGTTGATATGATCGCCTCTCGGAATTCCTGATCGGACGGTTCTCGCCTGCTCATCCTCGTAGATCCCCCCTCCCCCAGGGTATACCCCTCATTGCCTCTCCAATTTTTTTCCTGATCGATTTTCCTAAATTTCCCCCCTCTTTTAATGAATTTCTTTTTTTCGAAAAAAGGCGGTGGTTTATCGACGGAGTGGTGGCGTCTTATTGGCCGGTAACTCCTCTCTCTCTCTCTTCCTCTCTTTCTCTTTCTCTCTCTGTGGTCTAAATGAGAATATTCCGAACATATCTGGGGATTTATTTATAACGTGATTATTAAATAATATTATTATCCTGGGACGTGTTACGGCAGGTGGGCCCCGCTTAATGCATTTTGGATAATAGGGGTCACGTGATTTATTACTGTTTATTGGGATGACGGGGCCGACCGGTTTTCTCCCATTCGCACTCCCCGAATATCCTATCCCAAGTGGGGCCCGCCAACATTCTGCCCTAACTGACGAGAAGAAGAGGTTACTACTGGTCTCTCTCGGAGACCGAGGGGGCTCCTCCCATGGTGAAGAGTCGTCGTCCCTCGATCTAGAAAAGAGTCTGATCAACACTGAAGATCGACGACAAGTCTCAACAGTCTCATGAACAGATGAGTCTAAAGCATTCTGACCGAGAAGATCGATGCCGTTGGATCAAGAACGAATCCAGAGGGAGGCGATCGACAGAGAGAGAAGCAAGAGGCAGAGATGCGGAAGCAGGAGATCGTCGACCCCGCCGTATGCGATCCGATCTCCGTCTCAGAAGCAGGCATCCAAGAGGCAGCAGCAGCAGAGCGCCGCCAAGCTTCACACCACGCAAATAGAACAGTCACTCATCAGATTGGGAAGAGGATGATACCACCAGCACACGGCGGTGCAGAGTGAGAGAGGGAGAGATCTTACCATCCTTGGAGGAAGTTGGAGCTGCCGCTCTTCTGCTCCTGCTGTTGGTACTGTTGGGGGGGGTAGCCCTGGGGAGGATAGCCCTGGGGAGGGTAACCCTGGGCCGGATATCCCCCTTGAGGAGGGTATCCCTCCGGCGGGTACCCCGGCGGCGGATATGCGTCCTTCCCGTATCCTTCCGGAGGATACCCTAACAAAGAGAAGAATAAGAAGAACTTAGATCGGAACATCAGATCAGTCGATCTTCGCCAGGGCCGGAGAGATCAGAGACGGAGGAGGGCGTACCTTGCGGCGGGGGTACTCCGACGGGGGTCTGTTGCTGGTTGTAGTAGCTCATGGCTCTGCTGAGGAGAGGACGAGGGGAAGGAGGAGGAAGAAGGGGAGCAGAACGGAGGAAGATGGAGCAGTTCAGGCGGAGATTTAAAGGAGTGGATCTGGGCGGTGGCGGTGACTCGGGGTCGTTTTGCTTCTGCGCGTTGGAAACGCGTACTGGAGGGGGATGCGTCGGCTCAGCTGGACCGTCAGATTGGTGGGCCCAACGTTCCCCTTGGAAAATTTCGGATGTTGAAGAATGACCGTGGGGCCCACAGGGAGGCGCCCTCACTAACGAATGAATGTCGGGTGACAGTGACCTGACGTGGACTTACAATTTTTACAAAGGGAATCTATTTCTAATGGGCCTGGGTTGGGCCCGTCTGGTTTAGAAGCCCGCCCCGCGTACATATTTCTTGGTGGGCTTAAGGCCCATATAGACCCATAAAATGGTATGTTCGGATGCGAGTATTAAGCCTATTGCCACTTGTCGAACCCCCCACCCCTTCGGTCATCTACGTCCCCAAGCCCACAATGCGGGCTACTAGCCCAGTGTTGATGCCCTGATGTGTGTTATTGGGCCGATCTTCCGCTGTAATGCCAGCCCATTTTTACACCCCAGATGAGTCGTTTTGACTCCAAGTCCACTAACTTAATGAGCTAGCCCAGGACGAGCCCAACCCATTCTCTCTCTCGATCTGAGAGAGAAGCTAGGAGTCTAGGAGCAAAATATGTCCAAAGATAAGGCGCCCTTAAACTTATGCTTATGAGATATATACGTAATATAATCAAATAGCCTCCTCCTCTAGACAGCGTGCCTACGGTCTGGATCAGCTCCAGGGGGGGGGGTAGAAGAGGTAGTAGAAGAATATCATACACAGGCAGGCGCCTTCATCCTCCGCAGCGATCTGGTCCATTGGGGGGCGTCAGCGGCAGAGAGTCTTCAACCTCTTCGCGGACTGGACGAAGCCCGCTATCACCTGCAGCTCGTCCAATTGCTTCACGGGAGGAGAGCAGGTGGACGACGAAGGGATCCGTCAAGATATCTGCAAAAGATTCCAAGGTTGGGACAGTTCTGATGATTCTCTTGTACCTGCGACATGAAGTGCCTCTGTACCACGTCGATCAGCTGCTCTTTTGAAGGGGTTAGGCTGGAACCCACCTGCCCAGTGAAGAGAGAGAGAGAGAGAGAGAGAGAGAGAGAGAGGGGGAATTGGGTTAGATTGTCCACGGGGGATGCGGAGATGAGATTGGTCTGGGAGGGCTCACTAGGTTGAAGTGCCTCGAGTATCTCCACAACGCTGTTGTTTCCAGCTTGCTGAGGTCGACCTTCTGCAGCAAGCACAGGAGGAACGGGGATGAAATGCGGCCCAGTTTTTGGATAATATGCAACAGCAAGGAGATGGGTATGGCATGATCTCAATAAATTCAAAAAAAACCCTTTCTCTATACATGTATATATCTTAAGAGAGAAATAGAGAGAGAAAGAGAGAGAGAGAGAGAGAGAGAGAGAGAGAGAGATTTATCTGCTCACCGAGGCACATCTGGTGGGCTTGAAGGATCCCTTGGGATGTGAATCACAGGAATGAGTCCGATTCGGTATTCTGTCTGCTAGGGCAGTTGTTCTATACGACTGTCTGGAGCGCTGAGGCTTCTGCACATCATCTGATGCTGCACAAACTAAAAATGGTAAAAGAACCGCCAAGATCAACGATGACCGGAAGGAACGCCGCAAAATATCAGTTCTTGATTGAATCCAAAGATCAATATATATATTGCCCCCATGGCTGTTCCTGACACTTGCCCCCCGTCCTAAGCCAGTATCAGATCTTTTTATTTCTATTTTTAATTGGAAGTATCCATGGAACTATCAAGCTCAGACATTCCCAGGTTCAGAGATATACCCCACGTGTAGGTCCCATTATAAATTAGGTAAGCAGATGTTTCCGTGGACATATGAGCATTATAGAACTCAACAGAAATCATAAGATTCATGAGAGATCTGACGTTCAAGGTCTGTGACGTCACATATTAGGATTCGCAGAATGATCGGCCAAGACGCACCTGTGTAAGAGGCATTATCAACATCTTCCTCATGAACAGCAGGAGTTTCAATCACGCTGAGAGCATTCCTCTGTAGCTTCACCTCAATGCCATTAGCCAAAACCTGTAATTCATGCGCATCCTCCATGAATGTCACAATACAATATTCCTCGACAGGGAATAAGAGCGAGCAAAATGTTTCAGAGACCCATCTAATTCCAAAATGAAAACATGAAACAAGGGTATGAACGTCCGTTGGGCATAAAATAAAAAATCCATTCGCATCAGCTTGAATCCAAATTTAGTGTCTTAATACTTAATATTTCCCATAACCCATGCGTTAGAGAAAGAGATGTACACAACCCTTTAGTAAGAGGGCACTGCAAGAATTTTTTTTTACTAAATGTGGGGTAGTCTAAAGGCATTGTACATCATGGTTAGTGAAAGATCACATTGGTCTGTTCGGATAAGAAAATATTATAGAAAAAATAATCTAATGCAAAAACAACAAACACTAATTCCGTAAGAAAACTATTCCTTATCTCTTATTCTGGGACAGGAAAGCCTGGTTCAGCAGAGGACCACACACAAATAATCAAAATACGACTTGAGTCAACGGAGAAAAATGTCCTAGCGGTCGTGGAAAATCCATGATTCCTGATGCATGAATCTTATTCGGCAGAATTGTTCCGGGCACATCAGCTGAAACCACAGCAGCCTTTCTTAAATGACATGCTTCAACTTCTTATGAAGATCCTTGTGGGAAAAATAAAAAATAGATCTCAGCTTTCAAATGGATCGCAACAAGCAAATGACATCGAATACTCGATCAGGAACATGAGTATACAAAAAATTCAGCACGGAAATAATAATAATAATATAAAACGACGCCTTAACAACGGAGAACAGAAGACCCCAGATTGCAGGTTTAATGGTGACTACATATTGTACGCGAATGAATTCAAAAGCAAAACAAACATAAGACAAGGAATCACTGCCCATTCAGAAATAGTGAAGAAACAAGTATCCAAGAAATATTTGCCGCAGAACCAACACAAAAATCAACTGAAGACAATTAAATAAAGAAACAACAATAAAAAAATCAATTCCATACCCAGGATCAATAACATATCAGCAGCCATGGAAGATATGTCAAATTATATTTTTACTCTAAAAAGCTCAGCTTGAAAATTTGAAAGAGGATGAAAAAAACTAAATATTAGCAACGCATGAAAATACAGAATAAGTACAATTTTGACGACGCCATTTTACCCCGAATTGCGCAAAAATTATTGGGTCATCAAATTACTGGCTAAAAATAGCCTGACGGAACCCTAGAATGAAGAGGTGCTACAGGACAGACAAGACGACTGGATTCTTGTACAACTCCATAATTGGAACCTAGTGAGCCAATTCGATAATCTGTCGGCAAGATCATACGGAAGGAGTAAACGAGTTATCGCACGCTAAAGAATGCCGACATGCAAAGGTAATAACACGGCATAATTGTTCAAAGAGAATGGATGAAAAATTTTATCCCAATTTAACAAGAAAATGGGCGTTTTTTGAACAGTGGTCGCGACTGGCAGAGTACAATTAGGATCGAACAAAAATAAATAAGATCAACCATGAAATCGGTACCATCACAGGAAAGAATATCTGCATGTAAAAAAGAAATTAGAGACCATACAAACATGCAAAAAAGAAGAGAAAAAAAGGATAATCTTCCGGAAGATAAGCGAAAGATATATTTCCAGCCAAAGCATACAATGAACAGACCAGGGAGAAAACTTTTCTAATTAAGATCGCAGTCACCGGACAGAATTACCAGCCAATGCCAGCCTCCGAGCCCAACGGCTTTCTTGACGACACCCTGCAGTCCCACCAGCACAGACTTGGTCCGGTTGTTGCCGGTGACGACAACCCTGGTGTGCCTCGGGAGCACCGCGAGCTCCTCCTCGCTGATCTCCCCGCAGCTCTGCACCTCCCCATACCCTCCATTGACCGACCTCTCCACTGCCTCCAGCATTTCCCACTTGTCCGCCGTATCCTTCACCATCTTCCACTCACACAAATTTTCAAGCGGGCGGATCAGCCGAAACCACTAAAATCAATCAAACTGCATGGGAACTCGATCTCTGACAAGCTGAATCCGAATTCACAGCATCCCCGCGTTTGATTGAATTCGGAATACCGCAGTGTCACTGGATTCTGAGAAGGAAAAGAAACACACGCCGCAAGAACACGAACCAGAAGAGAGAGAGAGAGAGAGAGAGAGAGAGAGAGAGAGAGAGAGAGAGAGAGAGAGAGAGAGAGAGAGAGAGTGACTGACAAGCGGTTCGTTTCCGGCGAGGTGATATTTGGTGTCCCGAATCCCGAGACAAAATTATCAGCCAATTGTAATCTGCCACGTAGAAGTTGCTCCCCATCACCCAGCTAGCTATCATCAATAGCCAAACCCGGTCACTACTGGGGAAAGCAGTGTCTCAACGGTCATGATCATCTCAATGCTTCGGCAGCATTGAATCGACAGCCAAGATTTTTCCAATTTCTCCCTACATCCGATTGATCGACGTGATTATCACGCGGTAAAAACTACTTTTATCTTTTTACTTTATATCTAAAAGGGAGTCTCCGTTTCTCTCTCCTTGTACTTACGTGGTCCATTCATTTGCTTACACGTCGCACGGAGAGGTAGGTATCCGAGGTGGGTGGCATTATAGAAATTATGATTTTCAGTAAAGAGTACTTTGGTAAAATAGGGGGAAACAAAGCCGGCCGATGCCATAAGACAGTTCAATGATTGTACGTGTCTCTGTCTAGTCAAACCATCTAATCACGCCACCTGGATCTACATTTTCGGCCGTCAGATTACGCGGGAAACAGGTCCACCGCCCCGGGATACGACGGTTACTGTCGTGACGGCTTTTTCGTAATTTACAGCACGCTTTTAATATTTGAATATTAAATAATATTTATTATAGTATTATATACGTACACGCTTTTAAAATAATATTGCCTACCGGTAAGTGATTAGGTGTAATTATCATTCTAAATTATTATTTAAGAATGTTGGAATGAGAGTCTCAAGGGAAAGGTAGCACAGTACTCTTCCTCACGACGAAGGTGCCGATCTCCGCTCCAGCGCTGGTCCGGGAGAAGAGCTCGAAAGTCACTTGGGAACATCTTCAGATGGCTTTCTTCTCCCCGTAGCAGCAGCATTGGATGCTAAATCCTCGAAGATCGAAGATGCTCGCGAGCTCTCGCAGCCGCCTGCGGAGCAGCTTAGAGCAGGATTCGAAGGTTTCCAAAGAGGCTTTCAGTTTTCGCGAAGCCAATCCGTTGATCAGCATCAGGCTGTAGGCATACCCCCCGATCGATCTCTCATATTTGAAAGAACTCAGGTTATATTACTCTGCATACGACTCAATTTGTGCATTCCCCAATTTGTCACTGTTTCATGTCCAATCTCTGCATTAAAAGACGGGAGAAAAAATATGTCAGTAGAAACTCGAATCGGCATGTCTGTTTGCTCACGAAGTTTCGAAAGGTGATCACCGAACGAAACCAGAATTATGGAATGTAGCATGTAAATTCAGCAAAAAAAGAGATGAGAAAAAAATCATAGAAAATTGAATCGGCATTGTTGTTTGTTCATCTGAGACAAAGCTGATGTTAAGTCTGAGAAGTGACTCTCCAACGAAAACCGGAATTACAAGCTTAGAAATATGAACTCAAGCAAAGGCTGTGTATTACATCTCACGTTCCCTCAATTCCGTTCCCAGGTATATGGATTGCATCCTGACTAACCACCTCACCAGCTATACACATCCAATGAACCGAAACCAAGCCATAAACATCTTGTAAACGATAACTATTGCCAGCAGAAGATATCAATATTTTGCAGGCAATAGAAACCTAGCATGAGAAAATATCGTTTTGACTGAGAGAACTTGGTTTGTGCTCCTCAACAGGGCACATTTTCGTGTTTAGCATCGGAAGCACAGTGTTCGATTTCGCATTTTATTATTCACTTTGAGATGTCAGAGGAGAAATATAAATGTAGTTCTCTAATGTCGAAGCAGCAGATCACCAATCATTCAATTCGGCAGATAAGACGAATTGTTTCCATAAAATATGCTAGGAGGGAGAGAAAATACTGCACCAATAGAGATCACATCGCAGAAAGTTTCAAAGATTCTCTGCTGAACTGAGGCATTCGCAATAATTTAGCCTGGCGCAGGACAGAAACAAATACATTATCTGGAAGAGATGCTTTTTTCAAGAAAATAGCATTTTTTTGTTTCACGAAAAACAAAAATCCTCTGTAACACCACCTCTACATTGGAACTATACCTAGATCAAACCCAAGCATATGGGGATGAAACAGAACATCAGAGAACCATTTCATAGGTATGAGATAGCTTAGAATCTCTGCAGATTAGAGATGTTAATGTTTGTCTCACTGCAATACACAACGCTACAAAAAGATCATACGAACTATTTCACTTCTGATGATACAGATCTAGTCATGAGGGCACAGGGCACAGGATTAATGTCACGAAATCGATGGCTCATTCTTAGAAAAGGCATCTATGTAGAGGCAATCTGAGAGTTACTTTTAAATTACTAACAGTTTCAATCGTTAGAAAGAGAATGAGGAAAGAGTATCTTCTGCAGAGTTAATTTTATTTCAATTTTAGTCGATCATCCAAATCTATACTATCTGACGGGAGAGGAAGATCTCCTTTTCCATTGTGTAGAACAAGAGATTAGTGGCTTTTAGAAGGAAAAAGAGCTTGGTAGAGCATTGGTCACTTCAAGGAAGCAATAACTTGCCAAAACCAATTGCCTGAATCTTCTCATTGGGTCTACCTCTCTGTCATGCTGAGATTTCATCTTGTTAATTTTCTGTGGGAGCATGCATTCTTATATTTGTAGAACAGTCTAGTAAGATCATGTAAGATCTAAGTCTCAAGCTCGCATTCAATCAAAGCTGTTGCTTTTCATTCTTTGATGGGTTGGTTTACTTACATTGTCCCAATTAATCGGAGAGAACTCTGGCAGGTTTTTGGCTATAAATGGGAAAAAAATGATAAAGAAAAAAAGGTCAGAGAAAATCATTCGGGAGGCATACCAAGAGGGAGGAGGCCTTTAGATCTCAGCCCGGATGGCCGATGATCTTCTGCAACACAACGGCTCTCGCCCTAGTCACATCCTTGGTACACCTCTCCACGTGACGTCTTAGATTCTCTGCCCCCTCGGTGAAGACACCAAGATTCTTCTTTACATCATCGACCACGATTCTCACCGCCTCCTCGTCTTTTATAGCAATGTCGGCGGCAGTCATCACGGAGCCGATCTCGATCTCCAGCCTCTCCACCAAGAGACGGATGTTCTCCAGTTCGTGGAACGCCTTGAAAGTCCCCATATTCATGGCTTTGACCAGATCCTGCTGCTGCTGCAATGTCTCCTTATACTTCTTCCACAGAGAGTTGACCCAGCTGCCGGCGGTCCCCAGGGAGGCCGACATCGCCGCCGCCATGGCCGCCGCCACCGGCGGTGCCGCCACGGCGGCGGTCACCACCCCGCAAATCAGGAGAGCGGCGAACGTGGACGCGAAGATCACGTTGGAAATCTTCGTCCAGGCCTCGACGGACTTCATCTTCCGGTTGAGCTTCTTCATCTGAGAGTCCAGCGCCGCCAGCATCGATAACTGGTTATCACGGACCTTATTGAAGACCGCGAAGAACTCCTTGAAGGGGTCTCCTCCTGCCCTAAAGTCCCTCAGATATTCCAGAGTCTTCCCGAACCTTGTATGGATCTTTGACCCCTCTTCTTCTTCCTCCTTCTCGTCCAGATCGTCGTCTTCTTCGTCCTCCTCGTCGAATCGGTCGATGGCGTGCTGAATGACGACCTGGCTGCGGCGAACCTTGTTCAGGCATGTCTCAAGGGCCGCGCAGAGATCGAGAGTCTGGAGACTGTTCTTGAAGTACTGTTCGACAAGGCTTAAAAGGTGCGGATTCTTCCAGATGTCCTTCTTGGATTTGAGGATGACCGTGAAGGCCTCTTTGTTGGTGTCCAGCAGGCAGGTGACGACCTCCTCGAGGGAGTAGAAGGAGAGGAGCTCCGTCTGTCCGGTCTTCGCCAGGGCGGCGATGACGCCGCCGGTGCGCCGCCGCAGGTCGTCGTCGAAGGACTGCAGATCCTGGTCAAACCGACAGGCCGTCTCATACGACCGAATCTCCGCCGTGTACTCCATTTCGCAGCCGCCGCCGCCGCCGCCGCCACCGCTGCCGCCGCCGTCGCCAGTCGCCGGAGCTGTCGAGGCTGCACGGCCGCTGCTCCTGCTGTGGCAAGCCCCCATCGCGGAAGAGGAAGGGGAATCAGAGGGGCTGAGCATCGGTGGAAGGAGAAGAGAAAAAAATCAGATCCTAATTCGGTGATCGGGAAGCCCCCGGGATTCCGAAGTGGGAAAAGAAGCGCACTCCATTCGCTCCATCTCCGATTAGTCTACTGGATCGGAATGTATACCAGCGGAAGCTGGGAAGAAACCAGAGATGGAGAGATAGAGAGATAGAGAGAGAGAGAGAGAGAGAGAGAACGCGTAAAAGAAGGAATAATCATTGGAAAAAGATGGGAAGAGGGCCGGCCCGGCCCATTTTTCCCGTCAGGCCCGAACCCCCCAGATCAGGCTTAACTACCTTTTTTTATGCACGAGATATATACTATATAGATAGAAAAAAGGAGAGGCAGAGGGAGAGATAGAGAGAGAGACCGGCCCAATTTCCTCAGGGGTCCGAACCCCAAGAGCAGGCTTTAATATATTTTCTCTCCTCGGATACTCCCGGGCTGGGTCCGGGCCGAAGCGAGGCCCGGCCCGTGGGCCCTTCGTTTGGCCGTTGCACCCGAGAAGTCGTGGCCTATTCTGCAAGAAGGATTGCTGACCCGCTGTGAAGACCAGGAGGAGGAGACTAAACGAGCCCCGTCGTGGCCCGCGACGCGTTCGGAATATTTTCTAGAAATAAAAACATTTTTTCGCAACGTGTGAATAAAATATTTTTTTATTTTTTGTCTGTATCGATATAACTCTAAACGCATATAAATTTCGCTTTACCTTTTTGTTGACATTATCAACATAAATCCGTCGGCGGCTTTTTCTGTGCTGCGGGAACGAACGCGTGCGGTCCGTTGACTGGGCACTACTCTGTCGTTCTCATTTTCCTTCGGGACGGGCCGTCGGGCCCGAAACCGATCGGGCCGATTTTCTTCAATCTAAATATAAAATAAAATATTTCATTACTAACAAAGTCGTTGTAGTATAGTGGTAAGTATTCCCGCCTGTCACGCGGGTGACCCGGGTTCGATCCCCGGCAACGGCGTAAGAATGTTTCTGAATTTTTTATCATTCTCGTCAACATTTTTTCATTAGCATTGATATATATATATAACAATTTATATTTATTATATTTGCACTTTTATCCGTTCCGAAGAGGTCGGCGTTTAATGGGCTGGTTTTGCGGCCTGGTGGGCCGGGCCGGGACCCCACCAACAGCCGGGCCAAGCAGCTGGTCACATCCAAACGCTATAAATTTTCAATAAACCTCGGCGTGCTTTGCATGATTGCTCCCCGATACAACGTTTAGATCCTTACGAGTTCGCCTTTTTACCGTGTAAATTGTTGAAATACCCCTCACTTTTTGCCGTAATGTGATTTTTTTACTTATTCGTATTATAAAAAATCCTCAATAGATTTTAATTTCCCCCGAAAGTATAAATAAGTAATTTTAAAAATCAGAGTCCGTTCATAAATATCAGAGTAAACCAAAATTATAGAGAGAGAGAGAGAATTAGGAAGGCAGGTGTCGGTGTGATCTCATTGGTAGATTTTTCCAGAATTAGGAAGGCAGTTGGAGGGCAGGAGGGAGGAGATAACCAGCTGGAAAGCGCCGAGTAACGCTCCGTCCTCTCGCTCCTCTGGTTTATCTTCTCCACCCCCCCAAAGTATCACAGCCCGCCTCGCTCCCCTTGCTACCTTCTCCTCCTCCTCCGCTGCTCGTCCTCTTGCCCGCGGCGCCACCACCGAGGGAGGAAGACTCCGGATTCTCTGTGAAGGGACCTCCTCTCTGCCCTAAATGCGGCGGTGCTGAGATTTAGGTTTTCTGGGGAGAGCCCGGGCAGCGGAGACGAAGGGGGAATATCTCCTGAAAATCATCAAGAGTATTCGATTCCCCCATCTGGGTAGCTCTCCTCTTCTCGGATGAGTCCCCCGGTGACCGCTTCTCTCTCCGGCTGGAATTTGACCTTCTCTTTCCGGCGGGCCATCGCGCCGCCGCTTCCCTGCTGCGGGCGGGCGGTGGCGGCGGCGACTGGGAGGGGGAGGACGGCCCTCCGGCGAGCCCCTTATTGCTCCACCGCCGCCAGCGGCGTATCGGCTGCGCAGGCGCCGCCGACGGCGACGGCGACGGCGGCGGCGGCGGCGGCGGCGGCGTTCGACTTCAAGAGCTACATGGCGGAGAAGGCGGCGGCCGTGAACCAAGCGCTGGACGCGGCCGTTCCCCTGTCTTACCCCGAGCTGCTCCTCGAGTCGATGAGGTACTCCCTCTTGGCCGGCGGCAAGAGGGTTCGTCCCATGCTCTGCCTCGCTGCCTGCGAGCTTGTCGGTGGCTCCGCTGCCGCCGCCATGCCCTCCGCCTGCGCCGTCGAGATGATCCACACCATGTCCCTCATCCACGACGACCTCCCCTGCATGGACAACGACGACCTCCGTCGCGGGGTCCCCACCAACCACCGCGTCTACGGCGAGAGCATGGCCGTCCTCGCCGGCGACGCCCTCATTGCACTCGCCTTCCAGCACGTTGCGGCAGCGACGCCGCCGGAGCTGGTCCCCGCCGCCCGCACCCTCCGGGCGGTGGTGGAGCTTGGGCGGCGCGTCGGCGCAGAGGGCCTCGTCGCCGGCCAAGTGGCGGACATGCAGTCAACAGGGTCGTCGGAACCGGTGGGGCTCGAGCAGCTGGAGTATATTCACCGGAACAAGACGGCGGCGCTGCTGGAGGCGGCGGTGGTGATGGGGGCGGTCGTCGGAGGGGCGGCGGAGGATCAGATCGAACGCCTGAACAAGTACGCGCGGTGCGTGGGCCTGCTCTTCCAGGTAGTCGACGATATTCTTGACGTCACCAAGTCGTCGGAGGAGCTGGGGAAGACGGCGGGGAAGGACCTGGCCTCCGACAAGACCACCTACCCCAAGATTTTAGGGCTGGAGAAATCCAGGGAGTTTGCGGTGCAGCTGAACAAGGAGGCTAAGGAGCAGCTGTCGGAGTTTGACCCGGAGAAGGCAGCGCCACTGCTCTTTCTTGCGGACTTCATCGCCTACAGACAAAACTGAGAAAACGTCCGGTAAACCAGGTCAACCCTCACCATTTTCCCTGCTTCTGCTTCACTTCTTTCTGTTCAGATTCCTGTTCCTACATCTACCCAGTAACAGTTCCTGTTCCTCGTATAACCTATTTAGGAAGAAGAATCGGCAATATGTGATGATATTTTAAGAAAAAAAGTGGTGATCATCAAGAAACAAAAGTGGAAAGTCAACCATGATAGACCCAGATTGATAACTCCCTTTCATCATCATATTTATCGATATCTCTGAGAAAAATTTCTACTTCCGTTCAGTGCAGCTTCTTTCCTCGCTTTTCTTAGACTTCAGTCGTCCCATAGATCTCCAAAGTCAACCCTCCAATTTCATTGCATGCAATGGCCTGTGCTTTTTCTTCGGCATTCAGATACTGCATATGGTTTTATTGCTTATATTGGTAAGTGATAAAAATCCCATCCCCTGTTTCATGGGTGCGGATCAGCTGACTGATTGTCACCAACTAATCCGATTTCATGAGGCAAACTCTCGGCCAATTTATTCCATTTGACTTGATCCGTTGGCCAAATTCTGTATCAATCCGACCCAATTCATTCTGGTTTCTGACAGAGTTTGAAGGACATCAGTCACTCGACCCGGTCAAAAGGGTCCGGTCCTGCCTCTGTGGGGCCCCATTCTTGTCTTCTCCGGCCTACTCTGCCTGCATTTCTAACCGTATTTAGAAATACGGACGATGAGATCTTGTCCATCGTATCCTGGTCAACCATCACCTGATCCAATCCTTGCGAGCCCAATCCGGTATTCCAGCCAGTAGTGACCCGATCGGCCCCACCCTATCCATTTCAGAACCACCAAGCTCCTCTTCACTAGACGGACTAGATTCTTTACCCAAAGTTTTTTTTATATAATTTTTTTTTTTTAATCTTGTATGATTCGATTATAAACAACATCACAGTAGAATATTCCGGAAATCTTGCAGCTTGCTCAGAAAGTCAAGAAGAAACTCGGTGGTGCGGCCTCCCAGTTCGAGGATCATATGAAGATCCTTCTCTTGGTAGAATAAAGTCAAAGATCTCTGCTAAGTCCTGATTAGTTGTATGATTTCCCAATAATTTATGGAAAAAAATCCTATACTTCGGAACGTGTTTTTTTCTAGGTTTCTGCCTTTATTTTTATTTTTTTTGACGAATTTCCTGTGATGGGTGTTCCTTGATCTACTTGGGTCAACTCAGTTTTCTCCTCGCCTCAGGGACACTGGATCCGATAAACCAGCATATGGAATGATAGTCAACTGGCCTTAGCTTTCCTGAATACGGTCTGTGTTGACTTCAGGGAGGTTTTATTTCATCACAAAACAGGAAGAAGTATGCTAAAAGTATGCTGATACCTAAGTGATGGGTGTTCCTTGATCCACTTGGGTCAACTCAGTTCTCTCCTCGCCTCAGTGGCATTGGATCCGATAAACTAGCCTGTGGAATAAGAGTCAACTCGCCTAAATGTTTCCTGAATACGGTCTGTGTTGACTTCAGGGAGGTTTTATTTCATCACAAAACAGGAAAAAGTATGATAAAAGTATGCTGATATCTGAGGGAGTGTATTTTTTTTATTAGAAATCAATTTGGTCTGTGCGTCGGATTTTCTTATTTAGTTATATATTTTACGGCCAATACAGTAAAATATTTATTTTTTAAAGATAACAAAGTCGTTTAATTACTATGAATGGAAATAAACTTAGGCTAGTTTTTTTTCTGAAAATCATTCCATGTGCTTAAGATGATTTCTGATATCAGGAGAAGGAAAAAATATGTTCAGAAAATATCATTTAAAATAACATAGACGATATTAAATTATATTTTTAAGTAATAAAACCGTATTTATATTTCCAACTATCTATGTGAAAATATGAGGAAATTTATTGCTAATAAATAGACAATCGAATCGTCTCACTCTTGACATCTGAGGTTGTGCAACAGTCCATTTAGGTGGGCTTGTTTGACTTTTGATCGTTGAGAACTTCGCACTCTCTCTCTTGCTTTCTCTCTCTTCTTGGTAGGATATTATTTGATGATGTTCATGATAGAGAACAGGTGTCCAGCCTATCTTGTGATCTTGGACGTTGACCTGATGTGAGTATTGGGCAGTAACGTTACGGCGACGTTGATTACCGTTTGGACGGCGCCGTTGAATGCCACAGACGCAGAATCCCTCGATTTGTGTTTTAGCCCTCCGAAAGGTTTGATATGTTTAAAATGTATCTACATTAAACATAATTGTTCTTATATTCCAGTAGTCTCCTAATGAGAGTGAATTCTTTTATATGGGAAATTGGAGAACATTATTTCGATGCCACGTGGACAAATAAGCTTCTCTGAACTCCCATACTGCGGGAGCCACTTAAATGATATTTAAGTGTGGAGAAACTCACGGCGACCGTGAGCAGGCAATCTCTCTGTCACGCCCCTCCCTCCCCACGCTCTCTCGGCCGTTTCTCCTAGAGAGAGAGAGAGAGAGAGAGAGGGTAGAGAGAGGAAGAGAGGGGAGAGCGAAGACAGAGAGAGGGAGGACAAAGAAAGAGAGAGATAGAGAGAGGAGAGAGTAGGAGAGAGTAGGAGAGAGAAAGAGGAGAGAGAGGAGAGAGAGGAGAGAAGCGGTGAGTGTATGCTGGTCGCAGGGAGATCCAGACAGTCCACGGAGGATAAAGGCGACGACCACAACGTGAGGGTTTCTCTGCAACTCCGTCTCCACCTCTGCAAGTACTCCATAGCGAGGGAAGAAGGGCGGCGAAGGGGAAGAGATCGGCGAGGTCTCGCTCCCTGTTCTATTGCCCTTCCCCTCCAGGAGCCATAGCAAGAGAGAGAGACAGAAGGCGACTCGCCGGCGAAGGATGACGGGAGGGGGGAGGATGCCGACTTGGAGAGAGAGAGAGAACAACAAGAGGAGGGAGAGGCGGCGGAGAGCGGTGGCGGCGAAGATCTTCTCCGGCCTGAGGGCTCTCGGAGATTACCGTCTTCCCAAGCACTGTGACAACAACGAGGTCCTCAAGGCTCTCTGCCGCGAGGCCGGCTGGATCGTCGAGGAAGACGGCACCACATACCGCCAGGTATCCTCCCGATGATCTCTCGCCTCTGATCCGCTGAGATGGACTGCCATCGATCTGATTGCTGCTCCGTCCAATCCGTTCCATCTATCTTTGCCGTTCGGTTTTTCCCCCCTTCTTTGATCTCCATTCTCCGTCGATCTGGACATCATTTATCCTGTAGAAACCCTAGAATCCATATTTGAGCTCGTAATTCGACAGGGATGATGACGACGATCACAGGTTTAATCACTATTTAGTAGAAATCCTATGCGTCTTGATTTGCTCCAACTTGATTCCGTTTTTGGTTCAATTCCACAGGGATGCAAGCCGCCGCCGCACCAGCCGCTCTCCGGCGAGATGGTCGCCGGCGGCGGCGGCGGCGGCGGCGGATCGACGAGCATCAGCCCCTGCTCCTCCTCTCACCAACCGAGCCCGAGCCCTCTCTCCTCCTCTTTCCCGAGCCCCGTGCCTTCTTACCACGCCAGCTTGGCGTCGTCTTCCTTCCCGAGCCCCTCCAGAACTGAAAACCCTAACTCCTCTGCCATCGATCCTGCCCATCTCCTCCCCTTCCTCCGCAACCTCTCCTCCCTCCCTCCTCTCCGCATCTCCAACAGCGCTCCCGTCACCCCTCCCCTCTCCTCCCCCACCGCCTCGAGAATGCCCACCCTGAAGGGACCAGAATGGGGGGAATACGCCGCATTCCGCCATCCCCTGTTCCCCGCCTCCGCCCCTGCGAGCCCCATCCGAGCTCGCAACCATGGCCATCCTGCTCCCATCCCGGAGTGCGACGAGTCCGACGCCTCCACCGTCGACTCCGGCCGGTGGGGGAGCTTCCGGGGGGCGGCGCCGCCGCCCTTCTCCCCCTTCCACTTCGCCGCCGCCTTGCCGGCGACGGTGGCGGAGCAGAGCGGCCGTGTGAAGGCCTGGGAAGGGGAGAGGATCCACGACGTCGCTGTGGACGACCTGGAGCTCACTCTCGGCAGCGGGAAGCAACATAGCTAGAGAAGGAAACTCCTCAGCCGGCGGCGGCGGCGTCTACAACCCCGGCAACAACCGCCGACTTGGGTTCCTATCTCCTCCGGCGTCCTCTCCGCAGCAGCGCGCCGAGTGCATTGGGTGCTCTGCGGGTTACTTTGCTCCGCCGGCGGTCTGGCTGAAACGGCCACGTGAAGGAGAAGGACAGAGCACCCGAGGAGAGTTTCTTTCCTTTTTTTCCGTTTCCTTTAATGCTTTTCGTCCTTTGACTTCGATCTTTCCGACTCTTTTTTTCCTTGATTGAGAGGTCCGGGGACTATCCTCTTTGGACAACCATTATCTGGTTGACGTGTCATCGCCCTCTCAACCTAACCGTTACTGTGTCCGTTTATGTCCTCCACGTGGCACTGGGATGACAGAGTTTCCATCCATGTGGGATGTCTGCCATGTGGACCCCAGAAGCGCAGAACAGACAAGGGAGGGGTCAAGCACAGATGATGATGGATGGACCGGAGATGGGCCTCAAGCGCACTTATACGTGGGCCATTAGTTAATGGGCCTCCGGACGGAGGGCTGTAGAGTGGGGGGGGGCCATTGGCACGCGATCCGATGATCGGACGGTTACATGATGACGGAATCCGTAACGGTGGAGCAGTTTTGGATTGCGTTACGCTGATTTCGGAACACATTCGGACCCGATTTGGACGGTTGCAGGCCCACTGGATCGACGAAGAGTGATCTGATTTGAGATCCACGGGGAGAGTCCAAAAAGACGGCGTTGAATAAAACTGCCCACGTTGTCAACCGGCCGGCCACCGGCGAGGAACACGACGATGGAGGCGGCGGCGAGTACTCCGCCGGCGCCGGCGAAGAAGCAGAGGGACTTCCTCCTCCACCTCGAGGCCTACCTTGCGAAGCGAGACGGCGTCGATAAGCTCCTCAAGATCTCCCGCTACGCCACGAAGATACTCCTCGCTGCTCCTTCCGTCCGCGAGGCGGCGGAGCTTGGTCCCCGCTTGAAGGCCTTCGAGTCCAGCGTCGGCGTCAGCCGGAAGGCCTTCCGCCTCGGGAAGTTCGTCCAGGACCTCAACGCACTGCGAACCTCCGCCGTTGGCTCCCGATCAGCGGCGGATCGGCTCCTCGCCGTGGTCGCCTATGGCGGCGAGGGGGTTTACTACTTTGTGGAGCAGTTCGTGTGGCTGTCGAAGGCGGGGCTTATTGGTGCCCGGCACTCCAAGAGCCTCCAGAAGATCAGTGCCTGGGCGGAGCTCGTGGGATACGTCGGGAGTATAGCTCTGAAGATTGAAGACTTGAAGAAGATTCGCTTGCAGTTGACGTCTATTGTTGCTGCCAACAGGAAATCTGCTGGTTTCAATGAAGGGGGAAATGAGGAATTGAGGCGGTTGAGGGAGAAGCTGCTTCTCAAACAGCTCTCAATAGTTCAAGACCTCGCTGATGCTCTGATGGCGATTGGGGATGTGAGAGACGGAAAGGGGGTTCTATCCGGTCCCCTTCTGATGGCCTCTGCGGGCCTTTTGTCAGCGCTCATCAGCACACACAAAAACTGGTCATCTTGCTAAAATCAGAGGCACATCGTTCTCATTTCGTCTCCCAGACCATGAAATTCTCCTACGGCCTCGAGATCTATATTGATACATTTCACTTCCTCTCCAAGATGGGCAAATTCTCAAATGGTCTCGAGATTCGTACTGATAAATTTTCTCGCGGGTCAGTGAGCCGCAGCTTGCTGCTAACTTGATCTGGTAGACTCGAACTGGAAAAGGCCTACCAAGGATAAATATACAGAATCTGTCAAAAGGTAAACTATTTGATTTCTTGGAAAAGTAGTCAAATTTGTGGTGAATCTAGATTTGATCAATTATTTTCTCCTGTGATTGTTTTTTCTCATCATGCTTTCTCTTTGTGTGGAGTGTGTTATATTTCTGAACGACATGGGCATCACGATCTGTCATTGCCAGAGCATCAGGCTGTAGATTTAAGCCTCCCAAAAGGGAAAAATGGAGGTTCTAACATCATCTTCACGATATAATTTAATATTCATGCTTGAAATCAGGTGCTGATGTGGGTCTGGATTCTTCTGTATTGATAGCAGAACTCCTGATAATTAACTCCCTTGCAGAAAATCTCCCTTGGCCTGTTTCTCATCCATCTTATGAACATTGTGTTAGAACCCTGGTCCTAGACAGGAATGGACAACATACATTGAAATAAAAAAGGGATAGCTGAAGATTAACAGTAGCAAATGTAGTTGGACCCAGAAGAGGCCTAGAGTGGTGGGGACATTTGAGAGGTCCCCTACTCTCCCTCGGCTGCAGCTGCCTTAGACTACTCTTCGATAACACCCCCCCTCCTAATCTCCCCCTCAACCCTAATACCCCTTGCATCTTTACATCATAAATGACTCTTTTACCCTTGTCCCTAGAAGTCTCATCTTCCTATGAGGTTGGAGCACTTGGGTCTCCTATCGTTGAGGTGGGCCCAAGTGTTAGACTCCTCCTGCGCCCTTTAGTAAGTTAGGCCCACCAGGGGCCTAACATCAGATTGTTGTTACCATTTCTTAAGTTGCTTTTGATGCTGTTAGCTGGTGCCACTAGATCAACAATTCAGTGCCGCAAGGGGAGGGAAGACTGTCTATTACCTTTTGTAGGCTAACAGGCCAGTTGAGCTCCACATCTAGAATGGAAGGTGGCAGTTGAGGGGCTTTGGTGACTCCCAAAATGTGCTTCAGCTGCGACACATGGAAAACATGGTGAATTTGAGAGGTGTTAGGGAGGGTTAGTCAATATACCAGCACCAATCTTCTTTAGAATTTGGTAATGCTGAAAGAAACAAGGTGCCATCTTCTCGTTCATACTTTGGCTCAGTGAGCAGACTTGGTAGGGCCTTAGCTTGAGGTAGACCCAATCACCAACATCAAATGTGATGTTTCGTCGGTTATGCTTTGCATAAGTGCTCATATATGTCTGGGCTGTAAGGAAGTGTTGTTTGAGCTGATTGAGGATCTCCTCATGAGCTTGCAGCTATTGATCAACCTATATGGGGTTGGATGGGAGGATCATAAACCTTAACAACATGGGAGGGTTTTACCATTTTCAATCTTGAAGGGAGTGAATTGTGTGGAGGCTTGATATATAGGGTTGTACCAATACTCGGCCCACATCAACTTGATGCTCTGTTGTCCTGGTCAAACCCTTGCAAAACATCAAAGGCAAGTCTCTAGGAAATGATTCACCGCTTTGGATTGACCATCCATCTATACGTGATATGTTGTGCATTGTCGTAGATAAGTTCTTTGTAGTCAAAAACGTTCAGACCATAAAAATACACATGAAAATGTGATCTTGATCACTCACAATAGATGCAAAAACTTTTTGGAGTCAGATGATGCCTTCATGAAGATAGTCACCAGTTATCGAGTTGTATAAGGCTTCTTTAGTGGGTTGAAGTGGCTGAACTTGCTGAGGTGGTCCACTACGATCATGATTGAATTTTACCCATTGGATCTTGATAGTTCATCAATAAAATATGGATGAGGTCTTTCTAAAACCCTTGTGGAATTGGCAATGATTGTAAGAAAGCTAGAGAGAGGGCTTCAACTTTATTCCTTCGGCAAATTTCATGCCACTCCACATAATCATGTATGCTTATTTTCACATTGCATTGGAACTAGCCTTGTATATGTGCATAAATATTCAGAGTGCCTTCCTGGGGCATTATCATAATACTCCCTTAAGATACTTGGGAGTAATGATGAACCACCCATGATAGAGGAGGTCTTGATGAATTTGATACTTGGGCCGCTTGTTCGACCCAATCATGATACCGTGGATAATGTAGAGTAGATAAGGTAATGGCTTTACCTCATTGTTGAGAGCTTGCACATCGATGATATAGTGAGTACAAACGATGAGGATATTAACTACAACCTATTGGGGGCATAATGAAAGAGCATCAATAGCTATGTTATATGCTCCCTCTTTGTAGCGAATCTCAAAGTCATAGACCAACAATTTAATTAGTCATTTCTAATATTATGAATTGATCTGATGTTGTTCCAAAAAAAAACTTGAGGCTTTGATGGTCTATAAAAACTATAAAGTGGTGGCCAAGTAGACAATGTTGTCATTTCATGACATCTAATTCAATTGCCTTGAGATATCTTTTGTATACCACCTTTGATTGATTCTTGAGGCTCAAAGCTTAGTTGAAGTATGCAATGGGTGCCTACATTGCATCACTACCCCTATACCTCTCCTTGAAGCATCAACCTCAATTTCAAAATCATTTAAAAAATCACGTCTAAGATGAGTACTGTTGTGCATGATATTTTGAAATTATGGAAAGCTCTATGTTGTGGTACTACTAATACGTCATATCATGCCACAAATCATCAATAATAACCTATTTTGCATGGGTCCACTACCACTCCTTAAGCTAAAACCACATCTTCTAAGTACCCAATTTGATCTTGAGTGAATGAAAACTTCTTGAGATTAATATAGAGGTTGTTTACATACAACAAAGTCATCACTTTGATTGATCTTCATGAGTTTTCATGTCTTTGTATATATCAAAATCTCGTCAAAAAATATAAACACAAACTTGTGGAAGAAAATGTTGATGGTGCATATGTGAGCCCAAATGACATCACCGCAAACTTAAAAATGGTCATCGTGTGTCTTAAATGTCATTTTTGGGGATGTCACCCATCTTCATCCTTATTTGAAAACGTTTAGATTTCAAATTGAGCATAGAGAAGATCATTGCTCTATACAGCTTGATGCACACTTTAGTTTTTATAAATATATTAAATTTAAAATTTTAAAATTGATTTCATTGAAAAATATAAGTTGTAGTCAAATGATGAAAATAAGTTGATCCACTTAGAAGAATGATAAAATCAAGTGTTAATTTGATTATTTAAAAATCTATGTAAGATAATAGGTGACGTTGGCTTAATTTTTGTATAATAAATCATGTAACTTTAAAATTATTAAAATTTTAAAATACTATTTTTATTTTTTAAAGAAATATTGTAGAATAAATAAATCAATTATAATTTGATAAAAGGTTTCTAAAATAGTGATAAATTTCCAGATAGATCATAGGGATGTAAGATAATATCTAGTAATATTTTAGATTTTTTGCAAAGAATATAATTTTATGAGTTTTATATTAAAAAATAAAGATAAATTATATTTAAAAAATTACGAAAAAAGAAAATTCAAATGTGTATGTAAGGATGACGTCAATGTCCTAATGAACATGAATGGATTAGAAATAGAATTCACTAAGCAAATTCTTACGTAAATGAATAGAAATGATTTAATTAATCAAATTAAGATTTGTAAAAGGTAAAAGAATTGTAATTGAATAGAGAAGGTTTTTGAATTTAAAAATTATAAAAAATATTATTAAATTAAGTAAACAATAAGTTTAAAGTAAGAAAGTCAAAGTTTTAATTTCGTAGTGATAATTGTCAGAATTCTATACTTTGAACAATTATCATATAATATCCATGACTTTAAAGACTCTCATTATATAAATATGATATATGTATTCTCTAAATCTTCTTGTGAAGTCTATAAATCAATGACATAGATTGACAAATTATTTTCAACTGTATTACTTAATAAAATAAAAAAATAATATTTATTAAAATTCTAACTATTATCATTTGATGGAGAATTAAATAAAGGTAAGGTGTGTCTTAAAGAGTTTTATTATCAAGCATGGACAATAAGAAGAGACTCTTCATCATATCTAAGACATTCTTAAGAAGTGATAACTCATCTCTTGGTAGACCATTTTTTTATCAATGATAATTAATTTGTCTATCAATCAAAGATGATTTACTTGATAGATTTATAATTTTTTTATCTAGAATCATTTAGTAGTTGATAATAATGCTCTACAAATTATATTAATGATATTTTTGTTGATAATTAAGTAATTATAATAGTTTAATTATTGACTAATATTCTACAAAAAAATATAATTTAATCAAATAAAAATCTACATTTTGACTATTATGAGATTCAAACCTTCTCCGATCATTTACTCATGTGTGAGAGAGGTAATTAATTACACTCATACCTTTACCTAGTGACGCTATAGAGGTGTTTTCTTCTCATAGCCAAGGAAATTACATGAGAGTGCTAACACAGATTTAGTCTTACATCATTTATTTTTTGACTTAGGAGACACATATAAAATAATACATGATTATTTCACCAATAACGTCTTCTCACATGTGTACAACCACCTCTTGCCTTATACTTCACTGGCCACTAATGATGTGGAAGAAGAGTGATGCACACGTGTCCCCTATTAGTCCTTACTCAGGCCCCCTACTTGTAACTTTACTTGATTGTCTTTTGATCTACTTACGGTCTTAGCTGGGGTGGTGGGTCCTCTTTTTTTCTAGATTATTTTTATTTTATTTATTTCTCTTCATTTATCTCAAAAAGTATAAAAATTCATATAAAATCACATAATTAACCAAAAAATCACATGAACTAAATAAAAAAATATTTTTCATAATTTAAGATAAATATAA